GCGCTTTATAAAAACAAATTGTTTTTAGTTGACTAACACGAAAATGACTAACATTGTCTAACACAGTTATGCTCTTTTGGTGTGCGGCCGGCCTAATAAGACAATAACAAGCCTATAGTTTTTGGTAGGATTAGTAGAAGGAAACGTTAGCAGTTAGTTATCTCGGTGAAAGGGCACTGAAACAAAAAAGGTTAAGAACAATTGATATAGTCTATTTAGTCTATTAATCTAGTCAAATTAGGAAAAGTTATTACTTAATTTCTTAAATTCTGAATTCTGGTATATAATTAATTTATGTATTATACTAATAAACTTGCTCAAAGTCCTAAAAACCACCCTCATGATATGTTATCCACCTTTGAAAGGAATGTTTTTGGCCTTCCCCCCATTTTCACTTATAACCGATCATTTTAGTGAGTATAATAGTATATGCTTAAAAACTTAAAACGTTGGATATAAAATATAAAATATATAACTGTTTAATTTTTTTTTGTTTTACCACAAATTACAAAGTATGATAATCATCACATACAATTTTTAAATATTTTTGCTCAGCCAAATAAATTTATTGACATAAAACCAAATAAAAACTAAGAATACATGAAAATGTAAAGCGCTTATAAATGTCTCAAAAATCTGTTTTGAAAATTTCAGCACGTCTAAAAAAGGTTAAAATAAGAATTCGGTAAAAATATAAGTTTCTACAATTAATTTTTATCTAATTTAACGATATCAACAATAATAAAGTTGTTACTTACATTAACTTTCCTGTTTTTTTTTTTTTTTTTTTTTTTACATATTTTGCTGGTTTTTAAAAAGAAAAAAACATGGACGCTTCAGATCCAAAATTCTACAAACCATACATTTTTTTGATTGGAGCAAGAATCTTGGAAGAAAAATTCTTTAGACAAAAACTATAAATTAAAGTTAAAACAAAAATCTAAGGTTAGGTTAAACTAGGTACCTACCTAAAGGTATCACTGAGCGGCTATAAAACCTACAGGACTGCACTTAATGAACATTGTAAATTTAGAGTTTGATTTAATTAATTTTAAGCTATTTAATGTTATTATACTTTATCCCGCATAATATGAATTCCTAATTTTTTTTTTTTTTTTTTAAGTGTTTATATTTACAATTATGTTCGGTACTGATAATAAGTTCTGTTGTTTACTAAACTTTTGATGAGTGAATGCTGCAAATAAGAGAGTTTAGTTTCTCTGAAAACCTAAACAATCATCCCTAAATCCAGTTTTTAACAAGTAAATATTTACTTGATAAGAACTTGTAAGTATGTGCAAAATCAATACCTATTAACCAAAATTATGAATGGCTTAAGCAATTAGTAAAGATATTTTGGGAGGATAACGCGCACCGGTATTTAGTTGCCTGTTTTACCGTGAAACATCAAGCGCATTTATTTTCGTATACAAAAAATATTGGCTGATTTTTTTTTCATCGAATATTATAGAAAACCGCCCGTTGACACGACATGCGAGCTTATAATAGATATTGGTAAGTAGATTTAAACGAGCTCTAATAATATACGAAAATATTCTTATATTGCCATCATATAAGTATAGCAGGTAGATATGTTCGTTTACGCGAAGTCCCGTCGTGAAATAAAATTAATTCGCAACGACAACGGTATGATGCGATCTTTGGAAAATCGAAATTTCCCGCGGGACGACGGTGACTGCAGTTTTCAAAACGTTTTACGCATCATTCGTGCTCGCGTTTATACTATACTATACTAGGTGTATCATTTATTCGACAGAGTGTTTGGGTCTTTATATATTTGATGTTAAATCCTTAAACCGGATTATAAAAATTGTATGCGAAATTCGGATGTCGGATTCGCGAGCCGTATAATCGGATATAATCTACAAGCAGGATGTATAACATCTGCACATATATAAATATAATCACTAAGCACGCTTAGTGAATCATCCAGTAATATCGAGTACCATACTATGTGTAGCCGAGTGTACTCGAATAATACGAATTTTATTTTTGGGAAGGATGCTATATTAGAAATAATGAGTTTAATAATATAGTAACAACCTATAGACGTTCTCTATAATTTTTGTATTTCAAATACGAGTAAATTAACAAAAAAATATATTTATATTTCGTGATCTGGATTGTGATCGTATAGCATATTTTTATAAAATAATCTAGATCGATGAATTATAATGCAAATCCGGATTATACGTTTGGCAGTCAGTACTAGTCAACAGTGGTGGCTTATCAGAAGAGGCGTTCAAAATAATTACTAATAACTGCAGGAGTCTGAAACAATAAAAAAATAATAATAAAAAATAATGATCATAGTATACATTTTAAATAATACATCTTTTTCTTTCTGTGTATATATTAACACTCTCCCCTTATAATTTTCAACATATTTCTCTTGCCACTTATATGGATTGGGAGCCGTAACTGCTAGTCGAGATTGTAAAGGACTGTATAAGACTATATAGAGGAGAGCGTAAAAAATAACAAAAATTACACTGTATATGTATATACTATACACTGCTTCGTTTCATCGTGTCCGACATCGTCACTCACCACCGGAAAGTGTTTAAACTCGTAAATCTAAAAAGCACATCCACAAACCACAGATACGACTTACAAATGTATGTATGCTGTATAGGGTATAGTACCTAAATAGTTTTTCGAGTCCGAGTCGGTCGAGCGGTTAATCGACCTCGGACTTTTGTGTCCGACTTTTCGAGTTCTGCGGTTGATCACGGTCCATATCTCTTCTCTCCGGTTCACTCTATCACTCCTCTTTACGTTTCTGTCTCGGCCGTATGACACAGATGATACATACGGTTTATCGTCACGTCAGTGGAAAAAACTAAAATCGATTATGTACCTACTTGGCATTTTGAGCTAAGGGATTCTCTCGAATGTTTACCGCGTAATTATTATTATACATTTATAACCGATAGGTGATAATACCTCCGAATACCAAATTTCAACTTGATCATAATTCTGTTTTATCCAACTAAAAAAAAAAAAAAAACAAACAAGGAATACAAAATTTACTATTATATTGTCAATAGCCAATAGGTACGTCTTAAAAATCAGGGGTTTACAACTATTGTAGAATGTATTTAGTTTGTATTATTATTAGGGTAAAAAATAAACCAAAGCTAATAACGGATTCTGATGTGCACTCACTATCATATTTTATTTTATCTATTAATAATTTCGTTAATATTGTATATATGATTTGTAAACTAACGACGAAGACCTTTAGTTTTAGATTTTTTTTTATCTACGTGTTTGAACTACTAAGAAATATAATAATAATAATAATAATAAAAAGCTGTACTGGTTTTAGTTTTTAGAAAAACGGGAATCTAGCCAAAACTGTTTCGAATAAATTTTCTGGGCGGAAAATCCACGTCTTTTAATGAAATATTCTATTTAAGTACAATGAACGTATTTTGAATCGTTTTGGATTCTGAGCGGAGCGAGGTCATTCTGTAATTCCCAGGGGTTCTCATAATAAATGGGAAAAACGAGAAAATTAACGAAATGTATAACGTAAATATGACGGCCTTTTAAAATATGTATAACAGAATTCCACTCAGAATCATTTTTCATTAACAATGGTTAATCTTTGCGTACAGATATACAATAAATGTCCCCTCTAGCTTCCAAACTTTTTACTAACAACAGTGGTCCACCCATCGAGCGAATTATGTCAATTTGTTTTTATTTTCGAATTTTTTTCTTAAGGGGCCACTCCAAGTATACGAGTATTTGAGTGCATGGTGTATCGGTGTTTGATTTGACCACCCCGTTTATAAATTCTTAACCGTATTAATGTGTCACTGACGTAAATGTATACGTCGAGGCCAGAAAAGAGTGGGTGGCCGCGGGCCGGGCACGTGCCTTCGCCAAAAACGGCCGGTTCGACCGACTGCGTTGTGGAAAAGCACGTATTATACAGCGTGATGTAGCATAACCAAACGATAGTTTTTGAGGGGCTAAAAATAACGCGAACTTTTCGTTTCGTTTGAATGTGCGGTAGGTAAAGCTAATCCCGTATTTTTCGGTTTTCGTTTTGAAAACCACATTATCACATCTATAAAGTTTTCGCTCAATGATGTTTTCTCTTTGTTCTCTTCAATAAACAGGGTTGGGCAATACCTTTGACACAAATATCTCAAAAATATTGTATCTCATGATTCTTGTAGCGCGTTACAATTCTAGAAAGCTTCTTTTGAAGTATCTTGTCAGTAGACGCTCGTAGGAAGGATACAGGCCGTGTCGTTGTTACCCATTTGGTTTTTTGAAAAACACGTTAAAAAATTTCGTGTAGAGGAAGTTGTTAGGATTTCGAAAAAAATTGTTCAAATAAATGTAACCACAGCGTCTTTAAACATAGTTATACATTGCATGACGTGAAAAAAATCTAATTAATATTTTAATTTCAATGTATTGAGTATCGATTGTAGATGCTGTACGTCAATGTTCGACTAACTGTCGATAGTACGCAGAGTTTTAGATAGTGGGTTTGAAGTATCTTTTGTCCGTCCCTGTCTGTGCGATGTGGGGAGGAGAGGCTATATTCCTGAAATATTGTTGCTGAAGTGCCGTCCGCCATTGTGGAAAACAAATTCAGAGGTTACTGTTGTTGGTGCTGCTACTGTTACGTAGATTCGTATGAAACGCATACCTACGTCAAAACTCGCCAAAAATGATGTTGTCTCGCCCTGTATATAAATTGATATACGGTTTGACGCGCGTTCGACGGCATCACACGTATTATACGACGTCTTTGCGCTACGCCGACACACACACACACACACACACATACACATTCACACACGCACAAAATTACACTTAACACACACACAATTACGCGTACACACGAACAAAAATACACAGGCGGTGCGGTGCGATTCGCGCGGCCCGTGGCGAAGGCGACGACGACGACGACGACGGTGGCGACGACGACGGAGAGTCCGCCGCGCGCGCCGCCGCCGCGTATTATTTTAATACACGCGTCGACCACTCGTGCGTCCGCCGCTCGCGACGACACGCGACGATTTGCAGGTCGCCACCGTACTCGTATATCAGTACCGAAATATTTTATTTATCGTAAAAAAAAAAAATGATTTTTTTTTTAAAAAAAATAGCATTTGAATAAAATCTCAACGATTTTCAATCGTATATTATATTTTGCTCGGCGATTCGTGTACACGCATCGGGAAAGTTTTTTTCCGCAGCCGTCACGGGATCGGCCGCCCCTGCTGCAGGCCCCGAGGAACCCTGTCCCGCGGCGACGGATATTCTGCAACACCTATAATTTATTATATTATTCGTCTCGTTAAGAACGTAATGCCCAGGTAAGTGGTGTGATTTTTCTTAGAAAAAAAAAAGTTACAGGTACTATATAATCATAATTACTATCGAAAAAAAAAAAATGATAGGATTTTAAATTTTGTTCAGGACCAATAAAAAAACAAAAAAATGTATACAAGTATATATATATATATATTTTAGATCTCCGATCGTTACACCGGAATTTGTTCACGTATCTGATTGTATTTTATATAATAATATTCTATCGGATATTCGATCCGATTGTTGCGCCAAAATTCCGATTCCCGTACCTGTATAAATACTGATACGGATTCGTGTCTGATTATTGCGGCGCCCGTTCAAACAAATTGTTTACTACGCCGCGGAAAGAATCCGTTCTTACGAAATGTGTTATAACTTATAGATTTATAAGTCATCGGTGCTTATTAAGTTTACCAATTTTAAAAAAAAATTAAAAATTGTATTTTAAATATTTTAGATTCTGATTGCAGCGACCGATGTATTGGTTTTATTTGTATATGCGTGTGTGTGTGTGTGTGTGTGTGTGTATGTGTGTATTTTCTTCTGTCTGTTGAAAACTTTTCCATCAAAAATTTTGTTCGGATTACACGCTGCAAGTGCAGCACGTTTTCTGAAAACAAAATATTTGGTCTACAGTCGGTGCGTCGAGGAGGTCAGTTTTTCTTTTGTTTACGATGACGGACGTTTAAACAAATCCGAAACGAAATTCACAGATATATATATATATATCAATAAACCCCCGTCGAGCTCAACTTTAATATAGATACGAGACGATACTCTCGCGTCAAACGGATCGGCATAATATAATATAATACCCGGCTCGGCTATACCGACTTTACATTATATAAACGTCCCGAAGGGTTGTCGGGGTTTTAATGAAAAAAAATTAAATATATATATATATATTTAAGGTGTATACACTGTGGGATAATATCCGGATAGACCGCCGGTCGGGTTTCTCGCGATATCGCGTGCTTAAAAAAAAAAAAAAAAACAAGCGATAGTCTTTGAATTTTGTGTTTTCCTTCCCCCTCCCCATCGGGCCACGTACCGCCTTGTCGATGACGAGGTATTAACTATATTAGGGCGATGGGGGGGGAGGGGGGAGGGTTGGTGAGAATTGATAATCAGTCGTTACTGCAATAATAACAATACCAATATCGAAACGCTACAATACCAGAACAAGAAAACAAACACAAAGCCATGACGCCCGTACCGAATCGGCGTCGCTCGATTCCATTCGAATATCGGTACCTACTAAGAACCGACGGTTCGAAATGTTAATTTTTCAAAAACGCAATATATAAATTTGATTTGTAGGTGGTAGTCAATCGTTTTTTTCGTAAGCCGTAATAAAATTCGACTTTTTTCGCACGTATACCTACTATTTTCTTATAAACGTCCATTCGAGTAAAATCAAGTGGGTTCATTCAAGTCGATTGAGTCTAGTGTTTTTTTCGAAATTATCGCTTAAGCGCGTTCAAATTTAATCGATTCTCTGATATTATTATCATGATTTATGTGTGTTCACGATATTTCGTATTGTTGCTATTATAACACTATAATTAGTGAACATTTGTATTGAACAATATCATAATTTTTTTACTAAAAAAAAAATTATATATATATATATACATCAACATACCTATCATGTTAATACGAGGATTTGTTTCGTTTATTTACTTAAACTCCGAGTTAAATGTTTTTATCAACTAGCCAGCAGATCTACGAAAAAATGAATGTAATTATTATCGTAAAATCAGAAATGTTATAACTTTCAAGTAAATTAATACCTACTCGAATTTCATGTTATTTCTTACCTATTATTTAAACGATACATAAAGATTTATAAAGATTTGTCTATGTAAATTTATTTATTTGATTATTTACATTCTAAACATTTCACACAATTTATTTCTAATTCATATCGTGCCACGAAATAAATATGAATTTATACCGATCGTGATAAAACACAACGCTGATAATTTATACACCTAATATTATCTATGCAATACGAATTTTTCGCAAATATCGATCCATCGTTTACAATAATCAAATCGTGTTTTGCGTTAAAACACACGTTTGCCTCAACATATTGTACATTTCCGGATCCTATTTATAATTTTATTATAAATACATAACGCGTTCATGATGGTTATTAAACGCTCGTATATTACTTATCAAGCTGTTACAGATTAGTATTTTCAGTTTCCGCAGAAACTTAGCGGAAATTATGAATATTGTTGTATAGTTGCTAATATAATATAATTGCGGTTTCAAACGCGTACACTTGTGCATCTAAAAATATATTGTTTACTATAAGTACACGGTTTTTTTTTTTGTACATCAATTTTAATCGTCGGAAATGCTCGTACACTTACACTAAACTTACAAGAAATTGTGTTTTTTCGGGAGGGGGGCATCAGTGGCCATTATCCTCTTAAAACAACAAACAATACCGGTTTCCTCCAAAATAAAAAAAAAATCTAGATTTTCATTTTCCTCCACTGTTCATTAATTTCCTCCATTGCAAAAACAGGAATTTTATTATCTTCCTTATAATTCGAATTTGTACGTATTACACGTTCTATACTTCTGAAAATATTTCAGTAGAAAATATTTTTCCGAAAATCTCTATAATAATATTTAAATCGATACTGTAGCCGATACTGATATTAATTTGCTAACATGTATAATTTTTAAATTTAATAAGTACATTTTGTTATTAAAAAATAACCTATAATGACTTGATAGTTGTTATTATTCATATTTGTAGGAAAATACGTATGTGATAATTTTAGTCTGAAGTAACTTTTTTTTTTTTTTATTATGGGAATTGAACAGTGTAGAAGAGTATATCGGTAGGTCTTTCTTTTTACGAGGAAAATCGTGTTCCCGACCTAATTTTTCGGCCGCACCACAGAAGTCGGTCGCACGGAGTTATTTAAATTTGTATTTATGTTTCCCCCCCCCCCTTTATAATTAAATCCCTTACTAATTCGGAGATTACATAATACGAGGTCGTTCATCCGAGTCGGTATTATAGGTGACTCTCAATGGGATTTTAGATTATGTTTTTTAACTTACCACCTTCAACGTGAAATGGTAATTATTCGGAGGCGATAAGTATATAAGTATTATGCTCGTTGAACTTTTATGTCTAACTCTAAATATACTGCACGGCGAACGTAGACGTACGGGAACGCAAGTCACGCGAATCTAAAAATAATATACAAACGTAAATTAGTCAGTTCGGTAGGTACCGTTTAAAATGTGTACATTATAATAATATATGTGTAATATATATTTTTATTTTATATTATACGTATACTGATGCTTAATTATAAAAACAACTGTATTATTATTAATACAAGCAAAATAGAGTTATTTTGGGATTTTGTTTTGTAAATTATGAAAATACAATGGTCCCGTAAAAATACTCAAAAATTTGATAAAAAATGAAAGTTTCGTTATTAAATAGGCCTGATATATTGCACTCAAAAATAAAAAAAATTCAATACATTTTTCAGTTTGAATTTATCAAAATAAGAATGTGTAACCGAACTCCGATCAGAATACTCAGAATATGATACACCATTGGCAACAAAAAACGATTCGGAGCGACGTTTCTTCTACACATTTACGTACATTTTCCCGTTTCTCTTACGTTTTTTCTCGGTCTTTTTCAATTATTCTGAAAACCGTTCAGAAAATTAAAAGACCTACTGCAATGCAGTGAAATTTTTTTCAACAAAAAAGGTCTTTTGTCATTCTTTGATTGAAGCATGATTTCTATTCGAAAAATGATTTTAAAACACTATAAACACACATATTATAGTAAAACGAATACATTTCTCGCTGCACTCAGAATCTAAAAAACTATTTCCACCGGCGTATAAACAAAATATTTAGTGTCAATTTGTGTCGTATTTGTCATATTATAGTTTATTTAACATCAATTGCGTATCTAGTTTAAACACGTCTTCGTCAAAATTGGAGATTTTCCAACGGTTACGAGTATATAAGTGTATATTAATCATGTGAAAAAATAAAACAACTATGATGATTATGGTATCTTGCCATCGACCGAAAAAAAAAATATATATAACTTACACCGATTTTATAAAATAGGTATTTTAGGAAAGAAAAAAACAAATACAAACTTATATACTTCGTGGTTTTAGTTGAAATAAATAGGTTTTTATTTTTTTAATTTATATTAATTCGGCGCGTGTCAATGAAAAAATGATATTATAATTCCATATGCTAGAGTTGCTTAAAGAATTGTATTCATTTTAAGTCTCATAACCCGAATTTTTGTGATGTTAAATAATATATTATGTTCCCGGTTCTGAATTTGTTGTTAAAAAAACTATGTCGATAAGATCAAACAAGTTTGTGGCTGATAAGTAGTAGAATTATCGTGACAAATAACTAATGGTTCGGTTAATGTCACAAAAAAAAAAAAATGATGTATTGTATTTCTTTGTTTTCAACACTCATTCAAAATAATCTTAGCTTAAAATATTCTTTTAACAAAATTAAACTCAAAACGAATTAGTTTCTGTTCGTATTATTATAGTTGCAATATAATAGGTATATGTTCCAGTATAAATACTTAAAGTTAAAACTATATACTTAATATTTACAAATTAACACTTATAGCTATGTGTAGTAACGATCATTAGGCATTACTATTAGGCTATTATACCTATATTTCGTAACGAAGTTTTTTTTTTCATCATTAAGTACGAAACTCTCAATCGCTTAATATCACCACACGGTTTGGAATTATATTATAGTGTTACCTATATATTAATTATTTTAAGATTAGGTAACAGGTAAAATGGCAAAATATTGATTATATAACTGTATACAATATGTATTTTTTATTAAGTATAATAGATACACTAAGCAAGTTTATCGAGAAAAAATTAATTACTTCATAAACTTAGTTCTATTCGATAGATGCATTCGAAATGGAATTTTATAAATTAAATGATCTTTCCAAAGTCTGAAAAAATCCACCCATAGTAATGCAACAATAACAGAACAGCGAATGATTGGCACACCAATACTAAATATTTCAGAACGTTTGCATAAAACACGCTATCTTTTATCCGGATCATAATATCGATAAATTAAAAAACAAAAAAAAAAAAACATTTCGAGATAAAATCGATTTGATAATATGAAACGCGCTCCCGAGGCACTGATGTTATGTCAACAATATTATTACAAAAACAAAATGGTAATATTTATAAATCGTTCGAATGTTTCACATGTGCACAACATATTTTATAAAACAAAACGTTAACCACTGCAAAAGTAAAAAAAACAATAACATCCTAAAACTAAACGAGTTAATATTACTGACGGGTGGGCCACTGTTGTAGATTGGAAGTTGGAAAGGTAGAATTTACGAAGTTATTAATTTGTTTATATGTAATGATAAATCATTGCTGGCGAAAAATATTTAAAAGAAAAATTCGGTAATAAATGTTTTGAAATGCCGTTATATTTACGGTTTTCGTCAAGATTTGATCTTAAATGCTTATAATAGAAAAAATCGTCAAAGTGTTTTTAAAATTGTACACGATTAAAAAAGGGCTAATATAATTACTCTATGAAAATATCAGCTCCCTACAATAATTGCTAACCGATTAACAATAAAAAAACAAAATCGAAAACAACGAAATCGGTAGTGCTGTAAAATGTCGTACATTTTCTCGTAGTTTCTAAGTTTTTTTCCAATTGTTATAAAAATTGCTCGGAAATTCATAAAATGACTTAATTACATACCGACTAAAACCGAAATTCAACAAAAAAGTTACATGGTATTTTTTTAGTTAAAACAAGATTTCTGGTAGAAAATATAATTCGTAAAAATTTTAAACAATGAAATCGGTAGCGCCACGGCTTGCCGTAAATATTTATTCGTCCTTTCTATGCGTTTTTTCCCATTTTTTCCCAATAATCATGAAAATCTTTGGACAAATCAAAAAATTATTTCTTTAATGAATCATCCAGTTCCAAAATGTAATTAAAATGGTCTTTTGTTAATTTTTGATAGAAAAATTCACACACATCATAATGAAACTAATACATTTTTAGACGTGACTCGTAACTTCATAATATATCAGACCAATATGAAAAATAAAAATAAATGCCTACGACGCATTCGAACTGTACTATTAAGTTAATGGGAATAGGACGGCGTAGAAGGATTTTAAACATTCTCGCGAATTTCTGCGATATTTTCCCGCGGAACATTGAAATTTAAAATAATAAGATTCCGCATGGATAAATCGTATAATATGTTTGTATTATTATTGTTATTATTATATACAAACTATAAAACGTTGTGCAAAAGTTTTAACGCAACAGACTGCCTCTTAATAATATGAAACTCAAGAGGCGGAGGTAGGGTAAGTGCACCAATTTAAAACCTTTCCGTTTGTATATAAGTATATAATATTATAATTACTGGCACGCGTATATGCATTTAATAAGTCTAACGCAGAGCATTGTGTTATAATAATAATAATTTTGTGAATCTAAGTGTAATAATATTATTTTAGGACATTTTTGCGACACGGCGCCATTTTGGAAAACTTTAACGTACCTACTTCCTTAACAATCATTTTAAATTAGGTAGATATATTTTTTCTTTTTGGTTTCTGAACGAAGCGAAGAATGCGTATTGGTTTTACTATAATGTGTTTTTGTTTTGTCCTGATTTTTCTGTCAGAAATAGTGTTTCAATCAAAAAGATTTTAAGGACTGGAATAGTATACTTTTTGAATTGAATTTTGTTCAATTAGTGCATTTTAATGTTGATTTTTCTTATAACTGTCTTAGAAAATACGAAAAACTAGTTATTTTTTGTTCAATTTTTGTTAATTTGTATGTCACCCAGATAATATGGGAAACAACTAATATTTATAAAAATAATAATAATAATAATTTAAATATTCTGCTCAGAATGGTTTTTCTTTAACATTGGTTTATTTTCACGTATAGGTATAAATTAAATAACTCTTTTCCAAATTCCTTCCTAAATTAATAGCACATCCATCATCTGTATCAGTCTTTTGAATTGGAATCGAATTGTAATTGGTTTTAACATGATGGTTTTTTTTTTTAAATTTTTTTTTTTGTTGTATCTTTCAGTAAGTGTTTTGTTCGAAAATTTGCGCCAATGTATCAATTATAGCACCTTTTCTGTAAAGAAATTTTATCTCGTTGGTGCGTTGAGGAGCCTAAGAGGTAATTTTTCAAGGGGTTTTCAAAATAATTAGGAAAACCTGGAAACAAAATTATAGGGAAAACGACAAATATTTACGCGCAAATAAATGTATGTATTCTACCTGCCCAGCTTCCCACTAATGTAGCAGTAATACATCCATCAGCAGGATCAGCTTTTTTTTAAAAATAGGATTATAATTTTTAAAATCAACAAACAAAATTAATATCTCCTGTAATAAATTATTGTTGTAACATTTTGTAAACCGACTCAGCTAATTTAGGATAGTCGAAAAAAGTTAACGATCTAATATGCGTTAAATGTTAATTTAAGCATTTACTTAAGTAATTACCTAATTGGTATTAACTTAAGTGAAGTTAATTTGTGTAAAATTTCTTTTTTTAATTAGTAAAAATAATTAAACCTAATATTATCGGTATTTAAATTTAAATACAGAACTTCACAAACATTTTTTAATAAAAAAATAAAATACATTTTTATTAGAACTTTATTTATTTAAAATTAACCGAATTAAATGTGTATTTATTGTAGAAAATAAATAAAAATAATTGAAATTCACAATTTTAACGTGATATAAATATGTAGAAAAATAAAAATAAAATAAAAAAATGTATCCTAACAAATAATTAAAGGTTAAAAGTTAAAACTAATTTACCTTTTAACATTTTAACTCGTCAATGCCCTGCAGCCTTTTTTAATAAATTAGATAAATGTTTTATGCATGATATCTATATCATAATAATCGTCTTGTTATTTTGATATTTTAATTCTAATGTGTAAGTTTAATATTTTACTCATATTATTAGTATTATTATTATCATTTCTTTTTTTCGCCACGATATTTTTCATTTTAATTAATAATTAAAATTAAAATTATAATCGGTACTTATTGTTTATTTCTAGAATGCACTAATTAGAGATCTCGATGGCAAGCATATAAATTTTCTGGTCATTTTTGTTTTTATAAAACTCGAGTTAGCGTGTTTCAAAAAGAGAATGAGAACCGTAAAATTGTAAAACCATTTTAGAAAATTAGTTATTAAATACTAAATACTAAATATTTTAACCATTCAACTTTCAACTTCAATTTTACTTAAGAAATTAATATACTGGTTAATGACCGACATAGTTAATGTCTGTCAGTGGGACCGACATAGCGTTCATTAGTTCAAAATGACAATTGTACAGCAAACGTGATGGAAAACGATATTAAGTACAGAGTTAATTTTGTTGACTGGATTTTAAAAAAAATTTGTTTTTTTTTTATCTAAAAAAAATATTGAAATTCAAAGAATGTTTTATTTTCAAATACAGCTATAATTTTTAGTACATAACTAATTTCGATAAATTCACAGATATTTTCATTAGAAATTCGTCAAAGGATTGAATTGAAAATATCACATTCTACAAGACGTTGGTACAGGTATAGAGGTACCTATTTAAAGCTGAAAAATATTCTTATCTTCGTTGCGGTGTTCCTTTAATCAAATATTCGCGTGCCGCCGTATACAAAGTAGTTTCTTAAAGTTAAACATTAGTGGCTTCAATAATAAGTACCCAAGTACATTGCATGCATAATAGAATAAGTATAAACTTGTAATAAATATTGTACGTGTAGCTTTCAAATTTAAATATCGATATACCGTAACAAGTATGTTTATTTTTGTTAGTTCACGAAACTAAACTTGAATCGTTGTAAATGTCATAAATATCAAAATATATTTACACTTTGGTATACGAATTGAATATTAACTAACGAAAAATAAACAAAATTAATAAAACATATAATATTTGAATTTACTAACGTTCTCGTTGGTCCTTACTCTTTCGTTACTCACCTAAGATAATTTTTTACCTTAATATACAAGCAGGTAAAATTAATATTAATAAAAAAATAAACTTGAATAAGAACCAAATACGTTTGCATTTTCATATTTTCTTTTCTTAGTATGCTAAATTTAAATATTATCAAAGACTGATGATCAGCTTACCAATATTTTTTAAATGTTACAAAACAATTCTATTGAACCCATTTAGTCGATACATTTTAAAGAAAAATAAATTATAATACCAAATATTTGCCTGTACCTGTATTTTTAATGTATATACATATTTTATACCAATGATGGTAGATTTCTTATTTCAAAATAATTTTAAAAAGTCCTATATTGTACACCGAAAAAGAACCGGACATATACTTCGAACCGTCGCGCTTCAATAGATCACTGCTGTAAGTGAGAATTGTGTAATAAGGTTAAGGGAATTAAGTTTGTTTACGAAAAACAACGAAAAATAATTGCAATCGAAAAACAATTCAAAACAGAGCCACTATGATTTTATAGTATTAGTCATCATTCATCATATTTATTTTCCTTTTAGTTAAGGTAACTCAAAAATAAATAAATATTGAACTGATATTTCGTTATTTCTTGTTAGTTTTTAGAAAATCTGTTGGGAATCTATAAAAAGTTAGCCAATAAAGTACCACTGAACAAAATATTTCACCTAGGCGAAAAAAACACATCTTTGAACCATAACCTTCTTTGATAGACTTATAATCTAAAATATAAAAAAAAACCTATCCAAAAATAATGAATCAAGTTTTTGAATTATTTAGACATTTAGTTTTATATCACTTCAAGAGTAGACACCTATTAATTATCTTACTACTGGTTTTTTTATATAAATAAAATGTAGACACTTTTATTTTAGTAAAAATTAACAACCCAAATAGTGTTATACAATAAATTATTATAAATTGTTTTTGTACAACAAAGAATAGAATTTTTTTTAAAAAGTACAACTCAGAAACTCGAAAAGACAAAACATCTGGAAAAGAGGATCTACTAAGTTAAAGAACTCTCTACTTCAGTCGGACGGTTCACTTTTGGTTATTCTTTAATATTTAAAAATCGTAACAACAAAATATATTTGTTAGCCGAGGTATGAATATAATTACATAATTTTTGGCCAGAAAAGTACTTGTTTTCTTGTTCATAATTTTTAGATTCTAAGTGAAGTGAGAAATCTATTAGTTTTACTACGATGTGTGTCTTTATTTATTATATATTTTGTTTGCCTTTAAACATATTTTTGAAAAGAAATTTCGCTTCAGTATTTTATTTTATGGGAATATTTATGGTAGAACATAATTTCGTCTGAAGGCACATTGGAGACATTATGAATTCGGTTTAATAAGCTAAACTTGTTAACAACACAATTGAAAGAATCAGAGGATCAGTAAAAAAAATTGAAGTTACCCTAGATAATTATTGTTATTATAATTTTTTTTTTATTATTGGAGGTTAAAATATCAACTGCAGAATTTTATTCCTAAAAAATGTAATTACGTCTGAATTCGACAATGTCATTAGAAATATTATTATTAAACTGACAAATAAATCGATTTATTGAAATAACGACGAGTTTTTAAATCAAATACCCAATACTTCAACAACAGTTTGACAAGAAAACGTGAAAAAAAACGCCATATACATCAAATCGATTTATTTCATAAATATTTAGTAATAGTAGTAAAAAAATAAATGAAATTGAAATTGAATTCGTTTTGAATATATTGCATTTAATTATTTATTATTAATGGGAAGACATAGGTATAGAATACAACACTAGAAAATTACGTAATTTAATTGTTTTTTCGGTTAATTAAATGACCTAAGAGAGAGGAAACAATGGTTTCAGAACAATTGAGACGATGTGATTTAAGCATAGAAGTAGGTAGGGAGGTTTTTTAGGGCTTAGGATCCTCAATATAAATAATTTCCTACCAGTCTTAGAATTTTAGGTTATCTCAATTTGAAAATAATTAGAAATACTAATATTGTATTTCACTATATTGAAAATGTTAATTTGAATGCAGTGAAAGATTGATATGGTTGTCTAAAACTGTCTTTAAAATGAAAATGGTAGATTACCAAGACTAAAAGATCGAATTAGTTTATTCTCAAAATATTGAATAATGTACAACATTAAAATAAATAAACTGTTTTTAAATAGTTTTTTTATGGGGGGGAGACTAAAGACACACACCAATTTTAATAGGTAACTTGTCTAAAAATTATAATTGTACCTAAAATAACAAATTACAATTATACAATTATTTATTTTTTACTTTTTTAAACATAATATTGTCAAAAAGTTTTCCATATAAATAATAATGGTGTTTCGGGATCAGAAGATCGAAAATTAAAATCTTAACTTATCCTAATCCATTAAAACTTCTCATCTTGATTCTGATTATATGTTAGGGTGATTTTCTGAACTTCTTGCGAGAAATAATTTTCGACAATGAAACGCATTAATACATAATATATAGCACAATAAACTCTGAATCATTTGAGTAAATATAATATATGAGTAATGAGCACTACGTGGGATGTGGAATCTTCGGTAAATAATATCGAGACGATTTCATTTTGACATTTTGGAGTAGATAGGTATAGAATTAAGTGTTTAATTTTAGAGAACCCGGCCGGTGATTTTGTAAACATTCAGTGGCAAATTAATTAATCGAGACTTGGTACATAAGTGTTATTGTATTATTAAACACAAACATTAAAACTTAAATGAATCATTCGACTCAGTTAAACATATAAATATGCATTTAAATACATTAACTATATAATAAAATAGGTAAACTATAGTTCAGTGTTCAAATTGGAAAAATAGAAGAAAAGGGACTTTTAGCTGTCCTTGCATTTATTAAATTCAACAAGCAGGCGCCTAAGGTGTAAGGCTCCTCGCCCTCCTTATACCGCTTTTAAAATATAATTGAATAAAAAAAATAAAAATAAAATACATCGATGTTTCTTAAATTTTTAAATATTTTTAGATACTGAGAATCTAAAGAAAACACTATTCGTATTACTAAGAAGATTTTTTTTCATTTCGGAAAACACTTTTATGGTTAGTGAAAAGTTCTGAATTTTTATGTTACATCTATAAGATACAGAGTTTTCATCTAATGCTATATTTGAAACATTTTTCGAAATTCACAATTGCATTTTATGTATTTTTTGAAAACACCCTTAAGAAAATACTCAGTTTCTACCTCAAAAGCTATTAATATTTAGAAATATTATCGATGGTTTCAAATAGTCCACCCCGGATTTTTAATTTTTTTTGATTTCTTGGTTACCTACCTAACCTATTCGTTTTATCTTGACAACAAGAGAGAAAAACAAGAAATAACAATACTTCTTCGTTCAGAAACGTTTTTTGTTGATTACAGTATACAGACAATCTTGGTCGTATATATTAAACTTACCAAAAACATTGACCTACTCGTGGCAGTACCAACTTGTTTATATACTTATATAGGAATGTATTTATTAATATTTATCTATTTTAAAATGTTTTCTTATTTTCACTAAGGAGATATTTTAACATTAAAATATTAGTTAAATTTCATACTTTATTAATACGTTGGGCAAAAGTGTAATACAGAATGAATAATAATAATAATGATTTATGACTAAACGTGAAAGATTATATTAAAAATACCATTTTAATTGTATCTAAATTGACAATACATGGTTTTTGAAAATGTTATTATGCGTAAAAATAAACGCACCGTCCCAATAGAAATAATTAGTAACACACTAAACAAAAATAGAAGTATTAGAGGAGCTCCGTCTCCCTTCGCTTCCTTCCAATTCGAGCACTACTTACATTCGGTTCGTTATGTCTTACGTCTTGGTATTTTAATATTATATTATAACAGGTACATCAATGCAAACGTTGAATAAAACCCCATACAAATATATTGCTGGGTAGGTACAAGCTATAAACATATTATGAAGTTCTGCAACAAGAAACCATTTAATAGAAATAATACTCTTTTAGAATATAATTAAGAAGCAATATATCTATACAGTTATAAATTATAACTATCTAACTTGGCAATGCTTTGCTAAACAATAAATAAATAAATAAATAATAAACTGAAATAAATAAATACATTTACAAGAACAATTAGATATTTGTATCGAAATTGCCTAAAAATCCCTACTATAATTCACGGGATTAAGAATGGAACGTTGAAGACTGTCCTATCGCATACAAATCGGTTGAATAGTTTCATAGTGTATCGCATCTAAACTCGTCGTACGCGTGATTTTTATGCATGAAATATGTTCTAAATAAAAATAATATATTATAGGTACTTGCACCATACATATACGACACCTATATATTGTTCGAGTTGAATGTTGATATTATGTTTTATCATCCATAGCGAATGATGTTTTTTATTTTTTGAATGTTTGTGGGTGGTTTTAAATTTAAAAATTGGATATTATTGACCAAAAAATTGATGCTTCACAAAATAAATTTAGAGGTAGGGATTATCTATCCTCCTCTTTGGTATGATACTGATTGCAATTAATTATACATTAGGTAGTATACAAAATATCTACGGCTATTATATTTATATTATTTCCAAGTGAAAAATGTAAAATTGACTTTAGTGGGCGAAAAATTTAACATCAGAAAAAACAGGTTGAAACCTTAGAGCTACAAATTTGTATTTAAATATACAAATGTATTTTTTAGATTCGGAGCGTAGCGAATCACAGGTAAAACGGACAACATTTACGACGTGCCTCGGTGTTACCGATTTCATTGTTTCTAATTTTTTCAACTTATATTTTATACCACAACTATTGCTCCAGTAGAAAAACGACAAAATACACTTTTAGTTATATTTTTAAATATTGCTTCAATATAAAAACAACAAGAGACCCTTTTTATTATAATTTTCAATCTCATTAATGCCCAAGAAAGTAGTTTTTTAAATTATTTCTATTTTTTATAATAATTGAACAAAACCAAAAATACTAAAAAAAAACGTAAAAATGTACGAAAATAATTTTTTATTATTTTTTATTTTGTTTATTTGCTGTAATTTAGTTAAAAATATTTTCAGTAACCTGAAATTTTGATAAAAAATTCATATTAGCTTTCTCTAGATGTGGTATAATTTTCAAAACAATTTGAGCCATTTTTGAGCTATTTGTGGACATTTCAATTTCGCATTTTAATTTGGTAGGTACTTTGTGGGTAAAATTGTTAGAATAAACAGAAATGCTAAAAATTTGACAGACGTTTTATTATAAATTGTATTTAGTGGTCAAAAAATAAAATAAAATGAGTTGTGATTATAAAAATGTGGTTATTTTTTTTTTTTTAAATCAAAGTTTGACGAAAATCGTAAATATTACAGCTTTTCAAAACATGTATAACCGAACTTCACTCCAAATCGTTTTTCATTGGCAATGGTTTATCATTGGTTATAGGTATAAATTAAATATCTTATTTTATCCCATCATTCCAACTAGCCACCTTTAACAATGGCTGCAACAATTCCCAGTATCAGATCTTTTTTAAAAATTGTTACTGATATAAATAATATTGAATAATCTATAACCATATTTAAATTAAATTAAATTTAAAACATAATATGGTTTTATTTTTTTAGGGTTGGTGGGGTAAACAATAATTCTAGAAGTAGAAAAAGTTAAATATCCCACCAATTTTATTCGATACACTGTCTAAAAATTATAAAAGCGCCTACGTTGACAAATTAAAGATAGAATATTATTTTTTTAAAGATAGTATTATAATAATGTTTATTAAACGTTTCTCGTATAATATGATATTTGCATAAAAATACCGTTAGCAATTTCTCAGGTATAAAATATACGTACATTGGTAAACCGCATTACAAACTTTTTGAGACGGGTCGGTCAAAATTTGAATTTCAACGCTGAATTAAGATGTTTTAGTGTGAAAATCGTTTTTATCAACATCATATTTTATGAAGGAGACCAGTTTAATAAATTAGGTCCTACAGGTAAAATGTTCTTGAGAGATCGGGCCTTATTTTGCATTTAAATTTATGCAGTTAGACACTGTTCACTTATTACCGAAAGTTAGACGCGTAAATTAATGTTTACGTAGTTGAAATTTATTATTTTTTTTTTTTTTTAGATACCTATTTGTAATCAATTGTTATTATTTTTTAGTAAAAGTATATTAAATATTATTAAAAAATAGTAATATTATTGTTTTTTAATGGAGATAAAAATGCTATTATAATATTTGCATAATATTATAAAGTTTACAAAAACAAAGTACTTAGGTAATACATAAGACGATGCATTTCCTTCTCGTCTTAACTAATTTTTTTTTAATACTGAAGTAAATAAACAATTTATTTCGGTTTCTTTAAATTTATACGTTTGTGACATGTTTGATTACACGGACATCACTATAATCTTGAAATAATTGCGAGAAATACACATATCATTAAAATACAAAGTATTTGGGTTCTAAAATTAAATGACATTTATATTTATTTAAATATTTCATAAAAGGTTCATAGAAAATTTAATTTGATGAAAAATAAATAAAACTCTTATAGTAATTATGGTAGACATTTACAAGGTACTAAACGGTCCTGAACTGCCCGCAGCTTTTATAAAATTTGTTAACAACAAATTGAAAACACCTTTAATGAAGATGAACAACTAGTCTTAATAAACAATTCATTCAGTTTAATGTTTGATATTATACATTACTACGGCCTAAGGACAATTTGAACAAAAAATAATATTTAAAGTTTAAAAATAATCCAATACTACAATATTATTCGATTATGATTTTTAAAACATAATAAAAAACCAAACCAAGAAACAGTTAACATTTAGGGAGGGGGAGTTGTTTTCAATATTCTATATTCATAAAGTTATAATCTTAAATAATACTATTTTAAAGTTATGTTACAGCGAGAAAGTGTTCAACTGGAGATTATATTTTAAATGACACTAATACGTTGTGATAATAATCATTCATTAAGAATATACTTTAAAATCACTGTAAAATTACCAAATCGATATATTCTAATATTAGTTAATATTAATTTCCAAACTGTTGCTCAGTGAAAATTTCGTTTTTTCATTTGCACGGAGACTATATTCCTAAATAAAACAAAATATCCTAACTACGTGTTTACGTGAACATTTAAAATTATTAAAAAGCTTGACAGGTTAGGTATTAGTCCTATGATTATCCATCACCGATATCACTCCCGACAAGAGAGGGAGGGTCGGGGAAGAATCACTCCGGGCCCTGGATTTTTATCAGGACCCGGTATGTGAATCGAAAAATAAAAAAAAAAAACAATAAGTGTTTACGGAATTTTGAAAAATCCGGGCCCCCATGAGCACCCCGTAAAACCCTAGTGTAAAAAAATTGTATTATTTTGATTTTTGAACAAAAAAGACTGCGAGTTGTTATCTTACACTACATAGATACATAATACAAATAAATAATAAAATAAAGTAGATACCTATAGGCTATATTATTTATAACACATGCGAAAGTGTCCGTAGCACGTAATCAGTTTAAAAATTAAATAATTCCAAGAATTGTCTTTACGTCGTAGATTGAGTAGATAGATAACAAACGTCGGAGGACGGTGCTGTAAATTTGATTTGATTTATTTTGTTTTTTTTTTTTTTTGACTTTTATTCGTCGTGACTCGTAAATAAATAACAATATGTTAGCATAATGTTATGTTTTAATTTTCAATTGTAAATATGGAACATGTACGTAAACTGTGGGATAAAAAGTGGGGCCTGTATGCGACCTACCCCCGGGTGCCAATTTTCTCTCCACGGCCCTGAGTCCTATATTGCAAAAATTACATTTCTGTTACGTCGCTATTTATTGAATGAACCGAATGAGTATAATTAATTTAATACATTTTAAATACATCTAGGATGTAAGTAAATGCAAATGGAAATACTCAAAGAGAAATCCGACATAGAATTGATAGTACACAGCTAACCGATGTTTTTTACACCCGAAAACCTGTTTTCAAATCAAAGCTTACTTTATTTAAAACAAAAACTATACCTATTGTTTAAGAGAATAATGGAACGTCCGATGGCTTGGTGTATGCGTGATGTGAGATATGATCTGTGTACAATAAAAACGCGCAAAAAATAACTAAATATTATACGAAAGGAAAGTAATAAGTTTTTATTATTATTTTTTTTTTTTTTTTAATGTACTCATGTAAAAAATAGTTGGATCCGCCACTAACTTAATACTTCATTATTGTTATAATTATTTTTTACAGTGCAATATACAGATACGCGTTATATAAAAATCGGTACGCATTGCACACGTTTTATTGTTCATATTGCACGTTCTGTGTCTGGTTACAGTAGCGATGCGTATATTACGCAGCGTATAATGTCCGGGCAGCGATCTGCAAAACGCTAGGGGCGCAATATTATAAACGACGAAGAATCGTCTACATAGTCACAGGCGAAGCACTACGGAGAAACGCGAATACTTATATGTAGGGTACATATATTGTATTTAATTGGACTCATCGTTTTACACGGAACAGACGTTATAATAGATCAAACAAACGTACAACATTTGGACAAATTATTATCGGAACACAATCACATTTATCAGAAATATTATGTTAAACGGAACAGACGATTTTTGGAATTCCGGTACATTGAACAGACACACATGTTATTGAATTGTATTTATAATTTTTCCCAGGGGGGCAAACGTTTCTCGGGATTACAGCGTCTACAGTAAATACGCACTGAAATTCTAATACTTTGAACGAACATTTATTGGGATTCTCGTATTTTTAATTATTAAGAAAACTACAGGGAAAACCAAAAGAAAAAATACCCCTGTAATGCACCAACTAGAAAAAAGTTTTTACAAAAATGCATTCTTATTGTTTTATGATTTAAATTTTCGATAAAAAAAATTATTCACAATACTGTTATTCCTTTTATATTAATTATTTTGTTCGGTTACGTATCTTTCGTGAAATTTTAGTTCTAAGCAATGTCTAATTCAGCACTGTGTAAATCCATTAATTTATGATTAATGTTCAATACCGTATCTTTCCAATGTAATGTCTGATCCAAGATTCCAAACACATTTTCCAATGATATGTAATTCTACGTTGCAATTTTCGTATATATAATTTAAAAAAAATTTTAAATCCCACGCGTTCTCATTCCGTAAAATTTGTGTTTAAGCTAAATAATATTCTAGTACAATAGAAGCGATCAGTATCATATTATGACGTGATATAACAACCCTTATCAAGTATCGTTGGATCCAAACAAACATGAATGTTACGCAAAGTAAAATTTAAATTCTTACATTCCATATTTTAAATGAGTACTATGCGGTATTTATTTCATTGTTAAGCGTGGTGAATGGATTAATGAAACAGTAAGTGTTTCCAAGTGTGGCAAAGCATCTCTTTAAATAGAAATCATTGAATTCCAAGCAGATTGTATCTTACGGCTCCGCATATGTTTTTGAGTCTGCTCTTTCAAAAATGAATTGCATAAAAAACAAATTCAGATCCCAACTCACCAACCAACACTTGGCCATCATGGACTATAGCGTGCACTAATTATATATACTCTAAATTTCAAACAGCTGGTTGAGAGAAAGACCTGTCATTTTTCTCATTGACGTGACCGTAAACTTTCGTATATAATTTGTTTATTTCCTATGTTTTATAATATTTATTAAATGTTTCACACATTGAGCGCATTTTTTTTTTCGGTTTGTTAAATTAATTTTTTATTTTATTTCGCCTCGACTTTATTTATGAACCGGGTTTCAATGGCCCGCCAAAATTGTATAAATTCCTAATAATGTGGCCCTCCGTGATTAATCGGATAATCGGTGACCCCCGGCCTATACTACGCTATATCATTGCGAATTGTGATTATTAAACCGTGGAAGAAAAGACCGCATTGTACGCGAGATAGCCATAAATAACGGCCGCGTTTAAAACCGAGTAAAAATGTTAAAACGCACCGGACGCGCGTGCAGGTACGCGTAATGGTCGTATGATAGTATAATAATATTCTCGGTGCGCGTTATATTGTTAAGGCGGGGTAAACGACCGAAACGACACCGCGAAAAACGGCCGGTATACACAATAAAAGTGTATTATGTCCTTCTTAATAATGAAAACGCTAATAATAATAATAATAATAAAACAATAGTATGCGTATTGTGAAACGTGTCGCCGCCGACGCCGGTCCGCGCGTATTGCGGAATTTAAGCGGAAAAATTTCCGGTATTCGCGTCGTTCGTCCGTTTCTAGTGTACATATACATATACCAACACCTAGCCGTATCATTATACGCGCATATTATTGAATTTCGGAAGGTCCGTGCAGACGCGCCGGCGACGACACTGTCTTTTTTTTACGGCACCGACCCTTTGGAAAACCGCAAGCGCGCGCATACGTAGTGTACAATTAACTGTGACGTATCGTCGGGAAACATATTTTTATCGAACGCGGCCTACCTCCCCCCCCCCCTTACCCTCCCGTTCGCGCTCCCGTCCGAAACGGACGGCAAAGTTTAGAAACGCGTGTTGCGTTCGGAACAGTAGTCTCCCACATTCTCGATCGGTAATAAAAAAAATACAAAAATAAAACAATACCGTGCATCACGGTATGGAGTGGATACGCGCGAAAATATCGTACCCCCGGGGTCCGTAAAATAATACCTATAAATACGCACTCGTTATATTATACACGTATTTATTATTTATTATGTACGTGCACATAAGTTTATTCCGGGACGAATAAATACATTTTAAAACCGAATTGTTCGCGTGAAAACGAAAATAATTTTTTATGAAAACATTATCGCTCTGTGAAACATTTAAAATTTAAAACAAAAAAAAATCACTAAAAATCCCCCAAAAAAAATATGATAAAAACCACTGTGCAATATTGTGCATATTTTTACATACATTTGTTACTTAAAACATTTAAGCCCTATTTCCTCGTTCCCTCCCCCCACAAAAAAAAAAGGTGAAAACTGACTAATATTTTTTCCATCCTCCGTGGCCAACTGCACGCGCATCATCCACGTCACGAACGACAACGTCCTCTGCACTCGGCATCACATGCACCGCAAATATACCTACTCGTATAATATTACCTATTATAATATACGAAACACGTTGTTAAATTTCCTTTTGCTCGCGCTGATGAACTGTCAGACCTGAAATCCAGAATATTATACAGTTCCAAAACCAGAATAATAATTTCTGCTTCCACCCCAACCCCTCGAGAAATTCGTTTACAAAGTTTATCATAATATACTCGTATAATATTATACTATGTGCGCAGCCAATCGAGCGTCGTCGTCGGCCAAACGTGTTTGTACGTCACACAATTTTCTTCGTAATGAATACACTTACGGAAATAATATTATAATGATTAATGCCTTTGCATTGTGCGGTATTCTCATCCCCCTCCCCCACCAAATGTTACATAATCTTATTATACACAGGTACCCACTGCGTTTTTGTTTGCATTGCGATGATGATAAATCCGACTTTCTATAATATAGTTAATATTGTTTATTGTGTTTACATGCTAACGGAAATCCGATACGAAATATTCAAAATCCGGTCATATTTCGAGCCGTGGGTAGGACAGTGTTATAGGTGGAATTATGGGAATGTATTGGATATAGGGTATAATTTATTTATTTTATAATATGCAGAAGGCCACGATAAATCATTACAATCAAAAAAAGCAGAGATGGTTGTTAACTGTTACGATTGGGGTTCGGAAAAAAAAACAAATGAAAAAAAAGCATATGGAAAAAAAGCTATATATTTTTTTTAAATATTATATTATAAAAAGTAATATTAAATTGTACCACATAGTAAGTACCTACACAATATTTCTATACCATTGATTTAATTATATATTCAATGATAATATTTTAAATGTTTTCACAAAAATAACTATCGGAGCAAATTATCGAAATCTGCAGCCCATAAACGAAAGTAAAAAAAACTACTATTGTAGTGTAAGTACAAAATATATGAAAATCAACTTAAAATAAAAATATGCCTATACCATATTATAGTGGAAAAAATAAATTTGGATTTATACGAGTATGACTTATAATTCATAATTATTTAATTTTAAAAATCAATAGGTACATTATATTATTATCGGTATATTATAAAATAAGTTATATGAAACAATAGTACTTTACATCATGCATAGATACAATAATAATATATTTGTATTAAGTTCAAAAAAAAAAAAAATTCTAAATTTAAAAAGAAAATAAATAATATATACGCATAGATATTATACACGCAGTGTAAAAAAATATGTAAGTACCTATATAAAATGTATTTATTCAAAACGTATATGACAGCGTTTAAGAAATTAACATTCGATTTTGATAACTTGCTCCGATAATTATTTTTGTAAAAACGTTTAAAATATTATCATTGAATATATAATACAGTCAATAGTATTGAAATATGGTGTAGGTACCTATTATGTGGTACTATATAATATTGTGTAGTACTAATCAATAATATTATTTTTTATATTATAATGTGTAAAATAAATGTATTGCTTTTTTTACCGATTGCTCTTTTTCCTAAATTCGTTACGGGTATGCATTATGTCGTCGCCTATTTTCATCAGTTTGTTAATAATACGCCTTACGCACACCTTGCTAAAACATTTGTTCTGTTCATTTATTATCGCAGTTCTCTAATATTCTTATTGGGATTATCATTGCCGATAATAGTAGATAACTACGATCTAGATACAGAATATGCATATAGATACTGAGCGAAAACGTGGTACACTGTGATAGTGTAATCGTATACCTAGCTGTTTTGCCGTATTTTAGGTATCTTTTGCTTGTAAGTACATCCCTATTATAGTCATGATTTCCCCCCTTGTAGCTAAGGTATACATAACCCAGAAATTATTAACAAAAATAAAAACAATGTGTTATCGTCACCGCCCTATAGATTTCAACATTCATTACTTTATATTTTACAACACGTATACATTTATATCGTTGTAATGCGACTACATTATATTAATTATAGGTATAATATTATAATGAAATTACTATTCTTGTCATTTCAACAATAACCTGCTTAAACATTTTCCGGATGACGACAATATGATTAAATAAAGGGTATATAACTTCACAAAGCGGTTAAGTTACAATTGGAAACTATTTTAAAGTTAAACATAGGTACCTACTGTGCAGAAGACATTTACTTTCAAAAAGAGACTACGCATAAATTGATCAAAAACTATATAGCATTCTCGAGATTACAACAACAAGCGACCAAACAAATATTATCTGAATCGGATAAATTATGCTCAAACAATTATTACGTATAAGCCAAATAGATTGCAGTACATTCAGCACTTTATCTACATATTATAACCGTATAGAATACAATAAAAGTACAATAAACCTGTACAGGATAATGCGTAATAATTATTACCACAAAAAAAAAAAAAAATGAAATAAAATACAAGGGAGGAGGGGACAGAAAGAGATAGAGGTTTTGGATTTATCGATTGCGAAGTGAAGTTTCCAATTGGTTACAGTCAGTCGACCGAATAGTGAAGTGATGGGTAAGTAAAAAAAAAAGAATTCAAATCAAATATTACATAGAAAAGGGTAGAACAAGGAAGATACAGTCTGCATACTTTTTTTGGGGGGGTTTTTTTTCATATAGTAAGATAATAAAATATCAAATGTTTACATTCTACATGACGTATAATGGAAAACCAAAAAAAAAAATGAAAATAAAGTTCAATCAAATTTGATTTCTTGTGTTGTAGTGTATTATATATTATTTTGAGTAAGATTTGTAGGACGTAATATTTAACCAAAAAAAATATAATATTTCTACCAGAGCAAAAGTAATAAAACCAATTTTTAAAAGTCATAACCAGTGAGAGGGAGAGAGAGAGAGAGAGGCAAAGAAAAGAAACGTAGACAGTCGGATCAGTTATTCTTTATCATTTTATAGTCATCCGAAGAACTGTACTTACATATAATCTCAAAAAACCGATTTAAGTACCGAATATAAAAGAATAAAACGTATATTACAAATATGTTACTATTTATTGTTCGTTTTAAAATAAAAATATAACACAATCACCTCGGCTGCTGCAACGAAAGAGGTCGTTTTTCATTTTTATCCAAACTTCTAATCTAATCTCTTCGGACGAATAGAGATACGATCTTTTTCGTTACGACATACGACTTATAGCGCTACAAATTTAACCAATTCAACTAAAATGTAGATATGTCTACACGAAATAAATATATTTTCACTTTTGAATATGAAAAAAATATCGTTATTTTTTATTAGTAAATAATACAATATAAGTATACTACAAGTATAAGTAACCGATACTATAATGCGTTTATAAACGTTATGAATTTATCACAAAATCAAAAATGTGTTAAGATTTAGTATTTCAAATACCCAATAAAAGGCGGCCGATTAAAAATGTGCGGTGTTATAAAAATCAATAACTATTTTAAATAAAGTTTTTTTCAAGCTATGTACGAAAAAAAAACGTATTAATTCTATATGTACGTATAGTATGAAACAAATTTACAGCTAAAGTGTAATATAGCCTTTATAAAAGACAGATAGAAAAACAGGAAACGCCAATTATATATTATGAAGGTATAAACTATAAAGATACGAGTTTTTAGTTTTTTTCGGCATGTGCATATTACTTAGAAAACAAAAATATCACACCATCAAAAATCTAAAAATATAAAAAGAATATTGAACAACCACTATAGGTAATAATAAAAATAAATGTTTATACGAACCTATCTTAAAAAAATTACTTTTTTATACAATCAGATGTTACATATTCGTATAGTGTATATACTCAACGCCGATAAAGTTTTAAATTAAATTTGTATTGGGGATTTTTTTTTACATACTACTATATTATATTATATTATCTAAAAAAAAGATTATTTTTCTTTTTTTTTTTCTATTCAAATCGGTGAAAAATCCAAAAATAATATTTTTACTGTAAACATTTAATTATATGCATGGATACACTTTTATTCTTTGTCATGTGTATTCGTTTTGAACAACAATCACCGTAATATTTTTAAACGCGCATTTATTTTATTAAACATCCAGAACATTGTAACAATGGGCTAAGGGAGCAATATTTTAATACACCACGTTCAATCCAAACATATTTAAACTTAAAAGACATCGTGGCTCGTCAGAAAAAAAAACCTCGAGAAACGTCAAACAATAACGTCAGAATCTCAGAAAAGTCCATTTATCACGGCATGAAAACTTATATATCTGTACACGGAACAATAAGTAGGTAGCGAAAGGTGTGCTGAATCACGTGCGTAATCACGAATGTACACTAACCAAAAAAATAATGATAATACTAATTTTTTAATGAATAAAATGAAGAAAGTTGTATGAATCTATAATGTTATAAAAGGCTCAAAAATTTAAAAAAAAAAATATATAAATATACTTATATAGATACTTATAAATATTACAATATTATATTATTATCATCTTGTGATCGTTTACACGATTATTCTCGTGATTTGTTCAGGCAAATTTTAAAAACGTGTATAATTGCACGAGTCACCCGAGACAAAGCTTTATGAAACTCTTTAGATAATAATAATTTAACAAACTCAATCGAAATTAATTAAATCGACCGGGGTACAGTTACTGTTTGTTTATCACGATTATTCGTCTTATTTGACTTTCTTTTTTGTTTTTAATAGTAAGTACTCGTATTATTTATTTTCAATTGAAACGTGATATTCAGATATTACCATAGTTACGAGTATTTTATTTGAAGATTTTAAACGGCGCAAATTATTTTAATTTAAACGTTAATACTTACCTTTAAAATCATATAATACTACCCATTTACCCATTTTGCAGTTTACTCCGTGCAGTCAGATTTTCCATTATTTTTAAGAATACTAGAACACTCAGAAACCATCCTCAATAAACTGACATTTTGTGTTTGTTATTTACGAGTATTATAACGGTAATAACTGTCTAAGAAATCTGTCAAATAGCCATACTCAAATTACTTTGAAAACTTAATAACCTATCAGAAACGTCCAACGTTATAAATATACAATGTTAATAAAATAATTCGTGAGTGATATTGGAATATAATTGAATTATTGGGAACGGACACCACCAGTGACGTGTAGAAAATGTTTTTTTTTTTAAGTGGTTGAATAAGACTTATGAGTAAAACAGGACTTTAATGTAATAAGAACCCACCCACCTATTTTGACAGAGAAACGGGCCTCGAGAAACAGTCATCGTCGCAACTCGTAATACCTAATATACATTATACATATGAATCGCATAAAATATGAACGTTTTGTACAATTATCGATATACGTTCTATTTGTTTTTGGTTTTTCAATACCTACTTTTGTTTTGGAATTATTATTTCGACGTTTTTCACCTGTTAAAGGTATTTAATTGTGCGACCCTAACAAATAATGTTGAATTATATAGGTAATAATATATTTACGAATATATCAGCGTTAAATTCAGACACGGTTTTGTGGTTACGGTTAAAATAAACAATACATAATAGTGATGTAAACGGCTATTTTAAGTGAAAAAGATAAAATTTCAATTCATACCAAATAAATCTTTTAGTTAATAGTAACAAACCCTTATGTAGAACGCTTGTGTTTTTGACACTCCCAAAATTTCCACTTATAATCAGTGATGTTATCTTCATATTTTTTATCGAGTATACACTTAAAAAAACTTAAATTATTCCTTACGTTACGCTCAACTTTATTTTTGACCAATTACATTTTAATATGATCCACGTCGTTAAAAAAAATCTGTTTAGATAAATCAATTCTATCCACATAAAACCAAATAAAATCTAAAGATACATGAAAAAGTCAAGTTACTATAAATATCTCAAAAATATTTTAAAAATGTACTGTAAACTTCAAATTCCAAAATTATTTTAAATGGTTGTAAGTCTACAACCTTGAACATGGACATTTTATTCCTCAAAATGAATAATTGAACTATAATGGAATGTAATAGGGCTGTAAACAATCCTTTAATTATAACATCACAATTTAAAATTGTATATCAAAAAAAATATAAATAAGTAAATATACTTACCTTGTATTAGTCTTTAAAATTCAAATCGTAAATCATTTAATTATAATTTATTATTATTTTAAGTTTTAACAAAAAAAATTTGAAATTTTTATTGGAAATATTTATTAGGTAATTCGAAACAACAAAATTAATAAAAACACATTATAAATGGGTAAGCGATTAACACCGTCAACATTACCTACGATTTCTTACCGACCTATATTATTTAATAAAAAAATGAATCTTGATAAACTAAAAACAATTAGAAAATATCCTTCATCAATACATTTGGATTTTAGATTCGGAGCGTAGCCTAACCTAACCTAACTGAACCGAATTTCGCTCCGAAACGTTTTTCGTTAGTAATGGTTTATCGTTGGTTACAGGTTTAAATTAAACAATTTTATGTATCCAACTATCTCAATTTTCCACCTAAAATAGTGGCAAATCCATCCTCAGATCAGCTCTTTTTTTTAATATTAGATATACAAATATAATAGAGCTTTCAAATTAAAACTGCGCTAATTGTATTAACTATCTTGAAAGTATAAACCTCAAAATTCAAAATAATTAAGTTAAACTTGATTAAAAATTAATAACCAAATGTTCAGATGAATATTGTATTTGTTTCCTCCTACCTTTCGTAATAAAATAAGCCTTCTTTTGATACGGTGAGCAGTAAGTATAAGCCAAAAAAAAATTCTTATATCTGTTTAATTAGTTCCAAAAATAATGTCCTTCAATTAACTTAATATCTTGTGGAAAATGTCGCAGGAGAGACAGCTGCTTCTCTCACCTCTCTCGTGCGCACGCTTATGCAAGGGGTTTTCATTATAATTGGGAAAAACACAAAAAAAAAAAAATTATAAAACATAGGACAAATATTTACGGCTCACCGCGACGTTTACCGATATCATGTTTCTACCATAAATATTGCTTTAATGAAAAAAAAACAAGACACAATTTTATTGCATCTTTTTGGTGAGTAAGGGATTCACTTTTTTTGATTTTCCAACTAGTTTTCATAAAATAATTCTGGACAAATTTATGACGTTAACAATTTCATTATTACAAATTGTTTCTAATTTTCTTTTCTACAAAAAAAAAAATGTTTTGAATTTCAACAATATCACTTTTGCTAAAAGAAAATTTTATTGAGTTAGTTAATAAGATGGTTGTTTTTTTTTCCGTATATTTTTTTAATAAATGGGTAAAACCGGAAAATTACAGCAAAGTTTACTGAAATAACGGTTTCATTATTTTCAGTTTTGTGTTTTTGTTGTAATTTTGTTTAAAACCATCGAAAAGACCAGAAATTATCTATACCTATTTATGTATGACATTTTCAAGACATGGTCAAATTTTCAAATTAATTTTGTGATTAAGTTATTTCTAGGCATTTTACTGTTTTGATTCCTTTTTTTAGTTTTTATTTGATAAGTATGTGTATGCCAAAAAAAAATTTAACACATGGTTCATTATATTATGGTGTACACTTAGTGACCATAAAAATGATAATTGAGGAAAATGCAGTAGTTTTTTTTTTTTTTTTATAAGAATTTTAAGATTAAAATTTGACTAGAAGAAAAATGGCCGTATTTAAATACATAGTATTATACGTCATATCCTGCTGTATATCCCGCCGACATCGTTTCTCTTCAAAAGAACACTACCTACTTAAAATACTAAAAATACTTAAAATAATTGTATGTAAGAGTAGTATAACCGCATATTGTTGGATGGGTGTATAATGTATACAATGCAATTTTTCATAAGTATAATATAGAAATATTACGTCTAATATCAAAAATATCGAATAATTTAAATGTCCTTTATAAACGAGATAGTTAGCATGCAGATTATATTATAAAATAAAATAAATAAACTATAAAATAAATTAGACGCTAATCTAATATTTTAGATAGTGCAATTGATTAGTTTATGGTATAATCAATAATAAAATTGAAATATTTACCAATGATCTGGAAATCCAACATAATATAAAAAGTAATAACATTGTTCTTGATTAGTAAAAATAATTATAGTCTGACTACATTCATGGTCGTAAACATGTATACAACAGTTAACAGTTGTAATCGATGTCTTACATTCCCCCCCCCGACCATTTTTGTGTTTGGCCATGTTTTCCAATAATTTTAATTATATATTCGAAATTTTCCTCTGGTAATTTCTTCCAACGACCATTTTTTCCGAGGACCGTACACTGTGTTATATAGTTATACAGAGCCTGCCGAAGGGCTGTGCGGCGCCTGTGGGCTGTGGTGACAACAAGTATGAGCGTAAACTTGCTATTCGACGCGAAAGAAATAGGTGGTCCATAAAATACGTACTTTCGTAGCGGAAAAAAGTTTTATTTTTATGTCATCTATTTGATTGAGCAGTAGTCAGTAATACAGTGTGTGTGTATAGGCGAAAATACTAAATTTATCGGTTTTATACGGCTCATTGAATTTACCAATTTATTATATACGCGTTATAATTATATAATTTATTATACCTATAATATAATATAATACAGGTATTATATAGGCCCTATATTATAGCGTAGGTAGGTTTTACAAAAAATGACATAATTATCGAATAAAAGACATTAAAAATTGAAGTCGCATTTAAAAAAAATATATATATTTAGAAATATTCACAATTAAATTTTAAAACGAAATAAAAACTATTCGTAAATAAATAAATAAATAACGATTTATGCGCGTTTCATAAAATAAATTGGAAAATTACACTGCAAAATTTGAACTTTAAATGTAATTTAATGAAAATCGCACATAAAGAAACTACTTATGTTTATATGACCTACATCCAATAGGTTTTTTTTTTATCTTATTATTTTTTTTCAAAACAACCCGCTTGTGAAAATGCTTTAAAAAGGTTCGTCTTGTTTTATACATCATCGTATACCCTTTCCGCGATAGAAAATATAAATTGGACACATGTGGTACAGTACGTAATATTAAAAAGGGGCCATATTTTAAATTTTCCTGTAGTTTTTGAAGAACTTATTATGAGAAAAATACACTTTTGCGAAAACATGTTGATACGTATAGGACATAGGAAGGTACATTCAACGCGCTCGTATATTTTTATGAAATTGATTTTGTTACATACATTTTAGAAAATAATAATCCGAGGTAGATACTGGAAGCTTAGACCATACACCGCAACTTGCGAGTATATACTGTAATGTAGAAAAAATGTACACCGAAAAAATCAACGAAAACTTCAAATCTTTATTTTTTCTCCGAAATTTCACAATCATTTACGCGCATCATCATTATATAGTTGGTAATTTCTAAAGAATAACTAATACACGGGATTATTTTATATTTTCGTTAAAGGAATACTGTTTGAGTTCTTGGAGTGATAACAATACAATGGGTTATTAAAACGTACATATATACGTTGCAAGCGTACTTGTATAGATATTCCGCCAAAATTACAGACAAGACAAATTTTGAAATAAATGTATAAGGTATTTTAATATTATTATTAAAATTTCAACCCGTAAACGCAAGTTATTACGGGGTCCATTATATTAAGATTTCGTACGCACCTTTTTCGCGGTTTTGTACGGTTTACCCAAATGCATTGCAAAGTTGCCGTTGTCATACATTTACTAGTAGATTACGATACCGTACCCTGCATTTTGTCTATGGGTACCGCTATTATTATAAGTCCAGTTTATTACAGCACTACGGTTATATTATTATCATGATGGTCTATCTACAACCGTGCAAGGGGCTCCAAGCCGTTATCTGCGATTTGTATAATACACTATTATGAAAACTATGGTAAATAACAAATATGTACTTAATGTATAATACTACTAAAAAGCAGTTATTAAAAACAGAAAACCCCGAAAAATTTGGAAAATCAAAATTTTGGAAAGGCAAACTATATTATACATATAAATGTGTATAAAAAAAAAAAAAACTAGGTGGTTTCATACGAGTTTTCAGCGTTCCGTAACACTCCAGAAAATCTCATATTGATTTAAAATTTAAAAGCATTAACAATTTTAAAGATCCGAGTTTTTCTTGCGAAGTATAACAAGATAGTACATATAATATACATATTATATATTATATGGCTATAGTATATATTTTCTTGTGTTTAGTGTGTGAATGTTATGCAACTCGGCTTTGCGTGCGTTGGCAATGTTGTACTCATTTGCATACGGATTCGTATTCATTTTAGGGTCAGGTTGTAAAACCAAATCAAAATTTGGTATACTCAGTGTCGGTCTGGTCATCGAAGGGCCCAGGCAGGATTTTTTTTCAGGAATCCAACCTGCCTGACCGCTCGCGCATTATTGTTTTCGATATTCATATTTATGTTAAGTAAATAAATTAAGTCATCATACATAGTTCATTCAATTTTTATCTTTTAAGAGTTAATACAAAATTGTAATTTATCACAAATTAAAATAAATTTCACCTTTATATGTATTATCTAGGATAATCGAAACTGTTGTAGCCATTGTTGTAGGTGATTAAATGTATACCTGTAAGCAACGATAAACCATTGCTAATGCAAAAACGATTTTGAACGGAGTTCGGATAGTGATGCTTTGTCGGCAATATATATATTCATATTATAGTAAAATTATTAAATAGACTTTAAATGTTTTCTTTAATAATATGTGTTTAATGTTGTACTAATTTTCCGGGTTTCCTACGGTTTTCCCGGTATTTCGAATTTTCTGGGAAAACTCTTGAGAAAATTGAAAAATTACTTTCCTAAAGTACCATTCCAGTCTAATTTCCTCTTAGAAAAATTACACTATATAAATGTTAATATTACAACAATTATCGTAAATGAAAAAAATTAATAGTACATGAACTCTACGTGACTATATTATAAGAACAGGCAGTTTATATCCGAAATTTTCTGATTATTGTTGAAATAAATTATATTTACACGCCGCCGGACGGTTCATTGGTATTTGATGAGAGAAATTTGTACTATATAGGTACCTATATTTCTCCAAACGACGAGATTTTATATTATCATATCGACTATTGGTCGTTTATTTGGGAAAAATCCGATTGTTAGTGTGCCGATTATGTATAAATTATAATATACCTATATACACGGTGTATCTATGGTAGAAAAAAAAATGTCGAGGCCCTGGAAGCGATTGCTGCCTAGCTGCCTTGACCAGACCGACAATGGGTAGACTACGTATGGAATCGTACTACCAAAAGGGACAAACGTACGAAATAGTATTTTTACGGTCTAAACTAATTTCGTAGCTAAGAAATTTTTTTTGAATGAGAGGCTGATCAGTTAAATAACACATATTTTAGTTTATTGCAGTATATTATACTGTGTTTCAATAAATTATTTAAAATTTCCTGAAATGTCGGTAAGGTTATAGCCCCTCAGCCCCTCCCTTGAATACACCACTGGTTTTAATAAATAAGTATTTTTCGCTGATTATTATTCCATAATTAATGGTTTATAGTTAACGTCATTGTTTTTCTTAATCGTGACTCTCGTTATGAAGCACAAACAACGAAATGTTTTTAGGTTATAATAAATTAATCAAGAAATAAATTGTTTTAACACAATTTTAATATAATAATAATATGTACGTAAATATAGTAGAACTATATATACGTCGAATGATTAAAGTTTCCAAACTAATAATTTATATTATCCATCGAACTCGGCTGATGATTTTTTATTCACATAATAATTTATTAAAATGTTAATTATAAGTAATCAGAGAATAAATATGGTCGAGGGAAAACAGTCCGAATAAAAATTCCCTCGATTCGGGTAGTGGTAGTTCAATATGGTTTATTATTTTCACTCACGCAATAAAAATGATATACCTACCTAGAGAGCCAAAATTTAATATTTAATTGAGTAATCATTGATCAACTCAGCATATCGCTGTGAAATGGATCTCCATTTTTTATTCACGAAAAACATTACCATACGCTAAGTATTAAACATTATAATAATATAATGTACTATCCGAATGATATTAATGAAATATATTTTATTATTTTTATTATGAAAAATAAGTCACCTATTTTACTCCGAAAATCTTTGAAATATTAAATTATAATAAACAGGGATGGGATTTGCTATAATATTCCCCCTTCCAAAAAAAAAAAATAAATAAATAAAAAGTAGTAAAAAAAAAAAATGTAAAATTATATTTGCTTATTTTGTATTAATTCTACATTTAATTTATCGGGCTAATTTGGTATTCTCATCTATATCCCATAATAATTATCAAATACAGCAAAATCCTCTTCCTACTAATACATTATCATTAATAGGTATCAGAGCTATTATACGTGATAGTTTAATGTAGGATCATTGATATACAATATCGTTTATTTTGACTTCACAAAGCCCATTAAGCCTATTACTACAACACATATCTGCTACTGCCTATCCCGGGATAGACCTATCCTGTCTCTCAATTCTATACTCCGATTTCCTCTAGGTTCTTTACGACTTTGTCTGTCCACATTTGTTTCGGTTTGCCTAGTGGCCTTTTCTAATTTGATTTTCTATTTAAAACCGCTTTCATTAGATCACTTGATCTACATACGTGACCAGCCCATGAAATTATTTTATATCGTATTGCAGCGATATACTACTGAGGTACTGCTACTGTTTATAAAAAATCGAATGTATATTATAAACAGGCTTTGAACAACACAGTCGGTAAATAAAAAAGAAAATAACGCGATCGCTATATCTATTTATTAAAATACTAAACATCTCGTTGTTTATTCTCATTATAAAAATATTATATTGCTATCTCATTATGTTGCAATTATGTATTATTTATTTTACGGGCGTGTTCCAAATATTTTACTCTTGCAACTTGTATAAATATATACACCCACAGTAAATTCTGCTGACGATTTTATATACAAGAGGATATATTTTATACCTACAATACGTTTTGGAATTATCGTACGCCCGTCATGTCCGTTATTTTTTTTTTTTTTTTTTGCTCCGGTTACCAATTTCCACCGTCAGTTTTTCTACACAATAATAATGTTATAATATACCTATATAAACTTTCAGACGATATTTTTTTTCGGCCTACACTCAAGAGAGCCATCATTAAATTTAATTATCTTTAATAATATTATGTATAATATAGATAGGTAAATACTGCACCTATTGTTTTATTGACAATGCCCATCCCCGCTTTCGCGCAGCTTAAAATAATGATGGATTTATTGAAATTCGGTTCTTTTTTGAAAAAGGTGTCAGTATACCGTCTATTTTCCAACACTTGGGGTTTTTTTTGTATAATAAATTTATTTTTTTTTTTTAATTTAGGTGCCTGCAGTATTTGAAAATAATAATCAAACATTTTATCAATTTAGAGTTTTAACATTGACAAAAATATTTATAATTGGTAATAAGATAAAAAATAATAACATAAATATTTTTGTTTTTATAATAAAACCACCAATTAGACAATACTAATTTAAATTTATGTGAGTATGAATTTTTTTTCGTTGCCTATAATCAAAATAATACAACATTAACTATTAAACTCGAGTAATTAATTATATAAGTGTATTTTAACTATTATATTCCTTTTTTCCTGTAGTGATTTTATTCCTCTAAGGCGTTTGTATAATTTAAAACTAGCATAGGTTACACGTTCTTTTGATAAAATCCATTGCCAGATAAATTTAAATTCAAATTAGAATACCTATAGTAATTTATATTTCCTCTATAAAATATTTTTCGTGAAGAGTCTGTTTCATATATTACGAGTAAATATTATACCAGAGTAATTTACAAAAAACTCTTCAGTATTATCATAATAAAAAAAAATCTAAAATTTTCTTCTTCATTACTATGGAGTTATTAGAGGTACCTACCTACATCCTAAAATGAAATTTCTGCGTATTTGACAGAGCGTTTAACACCGAGCGAGAATGATGAATGAACAAAACCAACCGTCTCGGCGTGACAAATAAATAAAATAGGTACCTATACGTACGAGGTGTCTGTTATGTTGGTTACATAGAAGCTGCACCACGGGTTTGATATCCTGCACCATCTCTGAAATGTTGTAGGTAAACAAAATACGTACATTATTGTCGATGATATTATTCACTTCGATATTCACAACACAATATCACAATAAACTATTATATGCTATTATAAACAGTAAACACTTTTAAATCTGTACAAATAATCTTCAAAAATAAATGCGTAAATACAGACGTATAGGTTTTGATGCAGGTATTAGAAAAGAATAACAGTTACAATAATATTTGACAATAACGCGACGCAGCCATAACCGATAACATCTCTAGAGCAATGGAATATTCTAACTTACCTATATTACGGAAAAACATCACAAGAGACATTTTTTTTTTTTTGAATAAATGAATAGCAAATCAATCCCGTCACAACATCTATACAAAATGAAAATTCCAATATTGTAATATCAAATAACATTCCTACAACACATACATCCATTCATTTTAGAAACGATAAATCAAATTATGTTCATAGAAGTACTTAACATACCTATAGTTGGTTATTAAAGTTTCATGAAAGAACTTGATAAATAGCTACAGTAGCGCACGTGGATGGGAATACGAACTATGGAGATTAGCCATCCTAGATAGTCTGAAGCCTCCCAATGCTGAGATAGAGCTCAGTGGATCATATGTGTTTTTTATGATGGTAAAGCTTAAGCCCTCCCCCCGTCTAAGGTATAATTGTGCCACTGGTGGTGGTAACCTAAAAAAAAATGATATTAAGAGACCAATTATATAAATAAATAATTATAAATATATTTTCTTAATGAAACTAAGCAAAGCTAATGCTAATTTGATCCGATTTTGAGTGATATGGTTTGTTATAATAAAGCTATTCAACTTGCTACACCAATATGATTGTGAGTGTTTGCCACTAAATGACTGTCAATAATATTGAATGTATCTACCCGGACAGGTGATGAAATATCTCTCTACTCGAAACAAAAAGCAAAACGGGTAATAATAATTGCTAAAATTATGTAGGTATATAAGTATTATACGCTTAACTTATTCTCCGTGTATAATGTGTATAATTTCATATCATTATAAAATTATGCAATATGCATTAGTAAAATACAAACAAAAGAGGTGATACTAGTGATGGGTGTGTAATTTTTCAGGAAGTTAGGAAAGTTAGGAAGCTTGGATACATAAAGTAATTTAATTTATATTTGTACGGAAAAACAAATCATTGTTAACTAAAAACGATTCTGAACGAAGTTTGGTTAAACGTGTTTTGATAAATGAAATTGAAAATTGAAGTATTGATTTGTAACAATAGTATAAATTTCAACTGTGCGTGATTTTTGCTTTAAATTGTTGAGTATTTTCATAAAGCTAAAACAATTGTATCCGCATTATATCGAAAACAGTACGTGAAATGCCCGTGATTATTACGATTTACAACATAATTTTAACTCATCATATAAAATACTTAGCACGATTAATTTTTTATTATTAAAAATTATTGAACTATTATAAATAGCTCAACAATTTTATAATTGCGAGTTTTATATGTACTTTTTATTTGGTGGGTATTGGTGGGATATTATTGTTTGAACAAAATACTTGAAAATTGAACAGGAGATTCATTGTATAAGTTATACTTAAAAAAAAAAAAACAAGAACACAATGTGTAATCTTTTTTTTAACATTTAAAAATCATAAATAAAAAAAAAAATTGTAAATATTACGGCCATGCAAATCATGTGCAGTACAAATGAACTTCGGTCAGACTCGTTTTTCGTTAGCAATAGTTTATGGCTACAAATTAAATTAAATTATGTATCCTTCTTTCCAACTTCTGTTCTATAACAGACAACAGTAGTGCACCATCAGCAGTATCAGATTTGTTTTCAAATATTATATAGCTGTGTAAAAAAGTAGTTTTATAAAAAGTGTCAAAGAAAATTTTGCAATATTTTCAACTACTATTGATATATTGCACTACACACAGATGTTTATTTTTATTTTAGAAATGCCTGTTGTGTTTACTTTACTATATCTATATATTAAAGTATATACGTATACCTATCAATAAAGGGTAAAATGATTTATTGATTCGTTTTATATAACTTGTCAGTGATGGTTTTGATTATTTACACTGGCTACGTACACACTTTTGTTTATCTGTTTTTCGAAGCAAATACTTTGTGACGGTAACCGAAAACCCAAAGTCTTATTTGAACGTTCAAAATCTCAAATCTGCTTACTTATTAAAACAAACACTGCACATTTTATGGTTACTATTAAGGTTCATGTGCAAAATTGGACTAGTCTTATTAAAGGCCTGAGAAAGCAGCGACCGAAATGGTCCTTCTCCTTTTATTATAATTCCATAAGGAAAAATTATTTGGATAGGCAGTCAAACCGATGTAACACATTCGTTCAAAATATCTACCAGAATTATAGGTACTTCATTGTCATATTGCAATGTTTACAATATATAAATACATGAATTTATACAATATTGGATTGATCACTCTGATAAATCCTCGGTAAGACACGAATTATCTCGAATGTATTGACTATTTTTGGATTTTTTTTTTTTGAGAAATTTAAGAAACGTGAAACTATAAAATGCTAAATTTTTGTTTTTTTTTTTGTCACTCTTATTTTGATTGATTTTAAGATTGATCTTATTAATAGATTGTAAAGCTACAACCTATTCACTTTTGGTTTTAAAATAGCAATCTTTAAAAGAAATTCCATAAAAAGATGAAGTTTTAGTTTAGATACATCATGTTGGTGTTGAAGTACTTGATTTCCATTAATCCGTTGACGAGATATTCCACTTTTCGGTTTGAGTAGTGGAAAATTAGTGAAACATTATTCAAACTCCACGCACGCTGTGCTGCCATACAAATGATGCTCCAATAATTTCCCTCTACCAATACTTAAAAGTGAGATATCTTATATCAGTAAAACTAATATATTCTTCTTTCCACTCAATATTTTAAATTGTCTACTATATATTAACAAAATATTATATAAACCTACTTAATGAAATTTAAACACTGATAAGGCATAGATCTACTAGAATACCCTTATTATTTTGTTTCGGTAATAATATTTTAGATCTGAGCGAAGCGATATTAAATTTACTATGATGTGAACCATTTGAAATTATCAAGGGTTTTTTTTTTTTTTTTGATTTATATATGGATTAAAATTCTTTAGTTTATTTTACAGTTTTAAGTTCAAATATATGATAAAATTATCGTTTAGTACGCGAACAATTGTAATGTTTATTTTGTAGTTAATTAATGTAAAATTCGATTTAAGTCTGTCAAAAAATATTTAATCGAACTCCGCTCAAAATCATTTCTCGTTTGCAATTATTTATCGTTGATTACAGTGTAAGTTATCTTATATAAGACGTACATTCTCAATTTTTCACCTACAATCCATGATGTGCAGTACAGCCTTTTTTTGTACAGATTATAATCGAGAAATGTATTTAAATATTTTCTACATCTGAAATCATTAAAATCTATTGTCATTTATTATAATTTATAAGTAACAATTTTTTTGTTATATAATAATTATAATATAAAGTTAGAATCTATAAAATAATAAAGCTCTCTTGAAGGTTATTATTAAATAGGTAATGATTTTGGATACTCAGCGTTTGTTCATAAACTTTATTACTCTTGATTAAACTGAAGGAAATGTTATTGAAATTTGCCTTTCTCTAAAGTAGTATTTTATTTTATATAGGTACCTACTCCATTGATTTGTTTAAAACTTGTTCGACTGTATTATTAGAGTGACGTGCTGGATTTTAATAAAATAAATAAAAGTACCACCAACAAGTTACGAGGTAGGTAGCTACGCGTCGTTTATATACTTAGACGTTTCATATTCATAGTTTCGGAAGTTTATAATTAAAATGTATACAGGGTGTTTCAGGTTTAACGGCCAAACTTTTATAAATAAACTGATGATGTCTATGAAAACAAAAGTAATATTGAAGATTCTGAACATAGCGAGGGATTTGATGGTTCTGCTATGATATGTGCGTTTTTATTTTAATTACATTTTTTTTTTATATACCCGTGAATCACTTTTTTACCAAACATATTGCTCTAATAATCAACAAACAAACAAACAAAATCTTTTTTTTAGAATTTTGGATCTAGTTAGTGTATAGAGAAGATCATTTTTTGATTTTTCTTGTAGTTTTCTTAAAAATTTGAAAAACAACGAAATATGGTTAAATTTATGACATAAAAGTTTAATTTTTTCGATTTTGTTTTTCCATCAGACAATGTTGTCTCGATGGTGCATGTTATTTTTAAATTTTCTTAATTATTCAAAAAATTGTGAAAAAACGTAGAAAAAACGGGAATAATTATTTACGGCAATAACGGTTTTATTATTTTCAATTTGTTTTTTGAGAGCCATTCGGTTGAAAATAATCAAATCAAAGACTTGAAATTTCCATAAAATACTTATATAATCTATCCATTTTTAAACGTAGACGAATTTTTAAAATCTTCTTTGAGATATGTATAGGTATTTGATATCTTTTAGTTTTGTTTAGTTTTTCTTTGGTTTTATGCTGATAAAATTATTTGGCTTAACAAAAATACTTGACGATTTAACACAAAGTTAAATATAAAGGTACTAAGTAATATAAATAAAGTATACTGTGCTGTTATAATTTTTTTTTCATGAACATAGGCAATATGGCAATTCAAAACATATTGTTTAATCAAAATTTGCTCAAAATCGTATTTCGTCAATATTTTTTATCTTCCCAACTTCCCACTTGAAACAGTGACATACCAACTACAGTACTACAGTGCCAGCTCGGTTTTTTGTTTTGTCAACTTTGATATTTCTTGAGAAATCTCCGGTATTTATTTCACACAACTATTTTTAGTAGACAACATCATAATTAATGTGATACCGTTACACGATTTTCAGCCATCGTTTTACCCTTTTCTTAGTTACGTAATTCTATTTTTTTAATTTTATCAATAACTATATCTATGGAAATATACGTATATATAATAGTTAGAGTCAAATAAATAAAAAATATAATTTGATTTATCACAAAATAAGGTTTAAATTTATTTGGTGCGATGAATTTCACGTTATGACATTAATATATTATAATAACAACGCATTAGCATAAAAGTCAAGCAATACTTGTAATAGTGGCCTATAAATTCGAGAAAACACTTAATTCAAACAACAATGTCTTCGACAATACTCTTCTAATGTTTTACGTTTAAAAACTACGTTTCAAAAATGTTTACAATCAATAATGTATCCGTTTAATGTTAGTTGGAAATATTCAAATATATGACAATTGTACCGGTAAATGATAACATGAAGACGTAGTAGACAATATCAGAGATTACAGATAACGTTTGAAAAAACTAAGATATCTAAACTGCTCGTGCGATGAGCTAGGTATACATGTAGAAGTAAAAACATACGATTATTAACATTATGACGGGCGGTGCAGGGACAAAACGCAATAGGCAAAAGATCTTTATGAAGGCCGAGGGTGAGGTGGGAAGACGTTGTAAATTAAGATATTCAGAAATCTTTAAGAGGCGGAAAGTTTAGTGATAAATTGTTTGGCTGCAAAGTGATAAGTTGTGAGACATCCCGAATGGTCCAATTGAAGCCGAATAAACCCGAATAATAATATTGTTATTATTATTATTTAATAAACTTTACATAGACAATGACTATTTTAATAAAAGATTATTGTTTTATCAACGACGAAAAGTCGGTACCTACATAACAATACATGTATGAGTAATATAATTCATAAAAGAAGTTAAGACTAGAAATACCGAAGTTTATAATCATAATTCTGATCTTACTCGTTGAATGAATACAATAGGTACGATAAATTTACATATCGCTATTGACAAATCGGGCGATATTATTTACAGATTGTGTGACATTATTTTTTAACTATTCGTATAATATTATAATAATCATAATAATATTAATAGTTTACTGAAAAAAAAAAAAAAACAAGTAACAAGTGCATAATGAAATATATTATTACACTGCAAGGTTTAAAAGGTCTTTTTCAGACGATTTTATACGATTAATGCGTTTGATAATAAAATATATATACATTTTTTAAGGAACTCGTGTAAAGTGAAGAATAATGTGATGTTGAAATTTAATAATTATCATCATCTGTTATGTTATAATATTAAATACCATCGTATATTATTAATCACGAACAAAAAAAACTTATCTACAGTAGCGGCGAGTATATTAATATATTTTATTAGTGTCAGTAGAATATTACTCGCCCGTTTATGATGAGTTACGGCGAACAAAGACAAATTTAACTGCTCGTTTATACGTATATATGTGTACATATATATATGTATATATGTATACGGACCTTATTTAGAGGATAGATATCCCGAATCCGAGAGGCAATTACCCTCGGTATATGCTCATAATGGTACTGTTGAGGGAACGGAAAATAATTTTACAATTCCACAGTATATATGAATGGGGGGAGAGGGGAATACAAATACGAAAATAAATAACAATGTAGTATGTATAATAGTGGTCGGTGTTTATGAAACTGAAAAAAAAAAGTGTTTATACTGCTGGTGGGTGTACCGCTGTTGTTGGTGGTAAATTCGCAAGGTAGGATAACGATATAATATGTTATAGAGTTAATATTAATTTATATCTATAATTCTACACGCAACGATAAATCATGGTTAACGAAATACGGTTCGGAACGAAATTCAATTAAACATGTCTGTATTGAAATGCAGTGGATATTTACGATGTCCGTTCAAATCTGAACTTAAAATGTTTATTAGGCGCACTAAATAAAAACGATCCCGTCTGATACGTTTCCACTACTATCGCACTACGCTAATAGATGCATCACCATTCGTTAAACGCAATTCCTTTCAGTAGGCACCAGCGCCGTCCCGATTTACTCATTTTACACCAACGTCACAACCACCGCTACCTCATTGAGTGAGTGCGCGATACCTCCCCGGTTCACATACAATTCCGCGGTACAAAAATTTTAAATCCCTATTAATAGCTCAAGAGTCGCCAGAATGGCTTTTTAGTACTTCACTCTTAATTTTCTTTTGAAATTTCTACGATTATTTTTAACTAAATTATGACAAATCGAAAACGATAAAAACCGTAAATTTTCATGTTTTCCAATTTTTTAGGAAAACTACAAGGATAATCAAAAAACACCCACCTCAAAGCACCAACATAACATACAAAATTCTACAAAAAAAAAAAGTTCTTTTGTTATTTTTTGATTGGCGAAAGAATTCTTTAGAAAAAAGTTGCATTTTACTAAATAATTAGGAAAAACGGACCAGTTTCGTTATTTTCGATTTAGTTTTTTTTTTAATTCTGTAAATAATTGTAGAGGCCTAAAACATTCACAAAATACTTTTATTGGTTTTTTTTTAGACATAGGCTTTTTGTCGAACTATTTTACATATATGTATTTGACCATTTTTTAATTTTTTTTTTTTACCTTTTTATTTGGTATTAAGTGAATATAATTTTTTTGGTCACACAGAAATGTTTGACAATTGTACATGAAGTTATGAAGTTTATCATAAGTTGTGCTTAGTTAGGGGAAAAAAATTCAACGTAATGTAGTAGTTTTTTTATAATTGTTTTAAGATCAAATGTTAACGACAATCATAAATATTACGGTATTTTTTAACATAAGTATAATTGAAATTCGCTCAGAATCGTATTTCGGTAATAATAATTAGTCGTTACGCACTGATATAAATTAAATAATTGCATGTATTCCACCTTACGTATTACAGTGGCACGCCCGTTTTTTCGGATTGTATAAAAATAAATTAAATTAATTGATCGGCATGGGTCAACCATATTTGAGAAGACCAATCACGCACAGTAACTATATTCGTTGTGTTATACCGCATCGAAATTTTTCCGGTGTAATGAAGTGAATAATTTTACACTAGATAATTATTATTGTTATGTACATCATGTTCATCGTATTCAACCTACACTAATTTCGATTATTGTTTTAAATTGTTATCTACCATGACATGTTTTGAAAATAAGTATTAGAACCAGATAACCATAGGCATGTAAATTTAATAATTTATGTAAATAATTAGTACTCAAAACAAATTATAAAATAAATAAGAGTTTCCTAAGTATATTGTTGTGAAGAGTTAGTGCCTATTTATCTGCAGACAAAATACAAGTTTTTTTGTTTTTTTTAGCACTTAATTTCTTCGAAAATAATATATTATAGATAAGTCAAACGTTTTAATTTTAACAATAATTGAGTTAATTGAACATGAGTTATATTTTTTTTACCAAACATTTCTAGAATGACGTTTATTTTATAACGAATTTTTTAAAAACGCCTTTAACCGTATAACCGTAATTTCTCGTAACGGATCATGAATATACCTAATTACTTTCACATATAATAGCACGCCAGAGCCTATTTTAAAGAATTTTAAATGGGTGGCACTATAACTAAGGAATAAGCCTGGTGCCTGTCTTATTAGTTTTAAATGACCCCCTCCTTATAAAAAATAGTTTGATCCACCGCTGCCCGGTATTGGTAAATTTCCATAGCCCAGAAAAACCCGTAGGCAAATATTGAATTGGAATAGTTTATACTAGTTAATCAATTAAAATTGTCGAATATCCATTGGTTTGTTAGTATTATTTTCCAGTTATAATGTAATGCGTAATATAACTATTACGTAAAAACTAAAAATGTATATTAATTTTTAATATTAAACTCGTGTATAATTTCGATAATGGCAATATATTAATTAGTATATTTTTGTATTAATTATACGTAGGTATAGTCTCTGTATAGGAATTTAGAATCGTTTTTTTTTCCATGTGTGTTTGGCTAAACAGTTTCAAGCAATATATTAGGACTTACACATACCATATATAGGCTTTAAAGCACTTAATAATATACTGCAGTATTCATTGATTAACTATGTTGCTATGCAGGTTCAAACCGCTAGGATAAGCCTCGTTCAGTAACCGAACATAATTCCTTCACTCAAGGGATATCTTACCATGAGGTTAGGTATAACCAAAATTACCTGTTTATTTATTTAGACAGTAACTAAAGTTGAGTGGGTCGGTTTCTAAGAGATCTATGTACTTGTATATAATAAACCGATTGTCAACGGTTTTATTGGTTACTAATGTAGACATAAATATATAATCTAAAATATAAATATAAAAACAACGGGCATTCTTCACACGATAGGTGGCCACTGTTGTAATATATAAATGAGAAGTTGGGATGAAAGGATAGAGATGGGAATTTAATGTGTATCTGTATGCAACAATTCATTTTTGCTTGCGAAAAACTATTTTGAGTGGAGTTCGGTTATACATTATGTTTAAAAGGCCGTCATATTTACGACTTTCATCAAAATTTGATATTAAAATTCTTATAAAAGAAAAAATGTATATATTTAACTTAACTCAACCTTTTCTTATTAACAACTGAGTAAAACTTAAAATGAACCTCTGGTACGATTTTCAAGCATTTACGTTTGGTCTACAAATTTTATTTATAGAGTACCTAACGAATAAATATATAATTACAAAAAAAACTCGCAAAAATAAAATGTCTATAAAAGCTTAAAAATGGATCAAATATTTTGAAAATTTTACCACGAGTATAAAAGGTAATTTTAAGATTGCCGTCCGAATTTTAAATTTGTACGAACATTTTAAATTGAATTACAACAAAATAAAAAAACGAAATTTAAAATTATAAAAGTATTATTTCCTTACATTTTCCCATTTTCCATTTATTTTTGAAATCCTCTGGGATAATGATTCGCTCCCAGAAAATTTTCCTTTTCAAAAAAGGTGCTACATTTCATACTTCAGAGTAAGATTTCTGGTAGAATTTTCTTATAATACCTATGTATAAAAAAAAAAAAAAAACACATATTGTAAATACAAAAGGTACTTTTTCATAATTTATTTTATTGGTACAACACTACCAACACATCTCCTGTATAAGCTCATGTATTAAGGGGGACCAATAAGCCTCGTTCCCTGTGGTATATATTTTTAATTTTGTCACAAATTGTATATTTAACATGTTTGTTAATAATGTATAAAACAATGGTCGTGCAACGTATGAAAAACAATAAAATTACTCCTTTTAATGAACTTTGTACACAAAATATCATGCATTGAATGTAATATATGCCCTTTTAAAAATCAGTGTTGATTCAATTATATTTTAAAAGGGTGCCAATTATATTTTAAAAAGCCGACTTTACCAACTGAATTGTCTGTATTTAAATAAGCCCTTTTAACGAAACACCATTAGTATGTACATAATTTCAAACTCTTATCTTAAATTGATAATCTTATTATTTTAACTAGACAGTTCGTTCAACCTTTTATTACACGACAATGTTATAGAGCACGAATAATAATGATTTTATAGCTCTGTAAAGTTTAAATGCTAATTTATAACTAGGGTTCAAAAATGTCATGCAACTAATATTTTTGAAATACATCATCAAAAATTTCAAAATTTTTAGACAATTTATTTTTAAATATAAAACTATTTCTAATCATGTATACTAGGCACTGAACGGTCCTGTTCTCAGCATTTTAAAAACTGTTCATAAAATATTGTTTTACGTTTAACTAGTCTTATAACAAATAGTAAAATCAGTTTTGATTTTTGATATTATAGATATTTATTTACTATGGTACCTACAAGATCAATTTGAATAACCAATATAACATTTAAGGTATAGACTATAGAGTGAATCTAATACTACAATATCATTCAGTTTTATGATTTTATAAAACATAATTCAAAAGGGGACCAATTATCAAATATTTTGATACAAACATTTATTTTCAATATTTCATACACATAACTATACATAAAAATGATATTTGTGGTAACAATTTTATCAAATTTTTTCTTCGTTAGACTATAAAACAGTAACTGTACACTAAAATCAATATATCTAATACTATTACATCTACGCAGCTACAACCGTTTTATTTATAACACTCATCTCGAAATTTTCACAAACTTAATATACTTAAAAAGTTAAATATATATATAGATAGATAAATAGGTTAATATCTATTAGGTTTAAAATTGTTGAATAAAACAATAATTTTATTTGTATAGTACTATAGAACAAGAAAATATAATGATCGCGATGGTAAACTGCTGCAGTTAGACGCGGTCAATTCGATTTTAGCTTGATGATAACGTACATTAGGAAAGTACCTATACTGTAACGACGGACGTTACATAAATTACTATTATTGCAGGCGGCTAAACGATATTAAATAATACACGCGGGCATACAGCGGATTAATAGCAAGTCCCTAGTCGTTTTTCATGTACCTGCCTGGACAGTAAACCTAATATTATCTTATTAGACTGAAATCGAAACATGTTTAAACATTTTCCCGTCCAAACTTTTATATCTACGGGTACCTACTTGTATTACATATTTCAGCATAATATTATATGATTATGAAATTATAGGATTATTTGAAATAAAACCCATAAAAAACTGGTTCATAAAAGTCATTAGAACATTTATAATTCTGTTACACTTATTATATACCTGCCATTATACTACATCTGAGTAGGTGTAAACCGTGTTCAAGTATAAAATAAAACAAAATGTGCCTATATTATTCAACATTCTACAGCTCTGTAATATAATATTATGATGGTGGTTAAATAGTTTTTGGGTTTATTTATTACGTTACGTAAAACGATAAGTATCTATTTCGATTAGGTAACAAAATATATAGTTTTTTAAAATTATAAATGACCACTTATAATGCAGGAAGTGTTAATCGAAAAGAGCAATAAAATCGGTTTTAAAAAAAAATCACATAGGTTAAAATTATGTAAAAATTAAAAAACATACAAAACGGGTATGCGATCTGTATATAAAAAAAAACTATACGACTATATTATGTATAGGTTTTATGTTATAAGCTTCACTTTTTTCAATTCAAAAATATTGCAATATTTTTAAATTAATATTATAGTTGTTACGGGGAAAAATATTTAAGATATATTTAAATGTTTATGTCTAACGACTTCCGACAACTTTAGCCAGGAATACGAATAAATATATTAAAATTTAACATTTAAATATTATTGTATTTATTATATACCTTGTCATTTTTGCAATGTACAATATTATCAAAGTGATTAAGTTTTGTTTAAATGAAAATACAAAATCCGGCGTCATAAAAAAAATCAATAAATCATTCGTATTCAATAAATTCAATAATATATAATAATAATTTGAACGGAATAATAATGGCAAAAAAAATTGAACCGTTGTATTTAGATATATAATAATATATTTATTATTTTTAGATTGCCGGTTAGCCTTTTTTCACGTCCTTAAGTTTGATATAATAATATTTTTAAGTTAGTTTATTATTAAAGTTTTTTTAAACAAGTACCTCCACAATGTTTTCATTTACAAAGTTTTAATACATAACTCAGATTTATATTATAATATATAATTAAATATATATTTAAAAAAAAATATATGAAATAGCTTCATTAAATTATATACCTTTAAAAAAGAGAAAATATCTACTTTTAAACTTTTTGATAAAAAGAAAAAATGACAGGTTTATTATATTTTAAAAAAGTTATTAAATTCCCATAAATCATACCCTAATTCTATACATGGTACATCCTTCAATTTGTCGCGCACTGTTAAAAGGTGTTAAAGGTATGTATAATTAAAAAAAAAAAAAAACAAAGAACTGCGGACGAGTGCAGCAACTGTTGTAGGTGGATAGTGGGAAAACTAGAATATATACAATTATTTAGTTTGTGTCTGTAAGCAACGATATACTATTGATAACGAAAAACGATTCGGAACGAAGTTCGTTTATACGTTTTTAAAGGCCGTATTATTTCCGAAAATCGTCAGAATTTGATATTAAAGGTCTTATAAAAAAAAATAGTTTTTTACACTCAATTGTTTTTCTTTTTGACTACCAAGTACGACTTATAAAGAACCTCTTATTAAATATTTGAATATTTAAGAAATTCTGTGTAACCTAATAATCTTTTCCATATAATATCGACCAATGAAAAATGTATGTAAAAAAAAAGACGTCCTAGAATAACGGAGACAGATGCAACTACTGTTGTAAGTAATTTAATGTATATCTTTAAGCAACGATAAACCATTGCTAACAAAAAACAATTCTGAGTGCAGTTCAGTTGATAATGATGCTTTGTCAACAATATATGTGTCAAAGTATGGTAAAATAATTAAATAGGCATTAAATATTTTTCTTAATAATATTTGATTAATATTGTACAGATTTTCCTGCTTTTTTCCGATTTTTCCCCTTTATTGGGAAAACTCCTGGGAAAATCGAAAAATTACCTCCCTAAAGTACCTTCCCAGTCAGATTTCCTTTCAGCAAAAGTGCTATCATTTTAAAGCGGAGCGAAGTTGCTGGTAGAAAAGTTGTACACAGAAAAAAAGACCAAAATATTATTTTACTAATAACTAAATTAAAATAAAATTGCTTTACTCTGGGAGCTTGTGCAGGAGAGGAAGTTAGGTATTACATTCCCCCTTTATTCACTTAAAAGTACCACGACTACAAGTATTTATTATTTAGTCATTTAATCTTGAAATTTATTTATTCAGTCAAATGAAAAGAAAAAGTTTGATTTTTTAATTACAAATTGTCTTTTTGGATACGGCTTTTAAATAAAATTAATCAAATTGGACAGAGAAGAAGATTCTAACGGTTTGTTCATGATTAGTCTTTGCTGTACTCTCCCCCATAGAAAATTCTCGGGCAAATCACTGTTTTGTTCGGAATCAGAAATCAAATATTTACACTAATATAATTATTGAAATTAAACACAGAATACAACGGATATACCTACTATGGTTATTGATTTATTACATTGTTTTATTATTTCAATAGGTAAAATTACGAACTGGAAACTTATTAAATTGTATAATATTATTGTATTGGAAACAAATAAAAACAATTTATTAATATATTTTATACCTTTCTTGTGTTTTACGGTAACCTCCACGAACCACGGTTGATCCTTTGAAAAATTTGAAAAAAAAATAAAATACATCACGTCCTCCCGAGTGGCCCTGCAAACGTTAATTCATACACCAACAAGCGTTACAATACGGTATAGCCGGTCACGCGATCAGTTTTTAGTTTTTTTTAATTGTACTTACTACCCCTCGCTCACCGCCATATTTCTGGGTGGTTTACGCGGTAAACACTGTTTCCGAAAAATAACAATATCTGTCGAACAGAGTCGAAATTATTTATAAGCACTGTGTATGCTACACACGCACATAAACATCATAATATGACCTAATCAATCTGCATTATATAATATGTTTGCTAATCGATACACTACGCGTTTATGTGTGGATAATATTAAACCTAAATAAATAAAAGCCGTAATTCATCATTGTCCATTAATATATTATAATATAGACAAGTAAATAAAGGTACCTATGAAAGTTCGAAAAATACATGTCGACAAAACACGAAATAAGTTGAAAATAGTTAGGTGTAGTTAGTTAGAGAATATTAATATATTATGTAACTTGTGACTACGTGACTGCGTTGTTTGAATATATTACATTATATATACGAACCTTAAATTTCCCCATCTCGAAACACAATGCCAAGTAGTTTTTTAAATAATAACCACGACGGTGCTTTCTGCACATCGCGGTGTTTTCCAATATAATTTTCGAGCATAGTATCCCTGAAAGCCAAATGAAATATTTGTTTTTTTAATAGCTAACGTTAACATAATATAACATGCATTTAAATAGAACAAATAATTTAGCATTTTAAATCGCACTATCCTAAAAAAACAAAAATAAATAACTGTTGAAAAATCGTTGAATTTAGACTAAACGTCTTTTAATAATTTTAAAAAATAAAATTATCTAGATAAGAATGTTCATATAAATCGATGAAATGTGAAATGTATTAACATCGATGTTATTTTTCACCTACTGTCTACCATCTTTCACTTTATTTTAATCGCTTTTTTCGGTGACATTTTTTTCACGTATAGATGAAGTTTTTGTTTAAACATTTTTAATTTACGTTAATCCGTTGACGAGATGTTACACATTTATTTTTTGGTACCGGAAAGTGATCGGTAGTAGAACGCTCTTCAATCACGGCGCCGTCACACAAATTATGGTTACTACTCTCCTCCTACCCGAACTTCATATATTTATGGAATTTGTATTATTAGTATTGCTATTTGAAAATCAAAAGTGGATAATGTTTTCATTCTCAAAAATAAAGGTAAAACATATAAGGACAATATAATATTTTTGAATGTATATAAAACATCATTGTTAAACCAGTATATTCCTCACATTGCTCAGAATCTAAAATGAGTCATGTTTAAGGACCATGCATTGTCATATTCTGCGTACCTCGGCGCACGATGACTATGGTGACGGTGGTCGCATACACGTGAAAACATGCAAAGCTTTCAATATTATAATATCGGGACAATACACAATATAACCTCGGGCTTTATATCACTGAACGCATTAATCTTTAGTTAATAACTGTTAATCTTTAATCGTTTCGGTACTACGCGGTGTTATCGTATGATTATTATTATTATTATTATTACTATTATGATCCTCTGTAACAAATTTCGAGGGTTTCTCGACTTTCTGAACATCACGGTGTACGATTATAATATTATTACAATATACACAACATGTATGTTACCGCACGAGCGTAGATAATTCAATTTAAATATGAACTTATAAAATAAAAACATATAAACAACAATGCTTAGAGACAATATAATACATAATAGTATTATATGTTCGTTACGCTGGGGTTGAGTAGTTACGGTTAACCGTACCGTATCGGCAGATTCAGTGTCACAAACTGTAGGATTCACTTTCGGGAGAGCCATGAATTTAAAAAAAAATTCTGAAAAACCGTTTGACGTGATGATCAATTAATAATAACCTATTATACTATAAATACAAGGCGATTATTTTATAGCGATCTCCAACGTTTTTCTCAGAGGATTTAAAGTCAATTTGATTTATGTTTATTTTTTTTTTTTTTGTTTTTGTTTCAATAATTACGAAATATCATTTACGTTTTATTTCAAAGTTATTTTCAAATTTTTACCCCTAATCTCCTTATACGTCCAAATTAAAAACTAATACTATTAACTTCTGGTTTTCTAATGGCAACTCTCCTTGCCCCTTTATAACACAGATTCGAAAAACAATTATTTTTCTCGAAAATGCTTGTGTGACGTATGCATATCTTTAATATTGTATTTATTGTTTATGAGTTATAAGAATTTAAAAATTAGATCGGAGGAGTAAAGAAGGTTTGATCAAAATAATGTGGTAATGAGTAACCCTGGATAGCGTTTTGGTGTACGTCGTATACAACATAAAACGAGAAATTGTCTGAAATATCGAGCAACTACGTATTGAGTAGAATTCGAAACAAAAAAAAACTCACAGTCTTTTCTGTTGAGGGGGGGGGGGTGAATACAACTTAAAAATAGACACCGAAGAGACTCGTTTTTGCGGCCAAACGTCACATCGGACGTTTAAATCTAATAATATCGATAATATTTAGACAGGATATCTTTCTGAAAAATAGCAGACAATTATATACGTGAATTGTGAACGTTATGGGTACGTGAGTTGATTCCAACCAGCTATATATTATTTTCATACGTTTTATTCGAATCGTTGAAAAGTCTAGTATTATGTGTAAATAATATGACGGGTTTGAAAAAAAAAAAAAAAGGTAAGTATAGGTCTATTTGGCTCTCGGCGCTTACCAAAATAAAATTACTATTCACTTTTACTACACATATCAGATTAACGGAAAACCGATAAATTGTTACGATGAAAACGGAAACGAATCTGTCTTTTTAATATAACCTATATTGTACACATACCTATAAGTACAAACCGTTTAAATAAAATAATCGGATTAGACCCAGACGTTGTGAGAATAATTATTTTACCGTACGATTATATATGATTATACTTATAATATATTAATTGAACTCGCATTCCTCCGGTAAAACAGCCGGGAACGAAAACGCGAAAGGAATTCACGCGCGGCCGTCGAATTTTGGGCTCGATTTCTCCGGAATACCGAACCGAAAAATAAATACCACATTATCCTCTCCGACAATTGCGGTAAAGACCGCAGGTGTTATATTCAAAAAACAACAAAATCGGTTAAAAAAACTCGTAGGGTTGAATGTAAAATACTGTTTTACGTATCCCGCCGCCTAGCAAGCGTTTTATCCTTGGGGTGGATTATATCGACAAAGCGTTGGTCGCGTATTGGATCGGTGCCATTAACTTTATTTTATTTTTTTTAATGGTTATAAGTAACTAGCTATATAGATACTTCAACAGAAATATTGATTTTTATATAAATACAAATATCTCTTGTGTTGTAAGAACTTGCCATGAAATAAAACCTTTCTGGAACAAAAACATCCCCGAAAATTCGTAAGTAGGTGTCTGTATTATTTCTAATGTTTATAAATAATAAGACTAATTAGAGCGTCTAAGCGATTGCCGTATTGGTTTTACTATAATATTATGCTGTTTACTTATTTTACTCTCTGTAAACAACTTTTCTACCAGAAATCTTATTTCAATCAAAATAACTACAGTACAGTTTTTTTTTTTTTTTTTTTTTGTATAAATCAAGATCTAATTGGTGCAATTACTTTTTCCTTGTAGTTTCATAATAATTATTAAAACCGGGAAAACTTAAGAAAACGGGAAGTGTGCGGAAATAACGCTTTTATTATTTTCCATTTTGTTTTTTGTTTTGCTGTAATTCAATTAAAAATAATAGTGCAAACTTGACATTTTCATTGATTACTTAATTTTCTAGACATTTTCAAAACTCATTCTGGCAATTTTTGAATTATTTGTAGGGATTTAACATTTTCGAGTTTTTAAGTTTCATTTCGTTTTATGCGAATGAAATAGTGTCGGCGATCAAAAATGATTGAACATTTAACACGAGATTCATCACAAGTTTTATTTGATATTAAAAGAAAAAAAGTTGAGCGCAATATAGCAATTATTTTTATACAAATTTTGACGAAAATTGTAAACATCACAGCATTCCAAAACATGATCACCGAACTTCGGTTAGAATCGTATTTCGTCATCAATGATTTATCGCTGCGTACAGATATAAATTAAATAACTCTATGTATCCTTACATCGTTAAATCCAGAACATCCGATCTCGTTAAAAATAAAAATATACATTAATAATAATAATATAATAACTACACATGTATAATATAGTATTGTGAGTAAATCATTTTTAACAAACAAATCGATAAGACCACGGAGGTTGGGTTAGATGATTAAAATATTATTGTATACTACGCTTGGATTTACAGCAAAGAAAAAAAAACATTTTTTTTTTTTTTTTTTTAATTTGAATTTATAAATATACGAGTTGTATAATATATATTTATTATCATTATTACTTTTTTAAGCATAAACTTTGATCTACACTGCTGTTTATTATTCTATACAAATAAGTGCTGTAGGTCATACATTTTATATTATATAAAAATACGAAGTTCGTTATTCCACTAGAAAATAGCCAATGGGATTACAATTTCTCAACGTAAATACGTTTGTAAAGAAACTTATTATTTATATTGTTACATCGGTTTCTTATTATACGTTATATATTATAATATAACACTATTATCGGTGTATCTGCTACTTATAATGTACTCTTAATATAAACCTTTTAATAAATGCGTATACCCTCTGTAAATCCGAAAAATAAACCAAAAATACGCATATATATCAAACATTTAGAAACTTAAAACTGAATTTTTAAGGTTAATCAAATATTCTAAAAGATTATCTGTACGATTATCCATAAAAACCATCATTTTATGATGGTATACATAATACAGGTTTTCTTCTACGTTTTGTAAAACCCGCTAATAGGGAAAATTTGTTTGTTTGGTTCACACGCTCGTATACTATAAATAATAAAGAATTACGCGTATACCTAGCATACAATTTCAAAAGTGTGTACCAACTTGAATCGAATCTCGTGAAATAAATCTTCTATAAATACTATAAAATGGTATCTCTTAATACGTTTATATGATGGCGTTAAAACGGTCTGAAAGGTCGAAATAAAAACGTAGAATAAATAAATAAATAAAATATTGCAACCGTAAAATTACGTTGCATTTTCTTACTAAATATTCCAAAAAATACATCGTTTAGTAAAATTTTGAAAGACAAAGTTATTCGATTTACATTCAAAAAATTTAAAACAGCTTAAAAATATCAAACCTTTTGCAAAACTATAATGCTTATGTCACATAGTTTAAGAAATTAAAACCGATTCAAACCTAGGTTCATTAAATGAGCATATTATATAAACGCGTTTCTGAAACCTATAACCGAACTCAAATCACTTTATCAGAGAATCGAGCGTGTTGTAAGTGCGGCCAACGATTATTATACGTTGTTTATCCAAGTCACGTCTCGATTTCTTATTTTATATTCCATTATATACTTACTTTACAATTAAATACCGTATACGATTTATATAATTTGATTCAATTTTAACAAGATAATACAATTATATGCTTAATGAATCGGTTCACATATTGTTCACCAAATCGATCAAATGTAATATGGACCTATAAAAAAGGGGATAGCAATACATCGAGATTGGGCTAACCAATTGTAACAAATTAAAAAACAATTTAATTTCAAACTGTTTTAAGGCCATCATAATATATCATAAACGTACGTTTATATTATCTAATTATTGCAGATTAGGTTGGGACGATGACGTGAAACGTTGAGTCCCTCATTCCTAAAAAAAAAATGTGTGGTATTTTCACCTATATATTATGATCATATAATTATATATAGACAATATGTTATACCAATGTTCCACGCGAAGACGAACCCATTGCGATGTTTCAGAAATATAACCTAATTTTTTTAGGAATTTTTATATTTTTTTTTCCAACAATTTAAGAAATAATCAGCTCTAAAATATAACATAACGACTGTTTTTATTGTTCTTATTTTCGAGGGTTAAACCTTTGGTTTTCAAATCATAATCTATAAGGAGAATTCCATAATTAGAGGGAATATATAATTTAAATACATTTTGGTATTGACATTTTAGTGATTTCTGTCAACCAGTAAATATTCCGTTTTTAAGTTTGATGATCAAAAAATAAAGATAATAAAAGATTTTAGAGCAAAACTGACTGTTTCTTAAATTTTCAAAAAAAAATAAAACATTCCGTAATACCGCAATGGGTATATCTTCGAGGGACACCTATACATTCAAATTTGTAATTCAAAATCCCTCACTCTGAATAATATATTATTAAACCATATCGGATGATGTTTTAGGTATATATTATACCCTTATAACTCGATTTATGAAATAAATTTATTTTATATCCCCTTGTCGCGGGTTTATTCGACCTACCTATATAATATTGTACACCAGAAATGACATCAAAATATTTTGCTTTGAACCGGGGTAATGTAAAATGCGGTCTCCACGAATTTATAATTTCGAGTGTTCAACGGTATGAAATAATTCGTTATTATATTATCTGCGTCAAAGAACAAATTAATTTGTTTTGATTTAACTACGCACCGTCAAACATTTTTTGAGAGTCATTCCTATTATATGTGAAAAGAGTGTGAAACTTATTTTCTTCTTTTATACAAAGATGCGCGTGTGTATGTTGTTTTTTTTTACGTTTTTCACTACTTTTTAGTTTAATTAGAAGTACCGATTAATGCATTAATTATGACGTGCGTTAAAATAGTCAATTAATGAGCCTAATCTATATAGATATGATTATGTATATTATATTATTATATTCGATACATTTGTTCGTAAACCAAACGGTTTCAATTAAATTCGAATGAATTTACTTAATGCTTAATTCGAATAAAATATACTTTATGGAATGTAGTAAAAATTGCATATAATGTAAACTAAACCAACAACAATATGGGTAAAATAAAATTTAAAAAAAAAAACGCATAACTATAAAAATTACACTAAATGCTCGATGGTTTATAAATATACGTAAAACGTATAATAATGAAAGGAAGCTTTTAGTATTACAACGGTTTGTATTTTCGTATATATAATTGTTCTTTGTTTAAAAACATTTTTTTTTTTTTTTTTTAACGTTTTAAGGTAATTTTATATACGTGTACTTACGTAAAACAAAGTATAGGTGGTCGCAATGGCGTACGCCGTTTTAAACGGTCGTGGGATGTAGGGGGAGGGTTCTAAGCATAGTAAATGAAAATTACTACGTATAATATAATATATATCTGTGTCTATTGTATAAAGTCTTTTTATATTGAGGTTACTTTGTAAAGTTCATAATCGTGTACCTATATTACATAGTATACAATAATATTATTTGTACATAGTTGAGTAAAGCTGTGCAAATGTGCAATGATTATTATATTTTATTATTGTAATAAGTTTTCAATGCCGAATAGTTTGTATTTTAACACGGCCGATTGAAGGGGGGGGGAAGCTAAAGCACCCTTATCGCCCCCTCCGTCGGGCCCACTGCTGGATTGTGATGCAGACGATTCATTTTTTTTTATGACGATTTTTTTTATCAAATCATGTTTGTATACATTTGCATACCTGCAACATAATGACATTATATTATATACACACGCAGAACTATATAATATTATTACTCTCTTGTTGTGTTTTTTTTTCTACATTTAAAATATTTTTGTTTGTTTAATAAAATAAATACATTTCGCGAGTTGGAAATAAAAATGCCTGACGCGCTACAAAATAAATACGATTACGAATATTATAATTTTCGTTACTAAAATGCTACCGAGGTATACAATGCCTAGAATTTTTCCATAACAAACGTTTATTTAATATATTATTATTAAAATTTATATTTAATCAAATATTTAAAAATCCCGCGTTAAAAATTCAGTAGCGAAATGTTATTATTATTAAAAGCGGTTTATAATTATTGTCTCTGTTTATTATTTCTCCATTTTTTTTTTCTCTCCGTGATAAGTATTTAATTTTTACCTTTACGTACACTGCGAGGATATTATATTTAATTTTAATTCGTTCGGTATTTGTTTTCATTTATTTGTTACGCGTTTTTATATCGCCGCTTATCAAAATGCGATTCTATTATAATATTAGTATGTATACTAATACGCATGTTCGCGTTCGTGAAAACCACGTGTATGGAGTTTAAACGTTTAACATTAAAACTTAATTTCGGCCAACTTATTAGATTGTTCCGACCATTATTACGGGTTTTCGACTAACTTGCGGCGGGGCATCTGCCAAACTGAGAAAGCCGTAAAGAAACCCCTGTTAAAGTATACGCATAATCAGTCTGCATCTTTAGAGCTGTAAGAAACTTTTCGACCGTGTTTATGTAGGGCCAACAAGTGCAGTTAACCGAATCAAACGGTGAACACAATATCATCTTTGGCAAACAAAATACGCCTAGCTAATTATAGTTAGTTAGCCACTGCTGTAATTTAAAATCGGTGTAGCCATTTGCAGTGTAAATTGTCAACAAAAACATTTTGGAATCAAATAGTGACATAAAATTGACCAGACATTTGTTTGTAATTCATTTTAGATTTTGTACAGAGTGAGTAATGTATATTGGCTTTACAGTGATATTAATTTTTTTTTTTTTGTGGGCTACTTTTCTACCAGCAATTTTGCTCCGATTTTCAAGACTGGGGTGGTACTTTAAGAAGGTTAGTTGTTTCTTGATTTTCCCAGGGGTTTTCATAATAAATGGGAAAAAGGGGAAAATGTACGAATTGTATTATTTTCAAATCGTAAATATTATGGCCTTTTAAAACATGTATAACCGAACTCCGCTCGGAATCGGTTTTCGTTAGCGAAAATGAATTGTTGCGTACAGATATACATTAAATTTCCCTCTTTATCCTACCTCCCCAACTCCTCACCTACAACAGTGGCCCACCCATCGTACAAAGTATGTCAATATCTCTTTATGTAATTAACTACAGCTGCAGGCTTTTCGGTAAACAGGGAAAAAAATTTCAAAATATTATAAAACGTCCTATATAATATATGTTTGAGTATCTACTCAGACAATTGATGATACGTGATCGGATTTTACCTTTTCCGACCGCTTTTTAAAAAATCGCAATACATATTTTAGATACATGGAACGTTAATAGTATATTCATCACACGAATACATTTTTGAAGGGATAAAAGAAAACCTATTTAAATTCTAACGCATGGACTATGCTTTTGATTGCTTTACAAACAGAAAATCTCTGTAGCGTTTTAACATTGCTTCCCCAAAATTTCAAAATGGGATGTTGTCGAAAAGTGATAAAATCAGAAAACCCGATCACGTATTGATTGTTTGGATAGATACTCGAACAAATGGTATACTAGACGGATTTCAAATTTTGTCTTTCATATCTAAAAGCCTGCGGAGTTCAATCCATTCTTACGTATTGAATAATAAATTTATTTCATGGAACGTGAAGCAGAACAAATATTCAGATTGATTTTCTCTTAAAAGACACCCCAGACATCGTCTATAGATAGATAGATAGATATAGATAATGTTTTATAGAACGATTTTCAAACAAAAGTTTGATAGATTTAAAAGTATGTTTAACAAAATTTCAATCAGAATCGTACTTCGTCAGCGACGATTTACCATGCCATTATTATTATAAATTAAATAATTGTATGTATCCTACCTTTCCAATTTCTCACCTACAACAGTAGTTCATCTCTCACCAATATCGATTTTTTTTTTGTTTTTTTTTTTTTTTTATCATTGGTGTGTTTAAAATGCGTAATAACAATACTTGTTAATTGTACCGCTTGTTTCTTGACGATTGTCCAAATATTCATTTTTAGATAGCCATTCGTAAATTTGTTTACTGGAGCATATTAGTAATAATATTAATATTGAAAAGCACGTACATATTATTGTGAAACCATAATATTTCTCGTTCCGGTCACAATATAAAATGAATACCTATGATTCTTACGTTCTACTTTTAATGTACATTAAATAACAATATTATAATATTCAAAAATCAACTAGGCATACCAACCGGTAAAACAACTTTGGTTCGTTACAATAAACAAAATTGACAACTAGGTACCATTATTTTTTTTTCACGGTCATAGGTATCGTGACTGTAAATCTGTAAAATGACATTCCAATATCCGAAACACGAATTGTTGTGTACCCGCCTATCTTCTATCGGAAAAACAATATGATTATTATCATGCAAATTCGTCCAATCAATTGTTTCACAATTGTGCCACGTAACATTTACCTACACATGTTACATGCAAATAAACTGCTGTCTTTTGGTATTTGTTTTCTCATTATCATGGATTTTTTTCTGTTTTTCAAATGACACGAAAAATATCAGATATAGTTATTTTCGCTCTTATTCCGAAAAATGCATTTTAAACCCAAATAACTCGAAATTAATAAATCCAACCATATAAAATATAACAACAGTATACATTTTACAAATTGTACAGTTTCCTATTATCCATGTATGGCAAAAACCATCGTTTGATAATTACAACGGTCAACACGTAACTTTTCGAGTATATAGAAGTATAGTTTAGAGGTATATAGCAATATAACGCAATGAAAAAATCTACATTGATTGTTTGGTATTTAAATTGGTTGTTAAGTTTCGACTGTTATAACATAAATTATACGTCTTGATAATATATTAAAAGTATAACTATACAGGGTGATTTTTTTTTATTATGAACCAGCAATTATTTTAAGTGAATTTGATTTCCGTTTTTTCTAATCATCATGGAATTATTTAAGCTTTATCTTAAAGCCATTTTTAATTTTTCACCCCTACTTCATTTACCTTAAATAATTAAAAGTTAATAGCAGGCAATTTATTACCCTTTTCTCTATTCCTCCGGTCTAAGCTTTAAACTGTTATAACTCATAAACGGTAAATCTTATATTAGTGTTATGCATATCAAAATTTCTAGAAAAATATTCTCTATTTAAATCTGTGTTCAAAAGGAGGGGGGGTATATTTGTAAATCAAAATTATGTACTTATTTAAAGTACATGGAGTAGAGGTAAAAAATTAAAAATGGCTTTAAAAAAAAGCTTAAATAATTACATAATGATTAGAAAAAACGGAAATCAAATTCACTTAAAATTCTCTGAGATAATTGCTGGCTCATGATAAAAAAAAAATCAACCTATAAAATATGAAATGTATCATGAAAAATAAATATTTCGGTTATTCAAATAAATTCACTGTATTTCACAACTTTATCCCTTTACATTGGAAAATATTTATTAAGTAATAGGCACATATAATTAGTATAAATGATATTATAATAACATAGATCGTAGTTAATTTTTTAATTTTTCACGTATACTCGCGTACAAATTATTTGATTACTCGTAATTAAAAAAAAAATATTATCTTATTCGTATAAGACTGCCTACTTATTGTATGCCAATTACTATTGAATTCCTATAATAGAAACCTTATGTATAATGACTACCTGCTTGTTTTTATTATTATCATTATAAACTCAAAATACTTTCGGTAGATAGATAATAATTTATTATGTTATTACGTTTAGTTTTTGTGTTATAAGTATATTATGACTTTAAAAGTTTATTACCTATTATGTAATAGCACAATATTATATTTTTAATCATATTGTAAATGTCCCGGGGTATAGTGTCTCTTCATTAATTGAATATGATTGTGTCTTTCACGATTTAGTCACATATATAATATTTGTGTATTATGTATTCCATCAATAATGGTTTAATTAAACATGAATATGTATAACGAGAGAAGAGGCGACCCCGTTATACTCGAGATGATCAGTATGTTTTATTGCAATCAAAAACATGCAGCGTAGTATGCATACTATGTAATTATTATCGTGTTACAGCGGTACCTATACGCCTAAGGTCTCGCGGTTATACTGAGGAAAGAAAAAAACGAAAAGTAACGAAGGGTTTACTGAAAAATACGCTGTTACAATATCTCCCTACCGAACACAACGCAACTAAGCCGACGACAAAACAACGAAATATTACAGTTTATATATTATTACATTCGCACAAATAACAAGATTGGATTTCGAACAATTTCAAATAAAATAACATTATTGTAAAGTAATAACGTTTAAAAACCAAATTTAAAATATGATTATTATGTATAGCTAATATTTATACGTGTTCAAAAAAAAAAAAAAAAAAATGAGAAATCTATTGTTTAATAAAATACGTTAGGGTAAATTTTTACCTTAAAAGAATTACATAAAGTAGGTTCATTTATTATTATTCGGACCGCTTTTATAACAATATTGTATAACATAAATTTCCTGTATGCGCAAACAGTCCAAAAAAATGTAATGAAACATTATTTTTTCATTTTTCCTAAAAAAATAACTAAATCAATCAACTTTTCGGTATAGACATGGGAGCCCATTTACGGAGGTGACAATATGGAACATTTCCCCCCCCCCCACTGAAAAATCAATATGAACTAATAATTAAAATAAATATAAATTCAACGAAAAAAAAATATTTTCTAAAGAAAAAAAATTATCAAGACTACAAGAGTCTTGCAATATTGGTCTTAATTTGATCTTGGTTTGGTTATTGCCAGTATCTTGTATCTTATGTCAGTATCGTCTTGATATTGGTCCTGAATTTAGTCTTACTGCAAGACCAAAATAATTTTACTAATCGCTAACTAAAATAATACAAATTGATTTGAATACCGGAGTATTTATGTTGCTAATGAAAATATAATAAAAAGTGACGCTGAATATTTATACACTCGGGCATCGCAGACAAAAATGTTGATCGTAATATATTATACGGAACTCTCACGGTGTTTTTATCGCTAGTCTTCTAACCCATCGAACGAGTATTTTTAACGATAATAATAATGATATATTAAACCAAATTTTCGGTGGTAAGTGGGTATGTTAAACATCTATTGTCGTGGTATCCGAATTTCTATTAACGGCGTATCGTATAGGCAATTCAAGTACCCGGGGGTTCGCCGAGCACTTGCTTTAAAATTTACGACTAGAACATTTGAAACGAAGAGAAAACAAAAAGGGTCCGAACGGGGTCATATTACTATACGCATATACTCGTATATATAATTAGAACCTTTACGTATTGATGTCGAAGGTGTAACGTTTTAAGGCTAAATGGTATTTACGAATAATGTTCATATTTATATTTTAATAAAATATTTGTTATTATTATTATTACGAATAATTATTTACATTTAAACTATAGTTGTATTCAAGGGCACCCACAAGGAGAGGACAACTCTTCCCTCTAGCTTTCCAGCAAGTTAAAATAATTATATTCAAATTCAATATCTGAAAATCCCAAAAAGCAATATTGGTACCAAGCTGAATTGATGACACCTTAATTGGTATCTAGTCGGCAGGTATACTTTCTTGACAATAGAATTTCGCTAATTTATTATTATTTTATTTATTTAATGAATTAACGTCAAGTGGCAATTATCACAATACACAATGATTTATGCCCTATGATTTAAAGTTGGTACTAATCACTATAGTCGATCATTTGCGGATATTTTTTGTGGAAGCTGACCTGCCGTTATCTAATGTGTAAGAAATCGTTTATCCGGATTATGTATATTAATTTTGATGAGGAAAAAAATCAAAGAACTAAATTCAGCGAAAAAAAGTTGTTGATGAATTAGGGAAAAATAAAATAAAATTGCAATTTGTATTCAATTAGTTACTATAAGTGTAAAATGTAATATTATAGTATAATACTTTTAACAATTTTAGAAAATGCACATAATATACATAAGATACACTGTTAACAATGTTAAACTACAGTTGGTTCAATAATCGATGGTTAATGTTTATGCATGAATATTTCTAGAAAATAATAATCGTTCGAAAATAACTATATTGGTTGCCAAAAAAAAAAAAATAGTAATATCAAATAAACTTTTCTTTTCTCCTCTAAACAATATGTTATTGTACACGGAATTCGATGCAAAAAATATCAAATAGTTGACCAAAATAAAAGCAACTGAATAGATCACTTTGATAAAAATCAAAAAAAAATAATAACAACAGTAACAATAATATTACCCTACTTATTGTATACAATGCGTCGGTTTTTTTAATTTTTAGAAATCAATGACCATGGACAACTGCGCGGAGTTGATCGTCCAGGACCAGAAGTACTGTTACTTCCGGAAAGCCGTTCACTTCTGGGCGCAACAAGCACTTCTGCCGGCTGTCGTAGCCGTAGGCGTGGTAGGAAACATGCTGTCCGTCGTGGTGCTCACCAGAGAGCCGATGAAGAGCTCCACTAGCACGTACCTGACCGCCCTGGCCGTGTCCGACCTGTTCTACTTGCTGTTCGTCTTCACTATATCGTTCGAAAACTACTCGTGGATCGTGGAGGCCGACTATTACATCTACTGGAAGTGGTACCCTTACGGACTGTGGCTCACGGACGCCGCCAGTGAGTATATCATTATGAAATATTTAAATATTTTAATAATTAATTGGTTTAAGTGCCATGAAAACGAATACCCTAAAATAAAAATATTGAAAAAACGCTCTAAAAATGAAAAAAAGGGTGAAATATACAAAATAAAAGTTTTACTTTTCATACGAAACAATATTATAATATAAATATGTATCATATAAATTTCGAATCGTATTCTTGGAATGCACTGTCCTATAATAAAAGAGGAGCAAAAAACCATACGTCATGTTTAGTAAAAACCAATAAAATCCTCGCTGCGTTCAGAATCTAAAAAAAATACTTTGCTCTGAAAAAATCCGGTCTTTATGATAAACAGACAATATTTTAAAACAAGAAAAATAAAACGGACAATTTGATGTACACAACCGTTGTAGTCTACCGGGGGTAGAAATTCTGTTCACGATATTTAAAATATTTCGTGTACACGCCACTTTCATAATATCGCTCTTAACACAACTCGAGACTTATGGAACTCTAACGCAAAATATATTAATATTCGTTTTAATATAATGTTAGAGAAAAAATAAACTGAAGATATGTAATAATAAAATTAAAAAGTACCTACCGAGACAACAAGGAAGTATATAAAAAAAAACATCTTATACGAAAAAAAATAAAAGGAAAACACGTAATTTTTTCTAGTATTTTAATACTACTATTTGATTTTAATAATGCACGATATTCGCAGGTTTCGGGAAACATATTATAATAAGTCAATAAATATTGTTTTTTATAAACGTTGACCGTATTTGTGTAAATTACACCGGTGGCGTCTATATAATATTTTATTATATGGAAATGCATTGTCGTTTACCGATAAATACGCATTCAGAACGAAGCAGAAATTTACTAAAGTAACCTTTTTTTTCGTTCTATTCCTCTTAGTGAATTCATGTACATACAGTTTACACCCAGTTTTAATATTTCAAACTCTAGAAACAACAGTATGTATAAATGCCTCAAATCTCGCGAGCCCTGCAGATTATTATTATCCGGTCTGTCTAAATAATATATCGTGTATACCTACATAAACGTGATATAATAATACCATAGTATACACATGACTGTACGTGACTGCAGATTTCTTTAAAGCTTTAGTGAATTTTTTTTCTTTATTTTTTTTTTTTGTAATTTAATATTTTAACAAAATATATATTCTTTGACCTATGGCTAAACCGCGATACAGTATTTGTATATAATATTATGATTTTTACAGTGCAGTCCAATGACAGATTTAAAGTGGAAGAAGTGGTAATATGGCTATCGCCTTTTGTTTTTTTTTTAAACTGTTAATTAAATTATATTATAGATACATCTGAGGGAAGATGCATCAAATGGTGTACGAAAGCTCGGATTAACGTATAGGTGAGGTAGTGCCTAAGGCACGTGCCTAAGGCTAGGTAATAGCAGGGGCTGTTTTATTTCTAATAATATACAATAACATCCTGGAATTAAGCGTATTAAAATGGATTAAATAGGTAATGTGATAATTTTTAATTTTAAAATTTAAATCACTTATAAATTATAAGCAAATTTTACAGCTAATGTGTTGATTATGATATAGGTGTATCATTTAGATGACTACAATGATTATAATGTGCCTAGGGTATGGCTACGATAGGACTATGATTGGGCTACGATTGGACTTATTGCGGCCCTGGATGTACGTTTGAACGTAAAAATATAATTGTATGCTGCACGGGCCGTCAAAAATAAATCAGATCTGACCCGACAGAAATTCAAAGTTGATCCGACCTAATCTAATCCGACACGAAAACCTGAAAATCCAGCCCAATCCGACTCGACCCGACCCTAAAAGTTCATAATTTGGTCCAATCCAATTGGATCCGAAAAATTCATAATTTAGCACTATTTTCCAGACGAGAACAGAAGTGTCTGGGTCGGGCCGAAATTCGGGTTGAATCAGACATCTTTAATCCAAACCATTCCGACTCGACTTCTGTTCGGGCCGACCCGGTTCTTGTAGGGATCTAATTTATATATAGTGAATCAAACCAATTCTGGATCCCCTCTTTGAAGTTTTATGTTCAGTTACGGTCTTGTAAGTACTTATGTGATACCAGTTCGTCCCCTCTTAAATATAAGCTTCAGATTCATCACTTCAGCACACTGGTCTTTTGAGTAAATTACTCCCCAGGACAATAATATAAGTGAGCCGGTATAGGTATATATAGGCTTCAAGATGAAAAACGATTTCTCTACGCGTTATGTAATTTGGCGAAAAATCGAAAATCTCCCGACAAACTGCGGAAACTTTCAGAAAAGTTTAAGCTCATTATTTTCCGTCTCGGGTGCATATATACGTTCTACCGTAGACGACTGCTGCAATAGTTCGATTGGATTCTTTTACGAGCCGATGCAAAAGTTTCAGACGACAATAGACTCAACATCAATAGTAGAAAAAAATAAATAAATAATAATAATAATTTTCTCCTCCGTATATGGTCTTCTTTTGTGCGACAACGTGACAAAAAAAAAAAAAAAAAAAGGCGGAAAAAGAAATGTATTTGTCAAACGAGCTTGATGGCCACGCGCTTAATCAACAAGCCTATTCTTACATTGACGGCGACATGGAATCCGAAGAATAGACTTGACCCTTCACAAGTAATTTTGTTTTGTTTTTTTTTTTTTTTTCTACAGAAAAAAAACCGAAATAAATAGGCTCCGGAGGCGTATATAGGTAGCCACGCGTAGCTCGGGCCACGAGGGAAATATTGCCGCCGCTGCGTACCCTTTTAAGAGACTCGTCGAGGTTCGTCGAGCATATAATAATAAATCGCCGCAATAAAGGTGCGAAAATAAAATATCTACTGTACTACTCTACCACTATATGCACTGCAATATGCCCGTGTATATACGGTTCCGTGGCGATTATTCCGACGCTAATATAGCGAAATGCTCTTAATATAACGTCTTAACGGAAAAATGTTAGGTGTACATATAATATACATACATAGCGATTTCCTATGTCTCGTAATTTCCGTAAAAGCCGCCGAAAAGAAAGCGCCGCGTGCAATCTGTTGCTGTCCCCGGTGCGCGGACGGCGGCGATCCCCAAGGGAATGGCCGCCGGCGTATTACACTTACGAACGGCGGTAAACAGCACTTATTATATACAAAGGGATTGGGGGGGGGGAGAGAGAAATACGTTTCGAAACGCCTAAAATTACTTTCTCCTCTCCGAAACAGGAAACGTATAGGAAACCTATATATTACATGTACACACCTATCTCGCCGGCTATTACTGCGTCGCACGCGCCGGTGAAACGAATGGCGTAACGCTATAATAATAATAGTAATAACGATCAGCGCAGAGAACTAAATTAATATCGGTGTTACAGACGAAATAACAATTTAACGATGTAAATATGTCAATATAATAATGTATCTACGAAATTCTACACACGTGTGTTTATTACGCCGCCGTCGATTCCGGTCTATCGCACGCGTGTATTTGCAGGATTCGACAATTTCCTATGTGTAATTTACGGGCGGATGATGTTCGGTCACAATTTCTATGGGGGGTGGGCCTCGGTGTTTTTACCGATATTTCACCCCGCGCCCGTTGGACAAATCTTAATTTGTACATTGTCCTCATATTATAAGGACAATTTTTTTTTTTTTTTTTTTTTTTTTTAAACGGATTTTAAATTAATATAATACCTACGTCAAAACGATATTTTAGATTTTTTCAGAGTTTTTTTTTCTTATAAATTAACTCAAAACGGTTTTTAAAAAAAATACATAACTCATATACAACCTGCTCATCAATAAATATAATAATGTATTATCTGAAAAATCTAAAATTAAACATCGATAATAAAAGTACCTTTGTATCTATTCAATGCCTTCATCATCTATGAAATAGTATGTGATAACTGTTAATATTTTACGGGTCAATTTGTTGTTATTTAAAATTCTAATAAAGATACATTTTGGAATTTTTTTCCAATGATTTATTATTAAAAGTGCAAAAAAATTAAATAACAAAAAACGAATACACATAAATATAATTATATTGCCGCTACATACTTTTTAATTCCGTACTACACATTTAACATTTTGTACTACACAAAGTGCGTCTTACTACACACAAATTTAGTCCCTGCCTAGTGTTTATCTATTTCTAACCGTGATACTAAATGTGTATGTTTAATTTTTAAAATCAACAATAAAGCTATCTTTATTTATGATTGCTATTGGTTTAAAAAAAAAAAAAAAAAACGGTGCGTTTTGTCGAATATTGATAAAAATAAATTCGTACGAATAAATGTTTGGCAAATCAATTATAACAATTTTGTAGAGACTAAAACATTCCATCACGACTTAAAAGCCTAAATTGCCTCTCTGAATCGCCTTAAAATATTACGGTTGTCAAACCCTGTTGGTACACGTTGCATATTCAAGTCCCTATTATGCATATGTGATTCTTTTTTTTCGGAAGTAACAATAAAAATATTTCGATCGAATTGCTTAGAGTTTAATAAATTCGGTTTTCATGCAAGCCATTGGGAAGTACAATAAAATTTGCATATTAGGATAAATTAAAATCGTTCAACTTTCCTCAGTGCACGCATGCGTAATAAAACTAATTTTATATTAACAACAATTCCTCATTTTTTTTTCTACAGATTCTAATTTAAGATATTTTTATATACTCATCATGTATCTTATTGCTGCAGAAGTTTGAAAAATTAAATTTTTTCGAAAAAAAAAATAATAATAATTCTAATTGAATCTGCAGAAAAAACGGCAAATTCATTTAAAAATAAAATAAATTGTATTGCGTACGCCCGTCGAAAAAGTTACAAAGTTTTCGTTTTTTTTTTTTTATCCTCAAATGTTTATCATTTCAGCACTTCTCGTCGTTTTCCGAAATTTGGATTTAAATTCAAGTCCATATCTGGCCGAAATATTTATTGTTACCCGTTGAAAACATCATCACACTGCACAGTATAAAGCAAACACGATAAATAAATACGACTCAATCGCGATAGATAATATTTTTAAATTTGTTTTTTAATATTAAAATATGACGATGACGCTAATATAATAATATTATTATGTGTGATGATAAAATGATATTTTAAATACATATACGTATTATAGAAATATTGTTGCTTCCCTTTTCATAATAGGTAATTATTATTTACGCTTTGTGCTAGTGGAACAACATTATTCTTAATATTATGAAAGGTGGCAGGATTTTTTTTTAACACGACATAGATTTAATGGCTTCATTCATTTTTACGTTTGTAAATACTTCCTTGTCTATTTACTATTTATGATATTATCGATTTAAACACAATGACAAACGACGTATTGTATGTATCGATTATAAATATATTTCAAATGTACTAGCGTTTACTTATTAAATATAGACTTGAAATTTAATTTTACATTCCTTTTTTTTTTTTTTATCTAGTACCCATAATACATAATTTATTTTTGTTTTAAACTAAAACTACGTTAGCGGCAAAACTTAACGAAATAATAATAATTAGTGAAATTACAGACTGCATAAAAACAACATAAAATTGTGCTAAAGAGAAATTAACGTTTTCCAATTGTTATTATGTTTAAAGTATTGTTTATAATCGATACGTTTTATGAATTTCAAAAAAACCGTTATAAATATATTTCGTTTACATACATAATAAACGTTGGAAGAGTTTCGATACGAATGTCGACAAACAGCATTGTAAAACTGAAACTATTGAAAATATAAAGTAAACCGATACCGTCATATTATTATGATGTTATAATACATTAAACATTGTCGCAATGTCACATCGCTGGAACCATTTAATCATTTAACTAAGTCGGTGTATAAGAACGCAAGCAAAAAGCGAACAAATAAAAGTGAAATGGGAATCGTTGCAGCGTTCAAGAAGAGTAAATAGGTATATATAAGAAGTCACCGTAAGATAAATATAAGGCGTGTTTGTGACCCGACTGTTCAACGGCGTTTGGAGGCGTCGAGAGAACAATTAAATTTCCCGGAAACCGCAAAAAGTCATTATAGGTAAGTATATGAACCGCAATTTGTTTAAAAGAAAAGTGGTGTACGGTAAGAGCATGCGAAATTAGGCAAAAGCGATTTTGCGCTTTAAGGTTTTGTTTTACTTTTCTTGCTGATGTAAACACGTTTCTAGACGGTGCAAGTAATAATAGTGATATTTAGGAAATTCGATACAGACATTTTCTATATTCGTCAAACACACGGACGGGGTTCCCAAACTGTGGTTCGTGATTATACGTATTTTTGATGGGTCGCGTAAAGTTTGTGAAATGTGTATGTGTATTGTGTATATTATAGAACATTAGTCGGTTATCAAACTCTTTGCGTCTCGAGTTAACAAACGTTGAAGTGGATATCAATGCAGCGATAAAAATAAAAAATACATATATAAAACAACTACGCCCTTTTCATTAAATATAAAATAAGCATTCTTATTTTTTTTTTTTATCAAATTAATTATGCCTCTTTACCGTAATAAAGTTCATCAAGTATATATACGGTATTACAATAAATGTATTTTTAAATATTGTTTTTTGATTCTGAGTGGAACGTATGGTTTTACAATCATATTTATTTTTTTTTTTTTTAAACAGCTCTTTTACCAGCAATTTTGCTCCGATTTACAATGATAGCACTTTTTCTTAAAAGAAATTTGATTGGGAGGTAATTTAAGGAGGTAATTTTTTAATTTTTCCAAATTTTCCAATAAATGGGAAAAACTTAGGAAAAACAAATGGGTTTTTTAAATTACCTATAACAGTGGCTATACTCGTCTCCATTATCCTAGGACAGCTTTTTTATTTTTATATCAATATCTTTTCTCTATTTATGGCTTTATGAGCACATTAACAATTCAAAGTTTATTAAGACTAGAGTCCGGATTTATATTCTGTTATAAGGATTGAAATACGATATTTATATGCTAAAAAAATTGTTGAAATATTCTGAAAAATATTCTTAATATTCTTAAAATATTAAAAAAAAAAAAAAATGATTGATTGTTAATAATTCTTAGATCGCAGATAATAGATTCTTAATCTTAATAATTCTTAATATTTATCATCGTATCGTGGTTCTGTGATGAGTATTTCAGTATAAAAATATATTTGCTCATGAGTTTACGAACAATATTTCATAGTAAATGACTGAATCAGTGACTAAAAATAAACTAAACTAAAAACTTGACAATATTTCTGTAATATAATCCAATATAGTGGAAATGTGTTAAAATATTATTTAATATGTGTACCATAAGCTAAAATATTCCGAAATATTCTCTCAAGTCAAAATATGCAATCATATGCAAAAACAACTTTTTTTTAATAGATTTTACAGATTATGAAACGCAAACATTTTTTACTTCTATCAAACAGCGTATGATGTTTGCTAAAATATGTTTTTGCATACAAATCTAGTCGTTACTATGCGATAAGTTACCAAAATTAAAATAATTTCCAAAATGAGTCGTATAATGAAATGTTTGGAAGACTCTCGTCTAACAGATATTGTTATAGATACGCAGCATAATGTCAATCGGAGCCAATTTTCCTTCGATCGATGTAGCGAAGCGATACAAATTCAGAAAATAGATTCGAATTCAGCGTAAACATATAGTGTAAACTAGATCGAACAGCCAATTTTTTTTCAATTTAATTTAAGTCATATATTTTCCGATCATTGTTTTGGAAATCATGGAATGAAATTCAAAAAAAAAAAAAAAAAAAATAGAAATACCTATGAACGCTTACATTTCAGCAGGTTCAGAAATCAAAATTCTTGTATAGTTTCGCGACATCCGATCGTACCGATCGAAGGAAAATCGGTTTAACAATATTGCTACGCCGAGTATTATTATACGTTAGTCAATGAAATAAAATATCGCTATCCAGTTACTCATAACACCCGTTATTTATATTTCAGTTTATATTTTTCAACATTCGGATTTGATTGAAAAGAAGAAACACACTACCTTCTGCGGTCTCGGGGTTTTCGGGTCTTCGGTACGTGACTGAATATTAATATTCCGCGTCAAAGACTCGACAGAATTCGGTATATTATTCGGTACGACGTGTGCACCACCTATATGTGTGTTCGAGTGTTATAATATACGCGTATACACGATATTATAATAATAGTGATAATAATAATATGATCGAACGGATTGTTTGACGACACGTGGTACCGGAACGTTTTGGATGCCGAGCCGCATCCCGAAAGTTTGAAACTATCTCATATTATGCGCGCATATTACGCGATATGTACGCGCCCTCGTCGCCAGTGAAAGTTTTTCCGGAATGGTAATCGTAATACTTATACACGTATACAGTATTGCATTGTATTTGTGTACACTATACATACTGATGTTTCAAAAGTCTTCGTCTGATTTCGAAAATCCCGTATTTACAAATTATTATTATTACTGTATTATAATTATTATTGTTATTTATTTCTACGAAAAGATAGACGAGTATGAACCAGCATTGCCCATGCACAGAACATTGAACGAACGGAAAAATTGAAAAACATTGTTAAATACTGTAATTTGATGCTTTTAAAACAAACTACACATTTTTAAAAAACAACGAAAACATTTCAGTAAAAATATTGTCAAGACCATGTCCATTGTGTCACCCTCCATTTTGAGTTCGGAGTCTTAACCTAGGACATTCGTATTTGTGCTTAGCTATTGCATTCTTAAGTGTTAATTCCCTTAAAAAATTATTCACATTTCGTCCAGGGGGTAGGTTTTAAAATATAATTATGTTGGCAGAATATTTGTTTAGTGTCAGCCTAAAAAAATATTATATACCCAGCATATACCTACATTATTTATCTGCAGAGTTGTATTTATGTGATAAGAAATGAATTCAAATGGTACTGTAACTTTCTATATGAGGTATTCATTTTTTAGAAAAAAAAAAAATATTTAATTCAATTTATCGTAATTCTAAGTTGAATTTACTCCCGATTCAGAGTGAAAATGGATAAAAAAAAAAGGTGGAAATGGAAAATCTGATCTTGGGTTATTTATAGTAGAGTACATAATACATTTTTATTTTATATTTTTCAATATTACAAACACATATTTTTGTGAATTTTTTCAATATTATAAAATTGTATTTCATGTACGTACAGTCTTTTCCGTGTTCAATGGTAAAAAAAAAAAGTAGAGTGTAATGTAATAGTTTTCTAGATTCTAGATTTTTACATTCTAGCGGAATGTATTAGTATTATAATGATATTTATTCTTTTTTCTTTATTTGTAAAAAACTTTCTTGCCAAAAATCTTGCTCCAATGTATCAAGTGTAGTGAAAGAAAATTTTACGAATTTTACATCAAGTTCATTAGATCATTTTTTGATTTTCCATGCGGTTTTTCATAATAATTAGGAAAACCGGAAAAAAACGTAAACGAGGAAATGTTTTATTTTAAATGTTGTTTTGTTGTAATTAAATTTGAAATATTTAAGAGATTCGAAATTTGAACAGAAAACTTAAATTTTCCTTTTTTAGACGTGGTGAAATTTTCAAAATATTTGAGCTACTTATAAACATTTTAATTTTGTGATTTTTGTACGTAATTATTATTCGACATGTACTCTGTAGATAAAATTGTTAGACTTAACAAAAATACTTAAACATTTGACAGAAGATTCATTATATATCCTACATAGTAGTAAAAAAAATGAGTGTAATTATTATTTGTATATATTTTTTATTACTTGTAAGAGTTTCAAAATCAAATTTTGACTAAAATCGTAAACATGTATAACCGAACTTTGCCATATAATATGCCTACAAACTCTAATTCAAAATTGTACAGCGGAAAACATTAATATTTTCCCCTACTACCAATTTATTGACATAAACTTGTATATCTGCCAAACTTAGATAGGAAAAATAGCTATGATCTGTTAATCCTATTTATATTATTTTTTCACTTTTTCTATAACAAAACGCCTAATATGCGCTATTATATTATTTTCGTGATAAAAGTTTTGCCTGAATGCGAAAAAAAAACGAAAAAAAACTACTTATTGTTTAGTAGGTATAATCTGGGACTTGAACTAGTGAATTTTCGTTTATAATACAGCCAAACGTTTTATTTCCCAACCATTGTTATAATAACGACCCCGTGTTGCAAATGCTCACGCGCACAATAATAATATAAAAATTGCGCATCGCCGTCGTCGTTGTGAATGTGTATTTTTCATTAAGTTCACGTTCGTCATCAACCCGAATGATAATGGACAATAGGCATTGTTACTTGTAACTACCCTCCGTGATACCCTAGGCAAATTTTACATACTGTGCTTCAAAGGTGCATATAGAGAGCTATACCCTCTCTCAAATCAAGTCCTTATCAAATAAATACTAAACATACATAATCAATATTTTAAGAGATTAAGCAGTACATTTCTCCCAAAATATTCGGGCAATTTTTGCTTTAGAATAGCACAAAAAGGTTAAAAATGTCTTTTGTAAATAAATAGATAATAATACAAGGTAGTTTTTTTAATTTTCCAAGCAGCTTTTATATATCAGGAAACCCCAAGAAAAAAGTAAATAAAAACAGGAAAAATTACGAAAATAATGCTTTTATTTTTTCAATTTTGTTGTTTGTTGTTGTTCTAAGATTTTTGTTAACCATAACGGTAGTATTCAAGAGTAAAAATTGTTTGCTTGCTCCATGAATTTACCCGAAGATGACCCTGAAATACGGACATACTTTGCACGATGAGTGGGCCACTGTTTTAGGTGAGTAATGGGAAAATTGGATAAAGAGGGGAATTTAATTTAAATTTGTACTCAACGGTCAACCATTGCTAACAAAAAAACGATTCGGCGAGAAGTTTGGGTAAAAATATTTTAAAAGACCGTAATATTTACAATTTTGGTCAAAATTTGATATCACAAAGTACGACTTATAATGAACGTCCTGTTAACTTGTCAAGTATTTCTGTTTAGTCTAACAATTTTATCCACAAAGTAACTACTAAATAAGAATTACGTAAAAAATTGGCAAATTGAAATGTCTATAAATAGCATAAAAATTTGACCACGTCTAAAAAAGCCAAATATAATTTTTCTGTTCAAATTTTAAGTCATTACGAATAATTTTAACAGAATTATAACAAAAAAACATTGAAATACATTTAACATTTTACATTTCGTAAATTTTCCCGTTTTTCCAGTTTTTTCATTTATTATGAAAACCGCTTGGAAAATTACAAAATGACTTCTCTAAAGTATACTTGATATATAAGAGCAAAATTTCTAGTTGAAAAGTTGTTCACACAAAAATTTTTAAAACACATCATTCTAAAACGAATACATTCCTCGCTACACTCCAAATTTAATACATAAAATTATCAATTGTCTAAAAAGCACCAGAATGTTTTAAAAATTTAAACACATCTATAAAGAGGCTAATATATTACTTATATAGATATATCAGTAAAATTTAAAAATTGTCTAAATAATTTTTTACTGAAATAATATATAAAAACGAAATCGAAAACAATGAATCCGTTATATCCGTGGACTATAGCTATGTGACATTTTTCTAAGCTTTTCTCCGGTTATCCCAGTTATAAAAACAAAATAGAAGAAATATTAAAAAATAACTTTCTCAATATACAAGTAAATCCAAAATTGTACAAAAAAACTTTCTTTGAATTTTTTTATTCGAGCAAGATTTCTTGTATAAAAGTTGTTCAGACACAAAAAAAGGCACACATCATAGCGAAACCAATGCATTCCTCGCTACGCTCAAATCTAATACGAATTTAAATTTGGCACCTTAAAATTTTTAATTTTTTCAGAACTCTTTAGTGTTCATAGTTGAATTACTGGTTATTATGTATCTACAATAAAAATATCGACAATCCGCACCCGAAATTTGATTTTAATAAGGATTTATAACAGAGCTTTAAAATATTTTTAAAACTTTATAATTTAACACTAAACGAATAATTTTTACCAAATAGGTAGATACATTAAATGTTGACCTTCGGCGGACTAAAAATGTTCCGTTGTAACATTTTTTCATGATTTTCATATCAAAAATATCTAAACACCGAATTCCAGAAGAGATTTCAAAGGAAATGAAGCCTAACTTAACCTATCGGAGAGTAGGAATGCTAGACAGTGGAAGAGTGCGTGAACTGTATTATAGTCGTCACTTGCAGATGACACGATGTTCCTTTTATATCTTTATGTACGTATTTGCCGACAATTTATATTAATACAAAAGTGATAACTCGATTGTCATAATCAGAGACCGGATTTATATGTTCTTAAAAGCCACAAAAAAAACACTTGAAAACGTCAAAAAGCTTTGAAAAAAATCAAAAAACTTAAAAAATGTATAAAAACGCGAAAATAATAAAACGGGTTCAATAGCCCCTCCTCTAACGGATTTGATATATAAAAACAATTTTCTAACACCACAAAAATGATTGATAAGAAGTAATTTTTTGTTTAATAATACGTACAATTTTATTTAAAAGAAATTATTTTGTATGAATTAATTTTATAGTGTTAGGAAATTTAATTTAATAAGTTAAAGCCATTAGTATGGGGGGACTTTTCATCAAACTACCATCAAACTCAAAACTGTATAAACGTTCAGATCGAATAGACTGAGTTTTAAAAAATATATAAATTAACTTTTTCGGTAGATGCCGACCGTTCCAGCTGTTAAACGACATTTATCAAATTCACCATATACAAAGAGATTAATAAATGACAATAAAGTACGACAGTTAGACGATAGGTCTACCCAAAAAGTTTATAAAGACTACGTCTGCCATAGAGTATACAAAGACTACGTCTACCATAGAGTAAATTAAGACAACTAAGAAAAAATGTTTATTATGTTAGTGCAACGGTATCGAGTTTAAATCCCAGATATCATTAATAAGTTTTTGCAATTTCTCTACTTATTCAATTGACTTTTTATACATTTTCTTTCATAAAAACCTTGTCAGGACAATTACGAATACAACAAAAAAAATCAGCAAATTTTCTTTCATAAAAACCTTGTCAGAACAATTACGAATACAACAAAAAAAATCAGCAAACGTTCTCACGTTCTCATCGCATCAGGTTCTCGCGATGACCAAAGGGAATAGGGATTAATTTATATATATATATATATAGATGAACAATTTAGAGAGAAACAATTTATTTTCAAAATATAAAATTACAAAATATAAAAAATTAAAAAAACTTTAAATATTACTCAATAATATATACTATTATATGAAATTTTTATCTTTGTCGGGATCCGATAGCGATAAAGAAACTATTATGTAACTAAAATAACAATGCAGTTATTTTAAAATTGTTCTCTTTTAATCGTAAATAAATATATTTTTTCTTGTAATTATAAATAAAATGTAATAGCTCGTTAAAATATTTCTACTTATTATTCACTATGGTAAAAATTATAAATAAAATGTGTTGTTATTAAAATATATGTGGCTCACAACTTCAACCTCTACACAATACATATTTTCTCGGTGAATTTTAAATTAATTTGATTTCTGTTTTTTCAACTATTCTGGTTTCCAGTGTTCATTTCTATTCCTTATACCTAAAACATGTATACACCTTGGATTTTAACACAGATTCGAATGGAGAATATCTTTCTGGAATATTTGTAATATATCATAACACTAATATCGGATATTCCGTTTAAGAATTATAACAATTCAAAATTTAGACCGAATGATGGCCTAAGAAAGCCATATACTCTATATGATTTTTCACGCACATATTCACTATTCGAGACAATGTTCAAAACGGAATAGAATTTCAATATGAAAATCCAAAAGTGTATACTTATTTAAGATTATTTATACGGAGTAAGGATAACCATTTGATATTGGTGTTAAAGCAAAGCTTAAATGATTCCACTATAATTTTAAGAAAAAAAAAGTGATATTACTGATGAGTGTGCCACTACTGTAGGTGGGAAGTTGAGAAGGTTATTAAGTTATTCCATTAATATTTGTAGGCAACGATAAATCATTGCTAACATAATTCGATTCTGAACGAAATTTGATTAAACATTTTTGAAATTTCTTCAAGGAAGCTAAAAAACTTCACTTAAAATTCAGAATAATATTTCAGTTATAATAAAAAAACCGAAAATAATGATTTTTTTTCCATAATCTTTCCCGGTATTTCTGTTTGTTTTTCCCATTTATTATGGACTCTGTTAAACTATTTCGAAAATTAAAAAATATTAATATAGAAGAATATAAGAATATAAAAATATTCTTTCAGAACAAATATTCTACTCTAGAAAATTGGAACAAGATTTCTGGTAAAAAAGTTGTTTATGGACACAAAAAGTGAAAAAATAAAAGCACACGTAATAATAGAACCAAAACATTTCTCATCGCTGCGCCCAGAATATAAAACAGAAGTCAAATTCATTTAAAATCCTCCAAGAAAATCGCTGGATCATGACATAAAAAAAATCACTATCTGTATTATCCAAACTTTGTGTCAAAACATTTTCGATGAAACTTTCGAGGCAAACTCCCCATCTCACACATAATATATTATACATAAAGGGAAGTGGTATATATGAATGCGTTTTTAAAACTTTGAAATCGATTTCACGCAAATTAATTATTGTCATCGCGCGGCAATAACAGTCATGTATGTAGTTATATACCTTTGTGTTTTAAACAAAAAGCGTAGAAGTAAAAGTAGAATGTTACAGATCCTCCTCCTCCTAGATTTCGCATTCACTGAAACCCAAACAAAATAATGGACACGATGGCTATATTATATAATAATATCAACAAAAAAAAAAAAAAAAAAAATTGATACGAAACGTTTAAAATAATTAATATTTATGAATTTTGCGTTTTGAATATTATATTAAAAATTAACACATTTATTTTGAATTTGTTTAATTAGCATATTATTATAACAGGTATAATGCATGGTTAAAAAGTGTTTCCGATGATGACGTTTTTCAATAAAATAGTATTAATTGTTTCGACATCAAAATTTAGCTGCCAATTTATCGTACCTGTTCTCGTGTTTATTTGTCTGTATAATAAATTAACGAAAATTCAGTAATGCGGTTGACGAATTTTACCGCCGACACTGCCGCGCTAAGTTGACATCTTTCTGGCGCCTTGACAATAATATAGTATTTAAACTGAAATCGAAATATTATACGCATTAAACATTTTTCCCCTTATCTTTTCAAATGTTCGTGTTCGTGGATTTCGAGCGAACAGGTATTTAGGATATTATTAGTTACGTATTATACATTGCGAGAAACTCACATCGTTTAAATTTGAACTGAAATTTAGTATTGTTTTTTCTTTTAAGATTTTTATGTCAGATAAAATGAAAATTTGGCAAATAAATACAAATAATATTTAGCTGTCCCGTACTGAATTGAACGGAAAAAAAATGAAAATTGGTTTCCCCGCGACTTCCCGTTAACATTCCGGTCCCTATCACAGCTAACCGTTATTGTCCGATAGTGTATTCTTTTTAAATAATACTTTCTTGCCCGTGACAACCAAACTAATAATGACCAGTTTTTTTTCCATCCGTGTCGCCAAGGTAACTCGTCAATCAGTTAAAAACAAATTTAATTTTTGTTTCGAAAATACCGTGAACCCTGTGGCAGCCACCTTTTTAATAGTCGAAATCCGACTTCGAAGTGCATATTGTATGAACCCGTTCATCCGCTTCTGTTTGTCAATGTCCAATCCTCTGCGCGCGATTTCGGCTGTGCCCCGTGCCATCACGCACAGATAAACCAACACTTTTTGTTTTACTTCAATACTATTGATAAATTCGAATAAATCAAACTATTTTTATTTTTTCAGTACAAAAAATTATAAAACTTGTTCATACGTGAATAATATAAATACATCATATATTATTGAGAAAAATGTCCGTCCGAAGTTCAAGTCCACATATATAATATAATATAGAATCAAACTATATAAACGAAAACGCATAAACGTGATGTTTTTGTTAAGATCTATAGCTAAACCGGCGCACGCCACGCGAGGGGTCCGTTGAATCCGGCTTAATTTATTATTCAGTCAATTTCGTACTGCTGCATGGAACCCGCGCTGATTTCGGATTTGATATTGTGCCTTTGATTTGACCATTGTTAGCTCTGCCATAATAGACGCACTAATATCAACCAAAAAAATAAAAAAGAAAAACCTTTTTTTTAATACGATTCCTACAGTAACGATAAGTAATATACTACTCCGATTGTATACAAACGTATGCATAATAGGTATAAAAGCTGACTAGACATTACGTCCCCCTCACCCCAATATACATTACCATTGTTTGGCCTACGTCCAATAACCACTATACAAAAGACTGCAGTTCTCCTATACTACCATTTCGCGTATAAAAACTCCATCGGACGACGTAACAACCACTAGTGAATCTTTATACTATTATAGATTAATAATTAACTAAATCAATCTAAATTTATTTCTTATATTAAGATCGTATAAACCATCCATGGTTCAGAGCTACAGTTAAATATATTCAAAGACTATAATAATATCTTCTCTGAATATTTTATGTTTAACGGATCCCCAAGCACGTTACACTTAGCGTTGCTTAGGGTCAGACCATCGTCCGCACGTTCCATGGTCCAAATAGTAAATCCGATTTCCTTTGACCATTAATTTTTCCTTTGAGTCTGTTTGTCTGAGGATTATTGTCACTTCGTTCCTGAACGGGTATTTTTTACAAGGTAAGGTCGTTAATCCAGGTTCAAATCCCAATCTGTGAGGTAAATCCACACCAACCAACTAATGTTCATTGTGGAGGCTATTTCAACACACTTTTTAATGTGTGTGGGCGATGGAAACGCCAATTTCCCTGAGTCATTGACTGAAGTCCGTGAGCTTATCACACCCGTTAAAAATGAAGGCTCCCTATGGGAGGGACAATATAATACACCTAATGAAAATAATACATATTATTTCTTACTCCCAAATAATTAGGGCTCAGGCTTCGTTTGAAATACTTTGTTTCAGATTTGAAATATGATTTACACAACAACGCCACTGGGCGTCTTTTATCTTAGGATAAAAATAATAGCTGAAACATAGACTTTAAAAAATTAAACCTCTCTCAAATGACCAATGGCTATTTCGGCGCAAAAAAAGCTGATATCCAACGAAGATGGCCGACGCCCATTTCGTAAACCCCGGTCAATCGATTGTAAACACGAGCCGCCGAGTGATAATAATATAAATTGTTATAATAAATATTATTGTTTGAATATTATTATTCGTATGGCCTGGCCTGTCGAAATCAATGTCTGCATAGGTACGATGAATGTTTCTCTGAACGACGGGACTACTAATATTATTGTTAAAATTAACATAGCAACAATAACGTTTGGAACGAAATAATTATAATAATGTGCTGACCGTGCTGTATTATAATAATATTTTCTCACGTAAATATATCACGCGTCGTAGCAATAATGTGTTCGCGTGTACCTACATGAGCGCATTGTGATGATTTAGCAAGTTAAACATAAAATTTAAAAAAATAACGACTTTACGACGTAGCGGGATGACACATTTCGCCCGTACCTTTTCTGCTTCGTCCGACGAAATTTGTATCGTTTTAAAATATTTATATAATATTTGGCAATGCAATAAAAACCAATCCATTACGAATATTTCGTACAGGATATAGTACTAGTATAATAACTACTAATTCGGTTACTGGAGTTGTAGTTGGGAAATCGGGAAGATATATATGGCAATTTAGTTAATGTAAAAAATAAATTGTATGCAACGTTAAATTGTTCAACCGAAAAACGATTCTGAGCAATTTTATTGAGCCTTTTTAATAGGCGTTCAAAATTAAATTCACATGCGTGTGAACAGTGTACAAAATTTCGTGATTTTTACAATTAAAAATTAAAGCACGAAGAAGTAGAAAGAGTTAACTTATAAGTATCTATTCAATGTATATTTCACGAATATTTTTCGCTAAATTATGAAAAAACACAAAATTTAAACTAACAGAAACCGTAAAGTATTTTCGTTTTTCCGATGTTTTTCCTGGTTTTCCCCCTTTTTTGAAGAAAATTAATAGGAAGATAACCAAATTATCTCCTCAATGCAGCAAGTAAATAATAAGATGGCTACCAGAAGCCATCCCTGTAGTTTGTGATCGGAGCAAGATTTTCGATCGAAAAAAATAAAAATTAAAAAATACATCATGTCATAAAACTAATATGATTAAATTTCTCAACTCGTTTATGCAGAATCCGAAATATACGTTCGGGTTTTTTTTTACATGCGTAGTAACTAATATATAGGTACTAACATACCAATTTTTTATTTGTCTAACTAAAGGTAAAGCATTTCGAAATCGAAAATAGGTTTGGTCTATTAAACAATAGATTATGAACAGAGGTCAATGAAAGTCCCTAATAACCCCCTTCTCATAAATACACTACGCTGGTGTCGTAAATGAAATAAATAATAATAAAAAAAAAAAAACGATTAACGGCGTAATAATTCCGCAGGTAACACTTCGGTACTGTTGACCGTGTCGTTCACCGTGGAGCGGTACATAGCCGTGTGTCATCCGCTACGCGGCCGCATCCTGTGCACCGAGTCCCGGGCCAAGCGCGTCATCATCTTCGTGGCGCTGTTTTGTATCGCGTGCACGGCGTCCACTCCTCACGAGTGGTCCATAGCCATCAACCCGAGCACCGGCAAGTTCCAGAAGAGCAGCACAGATTTGGGCAAGAACGACATCTACAAGAAGGCGTACAATTGGTTTTGCATAGTGACGTTTATATGCGTGCCGCTCCTGGTGTTGGCCGTGCTCAACTGGTTCCTGATCAACGCGGTCAACCAGAGCCGCAGAAACCGAACACAGCTCACCTGTCAAGTAAGAAGGCTATCTGAGCATAGAAATGCGTACGACATTGCCTTTTTCATTGTTAATAAAATAAATACGTGTTGATATTTTTTATTTTATTTGCAAACTACTACGTCCCATTTTTAATATGTCCCAATATTGCCCTTAAATAAAATAATATAAATCCGTTTATAAATGTTAAATAAAAAAATTAAAAGTATAATAAATAAATTAGACATTTTAAAATGGTATCCCTAAATACTTATTTTCTACTTTTAATAAATATTTTAGTACATCTTTAGGATATTTATTTGTTGAATATTCGTCGTAAGCCATTATGGTTGCATTCATTTTTCGTTTCATTTCATCTTTCTAAAAAATTCATTTTTTTATGACTGTTGGTTTCAATTGACCGTAAAGCACAGCGATTGACGAATATTCACCCCGGCTTCACGCACTCGTGTATAGTAGCATACAATTTTTTCAAAAGACGGGTTTTTTCATCGGGTAAGAACACGGCACCCCCGGTACTATCTACGTGGAGGCGCACAAATTTTGGGAATTACCCATTTGCGCTAAAAAAAAAAAAAAAAAGGTACTTTTATTTCCGATGGCCCATTTGTGCCAAATTTACCTGCGTAAATTGCACGATTATACGATTACGCGATTACGTATATTACACGAATTATTTTTATTTAACTTCTTTATAAGTTATTTTATGTTACTTTTTTTTTCTTTGATAATAATAAATAAATATAAATTTTTATTAAAACAACGTTTACACGATTCAACATAATATTCAATTTGTTGTTATTATATTTAGCCTTTAAATAAATACATTTTGAACAAATATTAAAAATCAATTTTTACAATAATTGTCAATAAATTTACAAATTGTTTTCAAATAAATAATAATATTCAAGAATTCACATTCAAATGTTTTTAAAAAGTAGTTTTGAAAAAATTATTATTAATAAAAACTACTAATACTAAACTAATATTAACTAACCTAACCTGATGTTTATTGTAATTAAATGCCTCTATTTTCACACATTTACACTGTGTTTGATTTTTGTTTTTATAGTTTTCAATTGCTTTTATAGTTTTATTGTACCGATTTTCCCATGTTTTTCCTATTTATTGGGAAAAATTCTGGGAAAATCAAAAAAAAAGACCTCTTTAAAGTACTACCCCAGTCAGATTTCCTTTCAGAAGAAGTGCTACACTTGTAAATCGGAGCAATATTTCTGGTAATAATGTTGTTCACAGATAAAAAAACATAAACATCATTGTAAAACCATAAGCTTCTTCGCTCCGCTCAGAATCTAAAATAACTTTCGTGTAATATACGTAATCGTGTAACATACGCAGGTAAATTTGGCGCAAATGGGCTGTACCCAAAAGCGCAAATGGGCTGTACCCAAAAGCGCAAATGGGTGATGTCCAAATTTCCCTCCGCCTACCTGACCCTCAAAATTTCCTATCGTGAATTTTTAATCTAAAATCTCAATAATTTCAATATTAAATTGAATTAAAATATTTACTTTTTCTGGATGCGAAAATAGAAGACCAAATATGTACGTAAGATATTTTCCAATTTCGTTGTCTTTTGAATATTCCGTAGGTAGCTGAACCATTTTGTTTGCCAAATGTGGCCAAACTTCACATTTTGCATTATGTATAGATTTTTCAAAACCCGCAAAACAAAACTTTGGTTCAAATACTTCCATGGACTTCAAACATTGGTTAAGTAATTTTATGATGCTTGACTTTTTTTATCCTTAGCAAAAAAATGCTAAAGGTTTATAATAATTATTATGAAATCCAAGTAAAATCCATGATATTTTTTAACATTATGGAAATCGATATAATAATAAATAGTACACATACTATCGTTTTATCAATCTAGGTGTGCTACGTGAGGCAATTCGAGTAAACTATTTGTGTATATATATTGTCGAATTACTTCCAAAAATACCTACAAGCAATTCAAGTGAAAAAATGTCACCTACCTAAATTTGCCAGGCAATTCGAGAGTCACCGTCTACACAGATGGAGCTGACACGCTAGGAATTTGGGAATTTCCCTCATATAAACGCTTCTCCCCTTCGCGTATAGGCCCGTACGGAGCCGACAAAATTCAAAAACCGAGTATAACGAAATTTTCGGATTCATGAAGTTCGCAGTTTTTGCCGACCCGTAGTGCAGCTGCAAAGCTAAAATACGATTGTAGAATCGAAAGTTTCTGTTAACTCCGAGTTAAGAAGGCCACGTTTCATACAATAGGTTAGAAAAAAAAAATGCTGTTTCCTACAAATTCACATCACTAATTATTAATATTCGGGTGGGTTTTATGCGATGATGTGGACTTTACGAATAAATGTCTCCTAGCGTATTTATATACATTTAAGTTTCAATATTGGATATAGGTATAGATTTATTGGCGACACGCTTTTGTCCGAACGTATTTTCGTATTTTGTTCTTCGGAGGTTTTTTTTTTTTTTTTTAATTAAATGTCTAATACCGCGATACTTAGCTGTAGCTATATTATATAATAATGTGGATTACACGCTACACACTATTAATCATGCCTTAGACGCGAGCAGGATAGGTCAGCCCATAAATCTTTAATTTTCGTCCGTAAAATGTAATCCTAATGAAAATACCGCGTTAAGAAAAATATGTTGTTTTTTTTCTCAACACGGTTCACGCACATTTTATATTTTCATATTAGGTCCACTCGTGTTTATAACAACCACCGGTCCGCGGTGTTGGCGGTTTACCGCGATTTCTATGAAATTAACATTTCACTAGCGCCGTCTACCGACCTATATACATAGCATACTATATAGGTGCATAATACAATATTATTACATAAAAGGTACACCTTTATTATTTTATGATAATTTAACGAATTATTTTTCAAGTGTTTTTTTTTTTGCCTTTTTAAACTATCGCATCATTTCATACTTCAAACATCGTACTATAATACAAAATGTCCATTAAATAATACGATTAATACTATGAAATATGTTTCGAAGAACTCAACAAGATGGTACCTGATGCAGGGTGTCCTACAGTGTTATCCTTATGCAAATAACTCTGTCATTATTAATTGTTTATTATTTTCATCCCTTAATAGGTACGAAAAAAATTAATATCCAATAGAAGATAAGGAATTACTGTGCTGATTGTGATTCCTTATCGCGTAACGTGTTATTCTACTGACCATTAATTGTTTTCACGCCAATTTTCTAGAAATTAAAACGGCTATTACTAAGAAAGTATTGATCGGATATGAAATGTATATTATACATTAAAATGTTTAGAATAATACCTCTGGCTTTCTAAATAATTAAGTGATGAAAATAAAATGTTCTCTGGGCGGTACTTTAGAGAAATCATTTATTGAAATTATCATTAATCTTGTATAATGAGGAAAACTTGGTTCTTTAGGTTAAAAAAGATTGAAAGATTAAAAATAAGGTTGTCATTGGCAACCGTTTTTATTTATGTTTTGATATCATTATATTAATTTTTTTTAAACAATCATTGTCATCGAAACGCGCATTATTGAAAAAGCAATACTATTGACCGAGCTATATTAAAATAAAATAAATTTCGATTTCAATACATTCTTTTTATTTTAATCTTTATATTATATTTCTTTATTTTGTACTTAAGCATCACTATCAACTAAACTCCGTTCAGAATAGTTTATCATTGCTTACAGATATACTTTAAATTCCCTTCTGTATCCTACCTTCCCAACTTCCCACTTACAACAGTGGTTGCACCCACGTGCGAAGTATGTCCGTCTTTTTTTAAATTTATTTGTGTACAAACAATATATATAATTACAATAAAATACGTCACATATTTGTATAAATATTGAAAGAAAATGTCAGAAGTGAGGTTGGGATTGAGGGGGATATACCGTACATCCCTCCAATTCCTCTGTTTGAACACGTCATTCACGTGTATACATAAATGACATTGTAATACAATGATGATTTATAATTCAAAAATAATTTACCTCATGACGTAAAGACGTAAAATTACCAAAACGTTGATTGACGTATAGGTGAATTCAAATCAGAGCCGTGTTAATGGAGGGTGGAGAGTAATGGAGACATTTGTCCCGGGGTGTCGAAGCTTTTAAAATTGTTAAGCGCTCTGCTCATTAATACTCGAACTTTAAATATAATTTAAAATAACCCGGTATTATTATATCACTTGTTGGTCGTTTTATTTTCAAAAACACTTTGTTTAGTGATAATGAATATTGTATGGTAATTAAAAGTGCAACCTAGTAACGTTTAACGCGTGTTCCTGTAAAATAATTTAAGACTCAGGAAGGATCTAATTATTGGGGGAATAAAATGTTGAAATTTGAATATAAATTTAACGAAATTGAAACAAACAAAAACAATGAATTTGCGTGAAATTTTCGCCAAAATCATTAGGCTTAAAAGGGCTGCTGAAAATTGAATACCCCGTAGGTCACCAAATGGCTTAACATGGCTCTGATTACAAATCGAGTATTATAATCCATAATGCAACGCCGTGGTGCGTTTGCACGGGTAAATTTAATTCTAGGTTACTATATATTATATTATATCTAATTGTTCAGACCCCGTGACCGAAATATTTTATAATAAATACGAATGCAGTACACGGTGTACATACAGTAGTTGTAAAGCATCGATCTTCATGGGTACTTTTCGCAAATTTGTAATACCCGTTTGAGTCCGTTTCCGTAAAAACCGACGAATCGCAACAATACGAGACGTAATAGTATAATCATTTACCCGCCCCCCCCTTCATTATTTTATATATTTTAATATCGATGGGTGCCGATAATTATGTACCTAACGTGGATTGGTAGTCGTAAATAATAAAAAAATATATATATATATATATAGTTATAACCGGGTTATTTAAACGTTCGTTATCGCTATATGCACGTACAATAAGAGGTACTTGTAGACGTGCAAAAATGACCCGAATGCCCCTGTTTTTATATTGAAAAAAAAAAATTACTCGAAAAATTATAAAATCCTTCGACCGATAATAAATTATTACGGAATACGCGGTACAGGAACGCAAAAATGAGTAATTATATAATTTAATAATTACAATATAATTTCGACCGCAATGTTATACAACGAAGAGCCCTTCTTTCCACCCGTCCATCCGGGGCGATATTAAATCTATTAATATATTAATGTTTAATCGTTTTTTTTTTTTTTATCGAAATTAAAGAATATTTTTAAACTAATTATGTATGCCGATAAATATATAAGTACGCGTTTTTATTATAGGGAAATTAACAAACGCGAACTTCAGTAACTCTAAAATCGATATCGTACGAAATTATGAATATATAAAAAAAAATCCAAAGTATACGAAACAAATTATACTTTTAATTTTGTATTTATATTTACTTTAAGTAGGTATGTCCAAACCGCTCGATTTAATGGATTTAAATAGATGTATATATATATATAGAAAGAGAGAGAGAGAGAGAGAGAGAGAAAGAGAGAGAATAAATAAAAGACAAAACAAATAAAAAATCAAATTAAGGAAGATGTTATAAAAAAAAGGGAATATTTAATAATACAAAAAAGATTATGGATAAATATATACCTAGTGAAAATAGTGGAAGAGAAACAAGAGTTGAGTAGGAGATTGGCATCGGATAGAAACAGATAATCAAGAACTCGTGTATAGATAACTCAATAGCAAAGTTCCCCCGACGACGAAAATTGTTTTAGCTCTCCAGAGAGATAATACGTAGGGTTTAGGTACACGTAGGCACTATTTTCAAATATTAATTTATCATCTCAACATAGAAACGAATATATGCAGACTGCACGATGCAGTTTATTCATATCCTTTCCGAATATTTCGTGGATGTAAACGTTAATCTGTTTCAACGTACAAACCGTATAACCGATATAAATAAGTATTATGTATAAGACAATTTGTTTAGAACAATGTTCTAATAACGATTGAAATATTCATGAATAGAATTCACTTAAAATCCTCCGAAAAAAAAAAAATCTGTACGGTATCGAACATGAACAATATAATAAAATAGTAAGCTAAAAAATGTATTGTACAAAATGATGGAAATTCGGAAATTTTATCGAATGTAATATTATGAGTATATTTCGTGATTAGTGCACAAAAAATATTTTATTGTGGATCCAATCGGTTTTTTAGTATATTTTAATTTATAAGGTAAACAAATATTAATAATGATACAATATTTACCTACTATACTGAGTCATTGGAATTGATTAAATCGCACACACGACATACGCACTGTAAAATAGGTGTAGGTACCATTATATATATTTTATATACGGTACGATGAACATTTATTTTTTTTTCACCCGCTTCAAGTTTAGTGGACCTTTTTTGAAAACAGTGTCTAAACGATGCGCCAGACTAAAAGGTTCGAATAAGTAGGTGTACACAAAAAATAAAATATATATATATAGTGTATTTCAATGTTTCATGAGTAAAGTACCGTTACTCTCTTACAAACAAACAAAAAACAAAAAAAAATTCCCATGTCCACGTGGACAGTTATCAAAAAAAACATATATAACTGTTATTTCCGCCGATTATTTTGTACGCGAAATGGTTGGAACTTTTCCCGGTTTTTTTTTCTTATACCTACTACATGGACACTCTTCGAGTAATTCGGTCAGTTTGGTACAGTTCCAGATTGTTATCAGCATAATATAGTAGTTCTCTTATTATTATTTTTTATAACGCATTAAAGTATTGGATATATATGTCTATGCATATTTTTCAATATCAACACACAGAGGCGCCGAAAGTTGATTTTGCCTATGATAAATGGCATAGGTAAATAAGTGGGTGGGTCGGTTTATAGGTGGGCATAATGTGAAGAAAAATAGGGACTTCAGTTTGACTGTAAACATTTGACTATATTAAGGTATAAAAATCACTGTTCTATATTGTTTCGAAGAAAATTATTTTTGTTAGTGGGTGGGATGTGTGCCATAGGTGGGTGGGTTAATTGACTCAAAATATAATTGTCATAGGTGTTTCAAAATACACCGGCGCCCCTGTCAACACGTACAATTCAACCAGTTTAACTTGCTATGTAGTTTAACGATTTATGTTCGTTTAACAATTAAATAGGGATTATGTATATAGGAATTCGATCTAAACTATTACAGACTGAGAAATTTAATTAACGATTATTTTTTTCTAAAAACATACAAAATATTAATTAATGTATTCTTTTTTCTTTTAAGCCGGTAAACCCACAAACTACAACGAACTTTATTATTATTATTAATACTCGGTCATAACAATAATTAATATTGTGGGTCGTCATACAAATTTACTGAAATTCGTTCACAAAATGTATTGAACTTTTTAAGATTTTAGGAGCATTACACCGGAAATTTGTTTAAGACATTTACTATTTAAACATACTATTCGTGTTAGATAGATCGAATTGTCTGTTTAAAAAGCGTTTGTCAAACATATTTTGTATTGAAAAAGTTTTTTCCAGGAAAAACGAAAAACAAAAAGGCACTCGTATCACCATGGATAGGTAAACCTACGTAAAACAATAATATATCAAATTACTTTGTCTTGCAAAATTTGAAATAATATTGTATCAATGTATAATTGGTGTATGAATAAGGTATATAATAGATTTCTAAAGTTCAATTTTTAAAGAATTATTGGAAAAAAAAATGGACGAATATACTTCGCACATGGGTGCAGCCACTGTTGTAGGTGGAAAGTTGGGAGGTAGAATACAGGAATTTATTGTATATCTGTAATAATCAAATAATAAATTATTTCTAACGAAAAAATAATTCTAAACCGAGTTCAGTTGATAGTTTAGCTTTATCGACAATATATAAATATTATATAATGGTAACATGATTACAAAAATGTCCGTTTCCGTGACAACAATGAATTTTTAAAAAAGATTAAAATAATAAAAACTTAATAATAACAAAAAATAAATACGGTTTCCAATGACAATCTTATTTTTAATCTTTCAATCTTTTTAAACCTAAAGAACCGGGTTTTCCTCATTATCTCAAATATTAATGAGAATTTCAAAAAATAACATTTTTAAAGTTTCACCCAAAGAACACCTCCTTTCAGAAATGATGCTATACTTGATAATCGGAGTAAGCTTTCTGATAGATAAAGCCTTCACAAAAAAAAAAAATAAACATCTTTGTAAAACCACAATACATTCTTCACTAAACTCAGAATCTAACACTGTAACATCTTAAAATTGTCCTAAATACAAAATACAAAAAACTACCCATCTTTTACTGTATATACTTCACTACTGTGTCGATATATTACCGATTGGTAATATAACATACCTATAGTTGTTTGTCCGTCATATGACTACGAGTCAAAGCGGTTATTGAAATAATGTTTAAAATGGCTTCGGCTGAATGCAAATACTGCGAATTTTTATGGTGAAAACTCTTTTCATTCGAATTTTAATGAAACCAAACGTTTTAACTTAAGTTTTATTTCGTTGTTACATTACGGAATCATAACGAAATACTAATAACATTTTTAAATAAGAAATAAGAAAATGCGTTACAGACGGATTTCGGCTTTTATTATTAAAGATTATTTATAATTCATAGTACCCATCACCCATCACTACCCATTGACCTGCAATGGACATAGGTATAGAATATTTATGACTTTCAATTATTTGTAATAGGCTGACATGGAAAAAAAAAATTGCAATTAGGAGTGAATCGGGAGTTGAAATAAAAATGTACTAATTGGGATTTTCGCAATTGGGGAGTGGTGGGTTAACACCCAATTATCCCTCGCCTCTTATCTACGCGTCTACTATTGGCACTATAGTGTCAATAATTGACGTATTATACAGCAGGGAAAATCTAAACTATAATTAGCGATTTAATTTGTTTTTAGGAAAATTCATATATTTTGGAGAGGTGAACAAAGTTATTTCGAGTAAAATACATTATTTTCGCAACACTATACACCTACTAAAAATCTAAAATTAAATCACATTTAACACATTATAATAAACACGCTTGTTGATACACTGTAATAGGCACGCGCGTGTATATTTTTATAAAATATACCATCAGAGTATATTTTATCATCCTTATAATACCTCTTATTATACAGATAACTTTTCGGATAAAAACTGCAGTATATTTACATTTCCAGAATATAAATTCCTCGTAAATACATAAAAATACGGCGTTTCTCCCATTATCGTACGAACCTACTATTATATTTATTAATATTTATTATTTTAATTAAAACGCGGATTTTTATGTAAAAACTTGTTTTTATTAAACGTATATAAACTGCAACTATACTTATGCCATGAGAGTGTTACAACATTATAGTATATCTACGAGATATAATTTTGTGTACAGTACATTTTTTTTGTTTTTTTGCATACCTTACACCCATATATTTTAGTCGATTTAGACCTAAAAGTCAGACGAAACTGAAAGAATCGCGTTCGTTCAATTTTGAAATCGGATCACGGTTATTTAGATTCTTTAATGGGATATGTTGGAAATAAAAATGTAATTTTTTTACTGGGAATTGTAAACAAATTTTAATTTGTTTTTTAAATACATTCAAAATTATACTTGAAGTGTTTTGCTTTTTGCTTATGACAAAGATAATTCAAATTAAATTAATTACGTAGCGGTGTGGATTATACCAATCACGAAAATTGACCCCCCCCAAAAATTTAACTATAGGTAAAATTTCACTGTGGATAAATTCCATAATGACAGATATTAGGAAAATATCGATGTTTATCAATCCACTGAATATGAAAAATTCGAGGTGAAAAATCGAACATGAAAATATGAATATAAAACTTATAATTTTATTTCTAACATTAATTTGAATACAGTTAGGGCCGTGCCGAAGGGGGTGCGAGAAGTGTCCTGTATGCACAGCAAAGGTTTATTTACGAGAGCGAGATCCTTGGGGTCCGGACCCCCTCATTGACCTCATTTATACCTATCCAAACATCCGTGCTAATATAAGTTGTAACCACATAAAATGTAATCATAATTGTTATGGATGGTTGCCACTTGCTAGTTGGAAATCGATAAGGTGCTGTGATAAAATTCCTTTAGAGAAACAACCTCTCTAGAACAACCTGCCTGATACCCCTTATTAACTACGTATATATATTATTGTTTATTAATAATTTTCGTTTGTCAGCACGGTTTTAAATAGATTCCGTCTTTATAATCGTATTTGACAATTTATCTGTTATCCGTATTCATTCAGACATAGATTATTTTTTTTAGAAAAAGTGCTATCATTGTAAATCGGAGAAAAATTGCTAGTAAAAAATTTGTTCACAGGAAAAAAGGCCGAAATATTTTCAACTAATACCTAAATTGTCCTCCATCTTTTCCGGTTTTTTCTATTTATTAGGAAAACTCCTCAGAAAATTAAAAAATGACCTCCTTAAAGTACCTCCCCAAACAGATTTTCTTTCAAAAAAAAAGTGCTACACTTGTAAATCGGAGCAAGATCTCTGGTAGAAAAATTGTCCACAGAAAAAAAATTAAATAAACATCTTTATAAAACCGTAATCTTCGTCGCTCCACTGGGAATCTAAAATCTTAACTAACTCGTTTTGCGTATTGCGTGTTTATACCTATTATTCACGGGAACGGTTAAACGTTATCATAATAAACAACTTTAAACTCTCTCGCGAAACTCAAAACCACAGCATCAGACCGCGGAATGTGTAGCTACTGCTACTGCTGCTGTTGCAGAAAAGTTTATCGAACACTCAACACCGTGTGTACTCTATAAGCTTTTTAAAATCGCATATACGACCACACACAACACGTTTGATATATATGTATAAATATCATATAAACCTTACGGTAAAGACGCAAAGTATATCATGTATAGAACCCACTGTAGGTGTACTTATATATATATATATACACACACTCGACGAACTATTACGGAAGTTTTGTACGATAATATTATTTCGTTATACTTACGCGAAATGAAATAAATAAAACACGTCCGCAAATACTTTGTGTTTGTGATCGTGTTGTACGGTAGGTACCTATATTAAATAAAAATCGAGTTTGAACAATATGTTTATTTTTTTTTTTGTTTTTTTTTTGTCCGAACGCTAATAGACGAGTGCAATATGAACTCGTATCAGTGGGTAGAGCCATAAATTTTTTTCCAACATTATCAGCCTTGAAAAGTTTCGGCTGTCGATGTATTTTTCCAAAGTTATGCGAAAAATTGCATAAAAACCATCGTCGTCCAAGAACAATTCGAATCTATTTTAAAATTGAAAATTACTGCTTTCCCATGAACGTTGTATAGGTTATAACAGTTTAAGCCTTTAAGCAGGTACAAACAAACAAGACCCGCGGAGAAAGACGTGAGTGGCTTCTGAACACACAATAAGATGTTGTACAGCATTGTTCACAAAATTTGACGCAAGCCGATACCAATCATGCATTGCAATCTCAATTTAACACGCAATTATAATTGCTCTAATAGTAGATATCGTGCTAGGTATTACAACAACATTATATTCGATTGTTGACTTTGTAAGTCTTTGTGGACGTTCGGAACGGCAAGCAATATGCAGCAGTGTTCTATAACTTCTAAACCTAAAAAAGAAACACAAGTATCAGCATAAAATATATTAATTTTGAAATAAATAATAATAGGTATGAGGAAAGTCATACCGCGGTCCAAACCATGAAGAATCTTACCGGCCCGAATATACTTCCCTGCCTATCCATCCGGGTCAGTCCGTTCCTGCCTTTAGAGTTTTCGAAAGATCGCAACTAAATAACGTACTTTAGATTCTGGAGTAGAACAAGGAAGCTTATGGTTTTACAAAGATGTTTTTTTTTTCTATGAACAACTTTTCTACCAGATATCTTGCTTCGATTTTTAAGTGAAGCACCTTTTCTGAAAGGCAATCTGACTGGGGAAGTACTGTAAACAGGTCATTTTTCGATTTTCCCAGGAGTTTTCCCAACAAATTAAAAAAGCCGGAGAAAAACGGGCAAATAGGTACAAATAGGTGAAACAAATATTATTAAAGAAATTATATAATGCCTGTGTAATTATTTTACCGTAATATGGCATATAACATATTGTTGACACAGCAACACTATCAACTGAACTCCGCTCAGATTCGTTTTTTCGTTAGCAATGGTTTATCGTTGCTTACAAATATACATTAAATTTCCTCCATACTACCTTTTCAATTTTTTTTTTTTTTTTTTAAATATATTATAATAATAATCATACAAATTATAATATTAATTAGGTACCTATATAGATATATAAATTTGTTACATAATATAATGCGATGTGATTTATTTTACTTTACTTTCGTAATGCGTGATTCGGCGTGGGTTGCAGCATCACGGTTTGATGGAATACTACGATAGACAGTCTAATATGATCTGTGTCACTATACGCGAATAGATTTTAGGCAGGTACCTATACCAGACCCATAACGCATCAAGACCAAATCTGAACACCGAGCAAATGTTGTCGAATTATTATTATCGATTTAATTATAAACACAAGCCATATTATAATTAGTTATTTTTTTAAGTACCTATGTGTAATATTTGTGATTTGGGTTATGACACGGGGCCATATTGCGGGACGACGCGCAGGAGGCGTTTAACGTAATAATTGGTATAATAATGTTCCTCGATAAGCCGTGCCGTATTGATTCTGACCCTCCCCCCCCCCCCGTCCTGCACGCGAAATAATAATAACGACGACCTAGGTTAGGTATGTTATAGAAAAGGGAAAATTAATAACGGTAACCGTGCTATATATAGGTGTACATTGTATCTACCTAATAACAGCAATGTTCTTCTCTATCGTCTCTTCTCTAAATTATCATTAATTTGAAACGGGCCATGTGCTTCTTGATTCTACTGCACATCCACCCCCAGACTCGGACTTCCATATCGTCCGCATTACACTTCTTGTACAGTATGCACATACCTCTACAGTATAATTATATACGAATCGCAATGCTATACTATGCTCTGAACTCTGCAGTTTATTATCTTACTCGTCGTATCTGTATCGAAACATCGCGTCGTCTGCCCACCCGGCGCGTACTGGCCCGCCGGATTACCGTGAACTTCCCGGCAGGCCCTTCTCACGCCAGGCCCTTGATTGCAACTTTGTGATTTCTTTTGTAGGTAAGTGGGTCAATAGGCTGCACAGGCTGGTACTTGGAGAATATGTATGATTTGTGCTTATAAGGTAGTCCTATTTAATAATTTTTCGGTACAAAAATAGAATCCAGTACGCGCCCTTAACCCTTAATATAAACTCGTTCGTCATTCATACGCGGCGCTGTCCCTATACATCGTACATCGTACTCTAATATTGTTTGTGTTCTCTGCAGGGAAACGTGGTGTGGAACAGACAACAGCAAGAGAACAAAATGACCATGACGCTGATCGCGGTGGTGATCATGTTCTGCGTGTGCCAAACGCCGACGGCCGTGATGATGCTCACCGCATCCGTGTACGAGCCGCAAGAGAAGTCGCCCGCGTACTACGTGAACCGCGGCCTGCACACCATATTCAACTTTCTCATGGTGGTGAACGCCGCGTCCAATTTCATGTTGTACTGCGCCATGAGCCGCAAGTACCGGCGCACGCTCATGATCACGTTCATGCCGTTCCTCGCGGCCCGGCACGCACGCAACGCAACGCTCCGGTCGTCCGTCAGCTACCCGCGGACCGGCACCATGCACCGGCGCAACACGGAAGTCACGCAGATGACTGACATCGGGCCAATCATCACCAGTGGCGGCGGCGGCGGCGGCGGCAAACGCGAACCCCTCATCCGGACCAACAAGGCCAACAACAACAAGCTGCTGAACGCCACCGACGTCCTCTAAACTACACAATACATACATACTAGGGTGACCATCACACGTCCCTTTTTTCTTTTTTCTTTTTTTTTGATCATCACATCCCGACAAACTAAACGAACGGGACGCTTTTTGTCTCGTTGGAAAAACCCCGTTTTAAATCCCGTTATCCCGGTAATGTCATGCGAATATCAAAAAAAAAAAAAAAAAAAATATCCTTCTCCAGTCCGCCGGTATATTATTAATATCGAAATCAAAATTATAACGTTTTCCGCGACATGTTAAAATAATAGTTTAAAAAAAAAAATAAGTTATTTTTTATGCATAAATATGGTCACCCTGTATACAATATAGGTATACAATCGGCTAACTGACGTTCACCGCGTCCCTCCTTCGACCCACATCAACGAGCGTCTAGAGACAGCCCACGAGCTCCTCATCAATTATAATTGTAATATTTCTCATTAAACATAAAATAACCTAATAGTATGCATGACAAAATGTTATCAACATGAACAAACAAAATAATAATAATAATAAGTATATAAATGTAGGTAGCATAATGTAAATGGCATAATTTATGTCTTATTTTCCATACGCATAAGGAGACCCATCTTTTTTCGTTCAAGCCGTTTACTATTTGTTTTCTTACGTTTAATGTTAGTTTATTTAATCGTTGTTCTTCTGGTATTTTTAAACGAAGTTTTTTAGTTGAAAAATATCGCAACTGTTTTTTTTTTTTTTTTAATATTTTTATTGGCTTGCATTTTCATTTAATAAAACGGGAACATTAGATTCTTGTTCATATAGCATTTTTAAATATGAATCTAAAGATAAATTAATTTTATGTAGCTGTTCATCATTTAATTTGTCTGTTTGCGACACAAACATACCATGAAATTGTTGAATTTTGTTTGCAGTGTTTACTGCATATGAAGCAATAATTTTCTGCGCAGATTATTTGATAATAAATATTACATTATAATTGATAAGTAATTTGCTTGTGGGTTGTCACTAGACGTTCGTCCCACATCACTACACAGTTGTACACGGCATACAAACGGTTTATTATTTTTATTTTAACGAACAAAACGGTTGATGTTATAATATCACGTACCTATATCCATTCTATTAATAATAATACTAATAATCGAAATATTTACGATTTCGAAATAATCAAAAAAAATATTTATATATATGTAATCACCGCTGATTTTTCAACAAAATCCACGTACTCGTATTTAAATGATGTACAACATCCCTGTAGTATTATATACCTACGTCATCATTTCCGCCAATCCGTATAACGCCAACCGTTTTTTGTTAGACGAAAAAAAGACAAGTATATAGTTTCGTTTTGATGCGCCAAATATAGAAATATCGTATTTGAAAACTGCGCGATTTTCTTTTCATCCTTCAGTGTATTATTATCTATTACATTATATTATTACACGTATACAGTATGATTGTTTCGGTCGTCGTCCTCATTTCGCGACTCGAAAACATTTTGATTTTTGTACGCACAAACTATATGTTACAAAGCGATCCATTTATTTTGAAACGGCGAATTTCTCGGAGGATTTTAAGCGAATTCGATTTTAGATTTTATATTGGTTTTACAACGATGTATATATATTTCTTTTTTTTTCTTTTTTATGTGAACATTTTTTCTACCGGAAAACTTACTCCGGTTATCAATTATAGTATCTTTTCTGAAAGAAAATGTTCTCTGGATGATATTTTAAAGAGGTAATTTTTCGAAATTCTCATTAATATTCGAGATAATGAGAAAAACCTGATTCTTTAGGTCAGTGGCGGCGTGATACCAAATTTTCGGGTCAAGTGTCCCATCTATAAATTGAAGTGGGTGGGTGGCTCGACCCGTGGGTGGTTAGGAAAAAAAAATATGAAGTTATATTATATAATTTATACTTCAAGTCTTGACGTATAGTTTATTACATTACTTAATATACTTAATATAATTTACAAAGTGTACTTAGTCGTGTAATCATATTTTAAGCATCGAAGAGTTATCGATAGTTAATAATAAACCAAATTATAAATAAAATCAATGGATTTAAAGATACTAATTTCAAATAAATTTTTGTATCAACAAGTAACTATTATGACGACTGGGGCGCACTAAATTCCTTCCTAAATATAAAATTCTAGTTTGCCTAAAGGTGTCGGTGAAGTTTCAAATGTGTTATTTTAATAAAAATAAGTGGGTGTGTGAGGGGGTAGGAGAGGGGATTATAGATCAAACGAAAATGTTGCTGTCTCATTCATTAAAATAGTTCACGCTGCCCCTGTTTTTGGTTAAAAAAAAATTGAACAATTCAAAATAAGGTTGCCGTTGACAACCGTTTTTATTTATTTTTTGTCATTGTTAAGTTTTTATTATTTTAAATTTTTTTTTAATCAATCATTGTTGTCATGGAAACAGTATCGTTTTTTCGTTAGCAATAGTTTAAGTATATACCCATTAAGATTATAAGGAATAGAGGTAAAAATTTGAAAATAGTATTTGAAAAAAAGCTTAAACGATTCCATGGTGATTGGAAAAAAACAGCATTCAAATTCACTTTACATCCTCCGGGGAAATCGCTTATTCGTGATAAATGGATCGCCTTGTATAATTCGCGCGTGTTCGTTTTACCGATGCGGACCTGCATTCTAAAGTCACATATTATAATATTATAGTTTTCGTTTTTTATTATATTTATTGAGTTTAAGTATAATCAAAGTTGGGCAGTAGGCAATTATATAGTTAAAACATTAGACTTAGGTTATAAGTTACTTTTTTTGACAACTTTCAACTTAATTAGTTAAGAAAAAATAAAATATTAAAAATAACCTTATGAATATTTCATTTAATAAATAATTTTAATTTAACTTAGCTATTTAGTTAAAATTTGAGTTGCTTCTAAAAAATTATTATTATTTATGTCTTTTTTGTGAAAAAAACTGTTTAGGTACCTATGTTGTTTGCGTATATTTTTCGTCGGAAATTATTCTGTATTTTTACGTGAATATCATTATCTATTACTTAAGACAGGCATGCAACCTATGTGTAGTAATAAGCAGAGCTATACTCACGCGGGTCTTGTACATAGTAAGCCTATACAAATCTAAATATTAGAAAACATACGATTATGAGTGTATAGTAATGGGTAATTTAAAAAGCGGCTTTTATCTTAACTGAGTTATCTATTTACTGAAAACGTGTAACTTAGCTGAATTACTCCAATACAATAATATTTTAAAATCAACCTTCACTTAGTCTAGTTATTATTATTATTATTATTACTATTATTAGGCTAGCTTAACTTAAACGATGAGTTGAAAAGGGTGTACCGTATACGGTAAACATATATTTATTATAGTTATTAGATAGATATACAATACGTCAATACCTATAATAATACGATCCGTTGATACGCGAATAGAAAGTACTATATAGTGTAGGAATAAAATGATCTCAAGTATTTTTTTTTTCGCACTATCCTTTAGGAGTGTACATTATATCTATCTGTAATCGATATAGGTATCTTCCTTAACGCACTTTTCCCATGCGTTGCCCTTGCGGCCACGTGTACAGTTTAGTGTACATGCCGCGAATTACCATGGTTGTTTTTGTACAATATTTTGTACGTGGTCCTTCTTGGATTCACTAGCATTGTGTTCAAAGACCTGACACGGGAGTGCTGATTTTATATAGAAATATGAATCTTGTGGCCCGCCCCCACGATCATTTCTGTATTTTTAGCGAACTCTTAGCATGACATGTTTTTTTATTAATAGAAAATATAATTACAAAAATACAGCCTAACCTTTTCGTTTTACATTTTGGCAAACATATAAAAAATTACCTACATGTGAACGGCAGATGTACAGTGCGCAAAAAATTGCGCACGTGGCAATCAACGTGTTAAATCGTTTTCATGCCGTTCAGTGGAAAAAAACGATCATTCAGGTATGGAAGAAATAATTAGAAACACAGTTAACACTCAAATCGTAAAAATATAGTGTATATATATATATATACATAAACACGGCTCTCAGGAAAGGCTATAGTCCCCTAGTCCCCATGACTACGTCTCCGATTCGTGGGCTTAATGATACGTACGGACCGAACTATAAAAATACACTCGTCGACGAAGATTACTCGATTAACAATGTTATATTGTATTAACACTGTGGGTCCACAATAAAATATACGTGCAATAAATGAAATATCGCGATTTCGTGATCCGAACAAAATTACCCGCTCGATCTAGTTCTTACCCACTGATTGTATTCTCCTGGAATAATCGCAGAAAAACATGCAAATAAAAATAAAATCCATAGGTGAACACAGGTAGCACAAACGGACATCAGAATATCTAGTGTAACATTCCTAGTGTAACAGTCCTAGATGTACCTAGTGGTACACCTAGGATTTTTTCGCGCCGAGCAGAAACAAATATTCAGCTCTCCCTCACACATTTACACGGGGGTGAATATAAAAAAACTTAAAAATAGTACTGAACAATTTTTTGTATTCTTCTTGTTTCCTCTTTTATATTTATCTATTTTTAAAGTAATATCCACGTTATATTTAAACGTACATAATTAATACCAAATACATACCTATTATACATGTTTTAGGTATATTAGTCGAAAAATCGAATATGAATAACACGAACATTCGAGTGTTTCGAATTTCACAATGCCTAGATTACGGATATAATAGATAACACAAGGTCCCGAAAAAAAACGGATATTAAATTTTATATTTGCCTAACAGTTATAGTTGTAAATCATAATAATATTCAAACCGCGGCGTCGTATTATAAATTGTAATAAAATAGTTTGCGGGAGTTATCGGAACAATGTTCGTTAATGTTTTTTAAATGACTTTTCGTAAATCACGCGATATTATCAGAGACGGATTTACACGATTGCCACCCCTAGGCAAATTTTATTTTGTCGCCCCATTAAACTTATCAATGAGAAAACGAATTTTTAAGTACTTATTTAACATAACTACTAAAAAAAATAAATCATATAAACTTTTCTAATCAAACAAATATTGTTTATAAAATATAGTGCTTACTCATCAATAATATTCGGAATATTAAGTCTATCTTAATTCTATATCTGCCCTTCAAGGCAGATGCCTTGAAAGTCGTGTTGAAAATAATCGAATTTCTAACACATGGACAATACTTATTCTCTACTCGGCCGCCCTCTATTTCATAGTCACGAAGAAAAATATTATTACAATTTTATCTATCGGACAGAAAAAAGTTGTATTTTGTACACGTATTGTGTAATAACCAACACATGATAAATGTATATACAATTAAATTAACTTTTGGATTATGAAAATGTACTATTATAAATTATAGGTAGGTAGTTTCCTTCAGTTGTAAATATTAAAAACTACCTTAGAAAATTAAAAAAAAAAACAAGTATTCTCAATAAAATATTGACGTGAAATTGCCACCCCTAAAAATTTGCTACCCTAGGCAACTGTCTACTTAACCTGACGCTAAATCCACCACTGGGTATTATCGTAGGTAAAATACCTACTATTAAAATTCACAAATTTTCACAAAAGCGTACAAATAATCTGAACGCCAGCGATGATCGGATACCTACCTATACATAATATGGATAACTATCGATAATAATATACCTATCGATTCCGCCAATAAAAAAAAAATTACGCCACTGGATCAGTTTATAAACAACCTATTGATTCCGGGCACCTACCGATTTTACCAGCGGTCATCCCGGGGCCAATTCCACTGTCACACTTTGCGACACCATTTTGGGCGATGTTGTAATGTTACATTGGTATTCGTCATAATACAAGTATTACGAATATTACCTATGATCGATACCAATGTATATAGTGACTGCGCACGTCGAAAATTAAATTACACCGGAGCCCAAATTAGTGTGTGCAAACTAAAAAGTCGCAAAGTGTGTTAGTGGAACAGGCCCCCCGTCCCACTTTAAATTCATGTACAGTTTTCAAACGTAATTATTACAATAATCGTAATAGAGTCTACTCGATAGCAGGTACATACAAAGTTAATACAACATGTCCGAAATGTGGGTATCTGGAAACTATTATAATATGATAGTTAAGAAATAATGTAAAAAATAATACCCAACCTAACAGGTCGGTATACCGATCGTTTAAATGCGAAAATCAATTACTGTCGCGTAACATTTTCGGTATAATAATATCAAATAATTTTCGTCGGTTATTGTTCGGGATATTTATATTTTTCCCGTACATCCTCGGTTCGGTAAAACGTACATCTTCACATTGGCAGAATCGATAAGTTAGGATAAGATAGTTAGATTAGTTAAACATTAAACGTGCCTGCGCTGGTGGAATCGATGTATCTTTTACCCTATAGTGAAAAAAAAAAAAAAGGTCTGGCGGAATAAATTGATCCCCGTACCCATACCACCTATATTCAACGCGATTTCCAAACGGTTTATAACAACGCCATAACTTCGAAAATAAATAACTAAACGTACTCACTTAGCGATTAAAAAAATGTCAAGAATTTAAAAAACAACTTTTATTCTATATATAGGCAGGTAGGTATATTATAGATGCGTCCCCTGGCTCTCGGCGGCCGACAATTGACCGCAAAATTATATAGGCATTGGATAAAAGTTTAAATTCGAAATATTTTCAAAAGAACTTTGGGAGAAGGGAGCGGCCGACTAAGTAGACCCCGACAATTTATTTTAAAAATTGTAGCGGACCCCCTGTACACTAATGATTTTAACCACGGGTTAGGTTGAGTTCAATTACTATCCCCCGTGATCTTTTATTTTTCCGATTCGTGCACTATCTTTAATTGGGAGCGTCATTTCAGTTTCTTATATTATACGGTGTAAACATATTATAAAGCTAACCCACCCCTTCCCGGACATTCCATATTAATATTATTGTGAGGAAAAAATAAAAATACTTAATTTCGACGCCCCAGTTCAAAATTACAACAACTCAATAAAAAAAACGTTTTCGTCGAGTTTAACGATATTAAAATTCATCAAATTTTAAAACTGATGTAATTAATTGTAAAATTAAGATAAAATGACCAAATATGGTATGCAAATTTGATTTGATGGTCTGAATATAAGATTACCTTGTTTTTTAACTTAAGTTTTAATATAAAATAATTATAAGCACATTATTTGAACTGAAATAGAAAATAAAATTACGCCTAAAACTATATATATATAGGTACTTCTTTATTGAATATTAAACGTATAACATATTACGATATTATAAAAAATAATATAAATACCACTATAAATGGTAACAACTACAGTCGTGAGTATTACACATGAGTAGAATTATCAATTGATAAACAGTATAAATAAAACGGTTTCAACTTAAAAATAACGAATAATTTTCAGTTCTAAAACTTAACATGTCGACTTAGTTCTTTTTTTAATTGTTTCGGTAACAAATATTCGTTTCTAAAGTAAAATAAACGCCATCTTGTGGACAACAATTAAGCTCCATTATAATGTTTTTGAACCGAAATCGTTATAAAATGGCAAACAATATAGCACACATAACTAATTTTTTAAATTTTTATTTTAGTTATTACAGTTTTAAACTGGGGCGTCAATATGTACTTAATATAGTACAAAAAATGTCAAATTGTGAAAAATGTGAAAAAAAAATGCATCGAATATTTATGCCTGAATTCGATTAACACCTAAACCACTATTATGGATAAAATTTGCAGCGCAGCCTTAATCGTTAAATAGGTATCTCCAGAGAGCTTATATACCAAAAAAGTGGTCAACCACATAGTGCGCGCTGATCGGTTGACCAGGTTATACTAAAAGGCATCTATTGGCTAATGGCTATTAATATTTCCAAGCCATTCGCAAAAAAAACAATTTAATAGATATTTCATAAAACTAATACATTTTGAATTAATTGCATTATAATATTCGGATAATATATTACAAGACCGTATTTTCATACCTCTTCTCTAGAAATCAAAACGGGTATTATACTAAGAAAATTTACTTTAATGTTTATGAAGAGCTATTACTTTATTAAATTTTTAATCTCATACCTATTTAGGGAGTTAAAGGGCTTAAAATATACCAAGGATGCATATTAGTTACTAGGAGGTATATTTACTATTTTACCTTAGTTTACTATTTTTTAAATTTATTTATACTATATCTATTGGCTTTAGCAGCTTATGATACGTCGCAATAAATATTAATAGTCACTATGTATAATATCGTAATATCTTTGTATGAAAATTTCACAAAAGTACCTTTACTGTGTTTTAAAAAGCCTTATTCTTTCCAATAACGATACAGTATTACAATATAAATTACAATACTAAATTATGTTATAAAAAACTACAATTTTATTGAAATGAGCTTCTAAAAATTATTTGAAAAGAAAAACTATATAGATCTAACCTAACATAAACACAAATAGAGCCAAAAGCTTGAGGGAACCAAAAGCAATAATTACTTTAGTTTCATTATAAATAATTTATGATGAGAATTTGAGAGACCATTTTTAGCCAAGATGGTAGGATGAAACAATTTACATATTTTTCGGGGGGAGTATCACGGATAGATTCATAAAGGGAATAGACTTCGGAGTTTTACCTTATGTACGCATGACATTTAAAAAATAAAGGTAAGATAATGGATGCGGGTGCAGCCACTGATGTAGGTGGGAAGTTGAAAAGGTAGGATATAGACGGGAACTTAATGTATATCTGTAACGATAAACCATTGCTTACAAAAAGACGATTCTGAACAGAGTTCAGTTGATAGTGATGCTTTGTCTACAATATATGTAATTTTATAGTAAAATAATTAAAGTTTGAAAACTTTCTTTAATAAAATTTATTTTATACTGTACAGACTTCCCCAACTTGCCTACGTTTTTCTCATGTTTTATCCTGGTTTTTCACATTCGCTGGGAAAACTCCTGAAAAAATCAAAAAATGACCTCATTAAAATACCTACCCACGCCAATTTCCTTTCAAAAAAGGTGCTACATATAGAAATTCGAACAAGTCTTCTGGTAGAAAAATTATACACAAATGAAAAAAAAAATTGACATCTTTGTAAAACCATAAGCTTCTTCACTTCACTCTAAATCTAAAATTTAAGGAGTGGGAACTGAATATTTACCTAGAAGATATGTTGAGTTCACTACCACGCCACTGGCTATTTGAACCAATAGGTATAGTTTGTTTTATAATTTTCAACCGTCCCTCTTTCATTGATCCCCCCCCTTGTTTGACCAATACATAGATTTTCGTACGATACACAAACACACGTGTTTTAATTTACATGAAAATAGATGAGTACGTCAACGTTGCACCTATGCAACGTAAATGCCTAGATATTACTTCGCAGTTGTAAGTATTCAGTTACAACATACCAGATATTTGTATATCCACACCATAATAAATGCCAACCTTTAATTCCATATTGTTCTATTAATTCTAAATACTAAATACTCAAAATACCATCATTCAACATAGTTTAATTTAAAAACAACTCAAAATAGAATGTGTTGTTTTTTATACTATTTTTGTATAGTCCTAGTGGTCTTATCATTTATTGTACAATAATATTGTCATTATACTATTCAGACATACTACAACCAAATAATCAACTGAAATGATGTATGCGTGAACTAGATTTTAATTTTAATATCTGGCAACAAAACTTTACACGTCATTTTTCACTTGCTATTTTTACACTGACGCACATCCATCTGTACACCAAACGATTACTTTTACCCTAAGGCCATTTCCTTGACGGCTAGTGAAGTACACAGTACTCAGGCTGAAATGGGGTAGTCATTTTCATACAGACTTCCCACTGCTGTTGATTCAAACTGGGAAAAAAATTATTCAGCACTTACACATCACCAACTATATTCTAAATAATAGGGCTACAGGTATTTCATTATTTACTTATAGATAAACCAGGTACCTAATAACTTGTCATTGAATAGGTTAGATAAAGTCAATCATCTAAAAGAACACTGTCATTTCGCAAGTTAACAGTAAACCTAATTAATGTATTAAATTTTTATTATAATAAGTACATGAAACAAAATATGAAATAGGTTATTTGTAGAATTTTATTTGATCTTGGATACGCGATTTAATTTTCATATTTATAATTATTATTATGCATTCTTTTTAGGCATACATACAAATTTAAAATATTTAATATTCATATTATATATATATGTCTGTATAATATTAATTCACTTTTACGATATGTATTCCTTTTTTTTTTTAAACTTTCATATTTTCTGAAAATCAACATCAAGCGGCGTGACAATTTTAATTAAAGCGGCACCTTTTAAGAACATTTTGTAACACAATTTTTTATACAGTTTCTATGTGTTCATAAATACAATGATTACAGTCACTTGGCACTCATTTTAGTCTCTCAAAATTTTATATCTAGATGAATATTATAGGAGTATAGAATGAAGAAGATTTATTTTTTATTTCCATTGCCCAGACACAAAAATAAAAATTGCAATAAAATTGGACGGACATAATACAGTCACCTAGTTTTATACATTTAAAATAAAAAGTGATAATAATTAGGCGTAGGTATAATAAATTGTGTCTAATACTTGTTTCGTTTTCGTATATATATATATGTATATTTATATATATATATACATATATATGTATATATATATATATATATATATATTTTGTTTAATTAGTTTGGAATGTCTATGGTACGTGTTCAATCAATGTTTGTTAACCGAGGCCATGGTCTTCAAAAAAGGTTTGAGGTGTTTCTTCCTGAAAAATAAAGGAATATGTTATACAATTAATAACAAATAATGTCAAAGTAAAATCAGGGTGCAAAATTTAAAAAAATATAAAGAAAAAGGTTGAATGAACAATTAAAAAATAATTGAAGAAGTAATGGATAGGGCAAAAGTTGTAATATAAACACTGAGTGCTCTTATAAACATACCGTAGCACCAAAATGTTTGCTGACATTTCTTGAAACGCCACATTAATTGTATTAACATAAATATAAATTTCTATGTATTTAAATAAGAACAAAACTGTTAAAAAAATAATAATTAACCCTCAAAGCCTTTCTACTAGTATAACATGATTATTAAAGTTAAACACTTGTATTTGAAAAAAAAATAACAGTTGAAGCCGAGCGGATCAGTAAAAAGCACAGAGCTTAAGCATAAATTATTGTTTTTTTATTTTAACATCAAATTAATATATTTTTTTTAATTAATGTGATAACGTAATAGGTAATAATAAAAATATTAATTAGAAAAAAACTAATAGTACACATGGATGTTTACAAAACTCTATATTTATATTTAAATTTGATATTTTTTAAAATTATTATGCTAGAATGTTGATGATAGAAACCTGTTAGTTGACTGAGGTATTCTAAAAACATCACATTCAGGAATAGGTTTTTACATCAAATCCACGACTAATATTTTATGAAAGACACATGTACATTGTTTGAATTTATAAAATAAAAAAAAAAACATCACAAATATAATTGCAAGTTATAAAATTGTATGAAACATTAATTATATTGGATGCCCTCATAACAGGCCAATCTCTTTCAGAGCGCCTTCGACTGCCTCCTCCTACATACAAACACATTATCATTAATATCCCAAAATTAAAAAAAAAATAGCATCTAAAAACTGAAAATCATGCAGGTTATATTATTTAAGACAGAAATCAAGTAAGGTAGTATGGATGGAAATTAAATGTGTTTAAAAAAAAATCTACAAAAACAAAATAATAAGAATTTAACAATTATAATTTGTTTTTTTTTTTTTTTATTAAAATTGATCACTCAAAACAAAAAAAAAACACAAACTAACCCAAGGAATTCAAACAATGTTAGCTAATAAAGTTTAACAAAATATACTTAACACTAAATACATGAACCCTGATGTATACAGTATTTTATTTTGATTAAATTACCTAAGAGGCTAAATATATATTATATAAAAACATGAAACAAAAACATTTTCATTACTTTTTCTTTAACATCATTTTTTTTTTTTAATAAATTAAAATTTATATTTATATTAATTGAATTAGTAATAATAGTAAAAAAAAGTAACTAATTAAACAAAATTCTGAAATTTAATTTTAAAATTATATAATTATACATTTTATATTGAAATGTGTTAATACGTAATTAGCAAAAATCAAATGATTTAAATAATAAAGAATTAATGTCTTTAATGATCAATAAAACATAATGATAAATTGGTTAAATATATTTACAATGAATTTATGGAAAAAAAAAAAAAAAAAATTAATAATAATAACACGAATAAATATTGGTTAATAGTTATTAACTTATAAAATATGATAATGCACAGTATAACACATATAAATACCAACTTATTTTGATTTTCATAATATTACTGTTACAAAAATTATAATGAATCTATAGAATAAATATTCTGTTAGGTAATTAGATTAATAACTAATGATGCACATTGAAATGAACAATGATAATTTAAAACATATTAAAAACTAAGATAATATTAATTTTTTAAATTTAAATATTGGACTAGATAAATGTTACAGTGAAAGGCAAGACATGCAATATTTAAATAAACTATTATTACTTTTTTTTAGTAATACTTAGCAAATTAACTCAATAATCATTAATAACAGAAAAACAAAACAATAGAAGAAATTTAAAATTTATTTGAATAAAGTGCATAACTCAATATGCATTAATTATATTTAATATAAATGCATTAAGATATAAAATACCAAATAATTGATATGAAAAAAGAATATCCTATTAATGATCCAAAACAAAGACTAATAATTTTAAATACTGTATTCAAATTAGAGAACATATATTATGTACATAAAGTGGTGTCTATAAATAAATTATTATTATTAAATTTATTTTAAAATTATAATCAAATTTCAGAACTTTTTTTTAATATGCATTATTTTGTTATTTAGCTACAAATAAACTAATGACAAAAAAAAAAAAAAAAAATGTAATAGAAGCAGAAAGAATTGCATTAACTAAGTGTTTATGATAGTTTCAAATAGAAATATTATACTTTAAAGAGTTAAATTGCTAATTTTATGAAATTTCACAATTGAATACATAAAAAGTACAATCGTAAAAGATCATCAAATTCATAATTTATTTAAAATAATAAGCTAAAAATATAAATAATGTAACAGCATTAGGTTATAACAATAAAAATATATATGGGTAATTATTAGTCATATTATAAATATGGTATAAGAACATAGGACTCTACTACATATTATATAAACATTTAGGTGTTTGTATAGCCAGCATTTACATAGTCTTTTTAAAGAAAACCATGCTAAACTTTTTTGTATATTAGCCATATAGTACTGTCAAATATTCTCTAATTATTTATCAGCTTACTAAATGGCATTTCAGAAAAAAAAGCAAATAGATTTGGAGGATTGTAAAATGCCACCACGCAATTGCTGGCGTTTACGGCAAATGATGCGAGTGCTCAAATGTTAAATCAAATAATATTAATAATTATTAGCTGCATAATAAAGGCATTATGGAAGGTAAGTCTTTAGTATAAATAATAAACATAAAACATACATAATGTAGAGGGAGATATTGTACTCAAATGTGTTTTTACAAAAAAAAAAAGGATTTTACTAACTTAAATAATATAAAAATTAAATTCAACTAATATATTTTGGTAATTTTCATAAATAAAATGGAGTTACATAGTAGATAACATTAAAGCATAATAATATTTGACTATCATTTTAGTTGACTAGACTGAATCTTGAATATATTTATAATATATTCTTATATTTTTATGCATATAACATAAATGCATTCAAATGCATTAAAATTTTATCTTTTGTAATTAATTTTGAAATTAATAGTTTAAATACATAGTATGGTGAAATAAAAAAACTAGCTAATAAAGTATAATATGAGCAAATTAGATTTCTAATTGGCAAGTACCTATGTATCATTACTATGTTTATATACCTATTTGTAGCTCAACATTGAATAAATGCACTTTTGCATTTTGTCATTTGACAAAATTTAATTTACTTAAATAATTTAAACTATAAAAACAAATTAAAGTTCTAAAGGAGTGTTTCCATAACTAACCTCTTGCAAGAGATCCTGGGCTGAAATAGCCTTGAGTACATTTTTCTTACTAGTCTCTTGTATCTCCCCACCCAATAATAACTCATCCAATATAAAATAAGCCTTTTCAAAGTTGAATATTATATCCAGCTCACAGACCTACAATAGACAATCCCAATAAAAATATTAAGAAAATAAATATTAGGTAGTGTTACAAAAAAACTTACACTGCCAAAATATTTGTCCAATAATTCAACATAGCGATGAATAATTTCTAAAGTGAGTAGTTCATTGTCATTCTGCTCAATAGCACAACAAAAGTATAAACTGGCATACCTAAAATATATTATGTAATAAAATATTTTTATTTAAACTTTTTCAATAGTATACCTTTTATAAACAATTTTTAGTTCTTTCCATTCCAGAAAACTACACATTTTAGGCTTCCTAGCTAGAATTGTTGTAATAAGTTCCCTGGTAATTTTCTTTTTCACTTTATCTGGATGTGCAACGTACCATTTTTGAAGCCTAAGCTTACCTTGACGACTGAATAATAACATAAAATGCATCTAAACAATAATAATAAATATAAAATTATTACCTATTTAAAATTATATGAACATAATAAATTAATACACTCAGATTAAAGCGGTCTAGTATTCAAAATAGGTACCTGTTATTATTAAAACATTAGCAATTGTCTATTAATGTAACCAAAGTGTATTAAAATATTGCATTTTATAATTTTTAAAAACTATAAATCAATAATTTGATAAATTAATTATAAGAATAATGAAACGTTATGATTATTATTTTATAATAGCAAGATCCAATAGTAATTCAGATACAATTGTTTGGAGATTTTAAAAGATTATTTAACAATACTTTAATATTATTCTGAATAATTATATATTAATTTTAATATATTTTGAATTAATTTAAAATTTAAATTTAAATTAACATAAATCATACCTTAGTCAACTATTCTTAATTGCAATTTTATATTATCCTGTCAAAAATTCTTTATTGTCGATAAAATGGTAAGTACAATAACTACTAAATACAAGTAAATGACTAAAACGACGATTGATGGTTAGTTGTAAGACATAAAAATAATTAAATTATATAATAATCATATAATTGCTATTTATCAAATACAATGAATGTGCAGTTAACTATATATTCAGAAAATAGCGTTCAGTACAAACATTTAAAACAATACTCACCATATTGTTCTGTAACGGGCGATATCACTCATTATTTCTTTGAGTAAGCATAATTAACACAAATTATTTAATTCAGCTATGTTAGATATCGTAATAGTCTTATATTCGGCTAAATACGTTTAAAATCGATTAATCTACACGCCCATAGACGGTATGTAGTATGTACTATGTTATTGAATAAACTTAATAACAATATGTCATAAATATTATAATGATTAGGCGGCTATGACGTTCAATTTCAATCCATTATCTTTTCAATGGAAAAAAAAAATAAAAAAGTTGTCCGAGTTATTCAGCTGATAAATACGGACTGACCTAATGTTACGATTTTATGAATGATTTTCTAAAATGGTGACACTGTATCGTTGAGACCGTGTTGTCTTTCCCTAGTCACAGAATAAAACAGCTGGTGTCAACGTTTAACACTATTAACACGCCGAATTAATCTTTTTTCTATGGTGGAGACCAGTGGTTTTAAAACTTTTTGGGTCTACAGCTTTTTTGATTTTGAAATCCAAATTAACGACTTCCTCACGAACGATGGTAATGTAAAAATAAATATAAATAAATTTACTCTACTATATATTATTTTACTATAGACGTGACTCCACTCCCTTGATACCAAAACACGACGCTTCTGGGAGCCGCAACGCACAGGTTGAAAACCACTGGTAGAGACTCTTTGTTATCATTGTTCGAACCTTGGCCCGGTCCGAGGCGAAACGGCGTGCAGGTTCGTATGTCTCGTTGGTGTATTACGTATATCTTCTGTGTCATGACTTCATGAATGCTCTACTTCGTCGAAGTAAACAATAAACCATGATCAAACTGATCTGAGCTTGATTTCCAAGTAAGACGATCTTCATTACCCTTGTAGTTTTTATATATTTTTTTCTTTTTAGTTATTATTTTCCCCTGTTGGTTAAAATTATATTTGGAATAATCACTATAGCTCAACTTCTGTAGAATTTATTATTTCTTTGGTAATAGTGACTAATTATTGTTAATTGGTGAAATTTGTATCATTTATCATAATTGCATGGATCTAACTAAATTATTGGTATATCTAACGAACCTTTAGCACGAATAATTTCTGTACGTGGTTCGATTTCAAGTTCATAATTTTCCTCATCCCTTTCCATAAAGGTAAGACTAGTAATATTAACTAAAGCCTTTTCTAAAACTAATAATATAATGAAGTAAAATCTTGCATTCAATTGTTCATTCATTTGTTTTGTTTTCAGTTATTTTATAAGTCTTAAAATGCATAAATGTATACTATGCTCTAATTCTACTACAAAATCTAGTTCAGTTACATATCATACGTAAGTATTTTGTACTAATTTTAACTAATATTTTTGAGGCAAATAAATTTTACTACTCAATCAAACGATTGCTCTTTTTTTAAAATTGATTATACTTTATGCTTGTATTATGAATATTTCATACAAATATGGAAATAAGTAGTTTAAAAGTTGTAGCACTTATACCATTCAAGATTGGTATAGGTACTAACTGTTAAAACATTTTTTATTCGGCAATGAAATAACAAACCTGATCTTGCAAGTGAACATTTTTAATCTAGTAATATAATTATAAATATATTAAAATGATTATTTGAAATTTAGGGATGAAATAAAAACAAAACTGTGATTAAATATTTTTTAACTTTTTTATTCTCCGATATAATACCACAATTTGTTTACTATAATATACTATATATATATTGCGCTCTAGATTATCTTTACTCTAAAACCAGTATATTACCTATGTCTAAGTAATAAATTGAAAACAGATTTATAATATGTAAATGCTTATTTTTAAAGTCTAATAAAAAAATGTTCATGATTTTAGTCGTTCTTATTAAAATTAAGTCAATTTTACTTTACATATTTCACTAATTTGTAAATATTACGACATTCATTACTTATACATTTTTTGAACCATTTCAGTGTACACAATCTACTGTTTTTCAGTATGTTTCTATATTATCAGTTGTCATTCATCAGTAATTTGTATTAATTATTATTTATAACATGTTATTCAAGTAAGAAACTACTCAAAAATTAAAGTTCTCTAGTAGTAATACTATTTATATTTTTTATAATTATATTTAATGTATTTCCATACATTTATTTTGATTAGGTAGAAATCTATTCTTTAGTAAGAAAATTTAGAGGCATTTTAATTTGTATATAAATTATAATGATTATTTTTTTATAATACAAATTAAATGCATAAAACAAAATAATTTTGAAACATTTCTTTGTATTACTTTTAAAAGAATTATTATTTGTATCTATAATTAATAATTATTAAAACTAATCAATATGAAAAATTTAATTGTTTTCTTTTCGCAAATTTTTATATTCTAGATGCTATTTTCTAGAATTGATAAATTATTGATTAAATCATCTTATAATTTGTTGCGTTTATACTTTTCTCTAAATACATTAAGAAAAATACTTATGTCATGAATATAATGACCCAAATATAACGTATTTTTTTGAGCATTTAAAATTAAATTCAAAAATCAAATTTCCATTTTAACCATCAACTCTGGTTAAGTTTAGAATTTAAAAAAAAAAAAAAAAAACAATATTTACTATGATTATTGTGAATGATTTTTTATCAAGATTTGTATTGATTTTCTCTTAGTTTTAACCATTAATAATTAATGACTTATTCGAGAAATGAAAATATTAAAAATAATAATTTTTAGGACCCATGGTAAATACTCTTATTTATAAAATGTAACATAAGTCAATTTACTCTAAATTCAACTGGAGAGTCACATTTTTGTAATTATTAAATTACTGATGTTATAAGAGTATTACGCGCCAGACAGATAAAAAAATAAGACAGATATTTGTGAAGAGACCTCTTAATAGCTTTTAGATTTAACCTTTGAATGGTTATAGTTTATTTCCACAAAATAATTTTAACATATTCAGCTAAAAGTACCAACTGTTGATTAAAAATTAAATTTGATAGAGTAGTAAACTGTATAATCCTTAAACGGTCACATTTTATTATAAATGTTTTTACATTAATTATTTACGTTTATTTTGTAGATTTCCTAGAAATCTTGTAAGAAGAAATCAGTGGGTTGAACATCTCAAAGTGGGTAAATGTTTCGATTGGCAGCGCATTTGTAGTGACCATTTTTTAGATGAAGACTTCAAACCAGGAGATAAGCGATTGCTACGGTCAAATGCCATTCCAAAACTTCCAAACAAGTATGAAATAAATGCTATTTATTTAATTTAATTATCTAAGTATATATTAGGTAGAGAGAAATTATAGTATTTAGGACCCCTTTTACAAAAAACAATGCATTTAAGGAGTATGTGAAACATAAAAAAAGTGGTTTGATGAAGTAGAGAGAGGCATCATATTACATAATAAAATAATTCCAATATGGCTGAAAAGTAAAATTAAATAAAGTAAATTTTTTCTGTAAATTTGTTTATTGCGCTTGAAACAATTGAATGTATTGTTCTATTTTCTTTGAATTTGGCATTAATTTAAATTGAAGTAATTAGAAACCACATATGTAATGGTTTTTATATATTATGAGATTTATCCTATTTAAATTCCACATATTCTTGGTGTGATATGCAACACACTTTGAGAGGTGTTTTATATCTTAAATTACTATTTCCATTAATTCATAATATTAAACTCGGTAAAAAGTCCAGTAATTGTTTTGTTTTACGTCTTAACTGGAATTATTAAATTGGAATTTGTAAAAATGTATCTTCATTGTTTATAGTTTTATTTTTCTAATAAACTATTGTTTAATTCAATATATGATACAAAAAAAAAATATATATATATATACTATATGTTTAAATTTACATATTTTGGTGAACTGATTCTTCTAGTGAAATTTATGAAAATAATGAATCACCTGAGTCCAGCAATCTTATAAATAATACAGCAACTAAATTGGGTTCGCCAAGAAGATCTTCAAGAAAAATCAAAAAATCAAGACAGTTGCTCGAAAATGAAACAAATAAAACAGTGAGGAAATTACCAACAGCTATTCCTATAGCACCAATAGATTCTAGAACCCGAACTCCAATATCTAATTCAATTGCAAACCGAAAGGTATATATGTATTGAATAATTATATTATATTTATTAACTTAATTAATTTTTTCAATTCAATTATTTGGTTATAAAATCCAAAGTTATTTAACATGTATTTAATATTAAATAAGGAACAAAATTTTAAAATTCAAAATCTTAAAATGTTTTTTATATAGGTCATAAAAAAAATCTTTATTTCTCTTTTAAAATTATAAATTATTTTAAAACAATAAGAAGGAAAATGAAAAGTATGCAATACCCTTATAATTATTCTCTTTAAATGTAATTCTTCCAATTGTATGTTTAAAAAATGTCTATGTTAAATATTTAACATAGACCTATAAAGAAATAGACTGATAATAGAAAGATATAAGTTTCAATCATAGGTATAGTTATTAGGAAGAAACACGAGATAGTTAGATATTGAGATATAATAAAAGAAAAAAACAATATCATGGAATTGAATGGTTATTATTTCTTAATACACAATTTGGATTTTGTCAACATTTATTTTTTTTTCTCTTGGTCTAAGAAGAAGCTATTTTAGCTATAATGCACAAAATATTATGTTGTAATTTTTTTTATATTTATACAAGATGATTTATTAAGCATGCTCGTCCCATTTTTAGGGGTAAATTATGCATATATTCAAATTCTGATTTTTGAGATTTTTAGATGTAGTTGGACGATATTTTTGTATACTTAAGGTATAATTTTCCTGCAGTGTCCAGACTGGTGTTTGCCCTATTTTCTCTAGAGCATCAAACTCCATAGATTTTATTAGTTTATTTTACAAAATTTAATCACGACTTTTGTCCCTTTCACACGTAGTACAATTTAAAACTAATTTTTTTAACCTTTTTTCAGAATAGTTTTTTCTTTATTAATTAAATGTTATTTTTAATTTTTCAAAGATGAGAAAAAAGAAAACCAGAGGTTTTTTTGGTGTCCCCTTTTTTCACTGTACTGTCAAAAATTGTAAGAACTCGTATCCATGTTCAAATGTGAGTTTCTTTAGTTATCCTGATAGTTCTCTTCGGGATGTATGGGTTGAAAATTGTGGAACTCAAGAAATAGTAGATGCAGCACGGAGCAAAAAAAAAAAACATTTAAAAGTCTGTGGAAAACATTTTGAAAAATCTATGTTTATCAATCCTAAGAAAAAAAACAGACTTAAACAAAATGCTATACCAACATTACATGTTAACAAAGGTAAGAAATATACAAATTCATAATTTATCTATTTAAATAATTTTTAGTGCAGTTATACTTGTATGAATCGAAATTGAGAAGACTATATAGGATCATAGTTATCCAAGAATTTTCTGTTACCTGTCTAAATGTTTTATTTCAAAACTATAAAATAATAATATAATAATAAAAATAATATTCTAGTGACTTTGTGTCTAGATATTTGTATTGATAACACTAAACAATTTAACTGACCTTTGTAAACTAAACCAGAAAAAAGTTTAAATTTGGCCAACTTTGGAAATTTCTTGGTATGTCTTGATTACTTAATGTTACCATAATTACAATAGCCAATCTGAATATTATAACAATATGTCCATAAGAGGACTATAGATAATAAAGAAATAGTGGATAGGCCACTCTTATAACAATTGTAAGTAACTGTACCAATCCCTCTTAAAACACTGGTCATGTGTGGATACTCTATCCATATCTTTATTATCTATGAAGATGGCACACAACATTTGTATAAGACTTTAATAAAAAAAAATGAATACATTAAGTCTATTTGTGCCTTTTGGTTAAACATTATTTCAAATAATTGGACTTAAGCATATTTTCTAGAAGAATTTGTATTTTGAAAATAGTTTTTGATAGAGATTACAGTTGTAAATAGCACATGCTATATAAACAATGATTGGGAATATTTTAAATCTTCTATGATATTACTAGTAAATAGTACCTTCCTTATGACCCTGCTCTTAATGTTAGAAATCTATATACACAGGAAGAAAAATAACACCAAAGAAATCACGAACAAATTATTATTTTTATTCCATTTTCATTATACAATTATTATAATTTTAAAAAAAATACAAGTGTTACACTCTAAAATAATATTCTCTTACTACTATGGTGTTACAAATTATAATATTTGTTCAATCATTTTACTACACCGAAATGTTTATCTCAAAATTTACTCGTAAATTTGAAGACAGTATAACATCGTATATAAAAAAAAAAAAAAAAAAATCACTAAACTTTATTATTTATTTATCTTAAATTTTTTATTCTATTTTCTATAATGCATGTAATTTTTACAGTTATCAATACTTCTCAATCAGCAACTTTTGAAAACAATGATATAGAATGCACTTCAATAGAAGAGTCAAGTACAACTAATGAGTATTTAATTCAGCCATCTTTAGAGCTGGATGAGGTAAATTTTATTTACTTTGTAAAACATGAATACCTTAAATTATCCAATGTCCTTATTATTCCAAAAAGTAAATGGAATGTATAAATCCTGAACCGTATTTACTTGGAATCTAAAACCTAAAATGTGTATTTGTCTAGACTGTGTGTCACTGATATCTTGAAAGAAAAATACAGTCTGGTTAAATACTTAACACTCAAATAGGATTTTTTTAATTTCTGTGCAAATACAATTCCGAATAAATATATTCTGGTGATATGCAGTCTAGAGAAATACAATTTTTATTTTATTGATTGGAATTATACATTACGGGCAAATGCAGTCAAAAGAAATACTTTTCAGATTGTTATAGCCCTCCTGGTATCCATCTATTATTCAATAATCTTATTCTTTTTAAAGTTAAAAATTATAATGCATTTAGGCACCTTAGTGCAATAAGCAAATTAATATATGCATTTTTTAATTGTGAGTATTTAAAATGGAATTATTTTCTTTTTAGAGTACACTCAATCTTAGAAATTAATGGTGACATAGTTACCTACCCAAGGTTAATGTATCAAATAATATGATTATCTCTTTAATTTAAGGATTGTGTAAAGTGGACATTATTTGACAGCCAGAATTATTCATAATTTAAAAAAAAAAAAAACAGAAAATAGCAAACATTTCTTTGGTTGTATTTTTAGACTTGACTGAGATTTTTTTTTAATATTGTTTTCACACTGGCTTTGTATTTAACTATTTGTGTAAAATTTGTTAAACTGTTTCTTTGTCGATATTTATTATTCTATCATCATGTGAGTATTAAATGGCCCACATTTCAGTAATCTTTCATCTCCTCTTACCCGGCTTTAAAATTTTTTTAAAAACTCAAATACATGACATGGTGTTCTTTTCGCTTTCAAAGAACTTTCTGTGAGAGAACTTTTAAATTAACATACTGTTTTATTTTTAAAAATTAGTTATAATTCCAGTGGTAATTTCGTACAATAGTATCCACTTTAAAAACTAAGTGAACTAATTGACCAAATGATAAAAAAAAAAATGTAATTATTTGATGCATTGACTAATTTAGTATTAACTACGCAACTATTACCCACCAGAAACTTAATTTCGACACTTATTATGTAAAAAAAAATCCCTTTTAAAAACCACACCTAATATACCAATAACTAAATTAAATATCAATTTTAAATCATAAACTACAACAATATAAAATGTAAACAAATGCATCGTAAAAATAATGATATTATGTTGAAAGCGATTTAAAAAGCTATGTCTTTTCATACGTGAGGTAACTCACGTTTGAAGGCAGTTTACCATTTACTATAAACAGCATTTTCTCTCAATTGATTTTCAATGGTTTCTTTTTTTAAATTGATAAATGCAATTTATTTATGTTTTATATGTTTAGACCATGACTGATGAAACAAATATGGATACAAGCACTAAAATATTTGAAATATGTTGTGTACCAGGATGCATCAGTAATTTTGCAGAGGAAACTATGATGCCTGAACTAATTTTTCTATTCAGTCCACCAATTGTAATTTTTATTCTTATATTAAATATGTATACGTATAATATTTTAATATTCTTTGTTAATTTTAATTTGTTTTACAGGAAGATATAAACAAATGGAGTTCAGCACTAGGCATGCCATTAACTGAATCTAGTCGTGTATGTGAGCTTCATTTTAAACCCCAAGATTTCCCAGATACAAAATCATTGGCACCTGGTGTTGTACCATCAGTAATAAAACCATGTGAAGATGGCCTCGACCATTTAAGTGATAATGTCAAAAAGAAATATAAATTACATAATTCAATCGGTATGGAAAAAATATAACATTTTAAAATAATTATTGTTAGAATTACTTTAATATTTTTCATAAATTCAATTTTGTTTTAGAAGGACCAAAAAAGCTACTAAAATTTGAGGGTTTGCCCAAAGATGTAGGCCATTCATCATTCAAATTAAATGAAGTGTTAACAAATACACTTCCAGGAACAATGATTAATAACAGTTCATCATATATTTCTCAATCAAGTCCCATATATAATGATCAAAAATCACTAGTTACTTATACAAAAATTGATACTAATTCAATTTTAAAACCATTATCAGAAACAAGAAGTGAGCCCATACCAGTACCAATGCCAATACCAATACCTTCAGCTGATGCGTCAGGATCAAGAACTGAAAAAATGTTTTCTCATAACTCTGTGCCTATATCAAATATTTCTCAATCAAATCTTATACACGACAAACTTGCATCAGTAATTAATATAACAGAAGTTGACACTCATTCCATTTTAAGACAACCATCAGAAAGAACAGTTGAACCAATGCCTTCAACAATTTCAGCTTATAAATCTAGTACAAGAATTAAAAAAATGCTTTCTAATAGTTCTGTGTCTATTATAATGGAATCAGGCGATAAACATGATAAACAGTTATTGCCAGTTAATTCTACTGAAAACATTTCAAAACAAACATTAATTACTGAACCTACTGGTGTACTTTCAAAAGCATCAATCAGCAGTTCTACACCTAACAATTCAAAATCAAATTTGATAAAAATACTCCCAAAAACATTTACTAATGGTTCTGTTTCAATAACTCTAAAATCAAATATTAACCCATCAGAAATTGATTCAGCTAATATTGCAAAAGCAACTTCTTTAACAGATAATGTTATGTCTAATTCTGTAGAATCTACTTTAAAAAATCTTGTGAATAATAATTCTGTATCTATTATAAGAGAACCGAGTTACAAACAAAGAAAACCGGTATCAACAATTAATTCTACTAATGTATTCAAATCCCCTTGTGTTTCAGTACAACCATTAAAAAAAAAACCTGGACCCACTGATAAACCATCAACGTCGACTAATGATTCTTCACTAACAAGTGTTAATATTTCAGAAAACCTTTCATTGGGTGATGAATTAGCTAATCCTCCAAATCCTATTTTAAAACTAAGTGTTAATCAAATTGACATATCACAAAAAGAAATAAAATTAGAACCAATGGATGATTATGAATGTCCTATAACTTCAGCAGACAATTTTATTATGATGAATTCAGGGGCTCCCATTAGTGTGACTGGTAATGACAATATAGAAAAGTCAACATTAATTCGAGATATTTCCAAAGCAGTTGTACTTCCTAATTTGTATTGGAGAAGTCTTTATCATAAAGAACAAAATAACACTGTTTTTATTGAGCGAAATGAGTTGATGGAACCAGTGAAAAAAATTTTCTTTAAAAATAGTTTAGTGCCAATGATATATATAAATAACAAACGATATGAGTACAATGAAACTATTGATAATAAGATTGCATTAGAAAATCTTTTGTCTAAAATTGACATGATTCAAATATGTTTAGGCTATGATGGATATGTTCATGACCAATGTATTGGTTATTTAGAAAGTACTTCAGTCTCTAATAGATCTGAAGTCTGTAATAGATGTCACAGTTTAGTAGAAAAAGATTTTTTTACTAAGTATGAAGAGGAAATAACAGAAAAAATGAATATAATTAAACGAATTGAAAAAAATGTAAGTAAACATTTTATAATAGTATAGTGAATATGTTTGTATTAAAATATAAATTTGTTTAGATTATGGAAAGAGAACATAGAATATCAGAAGCCAAAAAACGTTTGCAGTCTACAAGAAAGGACCCTAAAAATATCTATAAACCCAGTAATACAGTGATGTGTGAACGATAATCCCATATTTATTTATACATATTTTTCATTAATATCATTAACAGGTACAACTATGATTAATGTCTCAACTATTTTTTGTTCATTTTCACTTTTTACAATACGTGCAATTATTTGCTTGCACTTCTATCATACTTTTTAATTTAATATAAGGTTCTCATATTATATATATGTATACAATTTTTTAAATTAAAAAAACCCATAATAAATAGTTTATTTTAAAATAATATAAACTTATATTATTTATTTATTTGTAATATTATTTATATTTTAATGTGTTAATTTTAATTTATATCAATTTTTACTGACTTTAAATAATTAAACTTACATTTTTTACTTCAATTGAAAATATGTAAATTTGTTTGGGTGTAATTATATTTTACTTCTGTACAGACACTCTGAGAAAATTTGATTAATTCTTGCATCACAGGACACCACAATAAACCTCAGATTTTACTAAGTATTTACTAGTATATTCCACGAGTCAATTATTGCTGTTATTTATATTTGCATAATTTAAAGCTCTTTTACTAAATTTCTAAAAATTAAAAACAACTACATTGCTATTCCCTTAACTAAACTAAAACTATCACATTACCATATAGGGTATCTACAAGTAATTAAATTTAGTTAGTAACTATTTACATTGTTGAATTTGAAAATTCATCTCAAGTTAACTGTATAGTGTCATTTCAGAAAATCATTAACATAACATGTGTGTAAACAACAATATAAGGTTGCCATACGTCTTGGAAAACCAAGTCTGTCACTTTTTATAATACTCCACCTTTTTTTAAATTGTAAAAAAGATTAAATGATTTAAAAGACATAATTCATAGTTCTCTATTATTTTTATTTTCTATAAAATATTTCTAAATTCTTTTTTTGTAGATTTTAAGTGCTATAAGTCCTAAGCCCTGCTTATTAATTTCATGTTTTATAATAATCTTTTTAAAAATGTTTTTTAAAAATAAAATTTGTATTTTTTTATAATAAATTTATAATGTAATAAAAAATAATCACAATTTCTGCCATATTGCTATAGTATATAAAATGTTTTTTTTTTTTTTTTAATACATAGGTAAGATATATGTGTCCATCATATTTTTAATCTAATTTTATTTGTATCATGACAACCCTAAACAATATATTTTATAATAATTAAGTATAAAAAAACAATTTGTTTAAGATTACTCAATACTCAATAAAAGCTATGTTGGAAAACCTATCTGTATGTAATATTTTAGTTAATTAAAAAAAAAAAAAACTATTATTTTTGTATTATTGAACACTATTCCATTACAAGCTCAGGCTTAAAGGAGTAAATAAATTCTTTAAATAGAGAGTGATTCACAAATTGTGCTCACCCATTTTTGTTTTTATTAAATTTTGCTTAATGTATTCGAATTCTGATTTTTGAAATTTTTAAATGTAGCTAAAGCCTACATTTATCAAGTACTTAATTTTCCACAACATTTAAAAAGTATATTGTGGCAAGTTCGAAATATAGAATACAGATGGGAATTTAATGCATCTGTAAGCAACAATAAACCATTGCTATCGAAATAACAATTATGAACGGAGTTACTTTGTCAACAAAATATATGTCATATTATAGTAAAATGTATGTATTATACATTTACTTTAATAATATTTGTTTAAAACTGTACCTATTTTCCCTTCCTCCCATTTTTTTTTTTTTTTTTTGTTTTTCCAATATATAGAAAAAATCAAAAAAGTACCTCCCCAGACCAATTTCCTTTCAGAAAAATTGCTATCATTGTAAATTGAAGCAAAATTGTTAGAAGAAAAGTTGTTCACAGATAAAAGAAAAATAATAAACCAATGTAAAACCATAAGCTTCTTCATTCCGCACAGAATTTGAAATGTGTTAAGCGCGCTTAAAGAATCATCATGTATATGTACCTACATTTCATTAAATGTATATTTTAGAGATATTTCAAATTTAAAAAAATTAAAACATGTACTTCAAAATGGCAACATAATTTTTTGACATAAAATAGTTATTTGAAGTAGCGGCCCGCCCCCAAAGAAAACTTCTGAATTACCGGTGGCCCAATCCACCACTGTGTGAAGCCATGATAAAATTTTACATACTTATTTAATATATAGTATCTATAGTAACTAAAAAAAAAAATGTAAACTAATAAATATGTGTATTAATATTTACCTTCAAAAAACGAACTATGATACAATGAGTACATGTAAAAATCTGAAATGTACAAAGTTGGAAAGTACAATTCTTGAAAATACAAATCTTGAATCCAGCGTTTACGGTTATCAAAATTTGAACCCTAATACCGTACAAACTTGGAATGTAAAAGTTTGGAATGTACAAATCTTGAAAAATAAGTTTCTACTAATCCAGTGTAACCAACATCGAATAAAAAAAATCTGATTTCTATATTCAATTATATATATCCTAATTATGCAAATTTTGTCTATGCATTTATCAACACCTAATGATTGGTTTTTAAAAAAAAAGATGGTAGCCTTTCTCTGACACTGATAAACACTTCCAGGAAAGTAGGAAGTTAATGTCCCATAATTAGGGAGGGTTAATATTATGTTATTTTTTTCTTATAATTTTTAAAAGAATAGCTTTTGGTCAAAATGTTGGTGACACTGGAGTAATAGAAATTATTTTTCTAGATTTATACATTCCAGACTTTCATATTCCAGGATTATACGGTACAGATTTGGATAACCGTAAAACCCTGGATTCAAAATTTATTTTTTCTACAATTGTATACTCCAGATTTTTACATGTTTCCCATTTAATTGATCCAGAGAATATGATTATGTATAACCATTATTTAAGGTCACCCATAGGCCATAGACTCGTTTCACACGGGTTACTTTTTGTGGCATCACAGAAATCGCACTGTAGTGGCACTATTTAAAATACATTGTTTTTTATTGATGATTTCACACAGTGTGGGACATAGATATTAGACATAGACACATAATTACATGGATTGCACTTAGAGAGAAATTCAAAGTCAACAAGACAGTGAAAGAGAAAAAATATACCTGTCATGGAGTAAACGATACAATATTATTTAGTATTTTCTTTTATATAAGTTATTAGTTAGTAATTTTTTCCATGTTTAGTGTATTTTTTGTTCCATGTGAGGTGTAGTTTGTCTCATACTCTCATGAACATATAATCTACAGTCTCTCTCACTACATATTCTTTTTAAAATAAAAAGGCAGGGATACGGAACGCACAATCCATATATTTAATGTATATTATATTAGATAATATATACCAGCGATTCTCAACCTTTGGTACTCCGATAACTCATAAGTGGTACACGAAGAAACTTTTTAAAAAGTGAAAAAAGAAGTTATTAATTATAATGCAATTTATTAATCCATAAATATTAATAAAAATGATAAGCATGCATATTTAATTTTACTTTTGCGTATAACATTAATATATATTAATGTAGATTTAATGATAAAAAGATTCATACATGTAAATTAAATAACGTAAACATTTAATTTTTTTATAAGTTATAAAAAAAGTTGAATAATTGTGATAAGTGTTACATGAAAAATGTCAAAATGTGTTAGTGGTACGCGGAGGACCGCTGATATATATTGTCTAGAATATACACTATCGATATATTTTGTACCGGTTTACTAACACCAATTGATACCGATTATTTTACACCAGTATTATAGATATTCGACAATGGAAATCGGTGAATACCCACAATTTTCTAAAATTAACAATGATAATACTATCAAATAAATATAAATCAATTATTTAAATTTTCAGTGTATTACCGTATTCCCATTTCCCGCTAATTACTTAATAAAAATCAATTTGAATAGGTATTAATTGTTATCAATTAAATTATTATTATTACCATGTATCTATTCGTTTATTATTTTGAGGGGGAAATGAGAGGGGATGAACCGATGTAAATAGTTTGCACCATAATATGCATGTGATGGGGCACAAAAATTAAACCAGTATCGTTCATTTTAACACCGGTTTGTAAGAACAAATTTAGTCTGACTTGAATAAAAACATTATTTATCTAATTATCAATAACTATAAATAATAATAAAAATGTCTATTTTTGACCACATTTTGGATTAATTCCAAAAATGATTTTTCAAGGTTTATATACAAAAACTTTAAAAGTAAGTATGATGGGTACGTTTTGATTATACCAATGAATTAGGCGTCTAAAAAAATATTTTGGAAAAAAAAATTTGAAAATGTTAAATTCTAACTAAGAAATACGTGATAAAGAAAACCCGTACATTATGAAGTTTTCCCTCATAACTTCCAAACGAAATTTGTCAGACTTTTTTTACATTCTTAATGTAGATGCAAAAATACACATTTTGGAAAAAAAATCACGTGGTTGCTAAAATAGAATCGTTCCAGAAGTAAAAACGGTCTGTATAGATGAAACCATCTGTTCGACTAAATGGAATGTTATCATATATCGGTAATCAAAACTGTTATAAACACCTAAACTAAATCAAACCAACACCATAATCATGGTTACTATTGAGAACTATTCTAGCGCTCTCTGATTTCCGTTAAATATCAATAAAAATTAACTACGTTTTTCCAAACTTGTAAATGGCGTCTGACTTCAATAATAAATACGTGTTTGCTATCTAGGCATTTTATATATCTATGTATATAGTTCTTGGTTATCACTAATCACTTATGAATTCTCAGGGAGAATGCAATAATTAGAATGAATACGATGAGTTTTCTCGTGCATGCGCAAATAATGTATCTTAACAAGAGACTTGTTCATATAGTCATATGTGCTTCTGATATCGAGATATGGCCCTAACCTAACCTAACCATCCATAGAATATGATATAAGGATGTAAGGAATGATTACTACGTGATGGTAAATTTAGTCCTCAAATTCAGGAAAAAAAATTTGGTTATTTTATGAGACTTTTTCTTTTTGGTTTTTTTCCTGTTACCCTATGTAACTTTATTTAACTATATTTTTTTTAAACCTATTTTTATGCGCCTTCTAAATAACTTCTCATTATTCAATTCTATCTATTTATTGCCTATTTTCCACATGTATAGCAATTTTTACGAAGTTTGGGAGTCACTGCACTTTCTTATCAAATATTGCTAACGGAACGTACGTATCAAGATATTCAAGATTAATCCACCTTGGTACGTATTATTAATTATTATTGTAAACTGTAATATACTATTTTTTCAGTTTTTAATTATTAAAATGGTGATCTAGATATTTTCACGTTTTATTTTTGATCATTATTTAATATTCATCATACAACAATTATGTAATAAACAGTTAAAATAATTCCTGTCAACAGTCAACAATCAAATCATGGTCAAACATTTGTGTCCGTTCGAAAACTGCAGTTCTACATTTAGTCGCCCCTCCCGTTTACTAATTCATATTCAACGTCATCAAGGCATCAAAGGCTTCCAATGCACTCAGTGCGATCGCGGTTATCATCGACGACAACATTTAAAAAGACATGTTGCCGAGGCTCATCAAAATCAGTTGCGCTTGGAACAATTACTGACTTGCAACCATTGTGAAAGACAGTTTAAAACCGCCTGGGGTCTTCGCAGACACCAGATAAAAATAAAAAGACAGAAAGCCAACATAAGGCTGCATTGTTGTGAAATTTGCAACCGAAAGTTTTTGAACTCCGTCGATCTTGGCCGTCATTCTCTTAAACATGAAAGTTTCAAATGTGTACATCCATCATGCCCTTTGTTAAAACACCAATTCATTAGTTGGAAATTTTACAATCAGCACATGATTGATTATCACTCTGAGCCATTTGAGTGTGAACACTGCGGCGAAAAGTTCATAATTAAGTCTAAAATAAGGTCTCATGTCAAAGAGCACATGCCAAAGTTTAACTGTACTCAACCAGGCTGTCATAGCACGTTCGATTTTGCTAAAAATTTAGTCAAACATATTCAAGTAGGTCATGGTGAAAGAACATATAAATGCAATATAATTGGATGTGATTGGACATTTAAGTACAAAATTTGTTTTGAAAGACATATTAAAGCACATCAACAAAATAAAAAAATCTTTCCTATGGCAAATAGAATTCACAAAAAAGAACCAAAATTTTTAATGGCAACAAAATTAGCAAAATTGGCTTTAAAAATTTAATTAAAATATTTATAGACTTTATATTCTAGTGTTTTTTTTTCTAATAAACCACAGGACCTCTACCTATCGTAAATAGCAATGAATATGGTTGTGACTTATTGACAGCCGGTGTAAGTTTCTCTCAAACAATATGAGGTATTCTTAACAATTAAACAAGACTGGTGGGTTGTTCCATGTGCATGGAAAAAGTACTATGGTGTAAGATGTTTGCAGATAATATATATCTTCTTTGAAAGAAGAAAATCTGAAAATAAGTTAATAAAGGAATGGAGAGTAGCATTCAAAAGGTAAGGTTGAGAATTAAAGTTATTTGATCTAGATGTTAAATGTAGGATTAAGTGAATATAAGTGTCAGGTGTTTTTATGTGACAAGAGAATTTCAATGAGAGATAAAGTTAAGTTCTACAAAAGTGTGATGAGACTATGTTGGATGGTAGACAGAAAAATAGAATAGAGAATGAGTGTAGCAGAGATAAGAATGCAGATGTAAATGAGTGAAGTGACGAGAGAACATAGGAAAAGAGATACATAAGAGGTAGACAAAATGAATGAAAATATACTAGTTTGGACATATCATGGGAAAAGACTAATCTGAAGCATTAAGAATTGTAATGAAAATAAATGTAGGAAGAAAGATGAAAAGACCAAATAAGAGGTGGTTGGATATGACTGAGATTTTGAGGATAGTCAAAGTTTACAAGGTAGGAGATTGAATCAAGTAGAAATGTAAAACAAGAGTTGCAGACTTTGAATAGTTTGATTGAAGACAAAGGAGAAGAAGAATAAACTTCACCGAACCCAAACATGCTTCCCATAACATTTCCAATCTACCTGTATATGATTGTTATTAACTAATTATATTGATTAAAAGATTTGTCTCAACTTCAATTGTAGATATGTTTTACAACTAGTTTCAGTTTATGATCAATACAACTTCTTATTTTCACTTGCTATAATATTAGAAGACATTTTGATAACTGTGTCCTAAGTGATCTACCTGTAATTCACTAGTGTCTTAGATATCTATCAAAATTGTGGAGATATATTTAACGTGTATTTTAATGTATACATTTAACTGAACAGAATACTCACTTATCGATACCACACAATTATACTCTCATTCGACTAGTTCTCTGTTGACTATTGGTGAGTATATATCCTAATTGTCAATCATTATTGAGTCTTATTTTGTGTATTATTAAGTATTATATTATTCATAATGAATTCAACCATTGGATATCTGTACCAAAATATTATTTGGGACACAATACAATGTGCAGGGTACTTACAAAATACAAATTTAATATATACGTTATTTTTTAAGAGATGAAGACATTGTTAATAAAATAAAAAAAATGACACGTGGCAAGGTACTAAAAGAAAGTCAAAAGATGGTAAAAATAAAATTCTAACAGTACATTCAAAAAAAATTATAATTTGAATATAAATTATTTTTAAATAGTTTTTGATAGATCGATTAAGACATTGATATTTTTTCTTTTTTAACTTTTTGTACCTTAGCTAGAGGACGTTTGTTTAGGGTTTTTTTTCTTTAAGCTAAAAGAGATTACATATATTATTTTGTAATTCATAATTGGACATTTTTCTTGTAGGCATTTAAATATTTTTATTCTTAAAATAATAACTCAACTTTAAGCAGGTAAGTTTACTTAAAATATTAAACCTAAGTGAATTGTTATATATATTAGCAAAATCCACCAAAATTAGCTTAGAACTGTTAATAAACAAATTTAAAGAATATATATATATATAATTATTTACATGTACAATATATTATTATTACGAAAATAATTTTGACAAAAATTCTGTCCTGTCCTGTTCTGAGTCTTCAACTTTTGGTGTAAATTCCTCTTCAGGTAATCTTTGTCGGACATTGATATTAACATTTGATGGTCGGCATAACTTATTCTTTTCACTTTGTAAAATATTAGAAGAAAAGTGATTAGCTTCTCTTTTTACTTGTGATACTTCAGCTCGAAGACGATGTTTACGTACAGCTTTTTCGTAAGCTAACCGTTCATTTAAATGAACCCATTTAAATCTGAAAAAAATCATTATTATGAAAGTAATACTAATAAGTAATTGCAAAATTAATATTGTTACACTGAAAAGAAAAGAAAATTTAATTATTTATTTATTTTCCATTTTATTGGAATATAATAACATGTAATATATAGATATATAAATAATTGTTTATTATTAAAAATACTGTAAGACTTGGTTTCCAAAAATTGAAAATAACTGTACAATATAATTAGTTGTAAATTATCTGTCAAGATAAATAGTTTTAACTGGGAAGTTATTAATTCAGGAACACTTGACCTGTTAGAAAAAATCTAACATTTGATTTATTTTTAAAAACTATTATACATTAAATTATAAATAATCATCCTTCCTCTAATGCTTTGTTTTTATATCTATGAAACTGATACCACCATAATTATTATTGTATAACTGTTAATTTCATTTTTTATTCAACAATACATTGTTTTTCAATAAAAAAAAAAATAATAATACATATTGTAAGATAACAAACACAATATTAATAGGTTGGAAGTAATCGAAGTTTTAATTTATAAACCCTAATTGAATCAATCTATTATAATATTATTATATATTTGTTAATACTTTATAATGCTTAATTATCAGCCATAAATTAAAACTGAATCCAGGATTCATTAATATTGGAAAACGGATAATCTATTCATGCAAAAAAATCCTGTATGCGGACAATCTGTTCCCTTTATAATTGTATACAAGGACACTTTGTCCCCGGTATTTTTCAGAACGCTTTTATAATATTAGATTAGGTACTTATTGAAATAATTGTATGAAACCTTACATGTGACAAGGAAAATAAATTGTATGTAATTGTATAAATGGTCATGGTTTTAGTATTAACTTTTAATAAGATAAAATTTTAAATTATTTACATAGTTTAAGTACCTAATAATATTAAACATCAATTTTTCTAATTATTATTTTGTAATAAAAGAATAAAGTAAAAATAAAATTATTAAAATGGTTAATACTTGTAAATAAATACATAAATTAAAAATGTATGTATAAAAATTTATCTATAAATATATATAAAAAAAGAATATCTGTCTATCTGTTCTTTATCCACAAAAAAACTATTGGACCAATTTTAACGGGGTTTTTTGCAAAATTTTCCGCGTGGTTCAGAGAAGGTTTATAGCTAAATTCAACCCCTAAAAGATAGCTGATAGGGATTTTGGTATTTTGTGGTATAATTTTTGTTGATTGAATTACCTTAGTAATAAAGTAAATATTATTATTTTTGTTGATTATATGGTATCTATGATATTTACTGAATATTGTTTGTTAATAAATTTAGCTACAAAACAAATAATAATAATAATACAATTTAGCAATAGCAAAGCATTGCTGGGACAGCTCTATTATAAAAAGACAAAATAACATAGTTTGCCACAGGACTACTTGCAATCCTCCTATTATTTTTCCGTCCAATATACTACGCAAAACGAAAATAAATGTTAAAAAAAAATTTAAAAAATGGTACGGGCTATGCCGGGCGGGGACAGCTAACACTTTCAGCACAATTATCCTTTTCTTATAACTAATATAAAAACTGATCAATAAAAGTTTGAAGCAACACAAAAAAACTACACACGGGCAAATCAGGGTTGATTAGGTAGTAAAAAGTAATGTGTACAATAACACTTATCATAATACTTCAGGTGATGCATTTATTCATTTAATTATGTTTATATTTCTTCATATAAATTTTTTATTTATATATTTATTATTTTAACGATACTATTTTTACCATTCTGACTTTAACTTCTTTTTAATTTATAATTTAAACTACCAACATTTTCTAAAAAAACTACAAATATTGCCATATTACGTTTTTATGTTTCAAAAATACAGTTTTATTAGTTAAGTATTAAAAAGTTGTAGGAAAAAATGTATTAAATTATACTCTTATAAAAAAATACTGAGCTATTTACCGGGGACAAATTGTCTGTGCATAATATTATGACAGAGGCGGATTTTCTGCACATGATGTTTTCACTCTGGGACGGATTGTTCTGGATCTATTATTACCTTATCAGCTACGATCAAAATTTTAAATGGTTTATTAAAACAAAAACTTATCAAACATTCAATATATATAAATACATTATAATAAGATTGAAGTTAAAATACCAATGGTAAAGACCAATTTATATCAAATGAACGACTATATAAACTTACCTGGGTAAGTATTTTAAATTCCATATACTATCGAAATATTTGCTACGCTTACGGGGATCAACTCGCTTGCCATTCAATAGTTCAGCAACTTGTTTGGCAACTTTTTTTCTTTCAAATTCTACCCAGCCCTCTGTGAAATGTTTAGCTGGTCTTTTTTTCACATGCGCTAAAAAATAAATCTTAAAATAATATACATTTTTAAAACATAAGTTCTTAACGTATATTACGATTAGATGCCGGCTGTAAAAACACTCTTCCTATCTCTCCGTATTCGCCTAATAATTCACGTATTTTCGTTACGTTCATATATTTAGGTATTGATGAAATGTATATTATTCCTTTTTTTCGTTTTCGTACTGTTCCGGCTTCAGAATCAGATATTATTGAATCACAAACGCTCATTTTTAATTTTTGATTAAAAATATACTACTTTTACACCTACAACTTGCGAAATGTGAAATTAAATTTGATCATCTTCATTGGAATTTGGAAATTGGAATTTTGCACATGTCGGTTTAATTATTATTTTTTTACGTGATGATAACAATTAACAATTTGAAGTTGTTATCACAATTATTTACTCTCTATGTTTTACAAATGTCTGGTCTAATCACGGTCTTAGAAGATAGGGGTGTAATCATGAATGTTATCAAATACTTATAAATTTAGATAAAAACTGAAAAGTAGACTGTTGTTGTAGACACTAGGCATTTCTGCCTTCTGGTCATATATTCGCGATTGATTTTGATATTTAATTTAATGTATTACAAACAAGTATAAATTCAAATTATTGTTATGGACCTTTTAAAAGCTGAAATAGAAAAAAAAAGAAAACAATTGGAAGATGCAAATTTACTTGTATGTAAACAATAATTTGTTTAAAATATTTCTATTGTACATCAATTCACTAAAAACAATTACACTAATGTTAATTTTTGTATCTATTTTAATTTTGTGTATTCTTTCAGAATCCGAATAGAAAATACTTTAAAAGGGCCGATTTATTATCTAAGGAACGAGAAGAATACCTAAAAAGAAGTACTGTAAAAATTGAAGGTCTTGAAAATCCCATTGAAAAACAATCTTCAGGTAAAGTAACATATTATAAATTACAAATTCTAAATATGAGTAATCATAAATATTTATTATTTATAATAAAAAAGCCACTAAAATATAAATAGGCACGTACGTACATTAAAAAATTTTTAAATCTCCAATTAACTATTTACAAATTAAGATATTTAATTTAATTAGGTTTCTACATATAATATACTAGCCCATCGGTTCCTAAAGCATACATTTTTTGGATTTTGTTCAAAAACAAATTTTTTTTTGTTTAGTAAAAATTCTGTAAATTATTCACACTGTACCTTGAAATATATCTAAGCTCAATCGACTTAACAAAAGCTGCCCAACCAACTTAATTAAAAAAACTAACAATTGTTGGTACATAAGTTATATTTACCTTGGTTACCTTGGCTATACAGTGTGACTCTTACTTCTCTGATCAGAATAGGTTTTTGATTACCATGAATTACAAGAACACCCTGAGAAAACATTAGTTCAAAAATTCCATTCACAAATAAGGGATTGTTTTCTTCAAATTTTTGGTTTGAGAATATTACTTATCTGACAGTCATTTTAGTGGTGTTAATTTTATCCGTATGAGCACTGTTGAGCCAGTGCATATACAAATGCCAAAGTACTTATACACAGTGTATTTGCATCCGCTCCCCTAGCAGAGCCACTTAGCCTAGGTATAATATTATATTTGGTGTTAATTTATGCTGATAGGTTGGTCAGGTGTTCTTTGAATGTAAGAGTTCTGTCCAGTATTACTCCTAGGTACTTCGGGGACCAGGTATATTTAACTACCTGGCCTCCAAATTGTATTTACATTTCATGGTTAGCTTCCCTATTGTTCAAATAGTAAAAAAATACTTCCTTTTTGTTCGGGTTTGGTTTAAGCTTCCAGTGTTTGAAGTATTTGTGTAATAAATCAAGGTCGGCATTCATGATAATTTGTAGCTCTACAAAATTTCTGCTCTGGCAAGCAAGTGGGATGTCAATCGCGTATACAAATTTTCTTGCAATGGTTCCTTAAATGTTCTTTGTATACAGATTAAATAGGATTGGTGCTAATACTGATGCTTGGGGAAGGCTATTGTTAAGTACCTTTGTTTTACTTTTTTCTTCTCCTATTTAAATGGTTAAAAATCTATTACTGAGCATGTTGTTAAGGAGTATAAAGAGTGTTAACACGGGATGAGTCTAGGAATTTTGATAGTAGACCCCTTCTCCAGACCATATCATAGGCAGATAATAAATCAATAAAAGCCATGGCAGTTTTACCATTTTCATCAAATCCTTTTTCTATATAAGTGGTGAGTGCCAAAACTTGACCACCTCCTGTTTGGACAAAATCCAGTTTGTTCTTGTGGTAGGGTCTTGTCGATAATCTGAGATGCAGTTATATATAAGTCTTTCTAGTGATTTATAGTATACACTTAGAAGTAATATTGACCTGCAGCTACTAATGTCATCTTCTGGTTTCCCTGACTTAAATGTTTTAAATATCTCAACAATTTACTAGAGTGGAGGATATTAGAGAAGAAATTTAGTAACCATTCTAATATTTTGGGGCCACTGTATTTTAAAAACTCTGGGAATATTTCATCATGGCCGTCAGCTTTATTGGGCTTAACACTTTTTATTGCCGATTCTTCTGATGTGAATTTTTCATTTCAAATAAATTTTCTAGTTGTTGATGATTTCTTATTCTTGAGTTCTAAGGTCACCGTTTTTGGAAGAAATTTTATCGATCAAAGCCTAGTCATTTTTATTATGTGGTTGGCAAAATCATTTGATTTTATTCTAGTCATTCTCATACCCTGCGAGGGATTATGGTCTAATCTCTGTAGTAGTGTCCACGTTTCCTAACTGGAGTGTTTAAAATCACTTGTTCCATTGTTTCATTCCGCCTCTTAATTTAACCGTTGGCTAACGAAGCTAGAAGTTTATCTGCAACCTCCGCTTGACTGTTGATTTGAAATTCTCTATATAGTTTATTGCTTTCCCTATCCTAGCAAGGAATATATTCATGCCTAAAGCCTTGGAGTATACTTTGCTTGGCTACTCCTTTAACTATTCCACAGAGGCGCTCATAGTTATTTACTGTTGGATTTATTATTAACAACTAGTGATTTAGTGAAAATTTCTAGTCTGCCCATCTGATTTTTGCAAAAATTATGTATGAATACATTCGGTGACCAGTAGAAAATTAATATAATCAGTTAATCATTTTGTTACTACTATATGTTTTAATAGATATAACTTTTTAGTCTTACTGCGGATCAATATTTTTTAGTTTATAAATTGAGTGATGAAAGTGTTAATAATTAAACAAATTTGCCCCTCGGCTTAATTACACCATTGATAGGGTGTTAATGTAAATATCTATCCATAAAGTCAAATAATAAACGCTTAAATTATATTTGTTTTTGACTTATAGTTCTTTATTATAAAAACATTTTTAAAACAAAATATTTGTAAATGTAATAGTAAAATGTATACTTGTATTTTATCTGCAAAATGTTTTTCTTTATTCAATAATTAAACTGAAATATTTTAATATTAGGTAGTGATGATGAAAATAATAGTACTACATCTAAGAAACATACATTATCAAGAAAAGAAGTTATTCGCAGATTGAGAGACCGCGGTGAACCTATTACATTGTTTGGAGAATCAGAACTTGATTCTTTCAAACGATTACGAAGAAGTGAACTTGCTGAACCGGAATCAAACAAAGTATTATTTTATTTTATATTTTTATGAAAATATATATTATATTTTTTAATTTTAGGGTTTCAGGAATGATTTCCAAGAAGCGTTAGAAAAAGTTGATCAAGATTATTTAGACGAACTGATGACCAACCAGGTGCCTGAAAAAACATATACTGAGCTTGAAAGTATGGAAGAAGCAATGGCAACATATGAAAAAATACAAGCTAAAGCTGGAATTTTAGGAAGAAGACGTGATCGTACTCAAGATATGGAAACTATTTTGCAGCTCTTGCAACTTCTATTGAAAATGTGGGAGGTTCAACTTAATGCAAGATCTATTAAAGAAAAAGCTAGTACAAAGGGAAAATTAGCTTTAGCAACATATAATCAAACTCAACTTTATTTAAAACCATTATTAAGAAAATTGAAAAATAACAGCTTACCAGATGACATTTTAGATAGTCTTACTCTTATTACCAAACACATGATGGAAAAAGATTATTTAAGAGCTAGTGATGCCTACCTGGAAATGGCTATAGGTAATGCACCATGGCCTATTGGAGTTACCATGGTTGGTATTCATGCACGTACTGGACGAGAAAAGATCTTTTCCAAAAATGTAGCACATGTGCTCAATGATGAAACACAGCGGAAATATATTCAAGCCTTAAAACGTTTAATGACCAAATGTCAACAGTTTTTCCCAACTGATCCATCTAGATGTGTTGAATATGCCCCAGATACGTAAAATATTAATAACATAAACAATTATGTGAAATACTATTAATTTACTTATATTATACTTTTATATAAAGATTTATGAGTTATGACTAATGTACAGAGTAAAACTAAAAATTTGATTATTATATTGTAAATAAAATATGATGAACATAATAAAATTAAACTTTTTATTCTTATTTCTTTTCTCCCATTTTCTCCCATCTATTAGTAGCTGCTTCAATTGCATCCATCATTGCAGATCTACATAAAGCAGATAATAAATAAGTTTTAAATGTTTTAGAATTATAATATGATTTACTTAGAAATTATACCTCACGCCTCCTCTTTCCAAAGCATGTAAAGCAGCGATTGTTGATCCTCCAGCAGATGTAACCATATCCTTCAGTTGACCCGTATGTTTACCAGTTTCTAAAACCATAAGACTTCCACCAGCTATAGCACTAGCTGCTAAGCGTACAGCTAAATCACGTGGAATGCCTTGTTTTACTGCACCATCAGCTAACGCTTCAATAATGAGAAACGCCTAAGTAATTGTACATATGTTTAATCCAAAAATAATTATTTATAAATATTCAATTATTAGTATAATACTTACATAAGCAGGGCCACTACCTGAAACTGCTCCAGCGGCGTTCATTAATGATTCTGGAATAACTTCAACACCACCCACAGCACCCATTAAGTACTTTACAGTTGGTAAATTTTCAAAGATTTTTTTCGAATCAGCATTATCCATATGAGCAATTACTAAAAAAAAACATCATATACATTATATTTAAGTATATATTGATTGGCTGGATACCACTGTAAACAATAGCAAAACAATAATATACATGTTATTTAGAAGTGAATACTTATAGATGAAATAGAAATTATAATTGTACTCTGCATTATACATATTTTATTACATACCAGAAAATCCTTGTCCAATGAGACTAGGTGTATTCGGCATAACTTTAAATAAACTGCTTGGATCCAAGTCAAACATCTAAAAATAAATGTAAATATATGTTTTGAAAATATTTTAGTAATTAAATACTTTTAAAAAATGTAATTACCTCATGTAAAGTACTCAATGTTATTCCAGCCATAATTGATATTAAAATATTTAAGGGCAGTCCTATAGTTTTAGTAAATAACCCGGAAACCACTTTTTGAAAATATTGTGGTTTTGTGGCTAAAATTACTATTTTAGAACAACAAAACACAGCATCTGAAATATAAATATAAACACAAATCAATGTTTAGATAATAAATTGTATATTATTATTCATGACTATAAATTTACTATTATCACTTGTCACAGCTACACCAACATCTCGCCATGGCTTTTTATTATTTTCAGAAGGTGCTGATACGAGTATATTTTCCGCTTTACAAATACCTTCATAATAATATATTAAAATAAATAATTTATTTTTGACTATTTTTAGAAACATTTTACATTTTCAATTATTTATGATTTATATAAATAAATAATATAAATGTAGAAATAAATAAATAAATATATGGAGTATTATATGTGTATTATACGACCAGTTTCGAATTAAAAATTCATCATCAGGTAAATCACTAAGTCAAAAAGTAAAGCGTGACTTGTATAATATACATAACATAATGCTCTAGGCTTTTAATAATTTTATTCTTACTTTATTATTTTATTGTCAATTATTTATTACTAAAACAAATACATCATTGACAGTTCAATGATTATAAATTGTATAAATGGTTAGAGAAAAATTACTTTAATTCCAAATACTCATAAATACAAATAAAATATTGTTTATAATATTAAAAAAAAATATACAAGAGGGGAGGGAGAAAATTGAAAAGGTGATTGTATGTAATTGATGATTACATAAGAGTGGCAAATGTAGGCAAGAATGAAATAAGGGATTAGATCAAGTGGAAATTTAGGACAAAGATGGCCAATCCAAATTATTCAGAAGTATTATAAATATATACCTTTGGTCTCTAGGAAGAAGGGCTTAAATTAATTGTATATAATTTTAAATATAATCAAATTTAATTTAAAATTATAAAAAAAAATTCCAAAAATTAAATTTCTTAAGCATTTCTTCCCTGGGACTAAATATATATATATATTTATATATACATACATAAATATTAATACAGTCCTCATTGTGGTTTTGGAAAATAAAAATTAATTTGCCCTGAATCAGTTTAAATCATGAAAAAAATATTGTAACTTATATATTATCTACATACATATACTCTTATAAACGTACATAGGTACCTATGTACTACAAGTTTTGACTTGAGTTTTGTGTGTAGGGACTTAAAACTTAAAACTGACTTAGTTAGAAAATAATAATTGAAATTGTGATAGAAAAATTTTTAATTTACCTTTCTTGACAAAAGCAAGTCCAATTGCTTGGGCCATATTTCCAGCCCCAATAAAACCAATTTCATAAATTTTGTGTGAATCATAATTGGACATTTTAAATTTGTATTAAATAATTTAACTGAAATGTTAACCAAAGTAAAGTATATGTTAGGAAGAAGTATAGTTTTAGATTTGATATATTAGTGATTTATTGGTAAAAGAAAACTATAAGTTATTCTTTAGGTAGTAGTTAGTAGTTACTAGTTTTAACCACTTATAAATTATATTTAAATTGGCTGAACTAAATTATAATTAAATACTTGTTAATAATTATACTAGGGACACAATCATAGATTAGTATAGTACACATTATCACAACATTAGGGTTATCTCCTGATGAATAGAAAAATTAACGACGGCCTTAGATAACAAAGGTTTGTGATAATAGACCTATCTATAAACCAATAACCATAAACATACAGAATGATTTACAATACATTTTTTTTTTTTTTTGTTATAAACGTAAACACACCAATTCTTTTTGGTTAAATATTGCATATTATATTCAAATTCTGACTTCGGAATTTTTAAATGTAGTTAAAGTCGATATTTTCGACTTCGATTTTTCACTATATATTTTAGAATTATCCAACTGAGGCGATACCAACTTTGGGCTTTTTCAAAAGAAAACCTATATTAGAAATTCCATAAATAGACGGAGTGTTACCTACTTTAAATAAATGTTGGTGTCAACATTTTTGATTTCCGTTAACCATTAACTTTTAAGTTTAGGTCAGGGATAAGTAGTGGAGTATCATTTGTGTGGCGACACGGCACGGAGCGTTTTATTAGTGCTCCACTACTCTCCCCCTACCTAATATGGTGAATATAGTAATATCTCGTCAACTGTTTGACGGAAACCAAAAATTGTAACACCAGCATTTGTTTAAAGTAATATTCCATCTATTTATGGAATTTTTAATATAGAATATCATTTGAAATCAAAAGTTGGTATCGCCACAGTTGTTTATTCCTTAAATATATTGTGAAAAATCTAAGTATTCGAAAATATCGACTTTGACTACACTCAAAAATTCCAAAAATTCGAATTTATGTGTGTGTCCAAAAATTTAACCGAAAAAATGAGGTGTTCACACTTAGTGAATCACTCTGTATAATATAGATTAATTAATCCACCATGTAGTAATGTTTATATTTATATGTCTATATACAATTTAAAAACCTCGAATAAAGATACAGTGGGATACAAATAAATAAACTAATAAATAAATAAACTTGTTTCTAAACTAATAGGTATGAGTGTATGATACAATAGTTGCCACTTTCCACTTGCCAGTATTTTAGCCATTTATCAATAAGATATCTACCTAACTTTTTTTGAGAGATTAATAATTTTACAATCCAGTTAATAATGCAAAATTACTATATAAATATATTAGTTTATACCAATGCTGAGCATTAACTAGTTAAAAATTTACTTTTTAATAACTTTATAATTTACCTAGTTATTTTTTATTCATAATAACGTTGTAACTTAACTAGTTGAATTAAATGTGACAAATATTCTAATCTAACTCGTTAAAAACAAAAACAAAATAGTTAATTTTCGTTTTTTTTTTCTTTATTCCAAAATTCAAATGGTCTGTAAAATATTTTCTATTTTATGATAAAAACATTTTTCTTGTCATATTGTTCGATATTATTTAGAATCGTTTTTCTTTATCAATGGTTTATCGTTGCTTACAGGTATACATTATAAATTACCTATCTATGTAGTAGTGGCTATACCTGTGCCCATTGTTCTAGGACATCCTTTTCTGTATGCACTGGATTTTATAGCAAACCAAGCTAAATTCTTTCTTTACATTGGAGAGCTTAAAAATCGAACCTTTAAAATATTTTGCATATTTAACATTTTGTCATTCACATTTTACAATTTGTTCGTGTGTATTTTGCCATTTTTTAGCTCTTATAACAGTCCTATTTTATATTTATCTGTTTGAAAGGTATGTTCCAGCAGCGTGTTTCTAATAGTTATATGTTTTTTCTTTTCAGTGCTATTATATTAAATTATGTTGATTATTTTTTTTTCTCAATTTATTAATATAATTAATTTAAATAATATTAATAATTAATTAATATTTTTAATTGATGTAACCTAAATAAATTTAAATAAATCCTTTACAATGATAAAACCTCAAAGTTGCTTTATCGTGTATTTAAACTAAAAATTATTAATAAGTACTAATTCTAGTACTTACTGACTAGAAATTTGTTGTTTGTTGTGGAGAATATGTTTATACATTTTCCAACTTATTCCAAGGAAAGAAAAACACTTGGAAACACATGTCAACATTGAGTAACTATTTGTTGCTCTAGTTGACCTGACTTTAGTTATATTATTTTATAATTATTTTGGTTTTACTATAACGTGTGCTTTTTTATTTTATTTTATTTTACTATACAACTTAACTATGTACAAAATACTTTACAATAATATTATACTTATCACCTAACTATTTAAGTCCAACAAGAAATGTTAAAATGTGTACAATAATTGTACAAGTTTGGTAATTTGTATTGATAGTTAATGTATAAACTTTGAATAGGTACCTATCTGAGTAAGTATCTGAATAGATAGATACCCTATAGATACCTACTATCTAGGTACTCTATACATTTTGTACATTTGTTTAAATAATTTTTCCAAACTCATTTTAAATGAGAATTTATTAGTCAACTACTTTAATTTTCTTACCTACTAGTTGAGTTAATAATAATTATAACATTTTTATAGTGTTGGTAAAAATAATGTTATCTATTGACAAATTCAAATATTTAATTCCACGCTGACCAGTGTTTTAAATGCATTTAAAATTATATTGGTGTTTTTATAAAATATAAATAACTAAAACACACAATTATTATACTTTTACTAACCTATATGAATACATAATTTAATGTATGTATGTATACCTACTTGTAATATTATGTAACCTAATACTTAAATAGAAATGATTAATATATAGATACCTAAAAGAGATCTCGAAATCTGCCTACACAGACATTGAGACATCCAATCTGTAACATGTAAAAATATAAATTATTACCTACCTATAGGTAATATATTTATCTCATACATCTACACGTATCTATAAATATTCATCAACTAATGATATAATATGTAAAAATTGGTTATGTTTCATAAACATTCTATATAAGTCTATAATTGGTTTACTTAGGATTTAAGACGTTATGCATAGACTTATAGACACATCATAGACGACACATAGATCATGTACCTATGTTTGCTGGGTAGGGAGAATTGCAGACAGTTCGTAAAAGAATACAAGTTGATAAATATTATTTGCTGGATGATTTACAACTATGTACCTAAATAATGAATTAAAGAATACAAACAAAAATTTTTCACGATTAATTATATCCTGTATAATTTTTAAATGAACCTGAAATGTAGCTGGCCTAGTGGTCTAGATAAATATTGTTTGGTTAGGTATACAGGGTGATCAATCTATTACAAGACACTCATTATCCCGGAAAGTATTAACTTTTTTCGAAATTTGTTTTAAAGAATATTTAAGAAACAAGGTGTTCTAAAATTTAACATTCACGTTATTTTTTTGTTAAAATATATTTTGATGTTTAAATTTATTTTAACTACTACTCCATCTATTTATGGAATTTTATATAAGCTGCCATTTGAAAATCAAAAGTAGGTAGTCGCTTCACCCGCAAAAATTAGGATGACAAAAAATAACATAAATGTAAAATTGCAAAGCTGCTTGTTTCTAAAATTTTCTAAGAAGAAATTTTGAAAAAAGTTAATACTTTCTGAGATAATGAGTATTTTATGATAGATTGTATACTCTGTATAGATTTTGGGAAAAGGCATACACACAATGTGTTTAATATTGTTATATCATGACTCATGATGGTGATTCAGTAGACAATAATGATTATATAATCAGTTAGTAGTAGGTCAATATGAATTAATTAGGTAGATAGATATAATCTAATATATTTTTAAATATAGAAAAATAGTACATAGTAAATAGCTTCACAGAAAAAAAAAAAAAAGTAGATAGTAGTTATTTAAATACAAAAATAAATATTTCTTAAAATTAACACTAAATAGACATATTGTTTAATATTTTAATAAGACAATTTTATATTTTTTCTGTGAATAACTTTTCTACTTGAAATCTTCATTTATCAAGTGTGGTATATTTTCTGAAAGATTTTATCGAGTTGATGGATTGTGGAGGTTATTTATTGATTTTCCTAGAGGTTTTAATAATAATTGGGAAAAACCGACAAAAATTTATCGGAATGACAAAAAATGTACTGCACATCGACGTTACCGATTTCATTGTTTTTAATTTTTGCAAACAATGTTTGTAACTTATGTTTTCTACTAGAAAAATTGCTCCAATAGAAAAACAACGAGACCTTTTTTGTTGCATATTGAATCTAGATGTTCAAAGAACATTTGTTTTTGGATTTTCCAAGTAGTTTTCATAATAATGGAAAGCCGAAAAAAGATGAAAAATGATAAACACATTTACGGCGTATGACTTTATTATTTTAAATTTTGTTGTAATTAAGTTTAAAATATTCGTGGAGACTTGTTATTTTGAGTGAAAAATTTTTAGACATGGTAAAATTTTAAAAACATTTAAGGCATTTTTGAGCTATTTATAAACAATTAAATTTTATTAGTTTGTGAGAAGTCGTACTAATGTTCAAAAATAGAAATTGAATTTATGAAGTTTTTTAAATTCTGAGTGAAGCGAGGAATGTATTAGTTTTTCTTTGATGTATCTAGTTGGTACCTAATTAAAGAAGGTAATTTTTTGGTTTTCCAAGCAATTTTCATAATAATAAGAAAATTAAACCGGGAAAAACGAAAAAATAATGCTCAAAATGCTTTAAAATTGAACAGATGCTTCATTATATTTAAGTAGTACCTAATGGCCAACAAGAAAAATTTGAGTTGAATGTAGTACAGGTATTTTTTTTTTTCATGAGTATTTTAGTATCCAATTTTAATGAAAATCATAAATATTAGGTTCGGCCTTTTAAAACATGTATAACTGAACTTCGCTTAGAATTTTTTTTCGTTAGCAATGGTTTACCTTTGCTTACAGATATAACATATAAATTAAATAACTTTATATATTCTACCTTCTCAAATCCTCTACCTACAACCAAGCCCGGATTAAGATGATTTTGGGCTAAATAATTTTAGGAGTCCATAAACATATTCAAAATATTAGTGTTTATATAGTACTATCAGCCTAGACCAGGGGCCAACGATAAAATGATATCCAGAGACCTGAGGCCATGGCCCCCTCTGCATCCCCCTTAAACCTGTCCTATCTACAACATCGGCACATCTGTCTACAATATCAGCTCTTTTTTTATCATTATTTTATTATTAACTTTTTCTACTGTCCACGTTGATTTGATAGTTATATATGATAGTGATTCAGGTGTTTGTCACGTACTCACACAGATATAAAATACTAATAATATTTTATATCTGTGCGTACCACGGTTTAAGACACGGTCTTGTATATCATTTTCTATATATATGTGTATATTAAATCGTGATGCGTACTGGCAGTATCCGTTTGGCAGTAGCATAAATCCTTTAATTATAGTCTATTCTATAATCAATGGTAAAACCATAACTCTAATAGTTGCGTAGGAGCATAGCTAAATAATTTACCCATGCGTAGGAGTATGTTCCTACCACGATTAAAGATATCTTTAAAGTACATCTTTAATATTAGACGGCAGACACTAAAAAAAAAATGGTTTATATCATTAATTAAATATTAAATAAACGGTTCTTATTAGTACCTGGAATAAACGGCACAGTTATCTTATTATTATTAGAGATGATTATTTTAAAATATATACCTAGGTTTTAATGATTTAATGTGGAAATAATAATATAATACATTATATTTCAACATTTTTTCAAATTGATAGTAGTTTATCAGTCATAGTTAGTAGCAGCATTGATCAAGTATGCCTAATTAATGGTAGCTGTAGTAAAGTTACAGTAATAACTGCCAAAAATCAATTATCAATCGATAATAAGGTAAAGAAACTTACTGTGTCATTTATTTCAAGTGGGCAGGTACTGATAAGAACCGTTTATTTTATTAGTGATATAAACCATTTTTTTTTTACCGACTGGTTGATTATGACCATTATATTATCTGATATAATTATCATTTATCAGTTCAAAAAAATAGAACAATCATAGCCATGGTTGAAATAAAATAATATTTTCCATGAGTTTAGTCGATTTTTCCAAGGTCCATGACGTACGAAATCCAATCGAGCACCAGCCACCAACATCAATTTCTCCTTCCAGATTCCCGTTAGTCTATCTCTATCTCCAAACATGTTATTATTACTTTTTATGTTATTCATGATATTCATATTATTATTATTATTATTTTTTTAGAAAGTCAAAATGTTTATACTTGTTCATTTCACTTAGATTATGTGAATTTTTACCAGTCGTTTTAGAATTTGTGTACATAGAAATCTATCTGTTCGACCATTCGTAAACAAATACACACTCACAAATGAAATATTTAATAATATTGTTACAATTTTATGATTTTTTTATTTTTATCAACACTTTATTGTAGTTATTATGGTTTGCATAGTATTACGAATATTATTACGCAAAAGTGACTGCACTTAGTGACCAAAACGAAAGTGCCTCATTAAAGTGTTCCAGTGTAATAGATTTTCGTACAATATTATGAAATGATTCAAAATTCTTATTCGGCTATCGTCATAAAATTGTAAATTGTGTTCATCGCTGGCAGCATCTGTTGTACGCCCCTGACGAGGCACACGTACTCCAGTACGTTGTGTGAAATCTGTGTCAATGAATGCTGGTAAGTTTTTATACTTTCATTTTGAGATACATTGAACATGCCTTTCTTATTAATAATTTTTCGGTATTTAATGTTTTTGTACAGTATTTAAGCACATTATTTCGAAATTATGTTATCTCTTTTGATTTTAAGTTGATAAATTCAAATTTTAAATGTAATTAATACCTACCAAGGTATATACTGTAACTACCTATCTATGTATAATGTAAACATATTTATAGGTACCTAAATCCCATACTGAATACCTAATATTTTAATTTTCTTTATTCTGTGGTAAGATACTTATAATTGTGTAATAGATTAATGATTTTTATTTAAACTAGTGAATTTTATTTCAATTGTTTTTGAAAAACTTGAACACGGTATCTACATTTACAAGAAGGTGCCTCTAAAACATAATATGTACTATTTTAATATTTGGGGAATTAGGATATACTGTTAATTGCAAATTAAATTTAAGGTCAGTGTTTAAAGTAAAATATTTGTATTTCCTGTAGTTTTAATTAAAATTATTGTTTTTATTGTCAATGATTAATACTTCTAGACTTTCTAAGAGTAATTGCCAATCAATTAAAAATTATAAGGTATAAAATCTATTTTATACTTAATTTTGAAAATATTATAAAAACAAATTGTGTATAATAATATTAACATATATTTTTTATAATTCTCATAAAGTTCAAAAAGATATGTCCATTTATCTTTATTAATGCATTTTTTCCAAACATAAAAGGTTAACTAAACTGTCAGATATTAAATTGAGAGTTATTAATAATTAGAAGGTAGGTACTACAGTACACAACTAACATTACCAGAGGTAGGGGTACATAGGGAGGTAAGTGGCACCACTCCCCTAAACTTAAAAATGTATAATGCTGAATCGGCATTTCAATAATAGTTTAATTTTAAAATTGGTAAACCTAATTATTTCTTAGTTTTGCTGTTATATTATTGTCACATTTATTATTTTTCAAAGGAGAAAATAATAATAGGTGAAAACATTTATTAAAGTCTACACATTTTTAATTTCATAGCAACTTATATTAATTTCCGTTAGCCCTGAAACCTCTACATGACTTACTGTGGCTACATAAATTAGGTAGTTTTGTTGATTTTCATGAATTTTAAGAATACAACCTAAATTATTGGTACCTACTTAATTTGGTTATTTTATAGAACTTGAAATTTGCTACCTATAGAAATTGGTTTTAAAAGGGATTTGTAAAAATTACTGAATGATAAACCTCAGTTCAAATTACTCTGAACATGATCATACAATTGTTATGTGTATTGTATTTGGGCTTAAAAATACATATACAATTCATGACTAAATTTTTTAAATTAATACATTCTTTAGTATTTAAGTATTTCATTATCAAACATATTTTACACTTCAATTTATTTAGACTATTTTACTTTCATATTTTATGAGGTAATTTTATTTGGTCTAAAAACTAAAATTCTATTTACTGTAGACAATGGTTTAATCTTATAAACGTGATATTTTTGAATTTATAAAATATCTCTTTATATGAAGGCATCTATTATTGTATTTCTTATGTGTTAAAATGTGTCCAGTATTAGGTATACTCTAAAGTAACAATTTTTTTATTTTTTTATTTTATAATATTTCTTAAAAATTAGTATAAAAAATTAGTTTTGTTGAAGATTTTGAACTCTTAATTATTTATAAATATTTACCTATAGCCTCAATATTAGCTATATTTTAATACCTACCTAATTATTTAGACAATCATTCAGTTGTCATGCGTACCTCATTTGTTTTCACTGTTTGTTTTTACTTTTACTTTAATGTTTATTTGTTTAGGATTTACATTCTATATCATACTTTTTTAAAATTACATTACAAATTTATTCTCTCTTTGTTTTTCCAGGTTTTTTTTCTCTTAAATCAATATTTTGTAACAGATAGGTACCTAATTATTTCAAATTGCCCATATTATTTACCATATTCATTATTTATTCTTAAGATTTTTAAATTTGTTAGTTATAAGTCTAATTATTCTTATACAGTTATTTTTATTTTATTTTATAATTTAATAGGATGAGTCCTTGTATAGTTATAACTTATAACTATTTGTTTTATTGATAATTCATTTAGGGTTTTAATAGTAAATATTTGAAATTTTTGTTTGAAACAGGTTTTATAAAACTTGAACATTTTCTTATGTAACAGTGAAAATAATATTTATACAAATTATATTCAAATATCATTGAGAGTTTCACTTTCTTTTAGTTAAAACGTTCTATTTACTTACCTAACATGGGATTATAAAATAAATCTAGGTACAAAATTCTAAAAAAGATATTTAAATTTTTAGAATTATTATTTTAGGAATTTTGGGAAAAAACCTAACTGTATCTTATTAATTACTTATTAGAAATTGGGCGTTGTAAATTTAATTTTTTTACGTATATTTCCGGCAGTGAACTCTGTAACTATTTAAAACAATTTTTTTATCTAGAATCTAGATTATTATCTTTTTTCCAGAATAAATAAATACAATTATTTAACTTATTATTTTGAAACAAATACATACACATTCTGTATAGGTGTTAAACTGCTTGAATTTAGTTTTGTTTTTTTTCAATGGTTGGTTAGGTTTTTAATTTAAAGGTAAAAGTTTTAATGATAGGTATTGATTATATTATAATTTACAAGTTTTTATAATATTTTGTATTTATAGTATCTACAAAAACGTCATAACCATAAACCTACCTACTACAAAGTTATGAATTTACTAGATAGGTACTGACATACCTACTGTAATGCCTATATGCATAAGTTTTCTACTTTATAAGTAGGGATATTTGTTGTATTCAAAATGTTCATGATCTTAACGATTTTAGACTGTGAGTTAGAACAATATTATCTTGGATTTATACATCAATTTAGTTTTTATTTTTTGTGATAGGAAAATTAAGTGATATCCTTTTAATAATTGTTTTGTAACGTGCATATGATTTACTATACTTAGTACTTACTTTACATATCTTTTGTTTGTTTACACCTTTGTTTAAAACCTTCAACCTTAGAGGAGTTATGATGAAGTACAAACTTCTATTTATTATCTATATGTACACTTATATTGTATTTAAATGTCGACATTTAGATAAAATTTAACTTTAATCAATCAAAGGCAACTTTTTTAGAAAATGTAAAAAAAAAATTTTTTTTTTTAAAAAATTAAATATGTATAAGGGTATATATTTCCAGATGTATTTCTATTAAATTAAAAATCTATTTTTGTTAACTTATTTTAAATTTGTTGTATAGGTATGTGATAGACATAGTGGCGTTCAAATTATATTTTTTTTTGTGTATCACACTAGATTTACACAATTTTACTCACTTAGAACCTCTTCTTTATTAGTTTATATTTCATACCTAGATTTGTAGTACTTTAGTACCTAATATGAAACTTTTTTTTAAATATCAAATGGATATCAATTTTTTAAGACATGATCGAACAAATATGAAGTTATCAATAAATACGCATTAATATTTTGTAAACCTGCTAGAATTTCTGAATAGTTTTGTCTATGTTTGAGTTATTTTTAGCCTTATTTTTTGTAGATATTTGTGATTTTGAATTTTCTATATACTTTTTTTGTTCCGGTTCTATTCATATGAATAAAAACTTTTTTGGTTCGATAAAAATGCTAGACAAGTTGACATAATGTTTATCGTCAGTTCTTACTGATCAATAAAATAAAGTTTAGCACTATTATTATTATTATTATTATTATTATTATTTGTTTAAAACAAATTGTTTTACATACATTTATTTACATAAACGTGTTTTAATTTCATACTTATTATAAATTATTTTGTTGAAATTATTTATAAATTAACAAAGCATTCAATTAGTAGGAAAATAATTTTTATCAATGATAAGTAAAACCCAGAAACAATAACTTACGGGAAATTAGGTAAGTAGGTAATACAAAAACCAAAAATCGAAAGCTCGGAAAATTAAATGTTTAACAAATATCGAAAGATTCATTAAGAATCGTATTTTGTTGTTTATGGTTCCATTCTGCAGGATTTAAACTAAATTGCCCAGGAAATAACGTATTTTACCTTTTAAACATCGCACTTACTACTGTGGCCTTCTATGAGCTGTAATACCACAGTCCACATACTAATATCTTAGTTTTTTTGTTAATTTTTAATTACAGTATCATTGTGTGGGTTTTTTTAAACCGAACGTTGATTCATGAAGGTTTATCTTCAATCGTTTATCGTACGTGCAATTTAGCACGTTTACGTTGATTAAATATGAATCATATTGAGAAATTTATTTTTAAAATGGAACGCTTAGTAGGGATAAATATATAATAGATTGAAGTAAATAATAACATATTCTTGCACCTTTTTTCTCCTAAATATTTATTATATTTTATTATTAATGATTTTTTTATTCTGCGTTATATTTAATTTACATAGGTCGGTAAGCTGATGAAAAAAAAATAAACTGATAAAATATATACGATGTTTTTATTAAGTTATACATATTAGTTCTTAGATAGTTGAAAACATACGCGATGTGTTTACTATGTTCTATGATTCCATTGACGTCACCATTTACTAATAAAGGTACCAACGAAAATACAAATATTCGTTGTAGGTACCTTTAATAATTTCTTTATAATTTGAGCTCGTAATCATAGCAGAGTGATATACCAATCCGTTGCATTTTAATTGACAATGATTATTATAAAGTTTTAAATGCATTTTTTAGATTCTGTTTGTTGGTTTTACTATGATGTGTGATTTTAGTTTTTTTTCCTAGAAATCATGCTCAAATTAAAACATGACAAGAGTCCGTTTTTGTTGAATTTTAGCTGAAGTTGGTACTTTGGAAAGGTTTTTTTTTAAATTCTTGAGATAATGAGGAAACACTGGTTTTAGGTGAAAAAAGATTAAAATTAAGGTTGTCATTTATAACCGTTTTTATTTATTTTTTGTTATTATTAAGTTTTTATTATTTTTACAATACTTTTTAAACAATCGTGTTGTTGTCGTGAAAACGCAAACTTGTTGAAAAAGCAACCAGTCAGAATCGGTTTTCGTTAGCAATGATTAATCGTTGCGTACAGATATATAGATTGGATTCCCTTCTATACCTTTTCAACTTCTCACCTACATCAGTGGTGCGAATATGTCTGTTTTTTTAATATTTTTCGTTACCTAATGACGTGGTGCGGTTTTTATACCGATTTTTTTCTGTTTCGACATGCCGCGATAGCTGCCACTAAGCATGTTCTTTTTATTACATTATCTATATACGTGTTTGACCTGTTGACTGTTGTAGATAAATAATTTCTCCGAGGAATATCGCGTTTATCAATAAAAAAATTATAAACAAAACAAAGATTTCTCAGTTCAAGTTCAAAGAATAAATAAGTTAATAAATAAATACATTTTTTTTTAATCATTTAAAGATTCGATACGTAGTGAGGAATTTATTGGTTTTCCAATGTTTGTTTTTTTTTTTTTCATATTTTAATGTGTACAAAATTTCTATCAAAAATATTAAGTATCAAGTGTAGAACCTTTTCTGAAAAGAAATCTTTTCTAGTCGTCTAAGAGGTCGTTTTTTGATTTTCCAAGCGGTTTTCATTAAAATAGGGAAAAAAACGTAAAGCTGTAACGATTTCATGATTTTATATTTTTTTAACTTTTTTTTTTTATCATAAATCTTGTTTCAAACAAAAAATGACAAAAAATCTTTTTTGTTGAATTTTGAATCTAGTTGCTCACGAATAAAGTCGTTTTTTGATTTTCCACGTAATTTAAATAATTGAGCAAAACTGTAGAAAAACGTCGACAAAACGGGAAAATGTACGAAAATTATTCTTTTATTGTTTTCAATTTTAATTTTTTGTTGTAATTTAGTTAAAAATATTTGAGCACTTGAAATTTACAGAAAATTTATATTTGCCATTTCTATACGTAGTCAAATTTTTGAACCATTTGAGCCATTTTTGAGCTATTTATGCGAATTTTAATTTTGCGAGTTTTTATGTAATTTTTATTTGTTAGGATCTCTGTGGCTAAAATTGTTTGACTTAACAGAAATGCTTGAAAGGAAGTTTATTATAAGTCGTATTTTGTGGTAAAAAAAAATTGTTTACCTCATGTAATTTTTTATATTAAATTTTGACGAAAATCGTAAATATTATCGCCTTTCAAATCACGTATAACCGAACTTAGCTCAGAATTTTTTTTTTTGTTAGTATAATGGGTTAACATTAAACAAATAACTTATTGTATCCGATCCTCTGAAATGCCCACCTACAACGGTGGTACACCCGTTCTCAGTATCATCATTTTTTTTCAGAAAATTCCTTAAATTGTAAACAGTATCATTTTATAAATAATGCGAACATAATAATACAGTTATAGACTTATTTATATAGCGTTACATCTGGTATTCATATATAGTCGTATTAGCTATTTTAAAAGTATAATTTTCAGAAAACATACTCAAAATTTGGGTATCTAAATAATTTTATTAAAAATTACTATTCGATAATAATTGATTAGCATAAAAATTGTATTTGTGTATTGAAGAAACATTTTACTAGGTAATTATATGCAAAGTAGGTACCGAAAGTAATATAACTGCAGCCTTATTAAATCTGCGAGTGAATGTGTGGGCGGTCGTGCAAGTGAAATTATTTACTCGACTAGATATTAATAAAACCAATGCTAAATAAATATTCATTAATTATACCAAAGAGTCATGAATTTGGGAGTGGCACATAGTAATTTAAATGTGATTTGAACTAAGTACCACAGTCCAGCGTCATTGACAGCGTTCCTTAAGTTCTTACGTATGGAATTACATTTAGGTACCCATTTCTGTATACTTTTTATTTTTTTCTGATGCCTTAGTATAGTGGAACTGTACAAATCTTTATTTTTCTCGGTATTTGCAATTTGAGATTAAGCAATCAACTTACATTATCACTACGTTTTGTCTGAAACCCAAAATGTAATTTTAAATATTAGTATTCTTGCGAAATAATGAATACAATAATTTCATTTGTCTGTTATAAAAGGACTGTATTATCTACTTATTGTCTATAATATGAAGTAGGTACAATATTATTGCTGTCAATTTGGATTGATTAAATTTAATATTTAATCAATAATAATTAATAATAGTAATACAATTTCATTTCTGAAAGTAAATATATATATAGGTATAAATAAACTAAAATCCACACGGACAATTTAATATTATTTTATTGTGATAGATAAAATACCTATAATAGTAGTTATTGGGAATTGATTGATCACTAATCGTTGGTAGATTTGTATTGGGTAGGTTATTAAAGAAATTGCATATCGTAATTTGTATAGTATGGTGATTTGTAGATAGGATAGGTAGATATGTAGGATTACTTATCAAATTTGTATTGTTTTTAAGAAAGTATTATTATTTCCTGGGTTATTTCATATTATCGTATTTGATGAATAACATGTATTTATAGTTGTATAAGTATAATGGAGTTATTATGAAAATTAATTAAAATATTGAATAATAGGTACTTTAGAATATATACAATTTTTTTAACGATCCTAATAGTTGTTTTAGTTGTATAACTTAATGCGCAGTATTAATAATAAGTAATATTAAATTTTAAGTTTTTATAAATTGAGCACAAGATATAATTTGTTGGAATACTAGTTAAACAGGATAGTACGTACTTATCTAGATAGGCATAGCCTAACTTAATTTCGCAAACAGCTTTTCCAATTAATTCATTTGTAAATTAATTTGTATTATATTGTTTGCTTAGACAAACATAACTTTTTTGATAATGTATATTATTATATACAGTTTTATTAATTTATATAAAATTGAGGTGGAAAAAAAAATTTATATGTATTTTAATTGAATTAATATTGATAGTACTTATGGACATACTCTGATAATTTTAAAACTTAAAATAATCTCTTCTTCTGTATTATAATTTAAAATCGTATGTGAAGCTTAGAAACACGGTAGACGTTTTAATTTTAAATGATTTGTCAGACAGACAGAAAAAATGAAGTGGAATATTATGATTTCTTATCGAGCTACCGATTAAAAAAGGATAAAATAAAATGACATGACAAATATTTGAGCGAAGGTTAACATTTAGAGTACCTGGTTTGTAAAATTATTAATATCGTATATATAAATTTACAATGACACTAAATACAAATAAATAAGACAAAATTAGGTATTGTTTTCGTACGTCGTGTGGTGATGAATTTAAATTACAATCAGTTAAAATAAATATTATTAGATAGGGAAGTATCTAGTAAAAATGTTTGTCATCTTGATGTCTTTCATAAAACCTGTTGTTTTATTGTTAGATTTAAAATGGAATTAAATTCGTGTTATACATTATTAATGGTTTCAATTTTTTTATTTGAATTTTGTCAATATGTGTTTCGATTAAAGAATTTGTATTGCCTAAAATATACAACCTTACTTTAAAATAATTGTCCAGAATGATTCATAAAATAAAAAAAAGAAAAAACATATTACTCATAAAAATTGAAAGTATCTATACATTATATTTTTTTCATTCCGACCGGAACAGGTTCACGTGCTTTTATTTCCCTCTAACGGGAGTTCACGTAAAACTTATTTTGAATTATTACCAAAACATTTTGCAGAAATTTAATTCAAAGACAATTGAATACAAATGATATTATAAGGATATAAATATTTTTAGATTCTGAGTTTTGCCAGAAATTATTTGGTTTTTTTACAAATTTTGTTAAATTTTCCTTATAGTTTTTTTAAAATTGAAAAAAAAACGGCAAATTGTTTGCATTAATTAACAGTTTCTTTTATTTTCGATTTTTTTTTTTTTTTTTGTAATTAGTTATAAATAATCGTATATTTCTGAAATTTGCACCGAATAATTATATAAGACTTTTCTATACGTGGTATAATCTTCAAAACTATCTGGAAATTTTTAAGCTATTTCTAACGATTTAAAATTGTCGAAATTTGTTAAATTTTTATTTGGTTTTATGCGTATACAATTTTTTTTGACATCAAAAATTCATTACAATTTGATACAATGTGTAATAATCGTAAGTTGTTCATATTGCACTATTCAACTATCGATAAATCGTATACATAATTTTTAAGTTTTTAAAACCTCGTGGCCTTTCCAACAACTTCGCTCATAATCGTCTTTCGTTAGCAATGATTTATCGTTGCCTACAGGTATAAATTAAATAACTATATTATAATATATCCTACCTTCCCAATTTTTTTTGATTTCTGAATTCAGAACATATTTTAAAAACAAACCCGGTAAAATGAATAGTATAGCTATATTGTTTTATATATTATACTTAGCTAAATTTAAGTTAGAAATGCACTTCATCTCATGCACTGTATTTTGTGTGTTGTGTTTAGTCACTCGTGTCACGTCTTTCAATTAAATTTCAATTGAAATGTTGTTTGAAGGGCCACATGTATTTGATAAAGTACGTCGGGTAAGGGTAGTAAGACGCAACAACTTTGAGATGTTAAACATTTTTGCCATTAAAATGCCCCGGGACCATGTACTAGAACTGAAGTAATAATTTTCAAGATAAAATTAATATTGTTATTTTCCTTGTCGTTTTTTTCCTACGGCTTTTTTTTAATGTGTTTCTGTATCAGTTGTTACCGTTGTGTATGTAGGAGTCTATTACTATAACTTCTCCATGGTGGTTAATACATGAACAACTACAGTTGTAGTTGTTGTTGTTGAATAGTAGAAGGAAGAAAGTTTAGTTTTATATAGACAAGTACGCAAAAATTAAAGTTCCGTCCTGTATCCTATTATAAATCGGAGAAAGTAGTTACTTTAACGAGAAGTAATTTATTTCGGGATTTTCAGTTCTCAGCTGATATAATGTATATAGCTTAGGCATTTATACTTATCTAATTACGAAAAATGGAGAGAACGGTGAATTTAATAAATAATAATAATTATACGTTTACAAAACAACACCTACAATATTATACTTGATAAGACATATTCTCGTTAGATGTATTTTATTGATTGTTTATCATTAAACTTATGTTTACTATTTTTAATCACCTATTCTTTTTGTTATAAACAATCTATATATATAACTGCAGTATTCTATGTTAATACGGTATGATCTTAGTCTTGAGAACAAAAACCTTGATATAGAAAGTAAATAAATCTGTATTAATATACATTTTATTTTAATTTAAACCGGCCGAGTCATTAACCCAGTAGATTAGTAATATTTTCACGCATTTTTTTTTGTTTCTACCAATTAATAGTCGATGACATTGTTTCCAATGCCACTTTTGCCAGATAATGAATATAATCTAAATTCGCGATGTTGGTATATTTATATTATTATTTTTATTGGTCAAGGTGAACACCAACTTTCACTAATCTAACCACGTACCATTGCCGTTCGTTCATCTTGTTCAGTATCGTTGCTGTCTGCGTGATGTTCGTTTTATAAAAATAAGAAAGAAATATGTAGTGATTTGTGATAATTTAAAATCATTAATTTTTTCTTTATTATTATGTTGTATTTGTGTAGACAGTAGAAATAACAATCACGGTATGAGATCCAAATCGTTACAAGATTTGCCCGAAGCAAGTACTAGTACAGCTGTGCCAACTCGTAAACGACGCATGCCGAGGTTTTCTTTACGGCGATTTTTGTATTCAAATACGTTTTTGGCGAGGCACTTGGGAAGTTCGCAAAATGCTAAACGTCACACTATTATAGCTTCAGGTATGTTTATATAATGTTATTATTTTAGTTTAAAAAACTTTTAAATCCTTAAGTTGCCAAAACTTAAGGACTACTTTAAAACCAAAAATCTTGGTTAGGACATTGTATTTAAATATTTAAAAATAATATTAATATTTCCTATTATTAGTATCTATTATCTAAATATAATAAATGCAAATTAATGGTTTAAGTTTTAAATTTAATTTAATTTTGGTATGCTGTGAATTCTTATTAGATAACTCTGGCAGAGTACAGTTTGAGAACAACTATTTTAATCAATTACTTTTAAATGTTGTAAAGATAAGTACCTAGTAAATTTTATAAAATTGAAGCAATATCATACAATTTAAAAATTAAATATTAATGCTAATTTTGGAAACTATTGTAAATTAGATAATTGTATAAAGTACCTAATGGTCGATATAAATATGGCAAAATTATTTGTTACATTATTTATGCATTTTGGATTTTAGGATGAGGTGTAATATCTATAATAACGAGAATAATGATTTACATGAAAACATTGTAATGTGTTTTAATTTTTAATTATCGAAATTATGATTTTTTCTCTAATATATAAAATTTAATTTTCAATTAACTACTTACAGGTATTTTAATCTGTAATTTAGCATACCATCAATATAAATTTAGCTTGAATGTAATATTATAGGTACATCAATATGAAATTGTGATGTAACATTTGAATTAACCGGAATTACTTTTTCCCCTATTCATTTCTAAGTTAATCCTGTCACTAAACAATTATTAATATAATTATATTTTCTTTTCTTTATTAATCCAAGTATTTATATAATATTTGAATAATTAAATAGCTATAAAAACTGACCTATTGATGTTATTAATTTAAGAAAGTTTATATATACTAAAACTATATTAATAACATAATTTAATTACAGGTGCTAATCATGTAGGTCCCAGCTTAGCAGATGCAAATGATTTTGAAAAGGCCCCTTTGGGATTTGGACAAAACTGTACAAGTCCAAAAAAAACGACACCAGTTTGTACCACCAAAGTAAGTTATCAAAAAAGTTTTAAAATATGTTCAATTAGAAAAAAAATTAATACTGTACAGGTAGGCTACTGTTTTAGGTGTGTAGTTGGAGGCGTAGAATACATTAAGTCATTGGATTTTTTCAGATTTATAAATCATTGCAAAATGATAAACGATTCTAAATGAATTTCAATTTTATATGTTTTGAAATGCTTTAGTTTTTAAGATATACGAGTACATCAAAATTTGATTTTAACACACTTATAAAAAAATGTCCTCATTATGCTCAACTTTGTTGTTACCACTTAGTGCAACTATTAATGAATCTCATGTTGAATATTCAAGCATTTGTATTAAATACTATTTCACACACCAAGTACTTACAAAATAAAAATTATGTAAACAAACTTACAAATATAAAATGCCTATAAATAGCTCAAAAAAAAATCTTCAAATTTTATTAAAAATGTACCACATATAAAAAAGGCTAATACAGTCAAATTTCGCATATTACAAATTTCAAGGGACCTAGAAAAAAGTTTGGTATATTGAGAGTTTGTTACATCAAATTAGTTGTATCAAAAGCATAAACCAGCAACAATTATTTTAACGAGATTAAAAAGAAAATTCGAAATTGAAATCAACAAATTACAAATATATATTTATTTTCATTTAATAATGCATAGTAAATAATATAATATGTATTAGGTACATATTATGTATGAAATACTTGAGTCATGAGAGCCATTATACATTTATCTTAATTGTGATAATGTACTGTGATATATATGCCGGAATAACTTCATAATAAAAAGCTATTTTATTATATTTTTATCTTTATTAGCTATGTATTATTATTGAGTCATTATACACCAACCAACGGGTATCAAATCTTAATAAATATTGAAAATTCGTAATATCAAGCTCCAAAATTGTAAAAATTTATTACACCACAAGACCTTTGACTAAAAAGACTTGGTTACATCAAGGAAATCATAATATATTTAATTTTTTGTAACATTTTTAGATTTTAAAGGGAACGGAAGTTTCATTTGTTATATTACGAGTCGACTATAAGTATTCTATGAAAATTTCTGCTGTGATGATATTTAATCAATTTACAACAAAAAACCAAAATTAAAAATAACAAAACAAATTAATGTTGTAAACTTTCCTGTGTTTCCTAAGTTTTTTGCAATTATTATGAAAACTGTTTGAAAAATCTTAATACTTAATTTTCTTACTTAATAACTAGATTCAAAATACAACAAACAGGTCTCTTGTAATTTTTCGATTGGAGCAAGATAATTCTAGTAGAAACATAATTCATACAATTTAAAATAATGAAATTATAACACTGTCAATTTGCCAGTTTTCATTTTACATATTTTGCTGGTTGTCCCAATTTTTATCAAAAATGCTTGGAAAATCAACAAATGGCTTACTTAATCACCAACTAGATCAACAATACAAAAAAATTGGTATATTGTTGTTTTATGACTGAAGTAAAATTTTTAGTAGAAAACACAAATTGAAAAAATAAAATAAAATAATAAAATTTTGAATACTGTAGAATATATTTATACTGCTTGAGCAAATTGCTTAACCAAAATAGTATTTTCAGAAAAGTACATAAAAATTAATTTTTTAGAAAAAGTATTAGGAATTTAAAAAAAAAAATTAACTAAGGTACCATTACCGAAAATCCTTATCTTTTAAGGTATACAATTTAGCTTCTGCACTACATTTGGAATCTAAAAAAATTAGAAACAAAATGTTCACTAGTTGTCTATACACTCAAAGAAATAACATTAAATTTTGATTAGTTCAGTATGGTTAAATAAAAATTGAACATTGTGGTTTTACTCGAACTTTGTTTTCATTTAATTTTAATTTTTTTTTTACAAGTCAATATTGTGTTAATATTTGGTATAATTTATAACATAGATCTTAGATGTTATTAATTTAACATAAATATCATATTTTCTTACCTATTTTAAATTAGTACAAATTAAAGCAAAATTTTTTATTGTAGTAAATTTATCAAAGGAATTATATTAACTTAGTTGATAATATCATGGAAATAAATATTTTGATAAATATAAAATATATTGTAGAACAAGGAATTATCCAATATAATACACTTCATTTAATCATTTTTTTTTTTTTAAATTGAGTATATGAGTATATAACTGTTAGTTTGTTATTAAGATGGCTAAACCTTGAACAATCAAGGTCTTAAATCATCACGGTTTGTTTTACTTGTACATTGTTAAATATATATAAAAACTTTATCAATAACAAAAGATTTAACAATGATTTTTAAATCTCTTGTTAGTTAAAATATATAGCTTGGTTTATACAATTGATATTGTTATAATTAAAAAAAAAAAATTGGGTCTTATTTTATTTTGTCCCATATTTTATTCTTAATAAATATTTGATTTTTATTTATAGGATTGCACACCAGTTGTTGATGGTTTATTAGAGTGTCCATTATGTCTAGCCAAATTTGAGGAGACCAATTTTGCCAAATTATCTACTTGTAACCATCGTTCCTGTGTTGAATGTTTTCAACAATATTTACGTATAGAAATATGTGAATCACGTGTTAATATCACCTGCCCGGAGTGTGCTGAGGCTATGCATCCAAATGGTATCTTATTACTTTTTCTCTTTAATATGTAATTTGTAATCTTGTATATTAAATATATATTTATATTTGTGTAGACATACAAAGTGTGCTTAACAATCCAGCTTTATATGACAAATATGAAGACTTTATGGTACGGAGGGTTTTGGCAATTAATCCTGATACTAGGTATTGCCCTTCACCTGACTGCAGGTAATTTGTCAAAGTTTTTTTTTTTCAAAGTTGGTGAACTAACCTCATATATTTAAACAATATTTTAATCATCTAAATGCTTTTATACATATTGTAAGTTTTTATTTCTAAGAAACATAAATCTGTTATTATTTTAGCTATGCTGTCATAGCTGCGGGTTGTGCCAGTTGCCCAAAAATTAAATGTGAACGTCCTGGTTGTGATTCATACTTTTGTTACCATTGTAAAGCTGAATGGCATCCTAATCAAACATGTGATTCCGCTAGAGCAAAACGATCATCAAATATGAGAACCTCGTCTATTGCTTTTAGTATAGATTCAAATTCACGTAAGAAATGTTAACTTTTTTGTTTTACTTATATAGAATTAAAATTTACATACAATTTTAGGAGAAGACATTAAACCATGTCCTCGTTGCCAAGTGTTAATAGTCAAAATGGATGATGGCTCATGTAACCATATGACTTGTGCAGTTTGTGGAGCAGAATTTTGCTGGTTATGCATGAAAGTAGTTAGTGATTTACATTATCTTAGGTAAAAACATTTTATTGTATATATTTATATTAATTCTATTGTCACTATTGTATTATTTATGTAAAAACTTTAATTTTAGTCCTTCTGGTTGCACTTTCTGGGGTAAAAAACCATGGTCTCGAAAGAAAAAACTTTTATGGCAGTTAGGTACATTAATTGGAGCGCCTGCTGGAATTGGCCTAATAGCAGGAATCGCAATACCTGCAATAATAATTGGTGATTATATCTTGAATATTTTATTAAAAACTTATGTGCTTTCAAAGCATCATTATAAGCTGTTTATAATTGTTGCTAAAGGTGTTCCTGTTTGGACTGGACGAAAAATGTTTACCCGTTATAGACATTCAAGTCGATTAAAACGGAATTTTGCAATTGCCGGCGGTGTTATAGCAGCGGTAAGTGTAATTAATAATATATTTTATTTATTTAAAAAATTGTTGATAGTATTTAAAGATACATGCGCAGACATTTTATTGATCACTGTAGCAAATAAAATTAATTTTTCTTTTTTATCTTCATTATACTATAGTAACTACTAGTTGACTTAATACTATTTTTGATTTATAATTACTTACTTAAACTGAATTTATTTGAGTATTTACAATTAAAAAAAAACAAATGAATATATTTCACACAATAGATGAGCCACTGTTGTAGGTGTGAAGTTAGGAAAGTAAAGGGGAAATTAAATGTATATCTGTTTGAAACGACAAACCATTGTTAACAAAAAACGATTCTTAGCGGTGTTAGGTTTTTCATGTTTTGAAATAATAGATTTTGTAAATTTTCCCATTTTCCCTACATTTTTCTCGGTTTTTCTCATTTAATATGAAAATTCCCAGGAAAATTAAAAAATGACCTCCTTAAAGTATTACTCCAGTCTAATTTTTCTCTCAGAAAAAGTGCTACACTGTAAAATTGGAGCAAAATTTCTGATAGAAAAGTTGTTCACAGATAAAATAAATAAATACCATTGTAAAATCAATACATTCTTTGCTTTGCTCAGAATCTAAAATTAGTTGTTATAGATACTTACAAGGTTAAATTATAATGTATACATTTTCATCAATATTTCTATTTGATACATTATACTTATTAATGTAAAAGATTAATATATGTAGAAGGAAATAAGTGGAGAGAAAGACTAAAAAAGGGGTGGTTGGAATGCAATTAAGAATGATATAAAGACAACCAGTGTATGCAATGTGGGAGATCAAGTCAAGTTGAAGTTTAGACCCCCAAACAGTTGGGATGGAGGTGAAGGAGAAGTAGAAGATATTGTACTAATTAGTATTTTTCTATAATTTCTTAATTTTAGTTTTATATTGAAAAACAATTTTCAACAATAATTATAATTAAAATAATACCTTGGAGTTATTGACTTTTATGTTATTAATTCATTGCTATACTAGTTTAACTTTAAAATATTTATAGAAAAATTAAAGATATCAATTAAATTATAATCAATAATGTTTATTTCTATAGAAAGTAAAATCACATAATATGAATATAGTATGGACAGCACCGTTACATTAATTTAGGCAACATAATTTTAACAAGTTAAAAATTTAAAGAATCAGTAAAAACCGGTTTCAAAAAGAGAAACTTTTAACATGTTTATATAACGGTCTTGAGCTATAGGATCTAAAAATAAGTTACTTTACATACCATGTTAAAGGTTATGCTAAAATTATAAGACATTGTTATAATCTTAAGAACTTAAGATAAAATACATATGTTTGAATAAGTTTTAACAAATTTTCTCTAATTTTAGTGTACATAGTTAATTCTTAACATTAAAAAAAAAGTCCAATACCTTAACCTCAAGTGTTATTTGAATTTCGCAGAACTAATGTTAAAAAGTAACAGTGAAATAAAATCATTATTTATTAACAAATATGTTATTTCTATAATATATAGTGTAAAAGCTCTAAATGTATAATAAGGAGAAATAAATTATAAACAAGTATAAAATTAAATAATAAATACTATGCTGAAATTTCAGTAAGATATCTCTTAAAAATATCTTCGGCTTGTAGATCAGTCAACAGATCTAATAATCTTTGTTCTGTTTCACCATTGCCTAAAGCAACATCCACTGATCCTATACATAAAAGTACTGCTAACAATTTTGATTCCTTCATATCGTCATTCAAGTCATAACGACTGTATTCGAGTTGTCCTTCTATGTCTACGCCCATTTTATTTGCATGTGTTGTTAAAGCTTCCCAATAAGTGTCTATTAATTCGTTAGAATGATTTCTTCTGGTTTCAGTTGACAAACTACTTACCAGCAAAAGAGCTACGTCATTGGTTGGTCTACTGTAGGATATCATTTGCCAATCCAATATAACACATTTATCTTTTTCTCCGAACATTAAATTGTTGCACCAAAAGTCAGTGTGTGTCATTAGTCCCATGGGTTCTTTAGGTATCATTAACGATCCAATTATTTGTTTAGTGACGCGGCAAAGAGATCTTAGTGTATTAATTAATGTATCGTATTGAGGCCCCTTTGATCGTAGGAAACTGTGTAATTGAGGCATTCCTCGCTCTACAAGCGCTTGGTAAGATAATGTAGCACGGGACGTTTGAAACAAAAATGGCCAAATTTCAGTGAGTGGTCCTTGTTTTATTTTTAATGCAAGTGATGTTGCATGGATTCTAGCTATGGAACGTAGAGCAAGTTTAGCTTGGGTGTATGTTAGTCCAGTGGAGAAATTAGCTGCCGTGTAATTGCGTTTGGATAGGTTTTCTAAAACGAGCATGGACTCATCTTTACCACTGGCACTCATACCAGCAAAGTAACATTTGGCTACTGGCATGTCCCCGATTGTCAACCGATAATTCTTTGGTAACGTCGAGTCTTCGAGGTTTCTTAACTCAAATAATACCTATAATAAAATAAATGATAATTCATACATTTTTTTTATGTAATTTAACTAGATTAAAAATGGTATTGATTGTCAGTTTTTCCTATCAATAAAGTATACTTATAAAAGCTTGCAATGCGCAATATTACACTGACTAACATATCCAAGTACCTAACAATTAATTTTATTTATTTATTGAAATACTACAATAGTTACATTGAAAATTTTTGAAACGATTTCGCATAGTTATAAAAAAAACAATTGACATACTCTAATGTCTTAACACATATTATACAATAATATGCCAATGGTTTTATGTTTTGCCTCAAAATGTAATTTATGTTATTTTACTTGTATAAAAAAATATACTTTCGAAATGTATTATTTAAAAGATTTGTTTAGTAGGTAGTAAACATGAACAATAAATTTACAATTAAAGAAAAGTGGGTTAATTTAATTTTATCGACAATATATTATTATTATACTTTATCCAACCAGCAGGACGGTAATCACACTATTGTTTTTTTCTTTTTTATTAGCGTTTATTAAAAATACCAAAAAAATCGCGAATCCTATTGTTTCGATATTATTTTTTATGTTTATTATTAAAATTGATATATGGGTTAATACTCTCATAACTATTAGTTTGTGTTTCTTTCCCGACTGATATTATTATAATTAATATTTTACGATAATAATACTTAATAATAATTAAAAGAGATAAAAAATATATATATATATATATACATAATTGATTCTTTTCTTCGGGTGTGGGGAGAGGGGTTCCGGGTTTTTGATATTTCATGGTCGCGTGTGGTTTGATGATGTCAACAATGAATAGAGACTATGCTTGTATTCTTATATTTTAATCGTTCGCTATTTCCTTGACTAGAATCCAAAAAAAAAGAAGTATTATGTGGCATCCTAGATGATATTTTAAACGAATGAAACAAAATGGTCAAGGTCTAACGCGTACACACGGCGGGCGTTAGCCCTGACGATAGATTATGGCGTGAAATCGAAATACTCTTTTGTGTGCTAGGGCCGGGAAAATTGTCTAGGAAAAATAAAAACATTCCCTGACGTCGCGGTAGTACCAAATAATGATATTATCGTGGTGTTGAATACATTGCGATGTCAAATTTTCTATTGAATTTTTGAATTTCTCTTATTAATTAACAATTACTATCAACTCTTACATTAACACGTTTAAGCTGGGTAAATATATATTCTACATTTTTTTTTCATCAAACGCTGTATTTTTATGGATTATTAATGTGTGTTGCGTAATCAGCAAGCACTTGTAGGGGCGGGGAGAATTCGGTCATGTTGTGCTGACAAAAGTAAAATTCGCTATTTAATACGAAACTCCTAGTCAAGTTATCCGCCTACCTAGTGAATTGTATTGTAAACTGTTATCATTTTTAACTTTTATACCATCCGTAAACGACCGTCCATAAACGTTTTCCAAAATTTATCAAAGAACTAAACGGCCATTTTCCTCGTACAAAATCACCCTGCAAAATCAAAATATTTTCGAAAATGTACAAATCGAGAATTGTTCGAATTGTTTCAACGTCCACTGAAGATATTCACGGGGGCGTGACAATAAATAATTGCTGTTCCCGGCTCGTCGGCGGCAATGGAATTACACATTTACGTCCTAGCTAGTAGGTACCTATAATAATGCCGTGATGGGTAGTGCGGCGGGAGAGTGTCGTGATGTGCGAGGGAGCGGTGACATATCGTTACCGTGTACAGGTATTGTGCGTTCAAGGTGACCAGCGGGAGGAGGAAGGGGGACCCACCGTGTTGTAAAAGTGCACTTCTCTGTAGTCGAACTGGGCCTCGAGCACGAACGCCCGGGAGTACGGCTCTTGCGGCAGGCTCTTGATGACCACGTCCAGTGATTTCGTGTCCGGGATGCCGTCCACCGCGTACACGATGTGCACGGCAACTATGGAGCTGAGCACATTGTGCGGATCCGACACGGCGGGCGTGGCGATGGTCCGGTCGCTGATCACGGTCACCATGTCCTCAGGCAGGTCGATCAGCCGGCTGATGACGCCGGACAGCCACACCGGGTCGGCCGGCAACGGCTGTCGATCGTCATCGTCGTCGGCGGCTGTGGCGGCGGCTGCTGCTGACGACATGCTTGCTGCAGCTACTGCTGATTGACACTGTTACAGACGAGGGACACCGTCGCGCGCTAACGTCTGACCGTGTGCACGGGTATGACACAACAACGCTGGTCGAGGCGCGCGAGCGTTACGGAATTGGCGGCTGCGTACGTGCGCGCGTATATATGTGTGTGTATCGTATCGTATACGAGTCGACGACCCGCATCCCCTTGGCCTCCCCTAACCTCCCCCCCCGTGACATAGTATCGGCCGCGCCCCCCTGTATATACAGATCGCAATCTCCTCGCTTCCTCTCCACACCCAACAATATTATATACCGCGGCTCCCTTCTGCAGTCTCGTTCTTTTTTGTCTCCGTCACTTTCTCCCTGCTCTCACTAGCGCTCTTTCTATCTCTCTCTCCACGACCCGCTCTCCTGTCATCTCCTTTTATTTCTCTCTCTCTCTCTCTCTCTCACACACACACTCTCTCTCTATCTCACTCTGCTCTCCCGTACGCGGTTGTCATGCGTCCTGCGCGCCCCGCGAGTGTTGCGTACCTACGTCATCCGTGCGACCCATCAATACCGCCGGCGCTGTGGCCCCAGTGTACCGTGAACTATAATTTGCGAAGAGACGCGAAAAAAGTAAAAATTAATAAAAAGACTACGACTGTAATAATAATGCACGTAACGTATATAAACATTATAGTGTGCGGATTTCGAAACGCTAAGAAATAAAAAAAGAAAAAGCATTTAAAAAGCTCTAACGAATTCGCCAACAATCATTAGCGATGACCGAATACTTTTACAATGACGTATGCAATATAAGTACACGGTATATAATCGTAAAACGTAATTGAGCATTACGAGAAATGAAACCGATTTCTTCATACATTTTACCGTTTACAGATATTAACTATGATGGTGTATCGATTTGCCCCGACACCCGATACAATTATTTAGTTCAAAATGTAATATACATTCTTATCATTTACAAATGCGATTTTCATATCGATTTAAATCGTTTGTATAAACCACGAACATTGTTCGAGTCAACTATCATCTATACACACGAAAATACCTTACCTTACAACCTTCTGTTTTCCAAATGGAACGTTTTTGTGACCTCCCCCTCCCCGTGTATTCTCGACGTTTTAACATTATTCGAATCTTCTCCGAGTAGTATTGCTCGATATACCCACAATTATCAATACATTTATAATAGCGGTTAGAATCTCTTATTCTGATCAGTTCGGTGTGTACAGTAATTACCCAACACTAATAGCTGGCCATCACGCTCAGAATTTGTTATAAACCGCTAATGGAACGTTATTGAATAACCAACCGACCGCGCAACGATTACTGACTGCCGCCGGACTCTGTCAATGATATTAGCATAGTGTAGTTTTATCAACACTTGGGTATTGGTTGTAGATTGGAGAATATTTTATAGATTTCCGTATAAAAATTATGTTCGTGCTTCGTGAAACCACGACTCGTACTTTTTCCGTGCTTACCGATTTCCACGTCGGCGAGACGAGTAGTCGGCGAATCTGACCCAGAATCATCACGACGGGTACCGGAAAAAGGTAAATAGGTTTATAAAAAAAAAAAATGAAAAAAAAAAATAAATACAAATTTCGTATATTTATCTTCTGTACGTAGTGGTGTATGAAACGAATTTAAACAGTCGGAAATAAAACAAAAAAATACAAATATCCCGTGTTCTACAATTATCCTCGCGGTCCGTCAATGATTTTTTTTTTTCAACACCCGATTGTTAGAATTCCATTGTCGGCGTTGTTGTTGTTCAGTCGTTGTGCGCCTTGTCTGTACATAGTGACATCCGTATTGTCTATATTGACGGCGAAAATATTCACAATGCGTTTCGATATAAAACAACTCGAAGAATTCCGAAGTTTTTTTTTTTTAAAATTATATAGTTATTAGTTTGGATCGGTTGGCGGGTATGTAAAATAATATATCGCGTAGCCCGATTGTTGCCAGTGGCGTCAGAGTCGTTGGGCGAAACGACGAAATTGAAAAATCCACGGCCGTTATAGAATATATACTAGTATACAAAAACCTGTAGGGTACTGCCCCCCCCATGGCCTTTTTTAAACAATATAAAAACACATCTTTACTTGGTACTTGAATTATGAGGGGGAAAAGGGCGTTGTACCTCTTTATTTTCTAGAAATATTTTAGCGCGCACCTTCTATACCGTTTCACAATGAACCCGAAAATCGATGGAGAGGTTAAACAAATTTCAGTTCTAAATACCAAATTTACCGATTTCAACAAATATTTTTTAACCTTTTTTTTTTTTTTTATCATGCTTTTTATTATATTAACTCGGGAAGAAGTTCAAAACTTATGATCGATTTTTGACCCACTTTCCGTGGTCCGATCAACTTGAAATTTTGCATGTGTTCATATTTACGTCAGCAATACAATAATGACCAGAATCAGATTTTCCATTTTCTCTCTCCCCCCCCCCCCCCGTTTTAAAAGTGGGCGGTAAAACTGTTTTCACCCAATTGATTATCGTGAAGCAACGTTGAAATATCGAAAAACGCCACATATGACTTTTGTTCGCTGTGAATAATCCGCGGTTAGATTTCCCGTTTTCCCGAAGTGGTAGGAAAACGATTTCTAGCAAGACTAAAAATAATACATTTAAAAAAAAAAAATAATTTAATTACCGTTCTTTAAAAGGGAAAACAATAATGGAAATGTTAATACAAAATATATTTTCACGTGCATATCACGATAACATTGCAATTGAATTATAATTAATGATAACCTATTTTCGACAAAATATAAAAAAAAAAAAATAATGAAAGTAAATACCGCAATCGTGCATGGAGCCCATACCACAAGTTAATGTACGAGATAGACTCCTTCAATAAGGTGAAAAACGTTCCATATTCAAACGTATGTTATCAATATCACTACTATATTTAATTTCGGCGTTATTATGTGTACTCACGTGGGAAATATTTTTATTGACATTTCCCATTATTATTTACCGTTTGGTTCGTTTTAAAGCCACGGTATTTAAAAACAATATGTCGTCCTTTTAATAAAACTTTGACGATGAAAATATAATTGATAGTACCTATTTGTGTAATAAAATACTAAAAACAACTAAGGATTTATTTATCGTTGAATTGCCGAATCTCAGTATAGTCTTAATTTACAAATTTCCAATAGCGTATTCGCGGGGGTTTAGCAGATTGGTATGATTTAGCTGTCTAAATCGTGGTAAGGCACACTTCTCTTCCCCTCCATCCAAAAACAAATTTGTAAATATGGTTACTGGGACTCTCATCCCGTCACCCCAATCTCTGGCCCATTGAATGGACATTTTATGAACATAATATATTAAAGATATTTCGATCTACAAATCTAAAAGTACGCACATGATTTTTCACGTTCCCCTTTTATTGTCAAGCGCCGAGTGTACCTATATTATAATATTGTAAGATGACAGTTTAGAATTGTCTTTAGCCCACTCAGGATCAAACTCAATATTATGTTCGAATGTCGTGTCAGTCTTGTAAAATGATTTTCGTCACGTAAATACTTCCGGATTGAAAATCGCCAGTTCAACAACACATTATAGGGTTCGGCACTTTGTGCATTTAAAATCCACAGAAAACAGATTAAAAACGAATTCTGAAAAGAATTTAAAAACCAAAAATAACAGAGGGCCCAGAGTGGTTTAAAATTTCCACTCTCAACCATTTAACCGTTCAATGCAACTATCCAACACATGCAATTTTCTTTTATTATAATACTAACAATTTGATTTAAAAACTTGTGTTAATAATTTTTTTAGTGCGTTTTCAAGCCTTTTTTGACGGTTTAATCGGCCTTTTTTAATCGGTTTTTTGTAGATTTTAAGTGCATAAGTCCCGCGCCCTAAAATTATGAAAATACAAATCGAAAATCGTATAAATGCACGCGTCAGTTGTCGAGTTTATTATATTGTCGTCGACATTGCTTATTGAGTTGTGTATAACTTGTCAAAAATGTGACTATAATATTACAGTCTACGATTGTTGCCCACTATCCTATTTTTCTTTATTCCACGAACGCCGTGTATCGTTCGGCGCCAATATTATTGTTTATCGTTAAAAAAAAAATACCAATGACACACCACACCACGTTACCTGTCTCTCAACGATATTTTTCGCTATTATTAATCGTTTATAATAAGCCGCGACTAGGATGCAACTCGCATCATGTTTACGTGTGTAACCTACCTAGGTAATTATTCACTCGGATATAAACGGTTTTTTTTTTTTTTTTTATTATTCGCACTTATAAATATGACTATATTTGCTTTTTTCAGGGTAAGTCGAATATAGTATTATACCGGTATATATTTTATACTATAGCCTATAATATACATCGGTTCTTATCGCGGAACTGTTTGGGTTATTGAAATTAAAAAAAAAAAAAAAAGTACGCACACTTAAACGTAATAATAGATACGGAGTTAACGACCTTGTTACGATTATTTTATTCCCTAAGTTTAATTGTTTTATTTACAATACAATAAGAAAAAAAAAACGTATTTTTTATTATTTTTTCTTCTTAAATTCTATTTTTATTGTAATTTATGAACTAAATGAAAAGGGATCATAGATTTACTGTTAGATTATTATTATTATTTTTTTTTTTAAATTTTGAATTTAGCGATCAAATAATTGTGTATTATTTAACATCTATTTTTTTTTTTTTTACCTGTAATATAATCTTCCGATTTTTTTTCATGTTCATAGATATTGTTTTTCGTAACTTTTAACAGTAATCTCACAGTTGATCTAAAAAACTAAAAGTCAAATTTTTAGTTTTTTTTTCTGGAAAACAATTTTTCGGTTATTAACTTTTCGTTCCATAACGAGATGCGTGTTTTTCGATTAAATGGAACTTTATTCAATAAAAAATTAAAAAACTGACATTAGTTGTTGATATGTTACTTTTTTTTCTGGATTACCTTGACTACAAAGGAAAACATACGACTAATATTATCTAACATTACCAGTTTCTCTTAGAATTGCTTTTTAACATATTGACGGATATTACTGCAATAGCAGTAATATGTAAAATGTCATATTACGTCAATACTACTGAATCAGTAATCGTTTCAATGGTATAAAATCATAGAAGACAGTGAACTGCCACATTACGGCAGTCTACACTGACAATTTACATAGATTTTGGTTGTAGCACTACTAATATAACAGTAACAACTACAAGTGTCTGTCAATGTATTCATTGCCATGATTTATTGTCGCTTTAAGTATATAAAATAAATTGCCCACCATTCTATACCTTCCAATATACTCACCTACAACAGTTATATTCTATCCATAATATTCATAACAGCCTATCCATAGTGGCAAGTATTTTTGTTTTTTTATTTTTCAAAAATTATCTAACTACTTCTTGTTTTTATTATGCGCAATGAACCATAAACACAATATCCTATTTGCAGTTGAATAAAAATGAAATTATCCAATAGAAAAATATCGATATCTAATTAAGTAATTTCTTCAATTAAAAAAAATCTATTTTATTATAATTTATTATACTTGTTTTTTTAACAATAATTTATATTACTTGATGCATTCATATCACATTCATCTATTAAGCAATGTTTTAATGTTACAAGGTTCTGTCCTATGTCTTTAATCAATCAATGCTATATACTAACATCCTATATTCTATTGCACTTTTAATTATAAAAACATCAAGTTTATCATCAATTCTCTATTTATTCCGTCTTCACTCGCACTGTTTCCATTTTCACCTTTACTCGCACGGGATATTTTTTTTTCAAGTTTTTAATCCATTTTTATAAAATAAAATTATACTATAAATAAATTATTAAAAACTATTGTGAAAAAAACAATTTAAATACAAATTTATTTTATCATTATATTATTATTTAGCCTATTGAGCAAAACAATCTGGACACACTTCGATTAATAAATGATCATGGCATATATTAATTTAACACATATCGTGCAAACTTTTATTGTTTTGAGATGAAAAAAACATCATAAAAACAAGAAAAAAAAAATCTGAGAATGAAATACTCGCACTCGCATTTCCAAATACTGATGCCGATCACTTAATGCATTTCTACCAAGTGAACTAAAAACCAAGATAACACATTTTATCTATAAACACATTATTCGAGATTATAGAAATGTACCAATATTTATATTTATGACAACGTTCATTAAATTATAAATAAAAATTAAGCTGGGGTCATGATTTACGCCGTGCGAGTGAAGATGGGTTGACGAATTTAAATTAAAATTTCAGGATAATAATTGGATAGAAATACTATTTAGTATACACATAGCCCGCTTAAGATATATCATGTTTTATAAAGTAAAAAATAATTATATTGGTTTCTACATAGAGCGTGAAGGTTTTACCAAGTGTAGGTGGTTTTTTTTCTTTTTAATTATGAAAAACACTTCGGGAAATCAAAAATTTACATTAAAAGGTAGAACTGATAGTGGTCATTTTTTGAATTTTCTAATGTGGACTGATAACCTAACAACAAAATGAAAACATGAAAAACATTAATCTACATTTTAGTTCTAAAAAGGATTCTCTTGCTTTGATATTATTACCGAATACTAATTATACTTTAATACTTAAAAAAAAAAAAAAAAATTTATAATAAATAAGCAGTTTATGTTTGGTATATTTTGATGAAAATAATATGATTGCAATTAAATTTAAGTTAAAAAAATTCCATTCGTATTTATGATGCACTATTTTTAATCAACTGTAATTTATGTATATTTACATAACTTATACAATTCTAAAAATATAGTTATTAAAATATTAACCATACATTTGTATAGCTAACTAATAAATGATTTTATAATTTTCATAGTTGATTGCTTCACCAGTAATGGCAAGTATAGCTGTTGGTATAGGAGTGCCAATATTATTGTTCTATGTTTACGGTGTAGTTCCAGTATCTCTGTGTCGCTCTGGCGGATGTGGAGTTACCACATCTTCTAATGGAGTTCATTTTGATTTTGATGAAGAGCAATATACCCCTAAAGCTGTTGCTGATTTCTTAGCAGCGTTTGGTATATACAAATTTAAAATATTATATATTTTAAATGATAATTTATTGGTCTTTAATTTTGTATTTATAGATCCTGATACCGCTGTTAATAGTGGTGCTGAATATGCTGCTAATCATTCAATTGGAGAACCATCGTTCTGGAATGATTGGGATGGTGAAACTGCATTAGGACGAGATGCTGATCGAGAATCAGCCAGTACTGTTGCATTAGCTGGTAGTTTACTAGCACAAAAGTAATTATTTTCTGAGTAAATAAAATAAAAGGATACTGGAAATTTAGAAATAAATGTGTTATAAATCTTAAAATATTTTTTTTATCATATTTTTCTAACTTATTCAATTGAACAACACAAATATAAACTATAGGTGTTATAAATTAGTATTTCTTTATATTAATTTATAATTTTGATTTTCTTTCTTTTTGAAATGTATGAATTTTCAGTCTTAATATTCTCCAGTAATTTGTACAAAACTAATTTAATCATTTTAAAAAAAGAGTTGACAATAGTGAGACAGCATCTATGCGTTCAAGCCAAAAACCTTCTTCTGATGTTATTGACGAGACACAGTCTCAGCCACAGTCTCAGCCACAGTCACAATCACAACAGCCTCTCAATTTGTCTCTAAGTTCTTTAGAAGAACTCACCGCTGGTCTGATGCGACGTGTATTAGGAAATAGCGATGAAACTGATACTCCAGCCGCAGCGATTAGATCACGTGCCACTAATACTGAAGTTCGTTTTGGCAATACTGTAAGCATTATTGCTCCTCCAGTGATAGATTCCAATCACAATTTTTCACCATTCAGGTAAATAATGTATAAAATACAAAATACATTGCTTAAATTAATAAATACTGATATTAATTTAATTTTTCCAGAGGGCTTGTACAAAACTTGCTACGTATAACATCAAGTGAAACATCAACTAGCTCATAATCATATTATACGTGTATATAATATATACAGATTATGTTTTAAGTATAAGATATTAAACCATTTGTAGAGCTATATTATGCTCTCACTTACACTGGTCTTTCTATTTTGTTTGATATTATCTTAAAAGTTTCGTTTTTGTGTTTTTACATTTAATAATAAATACACTATGTGTATATAACTGTTACAGTTAAAGTGTTGAAATTGTTAGTGTATAAATATCTAGGTAATTTATAAAGCGACTAAAATGTGTAGATATTGTATAAAATCTTTAATTAAATTTTTACTATCGAATATAATAATGGAATAGATAAGGTTAACAATGTATATCAAATTGATCATGTACTTTTATCTTGTTATTATACCATTGTTGTACCTAATAACCTGTATATACAATTTAAATTACAAATGTTAAAGTTAAATACTTAGAATAAAGTTAATGTACTCACTGTTTGTTGTTCTCCAATTTGTGCACAAATTTCAATTTGAAACATTCAAAAAATCAAGTTGATATGGTTTCTATTAAAAATATCTAATTGTTCTAATTATTAGAGTAAAAACCCTCGCATGTCAACAACCGTGTTAACAATTTAATGTCACCAATAAAACAAATTTTCTACGGAAAGGCTTACTGGTGGGAAAAACTTTTTATCTATTGAATTACTTTTAATGTTTAATTTTAACTAAAAATATATAGTAGATATAAAATATATAAATTTTATTTTGATGTGTTATCATTTTAAGTATTAATGTATTCAACTTGTATACTAATGTATTTTACTTTAACAAATGACAAGTTTGGTCTTAATAGTATATTGTATTAACTAGTTAAATTATGATAAGTAATTGTTTCCTATATATTACTTTAACTGAAATTTGTAAGTAATTTAAAAACTACCTAGTTATTTTATAAAATAACAGCATTCAATACTTTAACTGTAACATATTTAATTTTTCCTTTAAAGCGACTGTGATCATCACTGGGGTTTTTATTACAATAACTGTTTCTTTGTTACAATACTATTATTAATACAACAATACTACTGTCATTTTTTCATTATGACAATTGTGTACAGAGAAAATAATATAGAAATGATTACATACTTTAGTAACTGTTTAAGTTTATGATTAATAATGCAGTATAGCTAATATTTGAAAAGCCAAAATATACATAATTGTGTTATTTTCTTGCCCCAAACTTATGTTTTAAAATTAATTTACATTTTAAGTACCTATTGTAAAATATTAAAAAAAAAAAAAACCTCATTCCTAAACATACCTATCATAATATTTTTGTTTTTGTGTATTTAGATATATAATACTTGCAGTTGGAACAATAAACTGCCAAAAAAAATTGTGCTTGTGCATTTAATTTTTTTGTACTGTTACCTAAATATTTGTAATTATTACTGCGCTATAATTTTAATTTGTATGGTCTACTTAATACAATGTTAAAGTCTAATGATTTTCAAGTATATTTCTTAAAACTGAATTGAAATTGTCTTTTATTTATGTACTGATTTACAGACTTGCAAATAAGTAGTTACTTTATAAAGTAGTTAAGATATGACATAAACATAGATTTAGTACATAAATACCAGTATGTTAATTTGGATATGAATATAGAGGAAATATAGAAATAGTTAAACAAACAATTTTATTATATTACCTATACTTGTGTGTATAAATTGTAAACTACAAAAACCTGGTTTTTGATGTCTCCATTTTTACCAAATTGATCTATGGAAACATTATTCTGGGGTGGCTAAGACCCTTTGCCCCAGATCCATCTGTTAGCAAACAAAGTATCTATTTGAAAAACAAAAGTATATACTTGTTTAAGGAATAGAGGTATGTAGTAGGGGTAAAAAATAAAGTTTGTTTTAAAATAAAGCTTAAATGATTCCACAATGATTAAATAAAACAAATCAAATTCACTTAAAATAGTAAGTAGTAATATAATGTATATTTGTACACAACGATAAACCATTGCTAATGTAAACCGATTCGGAACTTTTATGTAGAAAATATTTAGGTACATACATTTTCTCATTTTTCTACATTTTATCTCAATTATTATGAAAACTGCTTGGGAAATTAAAAAAAAAAATGACATTTCTAAATTACTAACGAAATTTCCTTTCAGAAATGGTGCTACACTTAATACATCAGAGCAAGATTTCTGGAAGAAAAGGTGTTCACAAAATGAAAAAAATAAATAATAAACACCATTGTAAAACCAATACATTCCTTGCTACGCTCCGAATCTAAAAGTAGTTACAATCGTAGGGAACTCTTTTTTTTTTTTTTTTTTTTTCTACAATTATAGCGATAGTTTGTTAGTGATTATGCACTGTATTAAAAGTGATGATTTCCAACCACTGATTTTCCATCACAAATTTCGAAATATGATACCTAGGTGTTTATAAATCAATTTATTACCTACTATTAATGTACCTACTTCATTCTTTAAAAATAATATAAGTAATATTGTAATATATAATATATTTATATTTTATGGTAATTAATAATTATAAACTATGCAATTGATTTTAGGGTAAAAGTGACTATAATAAAATTTATTGAGAACAATATTTTTGAGGGAAAATTTAAGGGTTTTTGTGTTATTTAGAATATACTGCCCAATATAAAAGATACAAAAACCTTTTTTTTTTTTTTTTTTTTTTTTTAAATAACTGTAACTTTTTTAAAAAAAAGTTTATAATTCAAAAAACACCAGACATTCCTTCCAAAACATTGTTCTCTATACATTTTATAATAGGTTCTTTTACTCTAAAATCAAAATAAAACTAGTTTAACTTATTCTATGTAAACATTATTTTTGTATGTTATCCGGTAGATATATTGAAATAGTAGTAGGGATGGATCCTATAGGGGCTTAGGGCCCAGCCCCCCTCCTCAAGCATATTATTTTTTTGTTTTTTTTTTTTTTTTATAATTCTGTAGTTACTAATATAACTGATATGTATGAGAAAATAATATACATAATGTATTATATTATATTTGAATTTGTGTTATAAAAAAATTTTTACCCCTCCGACCTTTGCTCCGGATTCGTGTCCGGACAGTAGATGCGGGTATAACGTCCTCTTAATAGTGTTTCCCATCCGAAAATATCGGGCATATCTAGAAAAAAATATCTATCTACGTCACTGTTTGATATTCGCGTGTACAGACTGTTTCCGCTTTGGAGTTAACCACACCCTCGTCGCGAACCAACGAAAAGTCGAACCAAGGCCTGTCTTCAGCTAGCACAATACAGGCAATCAAGCAATCACAAGATATTACTCACGCCGTTCGACGTTTTGGCGAACCAAAGATGGATGACGGTAAACAGGTAGGCCATACGTATTAATTTATGCATAAGAGAGATGGTCTTGGTGGAAGGTGAAAATGTAATACGAGGGATAATATCGACGGTGTTTTGTCAAATGCGTCAATCAAAAAATTTCACTTTTTTTTCGAAAAGTAAAAAAAAGAAACAGTTTTGTAAATTAAACAGCTAAACAGTATTTAATGATGTCTATCATGGAAAATAATAAAACTGCTCGTTGTAATATACCCTGTACCATATGAATGTGATATACGTCCTTTTAACAAATTAGTGTTGAACGTTGATTCAATTGTATATTTTAAAAGGGCGCCTGAACATATTTTATTCGACATTACCAACTTAATTGTCTGAATTTTACTACGCCCTTTTAACAGTTTATGTTATTAATTTCTTCGATTTTTTGAGATCGAAAATCTATATTTTGATTTTTAGTGGTATATGCTCTTATAACAAAACACTATCGATACGTTCTACACACCGCACGAGTCTGGAACGAACAATTTATTATGGCAATAAGGAATTGCCTATCTATTGACATATCCATTCATTTTGAGTAATCTCAATATTATAAACAACATAGGTACTTGTTTCGTTTTTTAATGCTTCAATTGTATTTGTATGCCCGATAAAACTCACAAAACTACTTAATATTGATCGAGGTGGAAATTTAAATAATTTATCATTTTGTCACTGTACGCCATCAACAGCTAGGTTTAATTTTTATTTGGTATTAATATGGAATGTATAGGTTATAGGTACTATAAAGTGATTTTGGGTTTTGTGTTTTAGCAGTTCTACATTTCTATTTTAATTTCAAGATTTCATTTTAAAGTCTATATACCCATATTTCGGCTATTTTCTTCTGCTTAGAATCTTCACACAACGTATCTACTTTTTCTATTTAGTGCTTGCTGTTTGTAATTTAAAAATCACAATGTTTTCATTAATGTAATTTCTAATTCATAATTAATGTACTTAGTTAATAGTATTACAGTAACTTAAAATACTTTTAGTGCCGTTCATGATAATTAGAACGGTGTTGTAACAGGGTTCGTAACTCAATTTATTTAAAAATCCCTAAACTCGAGTTATATATTTCTCCATTTTTTCCCCCTGAAAAAAAATTTTAAATATGGATTTCTACTTAATCAAACTCGTTTATAATAGAACTAAAATAATTAATTTCATAGGAAATATGATAAATTAGTAGAATCTAGAAATAATAATAAAGTGGGTAACCAATAACGTTGGCACTGCTGTTATAGGGGTCACACGGTATAATATATGGTCCCAGATTACATTAAATTAACCCAATGTAATTTGTGTTATAGTGTTAATTACTGATTAGTGATATCAATCCATCTAGAGTGATAATTGATAAATTATTTAATTTTTATAAAATTGTGCGAATAAACCTATATAATAAACTTTTTAAACAACATAAAATATCTATTTCAATCTTGAATTTATTATATATTAATATCAATTAACAAAATATTGTTTTTGAGTATTTATCTATGGGCACAACTGGTCACGGGTCTTATCTCTTATCACAGAATACAATTTTTTTTTTCCATAATGAAATTAAAATAAATACCTACATTGCCTACTTAAAATTTATCTAAAAAGTCCCTAGTCCTAAGAGTTTTTATAAAATTATTCCCCATTTCCCTAAAACTAGGAAAATTTGTAAACCGTGGCTATTAGTTATTATTAATGCATTAATCACTCGGTATTCTTATCAAAACAAACAACATTTAAAGTTCAAGTACTGACAACTACCGTACGTATTTACATTTTTTTATTTTTTTTATTATATAATCACTGCGTGTGCATGTTGTGAGGTTATATCTAAATCATATTATCAACAGCGACAACAGCCGTAAACGAAAAGAAAATAATTAAAATATAATATTTAATCGATGATAATTGATTTAAAATTCATTGGAAGTGTTTTTTTCGTCTAGTGCAATAACTCATGATTATTTTAAGTTCAAATCTGTCCTAATATCCATATTCCAGACGCTGACTATATTCTCAAAACTCTACACGACGTTTACACGTAAGTTAAATTTATATGTATTTTTTTCCATACAATTATTCGATTCACTATTAGTATTTACCTAGTTTGAATTTATCGGAGTATATTAATAAAATTGCATTCTTATATATACTTATTAATTTTTCTAAATGATTTAAAAATGATTTAATGAATTGATCTCTCAGGGAAATATAAAGTTCTTTGGGTTACATATTATTTTAAGCAATTTGAGAAGTATAGGTTTTTAGTTGATTTTTTGAAATATTATAATTTAGCATTATATCTTAAAGCTATATTTAGAAATTTCTGATTCTGTGTCATTTGTTTGAATGTCATGCGTTTAAATACTATGTTTTTGTATTAATTATATTTAAGATACAATATAATGCGAAAAATTGCAGATATAGACAATTTTATTGTATTTTATTTTTAAATCTTTTAATGATAATTAATAATTAAATGTTTAGATTTTGAGCATAGTGACGTACAAACATTTAAAGTGGTGATGTAACACAACATATTTGTACTATTCACATTATTTTTTTCAAACTGCATTTGAAATTTTAAACATAATAATAATGTAATCCTTTATCATTAAGATAATGCACTTTATGGAATATTTGAAATTATTATTTATGATTGGAATTTGTTTATATGGGTCAGAGGTTTGGTAGATAATTCAAACAGAAAACCACTGTGTGTGTGACAGAGATTGGAATAAGATAAATTTTCAGAGTTACTCGAGAAAACAAAACAATTAATTATAAGAGGTATCATGCAATGGCACCAATTATTAACAAACAAGAGAAAATTGATTGAGATTATAATCTCAATCAATCATTATAATATGGGTACATTAAAATGAGGATATACCTATACAGAAAAATTGCAAATAAAATGAATTTAGAGGGAAATAGAGTAGGTACCTAAACAAAGTTGGTTAGATATGGCAAAGAGTGATATGAAATTGATTTGTTTGGGTGCGTGAAAATAGTGTTGGTGAACCAACTGCAGTTGGAAGACCAGAGTGGCATACATTCAATACTTAGGAGTTTAATAATTATGTCAAAGCATAGGGAGAATGTTTAAGATCAGAATTTTTCAATCACTTAATTTTGTGTTTTAGATCAAAAGTATTCCTTGATTGGTTAATGATTGCAAAATATATACCTATATTAATTTAATACAAATGTCAAATCTCTGTTTGTAGGTAATCTTATTGCTTTAATTTACTGTATTTATTCATTGAGCTTAGGTTGTATTATCGCTAATATATTTATTTGATAATATCTATTAAAGTTTTAGTTAATAAGCATTATATTTTTATATTAAAATGAGTATAAAATAAAAAATAACATAAAATATGGGCAAGAGAAATAAAAATGCTCACTTGATTAATAATTAGAAAGCCATTAGTAATTATAAAATATATTATGTGTAGATGATGGTAAGTGAATAATTATTGAACACATGTTAAATATTATGAAGATATAACTGAGACTTCTCTCAGTTATATAATCAAAATATAGTATGCTATTTAAAGAAAAGATCTGAAGGGTGAACAAAGAAGAATGATAAAAGTGATTTTTTCTTCTCAGTAAAAATTATTCAAAGAAGGAAAGATTACGTAGATTTACTTAGTAGAAATGTTTGGGAAATATATCATAATTGGAGTCATAATGTAGATGTATTGTGGAAAAAATGCTATGATAAGATGTCTGTGTATTGGAAGTCCTACAAACTATATTTATTTTACTAAATTATTTTTTAGAATAAATACACAAAGTAATTTTTTATTTAAATATTTTAACCTTATCCATAAGCACCAAATTTGGTATTTTAATATTTTAAAATTAACTTTGGTATAGATTTTGGTAGGTAATAATTTTGTTTATGGCGTCCTTATTTTTGTTAATCTGATTTAATTTACTTATTTCTAATGTTTTATACTATTTTAATTGTCATAATAATTGAATATATATATTTTAATCAGTTATACACATATAAATTTAAAAAAAATAAACAATTTTAGTTTTTAAGTATTATAAATTGTGAAGTATCGTATTTTAAGTTTTATTAAATTTAATTTCATGTTTATGTACATTAAAACTACAATTTGTCAATTAAGATTTAAACTAACATTGAATCTTTCACATACAATTTATTTTTATTGGGTTAATAAAAACAAATATTTCTGAAAATTAAAAAAAATGATTTAAATATTCTATTAGCTTTTTAAATGAAACCAGGATTTTAATTTATAGAGTAGGTGTAAGAAATATTAAAATATAGAATTTTACTCTCAAAACTTAAACAAATATTTTAAAATAATGGGTGTCTCCTATTAAAAATAAATGCACTCAGTATTCTGTCAATTTTAATTGATACAATTATTGATACTACTATTATTGCAATCAATATTGTAAGAGATATTATAGTTCTAGAAAATAGTGTTAATGTTATGTATGTATAATTGTTTATCAATTATCATGTCAGTAAAATTAATAGTTGTATTTGAATTAGCAAGGTCTTCATTTTTGTGTTTATGATATAAAGTATGATATTGTTTAATTAATCATTGTATTTCATCAAATTTGAGATTTGTCACTCAATATGATTTTTTAAATTTAAATTTTCTTAGAATATTATAACATAACAAGAATGCTTAGTGAATAATAGTTGATATTATACACATTAATAAAAAACTATAAACTTATTTAAAAGTAAATACCTACAGATTTCTATTTTACCCATTTATAGCTGAAGTTGTTATGAATCCAATTTTAAAAACAATCAATTTTTCTAAAATATTTGACTTAGGTTGATATATCACTGTAATTTCCGCTATGATTGTAACAAATTTTGACATGAACTTATTCCTCTAGAATATAATTGCCCAATACAATTTAATACATTTTATCTATGCAAAGAAAATAGAAGGAAAATTACATTTTTTTCAGACATATTAATAAAATAGTAGAAAATAAATTTAAATTTGACATATATATTGAACAAAAAAACTAATACATGTCATAAAAATATACATATACCTATATGTATATATTATATTCAGTGATTTTTTTCTAATCTTATGATTATGATATAATGATACATTGTAAAATATTATTCTATATACCATTATTAAATTATAAAATACAATTTGTATTTAAATTTAATTATTTTCTCCCAGTTTCTAATAACCGGAAAAATCTGAATTACTGTCTGGGACATGGGGATCTACTCGTGATACTAGGATGTTTAGTAAGCTTACCTATATTCCAATATATTCGAACCCTATTTGGCAACATAAGTAAATGGCAAGTGCATTATTATTTTTGTTATTGTCTTACGGCACTAATATATTATGGCTTTGTTTTTGTTGTAACCGTCCGGTATCATAGACCATCAGATTTACCTTGGTTTTTATTTATTACCTAATTTTTTTAATATGGAAAATGATCATTTTTACTAGAAAACTTATTTACTTTTAATCATTTTTTTTGTGAATTTATTGAGTTTTGTGTGTGTTATATAACAAACTATTTTATATTTATTTTCATAGTTTTTTTGTATTTTATATACAATATACATATATATATTATATATTGCATATCACATTTTGCATTTTCGTGTTCGCAAATTGTTTATTACTTAATTAAATTTTAGGGTAATGTATAGATCACTTTTAATTTATATAGACAAGTAATATAGTACTTAGTGTAGACTTTTATTATTAATGCCTTATTAATCTGTTTAGTGTAATGGATCATTTTAATTTTGATAAATATTACCATTTATTTATGTTTTTACATATTCAATTTTTTTTTAATCTTTGTATTTTAAAACACAGAATAATAACTGGAGAATAATAAAATTTAAATAATTACATAAATCTCAACAAAAACACGCAGTTACCTAATAGAAAATTATTTTATAATCACATAGAAAAAGCAATTAAATATGAGATTGGATACTTATGTCATTACAATAACTATTTTAACAATATTGAAATAGTTTTTAATGTTTCTATTCACTAAACAATAAGTAAGGCATCAACTAATTTTATCTTTTTTATTAGTGATTTTTTTTTTGTTTTTGTGTTTTGTGAATTTATAGGTTTTAATGTGATACTATATATTTATATCATCTGAATATTTTTCCAAAGTCCAGAGTCAGAATTATGTCGCTGTCAAAGTGTCACCAATTATCGTCACTTTTGTGTAAACAACAGAAAAACTTGCGATTGATGTCAACATGGTGGTCTAAGGTACAGCAAGGACCCCCAGATTCAATACTTGGTGTCACAGAAGCTTTTAAATGCGATCAAAATCCACAAAAAATTAATTTAGGGGTAGGTGCTTACAGGGATGACAACGGTAAACCCTATGTTTTGCCTAGTGTAATTCAGGCAGAAAATCAGTTAATTAAAAAAAATTTAGACAAGGAATATGCTCCAATTACTGGCATTTCTGAGTTCTGTAATGAAGCTTTAAAGTTGGCATTGTCCAGTGAATCACCTATTATTAAGAACAAATGCTTTGCTTCGCTTCAATCTTTATCAGGAACTGGTGCTTTAAGAGTTGGTGGTGAATTCTTATACAAATATGCACCATTAAAAACGATTTGGGTACCTATTCCCACTTGGGGTAACCATGGCCAGATATTTAAGTTTTCTGGATTGGAAGTAAAAACATATAGGTATTATGATCCAAAGACTTGCGGACTTGATTTTGCCGGAATGGTTGAGGATATAAGTTCTGCTCCTCAAGGGTCAGTAATTTTATTACATGCTTGTGCTCATAATCCTACAGGTGTTGATCCCAAACCAGAACAATGGAAAGAACTATCCGCATTGTTTAAAAAACAAGATTTATTCCCATTTTTTGATATGGCATATCAGGGATTTGCCTCTGGTAATGTTGATCGGGACGCCAGTGCAGTTCGCACATTTTTATCTGATGGTCATCAAATTGCTTTGGCGCAGTCATTTGCCAAAAATATGGGTTTATACGGAGAACGAGTGGGATTATTTTCTCTGACCACACTGGATACAGATGAAGCAGCTCGTGTGTTATCTCAATTAAAGATCATTGCACGTGGTATGTACTCGAACCCACCCATCCACGGAGCTAGACTTGTAGCAGAAATTTTATCTAATCCTCAACTCAAGGATCAGTGGTTGGTTGAAGTTAAGGGCATGGCAGATAGAATCATTTCAGTTAGACATCAATTAAAAGATCTTTTAGTTAAGGAAGGCTCTGTAAGAAATTGGGGTCATATAACCGACCAAATTGGTATGTTTTGTTACACGGGACTTAATAAAGATATGGTTAAAACAATAACTGAAGAGCACAGCGTATATTTGACAAATGATGGTCGTATATCAATGGCTGGTGTTACTACTAAGAATGTTGCTTACTTAGCTAAAGCTATTCATCAAGTAACAAAGTAACTAACTAGTTTAATTAATTATAATCTTAATGTAATAAAGAATTTAATAGTAATTAAAATATCAGTACTTAATAATTATTATTGTTAAAGTTGTAATTTGAAATCCTCTATTTATTTAATTTTTCAACACCACATTTTTAAATTTTCACCTATAAGTATATTTATATTATTAATTATGCCTTTAGTCAATCACATTAATTTTGTTTTGGATTGATATTGAATAAAAAGTTTTTTTCTTTTTAAAATTAAATTATTGTTTTTATTAAATCATTTAATATGTTTGTTGAGTATTATATAAACCAATAGCTGTTTCTGTACATATAAAAAAATAATTGGGTTTTTATCTATATTTATTTAAACGCCTAACAAATTTTGATGGGACACTGTATATTTTAGATTTGAATGTATCTTATATTTTTGTAGTCTTTTAATGTACTTGATTACCTACCTGATTAATTTATACTTAATGATTTATGAAAACGTTATAATAGGTGACAGCTAAGTGTGTTTACAATTTATTTTTAGTATAAATAATCAATTTAAATTTTTTGTCATTGGTTATAATATTATTTACAAATAATTTGTATAATAGATTATGATAAAGTGTTATTTTATGATATAGAAAAATAAAATAAATTATTGTAAAATAATAAAAATAAATAAACAATTTGAGATCAAGGATAAACTATAAACTTAAAATATGATAAAATATGATAATAAGTAAATAATGCAGGAGCAAACAAAAAAAATATGTTTGTAATATTGTCCTGTTTAATTGTAAAATTGTTGATAAATATAATATTATATAATATACAAAATACAAAATAATGCATTTAAATAGGTTAATGGAAGTAAGTATAAAAAATTAATTAAATCACCTAAATATAAAAATGTAACTTATTTCGCTAAATTAGTAAGGTAAAACTTACCATATCTACATTTATTATTTTTGAGTTTGATTTGAACAAAACAAATATGGTCCTTACAATAAAATGAAGATAAATAATTACTATATATATTAATACTATATTAGTTATATATACAGGGTGATCAATTTATCTTAAGACATTCGTTACTCGAAAAGTATTTACTTTTCCGAAATTTATTTTCTAGAATATTTAAGAAACAAGTTGCTCTAATATTAATAAATTAATAAATATTATAAATTAATACTCCATCTATTTGTGGAATTTTAAATATAGGTCGCCATTTGAAAATCAGAAGTAGGTAGTGGTTTTCACCCCTAAAAAAAAATAAGGGTGACAAAAAATAAAATTAGAGCAGCTTGTTTCTTATAAATTTTAGAAAATTAATTCCGGAAAAGTTAATACTTTCCGAGATAATGAGTGTCTTATGATGATAGATTGATCACTCCGTATATACCATATATACAATGATTATTACTATCTAATACCTGTAAACTTGTTATAGGGTATTCTTGCTATAATACTTCGACGGTTTAAAACCTACTTAAAATAATCTTTCGTGTACTATATTCCACTTAATAGTATACACTAAGTGTATAAGTAATAATTGAATTCATTTATTTATAATGATATTTTTGTACATATGAAATTTGATAATTTTTTCAATAGTCAATTCTAATAGTAATTAATCATTTTTAAAATTCAAATAAGTTACTACTTATAATTATTATATAATATTGATAGTTTAAATTAAATTTTTTTTATTGTTATCGTAGGTGACGGGTGTAATGACCGTGCATTCTACATTTTATCCAAAATACAATGTCATTTGTCTTATTTTCTTATAATCCTCTTGAAAAGTTTATGATATTAGCGAACCGACAGCTGACAAAATTCCTTTTCGAAAACAACTCAGAGAAAAAAAATACTGGATGTGCGTTCGATGAACTGATAATAATGTTTAAATTGAATACCCAAATTCGTTTATTTGTGCAGTAAATACAAATAGCATGGGAAACGTGTTTTTTGCGAAAATTGAATTTCATGAAGAGAAATGATTAAAATATATTGTGTGTGTGTATACAAAATTGTATTTGACAACGTTTACGTGTGTACATAGGGGGTAGGTATATACAGTACCGTCTTATAACTTTCTAATTTCGTATTAATTTAATGTTATTATAGAATATTAGATTCCGTGTTGTATCGTTTTACAATAATAATTTTATTTATCATTTACATAAATAAAGTAGGTAGGTACCTAAAAAAAAAAAAAAAAATTAAATAAATAAATCGTCGGAACAACTCGATTTGAAAACGGATTTGAATTGACACGTTTTATAAAATCAAGGTAACAATTATGGGACTCGGATTTGAACGCTCTAAAATTTATCAAAATATGCTCTGAAAAACGGTTAAAAAAATTCACTTAATGCCCTTGAAAAATGATAATAACTGCTTCAAAATGAAAAAACCGCGAAAAATGCAAAATGAAAGTGTCACTTTTGTAAATATGTTTGAACCGAGTGACCCACTACAGCCGTTTATAAATACATTGAAACGATTGATAATCTGTAATTGTCAAAGGATAGATATAGGTACCCAAAACGGTTTTTCGACCGGAGCAATATCTCTGGTAAAAAAAACATAACCCGTACAAATTAAAAATAATCAAACGATAACGCCGTAAATAATACCGTAATTAAACTAAATCTCTTTCACACCAGCCATGGCGTTGTGCTAACGCTAACATGTTGCATAAATGGCGGCTCCGAGATAGCTCAGTAATCACTAATGTGAATGTGGTAACGAAAAACAAACCGTAAACCACATCATATAACAGAATGTCGTTATTCGTTTGAGGAAACTCAACCAGGGGATCGAAGTGGCCACGCCGGAAGTAATAAAATGGATAAGGGAATTGGACGTGGGTCTATGAATGAACACCCTATATAGGTAATATAATGCAATAACCAAATACTAGCCGTGTTAGTCAGTCGTTGTACATTTCCGTGGTGTTCTATCGTTTTTATATAACACTAGCTGAATGACCAAGCTTCACCAGTGTGCGGTTTTTTTGTGTTACCCACAACTTTTATTTATAAGTTTTTATATTACAGCTGTAGGAAAAGGATAATCGTGCTGGAAGTGCCAGTTGTCCCCCGCGTTGCCCGTGCCATTTTTTGAATTCTTTTTACTTTTATTACCGTTTTGTTTAGTATATTGGACGGAAAAAAATAAATGGATAGTAAGTAGTCCTATGGCGGACTATGTGTCAGAACATACTATTTTGCTAGGCTTTGTTGCTAGACAGGTAAATAAATAAACAAATTGTAAAATCGTATAACAATAATATTGTTTTTCACTACGAAGGATGATTTTTAAAGGTGAAGGTGTTGATTATTATAACTCTCTAAAAGCCTATAACCTTCTCGGGAAAATTCTGATCAAAAAGTCTCATCACAAACGGATGAACGGTTTAGTAAGACATAACAGGCGTACAGACAAACGTTCATTTTTATACAATATAGGTGTTCTGGCAATGCTTTACTATTGCTAGATTTTATTATTATTATTATTTTTTTTTTTTTTGTTGCTGAATTAACAAACAATATTCATTAGAAACCACGGATACCACATAATCAACAAAAATAATAATATTTACTTTGTTACTAAGGTAAACCAATCAACAAAAATTATACCACAAAATACCAAAATCCCGGTGTCAGCCCATCCTTTAGGGGTTGAATTTTAGAAATTTCAATAGCTAAAAACCTTCTCCAGACCACGTGGAAACATTTTGCAAAAAACCCCGTTAAAATTGGTCCAGTAGTTTTTGAGTCTGTAAAGAACAGACAGACAGACAGACATTATTTTTTATATATAGAGATGTTAATCATCTTTACATTATTTATTTTTTTACAGTCTTTATATTTTCTTTTTCTTTGATTTCACTAATATTACTTAATTATTACTTATAAATGTAAGGGCTTGGGACTTCATGGTCTTAAAATGATCGAAATAAGTATGCACTATAGTAATACAAAATTGAAAAATGTGTATTTACAAAAAAAATTCACGTTTATTTTTATTAAATTATAATATAAAAAAAAAGCTGGGCAACTTCGCACGTGGGTGCAGCCACTGTTGTAGGTGGGAAGTTTGGAAGGTAGGTTACAGAAAGGAATTTAATGTATATTTGTAAGCAATGATGTACTATTGTTAACCAAAAAACGAATTTGAGTGGAGTTCAGTGATGCTTTGTCAACATTATAAATTAATGTTTTATTATATTAATTTTATACAATGTAGTTTAATTTGAAGTATCTATTTACTTATTTTCAAAAGTGTGCGTCTCCATGGCAACAATTTAAAAAAAGATTAAAATAATACAAATTTAATAATAACAAAAAATAAATACGGTTGCCAATGAAAACCTTATTTGTAATTTGTAATTTTTTTTTAACCTGAAGAACCAGATTTTCCTCATTATATCTCGAATATTAATGTGAATTTCAGAAAATGACCCCTTTAAAGTACCACCCAGAGAATATTTCATTTCAAAAAAGGTGCTATACTTGATAATCGGAGTAAGCTTTCTGGTATACAATTTTTTTTAAAATAATAAACTTTAAATTGAATATATATTTATTCTGGCCATTATACTGGACTATTAAATATGCTCTAAAGTTGGAAAATTTAAATGACTTCTGTTATTAGCCAAGAATATCAAAAATGGTCAAATACGCATTTATAAATGAAAAAATGTCATATATGCAACAACAAATTTAAAATATAAACTCGTATAGTACCATGAAACACATTTATATATTACTTTGCTGTATTTTCTACAGTTATATAAACATTTATAACTCCTAGAAGTCTCTAGCCCTACCTATAAAATATATGGAGTGTTATCAAATTTCATGTTACTCTATCTATAACTTTATATTACTTAAATTGTCCACGAAATACTTATATTTTGTAAGCAATGGCTTTTGTAAAAACTTTTTTGGAACCATACCGAGTGATCTATTTAAGTCGGTTATTATATCATTATCTTAGAAAGTATTAACTTTTTTTTTGTTTTACAATTTAAGAAACAAATAGCTCTAAAATCTTACATTATTTTCGGGGATGAAACGGCTACCTACTTTTAAAATGGCATGTTAAAAATTAAATTATACAGATGGAATATTAGTTTAAATATATTTTGGTATTGAAATTTAGCCGAAAACACTCGTTTTGTGATAATATTGTGATATCGAGAGTGTCGTTTGGGTTCGCGCATATAGAATATTAGTAACTATGTACAGGATGTTTGTATACAGGATATTGTGGATCTTCAAAGATCAACACGAATATGTTCATTGTAATAACTCCGGAGATAATAAAGATAATCAAATTCTGCCTTTTTCATATTACTCACTGAGAAAATGATTACAAATACGAGTATATTGCAGTTCTTTTTTCTATGTTTTAGTAAACAATTTAAAACAAATTATTTTATTTTATTATTTTTGAAAAATTTGAAGATAGCCATTTTGTAGAGTTTCTTCTTCTAACAAATTTGACGTATTATCTTTTTACAATATTGCTGTTAGAATAGTTGTCCACGGAAAAAAAAGGCTGTTATATTTTGATCAACTAGTACCTGTATTTCGTACATTTTCCCGTTTTCACTCAGTTTTTTTTTTTTCATTTGTTTGGATAACTCGTGGGAAAATCGAAAAATATTCTCCTTTCAGAACAATCGAACTGGGGATAATTAATATAAAATAACAATACAAATGAATAATGCATACATTATACATTTTTTTTTTCCAAGTTATTAGTATCCGCCTTTGGTTCCTTAAAGCCCGAAGTGCGCGGTACGAAAAATCGTGTGCAGCTCGAAATTCTAGTCTGTTGTAGAAAAAAAAAAAAAAAACCCGCGTTCTTATGAAACGGCGCTAAGAATTTTGAACACGCGTCTCAGTAAATTGCGATTCGGTGGCGTCTAATGTTGTTTACGAAACAACGAAAATATTGGAATTTCGCCCGCGAATAACGCGGACAGGCATGTTTTCCAAGACGGACAGGTGCCGTGCGCGCCGAGCGATTTCACGATCGGGTAGCACCGCGGTCGGTTTTTTCACTCGATTACTGCGACACGCGGTCGGCCGCGAATAAATTATCATAATAATAAAGTCCGTTCGCTTATTTGTACTGTTTCGCGGACGCGTCGCGCGTAGAAAACCGCACGGTCGACGTCGTTACGTATTATTTCCGAGTTAAGTGACACAAACGCGCGCTGTAATAAATTGTTCGAGTGGCCGTTACGTCGGGCGTATTGAAAAAAAAAAAAACGTTCGAGAGTGTTGCCGGCGAGTTTCGCCGTGTGTACGGTTTGTCGCGCCGTAACGACTCGCGAAAACTTTTACGACAATGTCGGCCGAGTATAACGTTTTAATTGCACCTTCTGTAATAGGCACGGCGGTTTGCCGTTCGTCGCCGCGTCGTGCGCGCGCGCCACGGAGACTGTATTTATCGTTATTGCACGCTGACGTCTTGTACGGCACAGTGGCGTAATCGAGAATGTTTCGCACAGGCGGTTATATCGAAATAATTATCCATAACGAACCCGCAAGGAGGGGAGGGGGGTGGGCTTTTACCCACCTCCCTTCCCGCCGTATTCACGTCGCCGTATCGCATCACCGGGGCCCGGATTTTTAAAACGCACTAAACGTCATAAAAAACGACGTGTACTTCGTGTTTAATTCGTTATTTTATTGGGCGATTTTTAATATTTTTATTTTATTGAAAAAAAAAAAAAAACAGAAAATTGTAAAATTTGACTTGTGACTAGCCTTACGACAGTATTCACCGAGGGTCTGTATTTGGACCGATTGACTGGAAAAAACCGTACAATTGTGGTGATATTTTTAATTAGATAAATTTAAATAATTATTAAGTCGTATCGTAGATTAAATATACCAAGTGTATTTAATTGATGATCGGATTATGTACAAATACTAATTAAAGTAACACATATTTATAATATCTACGCTATAAGAAAGCGATGCAGTTTCTTAGGAGGACGTTATACCCACATCTGCTGTTTCAGTCCAACCATCTGGTAACATACATGAACAATGCTTATGCAGAATGAGTAAAACTAGCTTGGTTATGATTTCAGAGTAAAATTACCCGTTATAAAATATGACGTGGGATTTTTGTATTATTAAAAATATACAGCTTTATGTATAAAGCTACGAAAACTTTTATTTTTTAAATAACTGTAACTTTTTTAATACCCTCCAAAATATCGTTGTCTATAAATTTCATAATCGGTACTTTTACTCTAAAATCAAAATTTAGCTAGTTTTTTCTCATTCTGCGTAAGCATTGTTTATGTATGTTACCCGGTAGTTGGACTGAGACAGTAGATGCGTGTATAACGTCGTCTTAACGCGCTTAATATTTCTCTCTCCATCACCAACGGCATTTACCGTACAGGTCGAAGTGGGAAAACATTGGGAGGGACGCATTTTTGACCGATTTCTTTGTGCCTTCCGGAGATACTGCGTAAGCTGCAGTGGTGTACCGATAGGTTGAGATGTTCGATATTCGATTGTGTATAGTCCAAAAATCAAAGTCCAGTGTATCCAACGTATGAAGTTTTATATGTTTCTGACAGACAGAAATTATCGCAATTGGACCGCTGTCAGCCGTGCGAGTTTTTCCTGTAAACCAAGAGCTTTGAGCGAAAAAACCGGCCGTACACGCCGGGCTTCTATTAGTATAAAAATCAAAACTGAGAGAGCCGTTTGTTAAGAACTGGAAAGACTTGTATACAGTAAATGTTCCTGGTCTGTTGTTAACGATTTGTAAAAAGTCGCGAACAGGATTCCGCGATTTTATCGGTTTTTGATGTTCAAAAAATTAACTGCGATAAAAAATAAACAGAAAACCCGTTTAAATTCTACACTCTGTAGCCTTTTGATTGCACATGATAATATTACCTACATGCCTAATAGTGCGTCCGAAACGAAATTTTACGAGTCCCATTGGCCGGCATCGTCTTTCAGACGTTTCACCGTCCCTCTACCTCCCCTCACGATTTTCATCTTTGGCAACGCGTAATGGGCGTCTGTTGGCGTAATTTTATATTGTTGTTACGGCCGACATCGACATATGCCGGAAGGTATATGCGTATGGCAGTTGACGGGATGACGAGTAAAACATCCTGCGTGTTCTCTGGGGAGTATAACACGCGACGGTGTGCGTAATCTCTCTGCGAATACACCGGGGTCGCCGTGTCGCCGTATTCTAATGCAGTATTATTAATATTATAATAATATTGTGCATAAACACCTCGCCCGAACGAACGCGTTTTGGGAAACGTCCGGCGCGTGATATTATTATTATCGCGCGGGCAACGCACATATAGGTACACACGCGCACTGCACATTTTTAGCTGCTCCGGCGGCGGCGGCACGCGCCGGTTTCTATTTCTGTACATTGCGTTCCACACCGGTGCGGTGTTGTATCCTTGGCACACCACTCGAGCGGCGGCGGCGGCGGCGGCTGTCGACGGCTGTAGTGCATATTATACGTGTCTGCCTGCCCGGCGGTCAGTCGGTGGCGCGCAATGGTGCCGGTGGGCGACAAGAGCAGCACCGGGTCGTCGTCGGCCCCGTACGCCGGCGGCGTCGACCACAACCCCAAGGAACGGCTGAAGGAGTGCTGCCGCAAGCTGGTAGCGTTCATGTGCACGCAGGTCGGCGTCGGCGGCCTGGTGGTCGGCTACGCGGTTGTGGGCGCGTTCTGTTTCATACAGATCGAGGGCCAGGCCAACGACACGCAACAGAACGCGGTCATCGCGCTCCGGCAAAACTGCTCGGTGGGCGTCTGGAACGCGACCAGCAAGTACAACGTGTTCCACCGGAACAACTGGACGGTGCAGGTTGGCGACGCGCTGTTGCACTTCGAGAAGAAACTGGCGCTGATCGTCAAGAAGGGCTACGACGGCAAAACGACGCAGGAGACGTGGTCGTTCTCTGCCGCTCTCATGTTCTCCCTGTCTATATTCACCATGAACGGTTACGGCAACGTGGTGCCCAAGACCCCGCTGGGCAAGGCCGCCACAGTCGTGTACGCCGTGTTCGGCATACCGCTCTACGTGCTCTACTTCCGCAACATGGGAAAGGTGCGTATATATATATATTATTATATTTTATTAAATAATATTATAACACAACGTAGTTTAAAAACATATCGACCTATGGCCATTTAGGACGGTTCTAGAGAAATCGTATGTACCCAATCACTTTTCGTATAATACAAATATAGGTTTATATTATACACCCGGAGTGCACGCAGAGGACCACGCATTAACCAAGCCGTTCCTACTGATTGAACTACAAAACGCTATCAACTCCAAAAGATCACCTGCTTCCGGGCCGGAATCGATATCACTCATTCTCCTAAAAACCTGCCGGGGAGAGCTCTCAGCGATTTACTAGACATACTCAACAACGTATTTGTTAACCTTTCTGTCCCGGATTCTTGGCGACAGTTTAAGGTTGAGCCCAATTTCAACTCGGCAGCGTACAGACCAATAGTCCTTTCTTCGGCTCTTTGAAAAATAACGGAACATATCTTCAAATTTAGATTGGATTTGGTGGATTGAGCACCTGTCCATTATACCCGAGAAATCATTTGGTTTTCGCAAGGGTCGCGGTGCTCTAGAGCGTCTATCCTGTTTGGTTGGTCCTATTTATAATGCTTTCAACAGCCGAGGTTTTTCGACCGCTGCTTTTATTGATATCCGAGGTGCATACGACTCCGTACACATTCCCACATTACTCGCCATGTTACACTCATATAACATACTTAGTGAATTTCATAGGTCTGCTGCTTTCCAAACGAGAGTTGATTTTTATCTCCCCTTCCGGTCCCAGAGTCATCAGACTCGCACAGGTTTACCGCAAGGTAGATGTCTCAGCCCTTTTCTTTTCAATGTATACATGTCTGTGGTCGTGCTTGCCCCGTAAGAAGCTAACATTCCGTACCTCATATACGCTGACGACTTAGTCATTTTTCACTACCGTAAAGATATAAATCACACATCAGTTCTTCTCAACCACGCTTTATCTATTCTGCAGGTCAGTGATTTGAACAAGCTCATTTCTCCGTAGCAACTCACAAATGTAGGGTTGACATTTTCACAAGGAAACGTCGGTTTATTCCATCTAAATTTTTTTTGGATGGTGTCTTACTACCTGCGGTTTCTGAAGTGAAATATTTGTGCTTTATTCTGGATAGTAATCTCAGATGGTAGGCTCATTTATTTCATTTAACATCGTTTGCCTCCAAATGGGCAAATTTGTTAAGGTCTTTAGCTGGTAGCTGGTGGGGTTCTTATCCTTTTTCCCTGCTTCAAGTCTAAAAGTCAGTCATTAGAGCGAACATTGGATATGGATGCTGTTTGTTTGGCTTCGCCGCTTTGTCCCACCACAAGAGATTAAAATCTTTACAGACCAGTTGTCTACGCACTGCGCTCGGGGCACTAAAGTTTACTCCTAATTCCGTACTGAATGTTGAGTCCTCCTATTCACCGCTTCCAATAATATACCGTTGGTTTTCTAATAAATTTATCCTGAAATGTTCATATCTATCAGCATTCTAGCTATCGCCAACAATCCGATCCTTTACAAATGCTCCCCCATTGTTTTAAATATTCGTGCATTACTACTATCCCTCAAAACCAGGTCTTTCAATATTTCCTCCTTATGAGTCCCAGGGTATTTAGGCATATATGGCAACGAGCACGATGACTTATTAGCCGGCGCCACTGCCAACCAGTTCCACTCGGGTCCTTACTGGTGCCTCTATACCGATTTAGTCTCTTTGCATCACACATTTATACAAGAGCAATGGATAATGGAATGGGATAACCTTCCAGAGCTTCATGCTTTTGGCTATAGGTCACTATTTAAAAGTATTCTTACTCAACTATGATTTTAATACCTCAAGATCAGTCGTGCTGTCATAGTCAAATAAACCAGATTATACACAGGCCATAACCTACTACCACACTATTCGTTTACAATGGGACTTAACAATAGCTCGTATTGCCCCCTACCCAACTGTGGTGAGGATTTCTGTGACTTTCAACATCTGCTCCTAAATTGTACATCTCTCTATATCTCGCCAAAGAATTCAGCTAAAGTCTTTTTAAAATTTTTCTATTTTTGTTCCAACTTCTCTTTCATTAACGCCCTTTCAGGTAATAACGTAAATAAAATCATACATACGCTTAATTTTATTCTCTATTTGGACCTCCGAATTTAGTAGTGTGCGTTTTACACTAATGTTTATGTTTATGTTTATGTTTCTCAATGATATGTGATAAAAATCATACTCTTCTCGCGGTATCACTCGAAATTATATTTTAAACGACTTTTAAAAATCTGAAATTATTATTATTAGTTTAGAGATTAATCGGCGTGTGTATATCATAGGTGTACTTACTGTAGCTTGTATACGTACATTGTAATACGCCAAGTTAGAGGTTGGATTAAATCATCATTATGGTTAGTGTATACAAGTTGATCAACATAACGTATAAGACGGTTATTATTATTGCTTCGGAAACGATTGTCTTTTAAATCATTTAAGAAACAAGCAGCTTTAAAATGCAAAGTTTCGCCATTATTTTAGGCAGTGAAACCTCTGCCCGATTTCCATTTTCAAATTGTAACTTTTATAAACCCGTAAATAGATTCCGTTTTTGTTTTTTGAATTTCCGTTAATCCGTTGACGAGATGTACTATTTTTTTAAGTTTGGGTTGTTGGAGAGTAGTGGAGCGTCATTTGTGCGGTGGCTTGGCGCCCCACTGCTCTTCCCCTACCCACAAAACCAACTTAAAAGTGGAATTAAAAACAATTTCAACACCAGAATGTATTTAAATTTTATAAAATAAATAAATAATGTATTTAAACTTAAATTTTACCTATTTATGGAACTTTTAATACAGATTGATATTTGAAAATCAATAGGTGGATTTCACTAGGCACCAAAAAAAAAAAATTGTGACAAAAAAATAATGGCAATTTAAAATATTATAGTTGCTCGTTCCTTAAATGTTCTAAAAAACAAATTCCGAAAAGCGTAAACACTTAACGAGATAATGAGCGTCTGACGTTGGCATGTTGATCATCTTGTATATTGGTCCCGTATATAACCCGTTTTAATATTATAAACGTGAAAGTCTGTGTGGACGAATGGTGGTTTGTTACCTCTCACGTCAAAACCGTCGAACGGATTGAGTTGAAAATTCGCAAAATAAAAAATGTAAAACAAACAAATAAATAATATATGCTGGTTGTCCGTAATAGCATAACGATAATTTGTCTTTATTATTATTTTTGGCATGGGCTACGCACTGCGGGACAGCTGGTAATAATAATGATGATAATATTACAAAATTCACTTTTCACACTATAAGACCACATTCGAACGGATATTTGTATTGTCGCGTCGTACGTATTTCAGTGGCGGCGCCCGACTACCGTTGAAATGTGCATATATCAATTTTTACCGAACGAGACGTGCGCCAAGGGTTGTGTTGTAAAGATTGAGTCGTGCGCCGTAAAAAATCGATGCTATAATACGCCTGAATCGATCTGTCTGAGAGAGAATTTCGTATACCGTAATAACAGTGTACACCTGGGTACTGTGTAAACCTAAGTGCGGTACATGAATTACAGAATAAGAGGCGGATGAGTGGTTAGGGGGTTTGTGAAACCAGTGTTTACTACACTAGACACATATGGGCGCCACCGATACTAATACATGCCATGTACGCGATACACACGCGTCATCCGGTAGCTTTGCGCTTCCGTTTTCTTGTTTTTACCGTGCAAATAAAAATCCGTCCATCGCCCGGATAAATATTAAGTACCTAACTACGCAGTTTTGATGTGCCATATTTTCAAAAACCGATTTACGCGTCAATATTGTGCGACGGCGACGTGGCGTTTTCGAAACGATTAACCGCCGAGAAAATAATAATGTACCGCATCCGGAAGGTTAGCCGAGTTTTACAAGAAAAAAAAAAATAATAAAAAAGAAATACTGTTATAATATGGAAAATATTATTATAATGGTGGCCGTCGGAACTTTGGCTAACGTCACGTTTTCTCTACTTTCGATTTCAGCGCGTACATTCGCAAAGTAATTTGTTTTTCGTTCCAACGTGTAAAACTAGTTTTCTTTTTGTTGTTGACGGTTAACATAACTATGTAAAATTACCCCAAAACAAACACAAATCGAATATTATTTAATTTGTGTACAAGATGCATATTATTATATTTATCGCCAGTTTTTATTTTTCTAACGCGTATTTATTTTGTCGCCTTTATTTTTTTCGTAAATGTAATTTGTTTTTTTTATTTTTCCCGTTAAAACAGCCCAAATCCGAACGAGATAACTAGCTGTCGCGAATAATAGACCGAGTTGTATAGAGTCATTCACCAGAATTATTATTACTGCAATCCCCAAAATGGAAATCGTTGCCAACACGGCTAATTATTATTATAATTTTTTTTTTTTCTTTATACGTATAAATAACGCGCATATTATTTGTGTAGCGCGGAAGGTTTTGAAGCCTCATAAATTATTGTGGTTGGCACTTTTATCGTTGTATATCCGACGAAAGTCCTTTGAACGTAAATATAATAATAATAAATATTATACGTTTTCAAAACTATTGGCAATTTTTTTTTTTTTTTTTTGATATGCGCGCTTATAATCGTCGAAAATAACGAATTGTAATTATTTTACCAAAAACCCCCATTACCGAACGGCTGTAAATTGATTGTATAGTTGCATAATATTGTATAATTTATAACACGATAACGAGAATTTATGCTTATTCGATCAACGCCCAGCCGAAACTAACTGACCTATTTCGATGCAATTTCGAAAGTGCAGATTTCTGTCACAGCGTGTTGGCGCAGCGTACTTAGATTACTTTTTTGCAAATCCGACATCTTTAAGGCGGCTCACACGTACCCTTGTTTTTTTTCCGCGTTACCTTGGTGGCGCGTAGAAAAGAAAACTGTTATTATTAGGCGTTTAATTTTGTCACGGGAAAGAAAGTAAACGTACAAATATGCGGGGATATCGATTCGGCTGTAATGATTTCGGTGATTTATCGGTCAGTAGTACGCAGTTATTGTGATGGAATATAATGCAATAGTATATGCGTAAAAAAATGTTAACACCGTCAGTACTTGAATTTCGTGAAATTAATATACATTTCACAATGCAGATTCGCAATGTAAAATAAGCAACAAATTAAGTCGAGATATTTTCAATTCATCTATTTTGACAAATTTTACAAATTGACAGTTTAGCATACTACCCGTGTTATCCATTTTGCCAGTAATTTAATACTTTATACACCCATACGTCATATTATATAATATTATAATTAATATGTCGGCTTTTATTTGATATACCGACAGTCGAATTTAATTTTTAACATTATTATGTGTAGGTGTTGGCCCAGACTTTCCGGTGGCTCTACACCTGGGTGTACCAGTGCAGTATGGAAGACAAAGTCGGCGGTGGGGACTTATACAACCAGCAGCTGCCCCAAAAGTCTCGGGTGATCGTACCGTCCACGGCCTGTTTGTGGGTGCTGGTGGCGTACGTGGCCACCGGCACTGTGACGTTCGCGACCTTGGAAGACTGGTCGTACATGGATAGCACGTTCTTTTGCGTGACCAGCTTGTGTAAGATCGGCATCGAGAACTTCGTGCCGGTGGGCAGCGTCAAAGACACCGCCGGCGTGGATCACTCGATGAAGTTGATCATCAAGTTCGTTTACCTGTTGTTGGGAATGGGCATTATAGCCATGTGCTTCGACCTGATGCGCGAGGACGTTCAGGTCCGGGTGAGGAATTTGAAAATGGACATCGGCCTGTGTTTCGAGGATATACGGCTTAGGGCTGTGGCTGTTTACAGACGTCGAAATTCGTTCGACTGACGTTTGGAGAAAAAAAACACGTCATATATTATTATTATGTTCTGATTATATAATGAGGGTTATCAAACAAATTGAAGATTAAATACACGAATTTAATTGTAACGAATAAGTCCAGAAATTACATTTTTTTTTTTACTCGGACTTTTTAATCCGTTACAAATTAAATTAAAAAGTCAATTAACTGGAAAGCGTTCAAAACGATCGGTTTTGGCGGGAATTAAATGTTTTACCGCGTATCTGATTTTGTGGATAGAGCTATACCACTATAAAAAATGGCCTTACTTATTATAAGTTCGGGACTACGAAATTATAGAAGACTCAGTTTGTTATGTCCCATCATTCATGTGTTGTTATTATCTTCGCTTATCACATGTGTATTCGTATAAATGTACTGTTTTAAGACGAAGCGGGGTAATATTATGACGCCGTGGTATACTTATCACTCAGAATTGTATAAAGGCCTCATTGTATAATTTGACAGTGTTTTTAGCATGACGCCAAACTGTCGGTCATTAAACTGAATAAAGAGGCAGTTTACGATAAGTTATCCGCTAGATCGCAGTGTACACCAATAACATTGTATACCTTGTTAATAATATTAATTTTCTGTACCTAATGATGGAAATTATTCACATAATTACGAATTTGTATTAAGTCATAGTCAGCATTTAATTTATTGAGTACTGAATTTGTGTATTAAGACGTATTAAGTATATTTTGAAAATTTTATTAAGTAGTGGAAGTATTAAAATCTGTGTTATGATTTTTATTTAATTTTAATAGTATAGCTATATTTTAAGAAACTGCTAGTTAATTAGTTTTAAAACTTTAAAAATACAAGAAACCCTACCTAGTTAGGTGTATTACATGGTAGAAAAATGTATTTTTATAGACTTTGTTGTTACTATGCAAAGTATCTTAAATTTAGCATACAATTAATTTATAAATCTTAAAGCTCATTTGTTATTATTATTTAGCTCAGCTTATTTAAAAAACTAAAAGTTTAACTTAAAGCAGTATATCATTTTACCTACAGAAAATGGCAACACTGTTAAAAAAGAGGCATTCGTCGCCTCAATATTCTACTCTATACTGTACTCTGTTATTTACTTATAAGGACGGTATAACCTCTTGAAATATCTGATTGTTGTTAATAAGACGAATTTGATTTTCGCGCCAGAACCGAAAACGTTTTGAATTAATTACATTTTAAAAACATATCACAAGTCCTAAAAATTTACGAACTAAAATAAATGATTTTGAAAAGAAATTGTTGATAACCTCCATTGTACCGAACGCATTGTATTATAATTATTCATATTATTATTATTATTTGTCAAGTTTTTTTTCTATCTAACGTATTATATATTGTTATTATCTATTTATTATATTATATTTTTAATAAATATAGATATTTATTTCCCACACAAATCGATTGTTCTGTATTGTTATTACAGTTATCATACCTTATATTATACACATCATCAAAGACGGTTGAAATTGTGGGTAAAGGGTGGGTATTTATCCCCTGTGACTTCGGAAATTATGTATAAAAAAAAGAAAACGTCACCGATCCCTCGATGGTTGATAACATTGATCACATGTATTTTTATTATAACGACGTCGTAGTACTACCGAACGTCGTGGTGCATAACTGCCGTGGGGATTGATTGACGACAAAAAGGCTTGTATAATTTTTTGTTGATTTTAATTATTGACGATTCGTTTTGTTTTGTTTTTTATTTAGGTTAACGACGATGAGCAGTTTTGTGCAGTACGTGCTCGTTCGCGGCGATCTGACCAGAACGCTCAAGTGGCCGTCCGGCGCCGTAATGGCCCAAGCGTGTCACGCGTGTGTCGCCGTCACACACATCCACTACACGGATCCGAATATGCAGGCGTACCTGAAGGACCTCGGGAACATGCACAAAGTCGTTTTGGAAGTAAGTCGTCGCACGGTGGTCCAGACATGAAAATTATTATACGCTCATAATAGTTTCAATATTACAAAAACTAAAACGATTTCTCAATCTCCATATCCAAAATATACTTTTCACATAGCATTTTGATTGTATTATATCCTACGCAGCTGTTACTGTCTTGTTCTACATACAGCATGTATGCGTTCAAATCATTAGATATATAACGTATACAATCGAGTAAATTTCATCTGCGTTTGTCGAAAAACCCTGAAAACTCGTAAGATTTTCGTTTGTATTTACGTTTAATAATGTACTTGGACTTTGGGTGGATATTTAAACTGATTGAAAAATCATTTTAGTATTTTCAACATATTAATAAAACAGTTTTAAAATTACCTAAAAGGTTAATTTAATAATGAAAAATTGAATAATATTATTTTTTCGTCTTCGTTTTACTTTATTATTATGTTTAATCTTATTAGAAAATTGTTTTTCAACCACTTTGGAAAAAAATACAAAACCATACGGATTACTAATTATTGTGGATATATGAGGCGTTTTCTCGGTATTTTAAATTTTTTTCCCGAAAGCTATATGGGGTTAAAATGGATAAAAGGGATGAAATTCTGACCACGGATTATTTATAGTAAAGGATGTACGTAAAAATATTTTATGAGGCATTTTTCGATGTTTAAAAGTTTCTCTCAATGACCATAGAGGATAAAAACCATTTTCTTCTTTGAATACGAAAAATCTGATCATTGAATGTTGTATTGTTATTGTACGTCATATGAGCGCGTGCAAAGTTACAAGAAGATTAGACCGCGGGAAGTGGGTCGAAAATCGATCACGAGTTGTAAACTTGTTTTTGTTTTTCGCGAATAAGTTAATAATATGAAATACGGTAAAAACAATAAACACCATTGAAGGACTCGGTAAAACAACAAGGCAAGTTCAAAATTACTTTTCGATAGTTTCGAGTAAGCAATAAAATGCTATAGGTAATATATAATTTAGTGCGGTAATAATATAAGTCCGTCTACCGGACACGGAAAAAACGGCGATAAGGATTTGTCTCGATGTGATCTAGATTAATTATTACTTTTTTTTCGCCACTGTTATGGGTGAGGAGAAGTAGGGACGGTAGAAAGAATGTTGAATGTACGCAATCTTTGCTGGCGAAAAACGACTCTGAGAGGAGTTCGGTTACACGTGTTTTGAAAGGCCGTAATATTTACAATTTTAAAACAATACATTTCGTAAACTGTCTCGTTTTTCCTACGTTTTTTTTTCCCATTTACTACGAAAACCTCCGGGAAAATCGAAAAGTGGCCTACCTAAAGTACCAACCCCAGTCCAATTTTCATTCGGAAAAAGCGCTATTTTTGAAAATCTGAGCAAAATGTCGGGTAGAAAAGTCGTTCGCAGAAAAAATAAAATAAAAACAAACATCATTGCAAAACTAATACACGTTTCGTCCGCTAAACAACCGTGTCTCAAAAACCGGACTCGTCCCGTTGTCGCGCTGAGCCCTTAAGTTATAATTATTATTGTTATTGTTATTCGACGTATCGATTCCCCGGACGGCGCGTCGATTCTCGCACCGGAGTTTCGATATTTTTATACACGACGACGACGACGACGACGACGACGACGGGGCCGCACGTGCACGCGCCTAAATTGACGTAATTTCGGCCGCAGCAATTATAATGATAACAATAACAATTATTATTATTATCATCACCCGTCGCCCCGGCCGACGCGACGACGCCGCCGTTCTTTGCACGTCCGCCACCGACGTACCCCGTAAATCACAATCGATCCCGTAATGATTTTGTTATTACTGCAACTGCGGTCGTCGTCCCGCGGATCTCGCGGGTGTTTTTTTCGCCCGTCGTCGTTGTAAAACGCGAGCCAAGTGCCGGTTGTAATTATCACCGTAACAATATCCGCCGGTCACTCTGTGCGCACGCAATGCGCGCGTTCGAACGGCGACGGCGCGGCGCGACGACGAGACGTCAATGTAACGAAACGTCGGCGCGCTCGGTCTGTTTGTAATTGTCATTGTTATTATCCAGACACGTGGCCCCCGTTCGACATGTCGCACGGCACGTAATAACGGTATTATAATAAATTTACGGCGCGGATTTTCGACGCCCGAATAACTATCGTGAAAGACGCCCTGGAAAATAGCCAAAATGCCTTTTAGCGAAAAAACGACTAAAACTGCTCCGAAAACGGACAAACAACGTGACATTCAAATATTGAAACGTTTCGCATCTGTCGTTTTGCCATTTGCCCGATACGCATAATCAGACAAAGACGCGATTTTTTTTCACGGTTATAAAGCCTCTCGTCCCTTCGCGTATTCAATGCTCCGTAAAGCCCGGGGGTTCGGTCTTGAATCTCGAACAAACCGATTTTCTTAGAGCAGGTCGTCAGCCTGCTGCGAACCTTCTTGGAGGGAGGATCCAAGAACTTTCTAAAATCACTGAGCGGCTATTGCAACATACTTTACAGTATGTGTATTCAAACTTTGGTATGTATATTATTGGGCAACGGGGGCGTCCATTTTCCAACGCCGTTAACCAATAAAGGTTCCCCTATAGGCAAATGCGTTATTAAAATCATAAACAGAACGATTGTCAATTTGTACATTTACGAAAAATAAAGCAAATTTCACGAACACATTTTTTAAGACAATACATTTTAAAACAGGTTGGCAATGAATTTCAATTATTTCCTTCACTAAAAGCCTTATATTGTTCGTTAGTTAGGTGGATTTTAAAATTTATTTTAAAATATTATTTTGGATCCTCTTATTGCTAGTGATATGTTTCAACTTGAAAGGGTTCAACGAAAGTCTTTAAGCTTTGCAGTCTACCTGTTGAATATTGAACATATTAACACATTGAATCTCATGACTATGAACCTGTACCGAGTAGGTTACAGATTTATAGTCTTTAGCCGATTATACGGAAACTTTTTGATTGTTCTGTTTCATTCTTGTGCTACTATTAAAGGTTAATTTTATAATTCCTTTGTTTTCAGATCCATTCATATTATACTTTTTTTTTTTGCCACTATGTATGTCAAAATATTCCCGTAATCGACCTATTCATCGAATTATGCATATTGCCAGTTAAGATCCATCTTTTATATTTTCTAGTATGTTTAAGTTATTTAAATGTATTCAAATTTTATTTAATTCTTGTAACTATCTGCCCAATGCCGTGGCCCGTATTGAAATTAAAAATAATAATATTAACTTTGAATTATACCTAAATTTTTAATATTATACATACATATTCATTTAAATTTAAAACTAAAAAAATGACCGAAAAATGCAAAATAGTTTCAATTTTGAAATATTTATTTCATAAATCGAACCATATACTTAAAAAGCATTGTCTTAGATCACCCCTCCTTCCTTCTAAAAAATACATTGATATCCGGGCTTAATTATTATTATTTTTAAACGATTCCGGTCTATTACACAGTCCAGATTTCGACACGTTGAATAAAATCCAAAATCTGTTTGTCTCTAACACGTCTAGTTTGTATACAACTTAGGTATACAGAGTGTAAGTTATCTCTAGAATTACAAATTTATGCGCATAGGTGTGTACTGACATAATTAAGGGAGGGGGATTATTAGCCCCTGTAAAAGTGTTTACAGTTCCCCTGAATAATCTCTGAATAATAGGTATTTTGGTAGACATGAGTGGGTGGTTGATATACAGTTCGCATATGACAGGGGGAATGATAAGAGACACTTCTCCCCCCTAAAGGCACACTATTATTGTATCAAAAAAAAAAAAAAAAAAAATAGAGAATTGATATAAATAAAAATTTTGATTTAATAAAACTATCGTTAAAATAAAAAAAAAATAGTTTTTAACAATAGCTTTTATTTAAAATCGGAATAAACAGAACATACCTGTTGTAAGTATAGTGCTATCAATGAAATTCCAACCACTCCTCATTTTGAAATCCTGAGTATGTCATTGACTTGGACCCTCCAGTGTATTCTGTATTACATATACATATTTTATACAACAATACACTTTTAAAAATATTTCATTATTTACTATAATTTTATAACACCCGTAATGTTATATTATTTCATATTTGTTCACCACTTTTATTTTTACCAAATAACATCAGGTATAGGATAATATTATTACGCATAGTATCGGCCTGGCCATGGAAGCTAGGCAGTTATCGTTGCCTGGGCCTCCTCCCAAGCTTATATTTTTTATTAATTTATAAATAATTGACACACCAATGAAACGATCGGATTTTTTTCCAAACAAATGAGCGGTAGTCGTTCATGACTTTTTTTTTTGCTTATATATAGATCGTAAAAATCTAAAAAAAAAAAAAATGGAACATATTTATGAAACTATGGGAATGATATGGGAACGAAAAAAATAATCCGAAAGAATATAAATAAAATTGTGTGCACTAATTCACAAACATAATCCCGTGGGGTACGCTGCAGGGATCTCATTTTCGCACTCGTACATGTTTATCGCGATTACACGACGAAACCCATGGGAGGAGACTATAATTATACATGTAAATTAATTTGTGTTTGAATATTTTCGATTCGATAAATTTATATTTTTAACAAAACGTAAAAACTGCCTTAACCCCCTTAGAATATCGGGCGTATACGACGTCCTCCTATAGGCGTACTGCAATTATTATTTCATTTTTTTTTTACATTGTGTATTTTATGTACCATACAAACTCACATACAGCTTTCTGTGTATAGGTACCTGTATTATATATGTTTAAGATTGATAAATCCGTAACAGCGACTTGTGATGCGGCCCATGTATATATATGAGAATTATCTCTCTAATATGAAATCGTAGAGGGTGTCGGTAAACTCTAACACTTCCCCGAGAACCCGTAAAATTACGGTTCCTATATGTAACTCTACTATAATATTCTATTGATTTTTGAAAGCTATCCCTATAACTAAGCCTGTACCTTAAGCCGGGGCGTTTGTGGCTCCGCAAATATATTGAAGAAAATCGGTTATATCGAATTTTATCGCAAGTGTTTTAAAAAAAAAAAAGAAAACAATTTAATTTAATATAATAAATCGGAAAGCTTGTTCTAAATCCGATTCAATGCGTTAAGACCGTTAAGAGAGGATCGAATACCAATATTTTCTGCCTTTATCAATGACGTTTAACGAAATTTAAACTAATAATTTTCTTGCGATTAATCCGATCGACGTAGCAAAGCTACAAGAATTTTTAAAACAGTTTTTCATTTAATGGAAAGTGTATACCGGGCAAATTTTAATAGATTTAATTTTAGGGTTTTTTAGGGGAATTTTGACCGATTTCATATGTGTATACAGTTTACGCCGAGTTCATATCTGTTTTCATAATATTCTTATCGCTGATCGGACTAATTCAAGGTAAATCGGTCTAAATATTGTTACGCCGCGCCGTGTGTATGTGTGACGAAAAAAGAAAAATAACAGTAAAAGATGAAGAGGATGACCTAGGGTCACAATCATAGATAACCCGAGGAAGGGTCTACCGAGCTACGAGTCAACGAAGAGATGAGATTAGCCGAACAAAGAGAGAAAAGGTTGAGGCGAAGCCTTTTGATAAAAGAAATAAAAAATTGAACATCTCAATCTAATAATAATGCACTATATATTTATATTGATAGTATCGTCGGATATTGTAATAATGTAATAACATACAATTTTGTCTCGTCGACATATTCCTTGTTCGAAGAATCTATTGTGACGTGTGTACGTTTACCGAAAGTTCATTATAAAATACGTACATACAGAGTGATTCATTTGGCGCGCACATTCCACTTTTTGGTTAAATTTTAAATATTATGTATTATTATATATGTGTATTGTATATGTATTCAAATACTGATTTTTGGAATTTTTAAGTGAAGTTCAAGTCGATTTTTTCGAATATTTTTGAGACATTTCACTTTCAAGTTTAGGTAGAGGGAGAGTAGTGGAGCACATTAATAAAATGCCACGCGCCGTGTCGCTACACAAATGATACTTCACTACTCTCCCCCTACTTAAACTTGAAAGTGAAATATCTCGTTAACGGGTTGACGAAAAACAAACATTTTGACACCAAAATGCATTTAAAGTAATACTCCGTTTATTTATGAAATTGTTAAAATAGTTTCTCATTTAAAAAACCAAAGTTAATATCGTCACAGGATACTCCTTAAATACTGTGAAAAATCTTAAGTATTCGAAAATATCGGCTTTAACTATGTATTTAAAAATTCTAAAAACCAGAATTTTAATATATGCAAAATTTAACCAAAAAAAAAAATGGGCTGAGCACGCTTAGTGAATCATCTTGTGTATACGTATAAATATTTTTAACTTTATCGCGGCTCTAATGTACGAGATATTCAAATCAATATCGCGTAAGATTCACTATTATTTGTAAAACTATACGCATCGTACCGTTAAATATTGTTCTTGAGTCTTACATCAAATAAGATTTTTGAATACTTTTTGCAGAACTTCATCGCCGTATCTGATAATGTAGGTGTAGTAGGTGTGTGTACTACAGTATTATTTTTTCCCCTGTAATACATTTTTAATCAGATGGAAACGATAATTTTTCCATAGCGATGGTAAACTGATTCACTATATCTCTGGATTGAGTATAATATACTCGTATTATATTATTACATCGTATACACGGGTAATATTTGTTTTTGGTTTTGTTTTTTTTCTGTTTCCTTCTGTTCGTAGACTTGCTTCTCTCAGATATATTATATCGTTATTCCAGCCTAAGGCCAAACATTGTTTTCCCTATATTTTATGTGTTCCGTACTTAATCCTAAATAACATTTTCCTTTGTTCTTGCGCCCAGAGGGGAAACTACGTAATAATAATAATGGTATGATCACTTCATCTGCATTAAAACCATTGATATTGGTTTTGTGTTTTCGGATGTTGTTTCGGAGTTTTTGTTTCAATTATATTATGTACTCTGCGTATCTGCTTTGTGGTTTGAAGACGGTTATATTATTAATATTTAACAATTATTTTTATAAGTCACAACCGTATTATAGGCATACGCGAACAAAAGTCGTACGATAATATTATTATTACTAAAGTACACGGTTCCGGTACTGTATACCTATTGTATTGGACTTTATTGGATACAATGCCAACTTATAACGGGAGCATGTTATTTTTTTTTTTTTTTATAAAGACCATTCCCTTCGGGATCCGTGTTGGACCCGTATCGGGTCATAGCCATTTTTCTCCTCCGAAAAATACAAATATCGTTTTCCTTAAAAAATAAAATATCTAGACCATATTTATTTATTTATTTATTTTCCTAACTATACCGTACAATATGTAACATGTTTTAATCTCCCGCGAAAAAAATATTCACCCAGGAGAACAATTTCTTTAAGAAAAAATGTTATACTTGATAAACGGAGTAAGCTTTCTAGTAGAAAAAATGTTCACATAAAACAAAATAAACATCTTTTTAAAACCAATACATTACTAATACATCTTAAAAAAACATAAGCAATTTCAGACGAAAGATTGTCATGAAAAAAAAAAAAAAAAAAAAAGTTCAATAAAAAAATTATCCCAGCGATGTCGGATGACGCGTTTGCTAGTAAATAATACCTTCTTATTTTTTTACTTCTATTTTATTTCTATCATTAGATTTGCAATTGAAAATTGTAAGTAACACCACGAAGGTGATCTCAACTGTTATACGGTGATTAAAATCTGCATATATACTTTTTTTTAAATTTTCACTTTTATTTTGATGAATTTAAATTATTACTACTATTATTAATACTATCGCATAAGCCATTAGATAATTCATATTAAGTTCTATTACGTAAAGTTATCGATAAGATTTTAATTTAATATTGTCACTGACAGACTGACGTATAGATCGTTATCGAATAATTTTCGCGCGAACGAATTTCGGCTAACAATTGACGCATATTCTAATAATGGCAAGGGTGCGGCTTTTTTTTTCTGAATGTTCTAAAGTAATGCTTTCTAATCATACAATTTGTTTCATATATCAAAGAATTCAAAATAAATATGAAACTTTACTTTTGGAACTTTTTTTTTTTTATTTTCAGAGCATTTTTAGGTTTTAAGACATTTTTTATTATTTTTACAAACTATATTGTGTTATCAAAAAATTGTATAAAATTTATTTTGATTTCCTTCGAAAATAAAAAAATATATATATATATATATATTTACAATGTATTAAGGATTTACCGATTGTACTAGATACATAAAGAAAACGATAAGCTATTTATGGAAATCGTAATGTATAGTCGTATAATTGCACTTTTTGCGCTATTATGTTTAGTAAATTTATATACCTTAAAAAAAAAAAAAAAAAAGATTTTTTCAACGTTTAAAATAACTTTGAGGACATTTTTAACCTTTTTTTTTTTTATATATACATATATATTTAAGTGCATTCAATATTATTGTAATAATAATAATGGCCACGGAAGAAAATAGTTAAATGATTAAAAAATAGACATTTTTGACGTGACTATTTTCGGTTTGGCCATTATTACCGACGATTTTTATAATTTATTTTTATCACCGTTATCATGTAGGTCGCACTATCGTAAATTATCTAGCAAGCAAAATAGGCGATATCATTACAACATATACGTATGATTTTCAATAATTAAATTTTCCCACTATATGTAGGTAAAAGTGGCCGCGGAAAAAAACGGCCGAATTTTCCATGACCGTTTTTTCCTCTGGCCATTCTTCTACGACCATTACTCCGTATTCGGAGGAAAACGGCCCCTATTGTTATATCGTTATCGTCAATACGCATTTTAATGTGATAATAATATTTGTTATGCCAACAAGTCGATGTTTTAATCGTTTATTGTCATTTCGCCCCGCACAGGTTCCCGACGAGCCCGCGTTGTTGAAGGTGGCCGAGGCGTTGTCCGCGGACGGCGTGCACCACGTCGTGTGGAAGGAACAACCGGAGGACGTGGCCACGTGCGTGGCGCTTAAGCCCTGCGTGAAGGGCGAGGTGAGCAAGTACGTGAGGAAGTTCAAGTTGTACAGCGCGTGACCGGCGGCGGATGCGTGGGCGCGCGCAGGAAGAGACCACTCTACGGGCTAAATAGTAATTACACGCGCGGTTATCACGACGGATTCTTCCTCTATCTGCGGCTCTTGACGTCCGTGGGGATCAACGGCCACCGCCATAACAATATATTATTATTATTATTATTATTATTATTGTTATTATAATCGTCGTCGTCGTCGTCGTCGTGTATGTATACGTACACATAAATACCGGGCCAATTGACATCAATCGTTTAATTGGTCGCCGTCGTCGACGCGGAATTCAATAATAATAACAATAATACTGATAATAATACATTAATACGCACCGCAACGGTCACCTCAATACATACACGCGTGTACAATAAAAAACCGTTTTGATATTTTTATTACAATAATAGTATAAAATATTTTGTTTTCCAATCTAAACGAGGGCGACGGTGCATTCCACCGGTCGTATTTCCTTTCTCATCGCGCGTTTATACGATTATTGTATCATAATAGTCGAAGTTTCAATCGGAAACGACGGATGTCCACTGCACCGAAAGAAAAAAATAAATAATCAAAAAAAATTAAACGCCGTTTGTGAGCTCCTTCGGACTGTATTTAGTACGATGGGCATGTTGTGTATGCGTACGTATATGCGTATATGCGTGTAGTACGTGTAATTTATGACGTTGCTGTGGGATTATAGAGGAAATAATGAAGGTCTCGGGCGGTGGCATCCGGTTAAATTGTATTTTTAATAGGCTCTCGTGTACGTGTGTATATATATATATATTCAAAACTACATATAATATACGGTATTTATGAAAATAATACGCGACGATTAAGCCGCGTATATTGTTATATTGTACGCATTACGATGTTTTTTTTTTTTAGGACGAACAATTTTTAATCGTAAAATTGCACCGCGTATAGAACCGTCCGGGCGGTGGACACACAAAAATAAAAAAAAATATATATTTAACAACGTTTTGTGCGCGCACGGACATTCAAGGTGTCCCGCGGATTTCTCATATCTTTATGATAATAAACGGTTTTTTTATTTTTTTTCAATCGAATTTTGTCGAGGTGACATAGTATGAGATCATAATATAGAGAAAAATAATTAATTATCACTCCCTAATCACAAAAAAAAAAAAAAAAAAAAAATAATAATAACTAAGGAACGGATTTATATGTACTTAAAATCCGCAAAAAAACGCTTAAATAATCAAAAAAGCACTTAAAAATATTCAAAAAAGCTTAAGTGGTAAAGGGGTTTTTAAGTGTCCACTCTAACGGTTAGGTGAATTAAATTAAATACAATTTTCTAACACTGACTAACAAAGGGCATTTTTTTTTTTATAACACGTACAAATGTATTCAAAGAAAATTACTTTGTAATAATCATTTTTTTTTTTTGTTAAAAAGTTATTTTTAATAAGTTAGAAACAATAAGATGGGAAAACTTTGAACCCATCTACCTTTATTGATTTTTTAAATATTTTATAAGTGATTTTTTATGGCTCTTATTATTTTTTAAGTGTTTTTTTGTGAATTTTGGGTACATATATAAATTCGTTCCCATATAATAACTATTTTTAACAAATTTTCTATAGTTTCTCAGTAATAAACGTTTTTACTTTTAACGGTTTCTTTCAAAAATCTTTATGCTCATTAAAAAAAAAAAAGTTATCAGTTATTACGATTGATCGCGTGATGTGATAATTTAATGCATATATTTATTTTCACGCTCACTTTATAAGGATTAAAATGGCTATTACTAAGATACTATTCGTCGGATATGTATAGGCATTAAGCATGTATGTTAGATTACAATTTTTAGAATAATATCTATTGAAAATTGGTCGTTTTGAAAAATTCGAAAACTGAACAAAAAAATTATTTTACTATTCATACATGTATTGCACTTTGAATGAGTATATACTTTTGATTTCCAATCAGGAACCATCCTCCCTCCTAGACTCAAATATAGGTTTTTTTACATAGGCGAGCGTAGGCCTTTTTTTCAGGGTATGCAGATGGCTGCCATTAGCGCCCCTGAAATTTATGTTAAGCTCGTAAAACTACGATAAAAAATGTACACAAAAATATTGAAATATCTTACCAATTAGTTAATTAAAAATGTAATTTTTAATAAAAATATTTGATTAAACTCATAATATGGTTTTTGTAAGCCCCGGGAAAGTAGCTCCTTATTCTCTCTTCATAATCTGGGCCTGGTGTTCAAGGTATGCAGCTGCATACCTTGCATACTCTCTGCACTCGTCTATGAAAATGTGTCCAAAAATGTTGACATGCATAACACTGCAATCTCGGATTAACTGTTTATGAGTTATAATATATTTGAAAGTTAAGACCGGGGAATTATGGAAGGGTTGCTATCTAAAAACGGATATCCGTTTATTTTCCTTCCCTACTTCTCTCGTCTACATTTTAAACTGTTACAACTTATAACTACTGTAAATCCGACAGTAGTGCCATTTATATCAAAATGTCTAGACAAATATTCTTTGTTCGAATCTGTGTTTAATAGGGGAGGTTTCTATTTGACAATTACAAGTGTTTACTCATTTAAGGTATAAGGAGTCGGGGAGAAACATTTAAAATAGTGTTAAAATAAAGCTAAAACGATCCTATAACGATTAAATAAAACAGAAATTAAAGTCACTTAAAATCGTAGGCACATGATAAATCCATTTATCAAGATGTAAGAGATGGTGAAATAATGCTACACGGTAGTGTACATTTTAAATTCCGTGTATTATTATATTATATTATGAACTAGGTACAGAAGTGTATTTAGGCACAGGCCCTATAAGCACGGGCTTAGAGCTGCGATATTTTAGAAGGGGCGGTTAATTTTATCATCTTTTACTAAAATGACGAAAACTGTTTTTGATTTGATGAAATCAAATTTCATTCAAATTTTTAGGCAAACAAATTATTTACTACTGTAAATTGTACTTAAACTAATACTTTAAAGAATAAAATCAGAAATAGTTAATGAAACTAATCAATTATAATAGTATATTTATGTTATCTAAGTAAATATTAATGTTTCCCTAGAAATATTGTTTTTTAAATTAAATATATAAATATAATATTAAAATTATACATAAATACATAACTTATAAACTGCTAGTTAAATTATTTAAATAAATCGAGCGATTATGTGACTATATTTGTCAAAAATATTTAGGTTTAAAATAAAATATTAACATTATATTATTTGAGTGCCAAGAAATTGGTAGATAATAGTCTTTAATTTTCACAAATATAGTTTCTGTTTTAATTTATAGATTTTGAACGGAGCGAGGAATGTTTTGGTTTTACAATGATGTTTATTTTTTTTTTTTTAAAACTTCTACCAGAAAGCTTACTCTGATTATCAAGTAAAATATTTTTTCTTAAAGAAAATTTTCTATGGGTGGTGCTTTAAAGGAGTCATTTTTTGAAATTCTCATCAATATTCGAGAGAATGAGAAAAATCTGGTTCTTTAGGTTAAAAAAGATTGAAAGATTAAAAATAAGGTTATCATTGGCAACTGTTTTTATTTATTTTTTGTTATTATTAAGTTTTTATTATTTTAATCTTTTTTTAAACAATTATTGTTGTCATGGAAACGCACATTGTTGTAATCATTTTACCATTATATGATATACGAGGGCTAATCAAAAAGTATCAAGACTGGTAGTATCATTCGGAAAAGGAGCATCGAAGAGCAGTAGGATTGGTATCACTTGCTTCTATGACTTTTTCTGAGTACATTTATTTTTATTGCTTCTCTATACAATTCTTCGGTTTGATTTCACTGATATTTTTGTAAAATATATTTTTCGAGTTTGGCGATTTTGTAATAAACCCAAAAGAAGAGTAACTTGACAGATTTAGAGATTTTAGAAAATTTGTCTGCATTTTTTTCCAGTTTCAGAGGGATGCAACATTTTGTGGTTTTCGCCATTAAATGTCAATTGAAAAACTGAAAATGTTCCCTCGAGTGGCAGCGAGTTCCGCTTCATTTGGATTCATTACGAAATCGCCAAACGTGAAAAACAAATTTTAGAAAAATATCGTCAAATCAAAACGAAGAAGTTTACAGAGATTTTATACGAATAGATGTGCTCAGTATAAGTCATAGAAGCTAGGTTTACAAATCGTTTTGCTCTTCAACGCTCGGTTTTCGAGTAATATTGTCAGTCTCGATACTTTTTGATTAGCCCTCGTATATATTGTTGACAAAGCAACACTATTAACTAAATTCCACTCAGGTTCGTTTTTCGTTAGCAATGGTTTATTGTCGCTTACAGATATACATTAAATATCCGTCTGCATCCATATCTTTTCAATTTCCCACCTACAACAGTGGCTGCATTCACGTGCGAAGTATGGCCGTCCTTTTTAATGAATAGGTTTAATGTTTAAAAAAACGAATTAAAATGCTCTGCCTAAATGTGTTGCACCGAATTGTGTGAACGGTATTTACTGTTTTGAAGAAGCCGTTTTAGTATTTATTAGGTACACGTGTTTACATTGAACTTTAATAAATTGTATTATTGGGTTAAACGAAATTAACGAACAAAGCCAACAATGAAAAATGTCTGGTTTGAAATACAGGTAGTTTGATTTATTATTATTTCTTCGAGTATTTTTCGCGAACAACCAAAACGGTGTCGGTAGGTTTTGTTCGCACCTATTTAACCTATGCGTGAATAAAATACGTATTTTACGACCGTTGCGTTGACGAAATTACGGCGGTTTATATTTTATTAGTCGTCAACAAATATAGGGATGGGTTGTGTATCGTATGGGTGGTCGAAAGGGAAACACAATATATGTTATCGAGTGTATATTGTCCGTTATAATATAATAGTATATGCACTGCGGCGAAAATGTCAAGAATCGAGTGGTATAGGTACCTAATACAAGAGAAATATAACGTCTACCGTATACCTGGGTATACAATACGATATGCATGTATGTATATATATATATTT